CCACTGCGCCTGATCGTCGTTGGCCTCACACTGTGGCAAACCTCTCTAGCTATGGCGGTTACAACGCGACCTTAAGCTCGGGTGGTCTATCTGTGGGGGCTGGCAATATGACACTTCCTGCTATTACTCAACTAAGCAGGTCTAGGACGGTTGGCATGACGTCGACCGTTGGATATACTACTCCGCCTGGTCTTGGAGGCCCTGTTGTTATTATTGTCAGCACCAAGACTGCAACACTCCCTGCTGTGACCTCTTCGACTAAACTCCTCACTCTAGGCCATACCTTCATTTTAACGCCGCCTGCAATTTTGAGCTCAGCACAAGCATATCCGACCCTAATCATTGTTGGAAATGAAACAGTAACCTTTTCTAACGTCTCTACTATTACAATGCCCGCCTCCTCTAAAACAACCTTCCCTCTTACACCCCAAATGTCAACAAACGCAAGTTTTGGATCCAATCCAGCAACGTCTGTCACGGTGGTTGATGGAACTCGAAGTCTAACCTTTCCATCTCCAAGTAAACAGACCGCTGTGACTCTTGAGGGCCAAACCACTACAACTCAGGTACCAAGTAGGCCTCCGAATAATACCGCTGTGTTATCGCCGCTTCCCGCCACTAAAAACAATACAATGACACCAGTCATGGTAGCGATTGGCAATAGTACCTTTACATTCTCACCGGGAATCCAGAAGACAATAGTGACCATAAGGGGCCATACAGTCACGCTTGACCCTGAACAATCGCCAACAATCAGCTCATCATCCCGCGCCCCATCGGCAACGGCCATGACGAGGAGGCGAGGCACGGCACCAGCGATAAGCCTGGAACCGACACTGTCAAATAGCCGTAGCACCACACTTGTGCGCGCAAATCCAACCGTTACAAATGTTAATGTATCATTTGAGCCGTCCTCAGCGACCGGAAGAGCAACTGGTACAGATAGATCTTCATCATCAAGTCGGGAGACGACAGTAACAAGTCATACAGCCAAACCCGAAATTGAAGAGGAAACTACCGCCAGAACCAAATCGCCGTCCCGGCTACCGCTCCCAACTGGAACGATGGCCGAGACGGAGGATAGTCCAATGCCTACACTTGTGCGATGGCCGCCAGAGGCTATGATCACTCCGGTGGAGACCGAGGTTAAAAAGCCTCAACTCTCGGAAGATGACAACGACAGTGCTGTGATACCGTGCAAGTTATGGTTCTTCTCCGTGAGTTTACTCTGCAGTTATTGGCGGTTATGGACTAATATACGATCTGTTTCATTAGGCCTGTCTTCGATTTGACAATATAAACATCCTTGGTTGGAAGATCACCTTCCCTCCTGGCATCTACCCTCCGTATGAACCCTTCACCCAGAAACTTGATATGGATTTATTAACGTGGCATGCGGTAAAAGTGGCCCTCCTCCAATACAGAATCTCAAATTCCCACCTCCAATTGGTTTTCAAGGAGATCTTCCGCCGTGGCCCAAGTTCACGTAAGTGGTTACAAAAGCGCAAACATCCGTTCACACTAACTAACCCACGCTTCAAATACTAGTGTTGGGTCTGACCGTATTCCCACATTCCCTCCAGAGCCAGAGCCTACTAAATGCGAGACCAGGACTGCTTCTTTATGCTCCACCTCCACCTCTTTTGTGGTGTCCACTGTTAGAGGGGCGTTGCAGACCATCTCATCACAGGTGCTTCCTCCCACATGTGCGGAGGTGCGAGGCTGCATTGTGGAAGATTTCACCAAAATAGCAAGCCTAACGACAACACAAGGATGTCGGACTGGGACTGCAACCGACGTAGTTATTACTTGCAGTGGAAGTGAAACGTCAGCTTGCGCTACGCAGACGAAGATCCCTAGGACAGGTTGCTCGGTGACAGCCACGACGACAACAGTGTCATGCACCCCTGCCCCTCCTGGGAAAGGTCGACGACACACTGGTGGCGAAGTTTGCGCGCCGGAGGAACTATACATTGTTTGGCCCCGTGATGGCACCGACGTTGCCGAAACCAGCGCTATTTACAGCGAAATGAAGAAGCTGCTAAAGGATGAGGGGAAAATTCGGGCCTCTGATACAAAGACGATGGGGATCAACTTCTGGCGTGTGTTTTCAGAGCCCGGACAGATCCAGAAAATTAGAGAAATACCAAATGTGAGATAAGAAAAGAAAGAGAACTGACTGAAATTTCAATCACTAATTGATGCACTGGTAGGTCGTGGGCGTTCACCGAGAATGCACGTCGGACTGTGCGGACCCGCTGGATAACGTACAATCGAAATGGAGATATCAAGATAACTACCTCGAGATAGAACTTGAAGGCTCCATATTAGGTCGTCAGCAAATGGTTTACCTTTCGCAAAATAAGTTGCCAGAACAAAGGTTCCATAACCACTACTTCTTTGACGTCGAGGCCGGACGGGACATCCCTGTCTTCATCGTGGATACTGGGGCCCAGCTGGATCACCAGGTTTGTGCCTCGATGCCAGCATATATGCACTTTCCCTTCACCTGACAGACTGTCGTAGGAATTCACCGAAGGCGATAATATAGCCAGCAAGACAGAGTTCGTTTTTGTCGAGAAAGACTACGACGGCCAGTACCACCGGGACGATGCAGGCGTACCGCTTAATGGCGTCTGCGAGCCAGGTTACTGTAATCCGCACGGCACTGGGATGCTGGGCATGATAGCCGGTGCGAATCTTGGAGTTGCCAAAAAGGTCAAGCCATGGGTGGTGCGCGTTCCGCGAAAGAATAAAAGAGGAGGTGGCTTCACACCTCAGCATTTCCTAGAAGGGGTAGCCAGAGTCAACGACATGATTTTGGGTGATAGCAAGACCACGCGAGCTATTCTTTCTTTGTCCTGGTCCTACGATTCTGAGAAGTTTATAAAAGGATCAGATGCTTCTACTGATGATTTTGAGACCTGGAGGGTGCGATTTCATGGGATATTAAGGACTTTGATTCAGAAAGGTGTCTTTGTGGTTACAGGCTCGGGAAATAATTACATAGTAAGTCCAAGCGTTACGAGCCTGGTAAGCATACTCTAACTTTCACCGTAGGTCAATGGATGGCCTGCCCTCTTTGGTGCTGAGCCCAGCACATTGAAACCAGAACTGCAAGCAAACTGGCTTCATGTCCCTGAGTTGTTAGTAGTAGGGGCTGTGGATGTGTTTACAGGGGAGAGGTGGTGGAAATCAGCGATTGATGTAGACAAAGGCCTTCCACACATTTATGCACCCGGAAAACATGTTCTAGGCACGCAAGGAAACAAGGGAGAGTGGCGTCGCGATTTCGAGGGAACTTATAAAGTCGAAGTCGGCACTTCAGTTGGTAGGCTGATAACTAAAATGAAAAGGTTTCGGCGTTCGCTGACATTATACACATGTAGCCACCGCGTATGCCGCTGGTCTTGCTGCTTATTTCCTAAGACTTCATCAAGTTGGCCGGCTTGGACCCGACGCCAAAGGAAACGATCCCGATATGAGCCCAGCTGGGCTCAAGAGATACATCATCAACAATGGCTGGTCACGATATCACGAGAAATATGTTGGTGATATTGTGGGGATATGGAACGGCGCGGCTATCCCACGGCTCAAAGAGCAAGGCTACTGTCGCTACAGACCGAAAGACGCTAGAGATCCATTCAAGCTCCGGCGGCGGGGAAGTGATTCTCAGTTAACCGACCTGTGCCTCCCGGGTACATCTAAAACTCAGTCTATCGGCCAGTCGATCAATACCTCGACAAGCAGCCCTACTAACAAATCCACAGCTAAACCGACTGACACCAGGAAGAATAAATCGATTGGAACTGCGATAGCTAAATCTACAGCTAAATCCACATCCAAATCGACGATTAAACCGACAGGAGAGCAAGCAGGAAAGTCGACAAGAAGTACTTCTAGCCGCCATACAACATCAGCAAAACCAACAAATTTCGTTTGCACAGAAGAAACGGCAGATCAGTGTTCTCCGGGCATCATTTGCAACGCTCCTCGGCTTAACGGCTGCATCGATGGAGAATGCGTTTGTATCCTGCCAGACCCACCACCTACAACTTCCCGGACGACCACGCTTACAAGCAAAGCCAAGTCTCCCAAACCAACTGTGGAAAAGAAGCCCAAAGAGCCATTGGCACTTGGCGAACGGCATTGCCACAATAAAAGCCTGTTCGACGGTGACAGCGAAATCAAAGAGCGATACGTCGCTCGGTTTTCTTTTCTGTTATGCAAGCACTGCTACGACGACGACGTCGCCTTTCATCCGGGGAAGAAACCCATTACCTTCAACACTCGGGCAAATGGTGCACCTTATTTTGTATCTATCAGCTGGAAAGATGGTTGCGAGATGACTATTGACCGAGTGAAAGTGTTTAGGCCGCTCCAGGAAACAAGCATTGTCGCGGCTAATCGCAACGTAAATTGCTTCGAGTTACTATACAATAACTGGAGAAAGTGTGAGTTTTTGAGAGTTGATACCTCACTTAAGGAGTGAGCTGACTGGATAACCTTAGGTACCGGTAATAAGGGCCGGGGTGGATATATAGACGTAGGGTGTGTACGATATGAGTTGGCCGCGAAAGATAAGTCTTGATTAGGCTTTTAAACTTATGTTAATAAGGGAGGTAATTTCCGGGAGCGTGTACGGAGTAAGAGCAAGGGAAATCCCGGCGTGGTTAATTATGTACGAGAGTGTCTTCGTCTCATCCCGGGAGAAGCGGTTAGTACTAGATATTCATTCTAACTTTCTTCGTTTTTGGGTTGATATGTTGCCTATAAATATCTGACATAGCTTAAAAACAGAAATTTAAATGATATTGGAGAGTAGCATCCGGCTATCTCGTAATAAATTTAACGAAATGATCACCTCCCAAGCTAGTAATTCACCAATTATCGCGGTGTAGACATATAGCGCAACTTTGAATAGAGCGCAGGAGACACTGATTTGATAACGGAATCCCAAACCTACTCAAGCTAAACACCCAACAGCTCTCCCTCGCAACTTATCTTTTTCCCTTGCCGCCTTTCTTTTTCTTCCCGCCGCCCCCTCCATTTCCTTTCGTAGCGCTCGACGTAACATTTCCAGTTCCCGCTACACCACCAGCCACAACAGAAACATCAAGCATGTCGGCATCTCCGCCCGACACGCCCGATACAGCATGCGACTGGCCCTGTTGGGCTGGTGGTGCGGAAGGGGTGGAGCTAGCAGCGTCCGCTATGGGCGCGCCGGACGCGAGACGTCCGAGTCCGGCGATGAGACGGCTAACTTCCGCGGCTTTGGTGGTGCGGTATTTTAGACATATGCCATTATAGGGGTTGTATGTTTTTAGAGTTAGGGTAGCTGGCTTGGAAACGGGCTGTGAGGAAGAGGTCGTTGAGGTTGTCGCTGTGGCTGTAGTGGGTTTGGATTTGTGGGACGGCTTGGGGTAGGAGTATTTTGTTGTTATCCGGGTCTGGAGGGAGGTTAGAGGTTCGGTGTGTCACCCTGGGGAAGGGATATGGGGCCCACATACGGTGTGCGGGTATGCTTCGAGGAGGAGGGAGGATTGTTTGAGGAAGTCTTGGGAGGTGGTGAGGTAGGGCATTTCGGCGGAGTGGGTGCGCGAGATGGCGCCCGACCTGGTTTCTGGGACAGGATTTCTATGTTAAGAGTTTGGAGAGTTTGATTTTATGGCGATTGTAGGAAATGAAGCTCGTTCCAGCCAAAACCGGGTGCGCGGTGTATATCGCCAGCGACGTTGGTGATCCCACGCAGTATCAAATATGAGGTGGAAGTGATGTCGGAATTTGCGTTGACGTCGGGAAATGAGATTCGCGCCAAGCACGGCCAAGCTTGGGTCACAAGCTTACCAGTTCTATCGCCAGGTCAGATCCCATCGCCCTGCAAGGTGTCTCACAGAAAAGAAATGAGGTACGGAGTACTGTTGACAAAGTGTTGAACTTCCATTTGTATTACGGGCGATTCAAGTGGCTCTGCGAAAATCCTGCACTTCCACATCGGCAAAGTTACTCGCGAGTCGTCGAGCCGCGAGAAACTGAACTGGCCAGGCCTAACACAAGCCAGCGTCGAAGCTCCCATTTGCTGGCAGGCGACGATCCCACTTACTTAGGGTTTCGGGGGCATCCGAACTTCGTCATAGCCCGGATCGACATGGGAATATGTCATTGATAATAAAGGGAGCATCAACAAATCACTAACCGCCCGCTCCTTATTCCATACAGAAGCCTCGAGACCATGATAGCAGCATTATCAGCTTGTCTAGACTAGAACATTCAGCTTTGGCCAACTATGAATACCTTCACGTTACCAGACATCAGTACGCTCCCCGCACTCCGGCATTCGGATTGCAACCAGATCCTCGATACACTCTTCGAGCCTTCCAAACACTTACATTCTCTCACGGAATCACTACTTCTTCAGCAGAAATGCATTTCATACGAAGCCTTGATCGACCTGGTCAGGGCAAGGCTCATCTCTCTCGCTTCCTCCAAAGCGCCTGACGACCGAACTGTACTCCTGGATATTCTAGGCTCGCACCCACGACTTGGGGAGAAAGCATCGGCATCTAGGAGTGCGGAAAGTGAAGCTTCCAAAGGGCAGGAAGAGCGGCCTCTGAGCGAATTTAGCAAGGCGGAACAGGCGAACCTGAGCATGGCGGGGCAACATGGAACGGCTCAGCATCTGAGCCTGTTGAATCGCGAATACGAGGAGAAGTTCCCAGGTTTGAGATATGTGTATGCAATTGAAATATCATGCCTTGCAATAAGTATAATGGTGATAGACGGTTGACATTTGCACGTATGACAGCACTTTCGTAAATGGTCGCGGCAGAGACATGATCATGGAGGAAATGCGCCGGCGGATCGAGCGGGGTGATATTGAGCTGGAGATAATGGAAACTATACAGGTGAGTCTCTGGATATGTTCCCAAAATCATCATGCGCGTTTCTTTTGTGGGGAGTCTTCTTGAATGCGGATATAAACAACAGTTCTGCCGTAGGCCATGTGCGATATTGCGACGGACAGAGCGCGGAAGCTCCGGGACCCGGACGCGGCATATTCGATGACAAGCCGAACCACAGATGGCAGCTAAACATTGCAGTGTTTGTCTCTACCAAGGAGCGCGTATTGTCTGTAGATGGTCCACTATATATGTAGTTGCTAGCTAATATGATTGAAACAATTTGAAGTGAGGACCAGCCGTCATTCCGGGCCGATTACTAGTAGCCAAGTTCACTAGTTAGTCGACTTGCTACGATGATCCTGGTCTCCAGCAAGAAAGTGGAAGCGGAAAAGCCAAAAGTCTGGAAACTCCAGCACCACCTTGTCCCGCTGCAGCCCGTGGCAACAAACTATCAAGAATGGAATTTCACTCTCTGTTGACTATGGTTTGTTTGTCACGCTCACCGAGGTGTGGAGTATGCTCTCCTAATCGTTGCAATCTTTTGGACTCTCATTATCTCTCATCCCCGTGAACACCGTCATACTTGCAGAACGTTTGACACGTGCGGCATTTCACAACTTGGTCAGTCCGCAATGCCTTTGTGAGGATAATATATGGAACGCAAGCAGCCGCTTCCGCCGCCCTGTCTTGGAACCACTATTCATGCATGATGGCTGCGGAAACCTACACAAGGCCTGCCAATGGTGTAGTGGCGCCGCTGCACCCGGGCCCAAATCGAGCTGCGTCGCAGTCCATCGCAAATGAGACCAATACTCCTGTCAGTGAGAAACGTCGGGTAAAAGGAGGCGACGGTGGGTTTCCGACCCCGTTCTATACAGCCCATTACTCTTCTACGCTCTGATCCAGCCCTGGAAACCTCCCCTGTTATTGCTTCGCAGTTCTTGCAGAGTTATCCGAGCGTTTCAAAAGTCTCGATCACTGATGAGGAACCGCGTTTTGAAGATCCAGCAAATGGCAGTCTGGCACATGGCAATCAACAGCCACCCATGCGCCAGGGTTCGTCCGACTGGCCGTCGAACGAACACTCCCTTCCCGCAACACCGGTACTGACAAGAAACTCAACTACCAAGTCCGCATCAAAGGGCGCCATTGGCTCCACCGCATTGTTGCAACAAAGACATCATTACTCCTCGTCCTCCACCTCTATCCCAACCCACGCAACGTTTCAACATACTCCGATTGATCCTCTATCACAGGTACGTCTTGTGGGCGAACCAGTGGTGCCCCTATGCATCGTCGCAAATCTCAGATGAACCCCTGATTGACACTCTCTGCTTCTCTCTCTACAGCAAATCCTCAAGCGCACAAACACGGAAAAGTCGATATCTTCAAAGTTGCGGACACAGGCGGCCATCGACGTTGAGCCGGGCCCCTCCGACGCTGCGCGGGCTCTTACACAGGAAGAGTCCCCGTCAGCAAATAGAGCTGATAATAATCTGATACAAAAGTCGTCCAAGGAAAAGAAGTGAGTTCTATATTTGTTACTTTGTGGTTTCTCTCTTGTCTTTGCCTCATATGCAGTCACTCCTATCATCGTCGCATGTACTGTACACGCGACTCTTTCAATTGGGGTTTGCATATCCACACTCTGTACTCCGTATTCTATCTTAAACGAACTCCTTCCCCCTTATTGACCCAAGGACTTTTTCTTCACACTTGAACTTTAATCTTTGGGAACACTCGCATGCTGACCTTCTAAGTAGAAAAGGCGTTTCATTCCTCAGTCGAATAATTGGCAATAAAAAAAGAACTGATATCTCTGAATCAAATGACGATGTGTCAGAATTGGGCGAGAACCGCGCCGCTGGGATGGATGCGGAAGTATTCGCGCAACCAATAGGCTATATTCCTCGGTTCCCCCCTCCACCAAAGTACATCAAGGTCCGCGCACAGCACAAAAAGACCAAGGACTTCAACAGATTATTCGTCGCTCAGGAATTGAGCGGGAACGCTGCACAGGCAAATGGCTCGTCCACTAATAAGCATGCGACGATCAATGTTTTTGAATCGGATGCGGCGGCGCAGGAAGGCAGGGCAATCTGGACCACAGAGTTCTCCAAAGATGGTAAATATTTTGCCGCCGCGGGGCAAGATCGAAAGGTTCGCGTATGGGCTGTGATAGGGACCCCAGAAGACAGACAGGCACATGAAATTGAAGAGGAGGCTCGGAATGATCAGCCGTTGATGCGTCTGAGCGCGCCAGTTTTTAAGACTCAGCCAGTTCAAGAGTACGAAGGACATACGGCAAGTATTGTCGATCTTAGCTGGAGCAAGGTATGTTCAACAGCGAGGATAATGTTGTCCAGTGCTTCTGGGAATTTCATTAACAGCTAACATGTCATGGGTTATAGAATAACTTCTTGCTCAGTACATCTCTGGATAAAACTGTGCGATTATGGCATGTGACCAGGAGAGAATGCCTCTGCTGTTTCAATCACAGCGACGTGGTGACGTCTATTGAGTTTCATCCCAGGGATGATCGGTTCTTTCTTGCTGGCTCTCTCGATTCCAAACTACGGTTATGGAGCATTCCAGACAAGAACGTTGCTTTTACGGCCGTGGCGCCTGATCTGATCACTGCTGTCGCGTTTACCCCTGACGGGAAGCACTCGATTGCAGGTTGTTTGAACGGTCAGTGCGTTATCTTCGAAACGGATGGCTTGAAGGTTGTTTCGCAGATACATGTGCGTTCAGCCAGAGGGCGAAATGCTAAAGGGAGTAAGATCACCGGAATTGACACTATTCTGCAACCTCCTGGCAATGACTCTGGCATAGTCAAGATCCTAATTACCAGCAATGACTCCCGTATACGCCTATACAATTTCAGGGATCGGACACTGGAGGCTAAGTTTCGAGGTAATGAAAATTCTGCTAGCCAGATTCGAGCATCATTTAGCAGCGACGGGCGCTATATAATTTGTGGAAGTGAGGATCGTCGAGTTTATATCTGGCCTGTCATGTGCAATGAGCGGTTCCCCGAAAAGCGACCAGTTGAGAGTTTTGAAGCGCATTCTTCCATGGCGACAACTGCTGTAATGGCGCCGCTGCAGACAAAACAGACTCTTGGTTCTACTGGAGATCTTTTGTACGACCTGTGCAACCCACCACCAGTCACGTTGGTCGGCCAGACAGCATCTGCTGCCTCAAGATCGGTGACCGAGAATGGAGGCAACGAATTTCGCCCCGGGACACCTCGTGTGCCGCCCTCGTCAAATCCGCAGAAACCGGAGGAGTCCCCAACGCATACTACCCGATCATCTCACCCCGGAGGGAATATCATTGTGGCAGCTGATTACAGTGGTGTGATTAAGGTGTTTCGACAAGATTGCGGCTATCATCGGCGGCGTCATGAATCGTGGGATTCAAGTTCGCTGTTCTCGAAAAGATTGCTTGGGCGCAACAACTCCGTGTCGTCGGCTCGGCGGAGTATACTATCTATCGGCAAAGACTCGCTGCATAAGTCCCCTTCCGAGCGGATACTATCGTGGCGGAATTCCGTTATCGGTGCCCGTGATAATGGCAGCTTTGATAACGTCCGTACTCAAGGGAGTAGAACCCGCAGCGTTTCTCCCGATCGACCCCTCCGCAAATCCAACAGCGCACCAAAGGCGGATACCTCCCAGGCGATCAAGAACCTCACAAAGCGAGGCGTAATCTCGAAACCTGCAGGCTTGACCAAAATGAACCTGAACCACCCTTTCACCGGGGCTATTTCGCCAGAAGTGATTTCAGACAAGCGCGAAATCGTTGCATCTCCTGAGGAATATGAAGATTCGGATACCAAATATGCCCCTGCAGATCCGCTCTTTATGGCTGGCGAACAGAGCTATACGTTCTGGAATAAATCTCAGTTTGCTTCGCTGGCGGCAAATCGGCGCCGGTCGTCAATCAGTAACGATGTAGAGGCCCAGCAGGATCAGGCCAACTTGACAAGCGAAGGGAGCTCTGACAAAAAGGGGTTTGAGAACGATATGGACGCAGAAGCACTAGGCGAAGAGGAAGAAGAGGAGCTGAGTTGCCCACAATGCCGGGCAACGAATTTTAGGGCGGTAAGGACAAAAACCGGGGAACAGCGCTTGAAGTGTGTGCTATGCGGAGCGTTTGCTTCATGATGATTAGCGTTATTGCATTATTCGTGCATCCTTATGAGGGAAGCAAGCATGTTAATATTGGGCGGGGTTTAGGGCATATGTGTATATTTTTTTTTTTTTTTTTTTTTTTTTCCTTTGGCTCTTGATGACTTTACGACATGGGATGGGCTATGTGTTTCTTTAGATCTTTGTCTGTCTCGATATGCCCTTGATGTTTTAACGTTATGATTTGGGCATATGTATATTGTATGGGAGATGATGGCCGGAAAAGGGGGGGAAAAAAAAAAAGGAAAGGAAAGAAAGAAAGAGAGAAAGAAAAGAAAAGAGAAGAAGGAAAAGAAAGAAGGAAGAAGGGTGACACTGTGTCAGGATATGGTTATGATCTGATTGTATACATATAAAAGTCCATATCAACTATAGTGCGTGCCGTGGTTGTAACTACTGGAGTCCCTATGTTGGTTCTAAATTATCCGTGACATTTTGAGAGGAGAGTTGGCTCCATCGCGAGTCCAGGACTCGAAAATTGCGACGGCTCGCCCAATCAGTCCGTTGCCCGGGATTCGCAGTCAACTCGGGAGGACGAGATCACTTGCAGGTCAGGCAGAGCGGTGATTGGATGGCATGGCGAGCTTGCCGTCAAGGGTGTTGCAGATGTCTTGGAGATGGGTGTTTCTGTCGGATCAATGACATGGGGGGGAGTGCGCTCCGATAATTCGAGTTGAGCGAGAGAGAGACGATGGGCAAAGGCTAGCTGATGGTGGCTGTTGAACGTTAAATGAATATTTTAGCTCTTCCGTCATAACTAGGTTGAATATATCGCAATTAAGCAACGTTCGTGGTTCAGCCAAATGGTTAGCTTCGCTCGACGCGCTTAGACCAGCCTCTCCGATTCTCGAGTGGGTTAAGTATAGCTCAAAACACCTTCCATCGCGCTGATCTCCGCAACCCACCGGCTCACTCACTCTCTCGCTGGCTCTCTCTAGGCCACGACCCGTTGCTCTCCCCCCTCCCACCTCGCTCTGCTGTCCGTTCCACGTCCTCCGCTGTCACTACATCATCCTTCTCCCTCGCCAGAGTAACTACAGGGTTGGTAAGCTTGGTTTCTTCAGCCTAATCACACGACTATCCTACCCCCCGCTGCACCCTCTCCGCCCTCACCATCTCGAAACTGACCCGAGTTTCTTGTTTTATGCCTCACAGAGCCAATCGGTTTCCCTCCTTCCCCCCCAAGAACCTTGCACGAAGTCATCCGATCCCGTTCTTGATGCCCCAATAACCCTTTTGCCTTACTTTCTCGCACTCTCTCTGCCGTCCCTCGATCTCCCGCCTCCAGCTTCCCTGCACCCTTCAGCCTTCGCCAATAAGACCACTCTCCTATTAACCATTCATAGCGCCTGACTATTATCGACTCCTAAGTCATCCGTGAACACTGCCAGCCTCTTCCTACTCAAAGTGATCCCTGGGCAGCAGCAAAACCACACCAGTCTTCACTTCGTACTCGAGGTAGTCGAGCCTTTTTTTTTTCTTCCTTCGGGGGGTGTTAGTCACCCCCGACTGCTCTAAACAAAAAGACAAGAAATAAGGAGACATGGGGAATGCTTGCCTCTCCTGCTTAACAGGTATATTTGCCTCGATCGACAGATGGTGCCATGTTTCTGATCTGTTGGCGCCCATCAAAGGTCGATCGAGGGATGGATTGTACGAGCCCATCTTGGCGGATAACGAGCGCGAGGCCGTCGCGGACTTGCTTCAGTATCTAGAGAATGTACGTCCATGCATACACCTATTGATGCATTTCTATTCTCGTGGGCCATATTTGTCTCTCCCTATTGATATCCCTGACCGACTGTCTTTGCTACAGCGAACTGAAACGGATTTCTTCGATGGCGAGCCGCTTCAGGCGCTCAGCACACTCGTTTACTCGGATAATGTCGATCTACAGCGGAGCGCGAGCTTGACTTTTGCGGAAATAACAGAACGAGGTCAGTTTTCGAACTCAACGCCATTTTGTCCTTGACTTGTTTAGTTTCTATAGAGAGCCAAGCTGAACCAAATCCTCTTTCAGATGTGCGCGAAGTCGATCGCAACACCCTGGAGCCTATCCTTTTCCTTCTCCAAAGCCCGGATATTGAGGTGCAAAGGGCAGCTAGTGCGGCTCTGGGAAATCTCGCAGTGAATAGTATGTTTGGGACCCTCGATAGCAGGGAGTGGTAATCAAGCTGACAGTCTCAAAAGCCGAAAACAAAGTTTCCATAGTAGAACTGGGTGGCCTTGCACCACTTATTCGCCAGATGATGTCACAGAACGTCGAAGTCCAGTGCAATGCGGTTGGATGCATCACCAATTTAGCGACCCATGAGGAAAACAAGTCAAAGATAGCAAGATCAGGAGCTCTGGGACCGTTGACGAGGCTTGCCAAATCTAAAGATATGCGAGTTCAACGAAACGCTACTGGTGCTCTGTTAAACATGACTCACTCAGGTATACCTTTGTTTCTTTCGTCTCATGTCGGTCACACTCTAACCAGATGGCTACAGACGAAAACAGACAGCAGCTTGTGATTGCTGGTGCCATTCCTGTTCTGGTTCAACTACTGTCTTCTCCAGATGTCGATGTCCAATACTACTGCACCACCGCTTTGAGCAACATCGCAGTGGATTCGGCAAACCGCAAAAGACTCGCCCAGTCTGAACCTCGACTTGTCCAATCTCTTGTCCAGCTGATGGATTCGTCAACACCAAAGGTACAATGCCAGGCCGCTCTTGCCCTCCGAAACCTAGCCTCCGACGAGAAATATCAGTTGGAAATTGTCCGTGCCAGAGGCCTTCCACCGCTTCTCCGCTTATTGCAATCTTCCTACCTGCCGTTGATCCTTTCTGCCGTCGCCTGCATTCGAAACATCTCTATCCACCCCCACAACGAATCTCCAATTATTGAAGCTGGATTCTTGAAGCCGCTCGTGGAGCTTCTGGGCTCGATCGATAATGAGGAGATCCAGTGCCACGCTATATCTACCCTTCGAAACCTTGCTGCCAGCTCTGATCGGAACAAGGAGCTTGTCCTACAAGCTGGAGCGGTCCAGAAGTGCAAAGAACTCGTGATGCAAGTCCCCTTGAGTGTACAGTCAGAAATGACAGCTGCGATCGCCGTTTTGGCTCTCAGCGACGAGTTGAAGCCGCATCTATTGAAGCTTGGCGTTTTTGATGTTTTGATACCGCTCACAGCCTCGGACAGCATTGAAGTGCAGGGTAATAGTGCGGCTGCGTTGGGAAATCTTTCATCGAAAAGTGAGTTATTTTCCTTCTTTCCCCCGCCGAAAAGTGTCAATGAAATTTGATGCTAACAGTTTTCCAGTTGGAGACTACTCCATATTTGTACGCGACTGGGCGGAACCCAGCGGTGGTATTCATGGATATTTGGACCATTTCCTGGACAGTGGCGACCCGACCTTCCAGCATATTGCTGTTTGGACGCTGCTGCAATTATTGGAATCCGGCGATGATCGTTTAATTAATCTCATTCAAAAGTCGGATAAAATTACTAGTCTAGTTAAGGATATCTCCGAGAGAATCGTTGAACCAGAGGAGTCTGATGCCGAAGATGGTGAAGGTGAGCTTGTGGCACTGGCACAGCGGTCCCTTGAGCTGCTTGGCCAGCCAAAGCAGAATCTCATCGACGGATGAATTTTCCGGCTGGGGTTTGCAAAGTAAATGTTAACTTTTTTTTTACCCCCTTTCTTTACTCCAGTACTTTGATATGGTTTTCTTCCTTTTTGTTTTCCGTTTCTTTCTCTTTTAATATGTTTACTTTTTTCTCTTTACTTTTCTTTTCTTTTCTTTTTTGTTTCACAGCATGCATACTCATACTCGGCTGCGTTGCTCTGATACCAGTTGTTTACCTTGGTTCTGCTTGTTTATTATTCTATATCCACGCAAGGAGTTTAGGGTCTAGTGCTTCTTTTTTCCTTTTTCTTTTTCCTTTTCTTTCCTTTTCTTTTTTTTGTTTGTATCCATGACTAGTATGTATTCTCTTTATTGGCCACGATATCTCAGGGTTGTCCACAGCCTGTTCTGTGCGCTGGGTTATTCTGGTCGTATGCACATTCAATCCAGTTCGTTATAGGCTCCCTCTTTTTTGTGTTGTGATGGGCGCAAAGTCATTTTTTGTGCAGTTTATAAATATTGATGGCATAATACGCATTAGAGGTTGTTCGGAATGCAAGTGACTCTCCTGTATGTTTAGCTCAATGTGAAGAGAAAACTGGTATGATGTTGTGAAGTGTGACTCTTCTCCCAAATATGGAAAAGGGCATTGATTCATAGTTTGTGAGTGGAAATTGAGTTTGCTGGTCGATGCGCGATGCAGTCCGCGATCCTCACCAGCGTGCTTCAAACTTCTGAACACCGCTCAGCGCAATCAGAGCATCCACCGCATCAGGGTTATTGAATGCATATTCAAGTTTTTTTTTTTTGCATTTCTCCTCTAGTGTCTCCAGCTTTTCAACTACTATTTCGACCATGAGAGCTGTTCCGCTCCCCTCAATCGCCATCCCAGGCCAACATCTGGCAGATTCTTCCTCCTACATCTCTGGACCTGGCACTTACATCCGCGACAACTCCATCTACGCCTCCATTCCCGGTCCCATCGTCATACGAGAGCCCGCCGCCACAGATCCAAAGAGTAAGAAAACCAGAGTCGTCACCGTGTCGCGCTCATCCACACCCTCCACATCCACCATCAAAAGCCCTAGTCAACCACAAGGCCTCGCCCTCCTCGGCTCCTCGAACAGACGCATCCCACTAAAATTCAACACCCTCCCCACCGTCGGCAGCATCGTTCTGGGCCGCGTAACGCGCGTCCAAAGACGCCAGGCGACGATATCAATCCTACTCGTCCTCCCTGAAAGCCAACAGCTCAACCCCAGCGCGGATGATTCAGAAGACCCCTCCGATGCCGATCTACCCAGCATTCTTGCCAGTGCGAGCATATCTACTACTTCCGACTCGCTGAATGCAGATGAGCTACGTCCCCAGGCGCTGATTCGCAAGGAGGATGTGCGTGCAGTGGAGAAGGATCGTGTGGTGATGGAGGAATCTTTTCGTGTGGGGGATATTGTGCGCGCGGTAATTGTGAGTGTGGGTGATCAGGTGGCTTATTACGCTAGCACGGCGGGGAATGAGTTGGGGGTGGTGATGGCGAGGAGTAGCACTGTGGAGAGTGGTGTTGGAATGGAGGGCTTTGGTGGGAATATGATGTTCCCGGTTAGTTGGAAGGAGATGAGGGACCCGGTGACTGGGAGGGGGGAAATGAGGAAGGTTGCAAAGCCGTTTTGAGGAGGGTGGGCGGCGGCTTTATGGCCTTCTTTATAGCATCTTAGGAATTTGGAGGGATTGGTGCTAGGATTGATGATGTTTGGGATACCTCGAGATGGCGTTTCCTCGCGGAAAGGGAGTATCGATCGGGGATTCTGGATATAAGGACTGCATCCGCGAAAAGTGAAGTATCTCACACCCCCACCCCCCCCCTGGTGGATGCTCGAAATATGCCCTTCAAAGGGATAATCACCATCTTACCGTGGCACAGGGGGCTGGCCAATGAAAGCAAGAAAGCGGACTGATCAATGGGACAAATGGCGATGTTGCAAACCGTAATGCTCTGTCAGGCATGGAATTCCATTATTCCTTGATAACTGGACAGTCAAACGTTGGACATCAACCCAGCGTACACAACGCTCTTGAGTCTACAAACGAGGTCGGAGACGAGCCATGGGCGCAATGCAGCACACATACAGATGAGAAGGTATAGAAGGGGAATGGATGAAAAAGTCAACAAGTTTGATTACATCCTCACTTGCTTCAGTCTAAGTGTACAAAAATCAAACTCGAAAATTTTCGCGGAAAAAAGAAATCTTTCAAAGCAGCGTTAACTCGGGGCAAGCAACTCAAAATTTCATGAATATCAAAATATTTCGACGATCATCTTTTCAATGTCTTTTGCTTTTCCGCATCCTTGATCAATTTCTTGCCTTTCACTACCAATCCTTTCCTGCTCCTAACTTTATCCATATACCGCTTAGCAACGTTCTCCCGGTCAGCCAACTCTCCTAAATCCTCAAGTTCTTCCTCAGTTGCGGGTACCCAGAACGGATCTTCGTCCAGCATTTCAAATCCCGCAAAAATAAGCTGCGGTGAAGCAGCGCCTGACGTTCGTTTGCGGATCTCTTCGGAGAATCCAAACGACTCGGCAACAGGAAGAAGAGACAGGATGGTAAAGAACGGTGTGCCTTCTTTCATTGTTTCAGAAAGTATGCGGCCGCGACGTCGAGTTATGACACCGTAGACACGGCCAAGGACTTCGGCTGTTTTGAAATTAGCATCGGCAGGTTACTATCTTGCGATATTTCGGCTTTCACTAAGGCACTTACTCGAAGCTTGGATTTCGCAGCTATACATTGCTAGAAGGATCCGTGGACTCCAGTCCAAGAACCCTTGCCACACTGCGTCGCGGACTAGTCGAATAACCTCTCCTGTGAGTCGACCCATCTCCTCATCGCCTGTCTCTGTAAGAGTGACATCCTCAATAGACACTGCAATTCCCTGCACAGGTTCGTGGCAGAGTGGTCCCTGGTTCGTGGCAAGCTGATAGGCGTATGAGATTTTGTCGGAGAACAAACCAGTGTTCCGTTGTCGCTCCTCTTGGTTCCCGTTTTGTGCAGCGTCGGTGTTATCGATGAGCTCGGGGAATCTATCGTTTCAGGTTAGTTTGTGGGATTATGACTTAAACCGACAGACTTACAGTCGTTCGAATGCTCCTGTAGACGTTGCATCAAGCAAAAGGTTCTGGCCTGTTCTCCGGGGTCCGAATTCCGCAATCTGGCCCATGACACCTTTCCACCCGTCTCTGTCTTTTGTCTCTGAAAACGCGGCACTGAGCTCTTTCTTGAAGTCCTCCTCCGAAAGGATATTTCGACTCGACATGCTGCTGTCGCCAATCTCCGGACCGTCGTCTTGACCGTCGACTGTGGTGCCGTTGTTTTGCTCTTCGGTAGCGCGCGTACCTCTACCTCTTCTGTGTGCGAAAAAGCGCTTGATGCCCCCGGCCTGTTTTCCAAGAAAGTCAGTAACGGCGGCTGGCAGTGGTCGCACTCTCAGTCGAATCATCAGTTGTTTTGATGCTGAAGTTGCCAGGACTGTTCCACGCGGGAGCTCGGGATTCTTCGGCGGAGCCATCTCCGGCGAACTGATAACGGTTTCCCTATATGGTACAATGGACTCGCCAGCCTGGATTTCGCATTTGGCGTACCGTTCGCGTAAGTCTTTTAGGCAGCGCTCAAGGTGCAATTCTCCTGCGGTCAAAATAACATGCTCACCACTCGGCAACACTTCGTATTGAGCGCAGGGATCGCTTCGCTCCAGCATTTTTAGGCCATTTATCATTTTATTCAAATCAGCAGGGTTGACAGGCTCCAAGGCAACTCGAACAATTGGTGGACTGCTCAGAGAAACACCAGCCAAATTTACGGCACCTTCAAGCTGACTGCAAATCGTTCCCGTTTTCATTATATGGCCTTCAAGACCCCCGATTCCAAACACAACACCCGCTGGAACGCTCTCCAAGTTTTCGAGATTTCGTCCCATAAGCAGATATAATGCCGTTATTGTGACTCTCTCCAGTTCGGGGGCAGCATGAGGATATTCCGGAGAAAACTTTGGTGGAAGAACATAGACCGAGTCCCCAACTGACAGTGTCCCAGAATACAAACGAGCAAAGCCGATAAGATGCTCCGGATCTTCTTTCTCCTCCACTGCACCGGTCCCATTGTCTTCAAGACTTGTGGATCCGATCGCACTTGCTATATGAGACAAATCGTCGTCTCCTTGCCCATTTGATTCGGCTTGGAGTTTTGCCAGCTGCTCTCTTTTCCGACGTGCCAGATCTCGTGCTTCTTCTGCTGTCAGAGTACCGCCCCCTCCTCGGCGTGTTTTGGATGGCAGCTCGCTTTCTGGAATAGAAACCATTTTACTAACGTATGCAACTGCTGGGTCGTCCTTCCCGGATCGAAATTTCTCCATCGCATCGCGCACTGCTGGGCTAACAAACGACGAACCGGGAGAGTCATCCAGCATATCTGGAAGCCGAAGAGCTTGAGCTGCTGGAGGGCTTGGGAGATACTCAATAACAGAAACTAGTACGGCTGCTGATAATGGAAGCCATGAAGAGAAAACTGTGGTCAAGATATTTCTCGGATCTCTTGATCTCAGAACGTAAGGAGGTATGGTGATTGAGAGAGACTTTGTGATCTTCTCCAGCAGTGCAGGATCACTAGGAGATGTCAATATCACAATGTAAAGAAATATTCAATCGAGTATATAAACTTACCCTGTTTTGCTTGCTCCACCTGTCGTTGCATTGTAAACCGCCCATATCGTTTCCAAAACCAACTGTACGAACATGGGCTTCAAATTCCTTCCCTTGAGATGTTTCTGGCCGAGTACTCGTTTTGTTTTGGGATCAAGATAATAATCTCCCCACAGAACCTTCTCTAGAGTAGCTCGTTTGATCCCAAGTTTTTTCTCATATAGCCTCGAAAACTGGCGTATGGTAAAGGCCCAGCCGTCCACAGCACTGCAAAAAATAACGTTGTTCTTCTCCGGGGCAAAGTAGAGATCTTCATCATCACCTTCTTCAAATTCTTCCATTTCCTCGACCTGAGGGTCGGTTTCTGTGCGTTTCTTTGACTTATCCTTCTCTTTTGCTGCTGCAGCCTTGACTCGTTCTTCTACTCTTTCTCGCCACAGGAGATCTTCTTCCATACGCTCTCCTTGGTAGAAGCTTCCGATCACTGCGTTAACCTGCTCAAGCAGTCTACTTAAGTGTGAGTAGGCTTCACCAGGACTCATCTTCAACTCCGTAACCAGCCGGTCAACTTTATTAAATACAAGGATTGGCTTGAGCTGCTCAACCCACGTATGGCGCAATACAGTAACAGTCTGGCTGCATACTCCTTCAACGACATCAACCAGTACTAGCGCACCATCGCAAAGCCTGGAAGCAGTAGATACTTCGCTGCTAAAGTCGATATGGCCCGGGGAGTCGATCAAATTGATAAGATACTCCTTCTTTTCCGGCTGCGCTTCAGGCAAAGATCTTCGGAGCATTGAGAAATGAAGAGATATGGCTGATGATTCCATCGTGATGCCTCTAAGCTGTTCATCTGGGCGGGAATCCAGATAGCGGATTTTCCCCGCCAGCTTAGGCGAGATAATGCCATTAGTGGCGATCAAGCTGTCCGTCAAGGACGTCTTGCCGTGATCCTAAATCGAGCAAGAAATGATATCTTAATAAGGGTATCATGAGCAAAGTGACTTCGTTTCACCTACAACATGTGCGAGGATACAGATCTGCCAAACAGTTAGCTTCTCTTTATCTTTTGGTCAGTGGGGGTTGGCGATTAGATTGGAGGGGCGATCGTGCATTTCGAATATCTTCAGCTTGATGCTGAAGGCGAACAAGGTCTTTTAAGTCGACGACCGGCATTTGGACTAGAAGAATCTATAATTATAATAGTATGGAAAATAAATGCTTTTATCGAAGAAATAATCAGAGGCTGGCTTGCAAGTCAAAACTATGGTGTGAAGGAGAGTTTGCTTCGCCAGACAGGAAAAAAAAAAAGGTGCGAAGCAAAATCCGAAGCAGAAAGCAACAACAATCGCCCTAATATATTGCTTATAAATTCGAAATTTTATCGTTTTTGAACGATTTGAGCCCTGGAGATGGTGTGATTTACAAGCTTGAGTCATCTATATAATTGTCAATGAAGTGTGTATTACTCGATTAACTATCAGTTCGCCGGCATTAGTTTATGACTCCTTTGAGATTAATGTCGTCATCCAGCTACTCTACATTGGTTAACCGCAGCTTGAATACACTATATCAATTAATTTTTCTTCCTCTCAGCTATACATCAGTGCCACCTTGAGATCCAGATGATGGCAATGGAAATGGCTCATTATGTGTACAACAGGTTGCGGAGGTGGCCGGACACCACGACATGAATTCAGCTTGTGCATGTCACATCTCTGTGCAAGATAATGGAGCTGAATGCTCTAAATTGTAGAGGCTAATAACAGAAGTTCTATGGTTTTCAAGTGATCTAGAGTATCTCTGGAGAAATTTTTCCTAAGTAATGACCCTAAGGGATTAGGGTGGGTACAGTTTGGCGATGGCTTTGCCCAGGATACGGGACTCTATTCCTAGGTAGGCTGTTGACTTGAGGGAGCATAATTTGACGCAACGTATCTTGTAAATCGATGCCTATGCTTCAGAATTTCAACCGCTCGGCACGTAGGTGGCAAGGGGGTTTGAGCAGGTGTATGGACCGCGAGCAACAATCCAAGACGTCTTAGGACAAGCAATGAACATGACTTTGATAACATACGCAGTTTCCTCTTGTCAAGTACGCCCTTGACCTGGCCACTGAGGGTATTTAACCCCTATGGCCGTCAAATCTTTGAAGCGTCGCAGGTAATAATTAGATAGCAGACACTGCAAAGACCGTTCGCGGCACTTGCGAAGACTAAGTTTCCATCTGCGAAATGGCTTTGAGTACCAGATGGGTTCGGTCGATGGGTTTTTGGGGGGGGTTTGCTTCGAACTTTTGCATAAACCCCGGGATTGGATCCACAGGCAACGCGAGGCAACGCTTCGCGACAGATAGTTGAAGCCAGAGTGTATCCGCCTCAAATATCATGTTTCCGTTTCTTCATCAAATGACAATTTAATTTTCTTTTTCTTTTGCCTCTTTTTCGGCGGATCGGTAACCTTTACTTGGGCATCTTTCTTAGCTGGCTGATCATCATCATCATCATCATCATCTGCAATGACTCTCGCCAATTTTTTCTTCTTTGCACCTCCTATCTCCGCAACCTTCTGGCTAGGAGCCAATTCCGGTGGCTCTGTGGCCTTCTCGTGAGTTTTATCGCTGGTGCTGTTTTGGTTCTGGTCACCATTCTCCGGCCTGCTCGTTGGCTGTTCACTTGTGTTCTCTTCTGCATTCCTTAGCATCGCTTGGTATTCCTCCTTTGAAATCACTTCATTACTCTCTTCATCGACGTAGGTAGGTTCATCGTCCGCATCGGGGTCTTTCGGCTTAATAGGACGCACATTGGACCGCCCGTGGCGTTCACCCGTTCCATCGCCATACTGACTTCGAAGTCTGCGAAGAAAGGCGGGTTCATTCTTGTCTAGAACTTAATTTTAGCCATCGCATATTTATCAGAAACAAAGATGAGCAGCGGACCATATGTAAGATTCTTAGCCTTGAAATTCATTGTCAATCTACAAGGAGGGTGTTGAGGCGCCCGAGATTGAGTATCGAGTGACTGTCGGGCAAAAGCGGCAGCACCGTGGTGAGACAAGGTGCTTTTCTTTTCAAAGGTGACTATATTCGGTTCTACCCAATACTTATACCTTTTGCATCGCAATACTCGTGTCCCCAGCGCCCATTTGAATATTATCGTAAAGAGCGGTGCGAAGTCGACGTCTGCCCAGCCGGCGAGGTGGTCGCGGAGCGGAAAGACCCTAGCTCCGAGCAGCTCAGACAACACTTGAATCTGATCAAACTGCCAAAAGAGCAAAAGAAACCCAATCCCTCAATTGTCAGCCAGCGAACCCGCCCACAATGCTTTGCGCAAGTGAGATCTCTCTTAGTTTTCGTATTTACATTTAAAGCCGAAGATACTGATATTTTACTCCAGTCTCTGGGGAAGCTCCCCAAGTGCCGGTTGTTTCGCGCAAGAGCGGTACGTCAACGGCCTTGCGACAGGAGCTTTATCGGAGCTGACATTTAATAGGGAATGTTTTCGAAAAGCGACTAATTGAGGCGTACATCGCCGAGCATGGCAAAGAGCCAGTTACCGGCGAAGAACTCACTATCGACGATCTCATTGAGCTGAAGTCTGCACGCGTTGTGCGCCCTCGGCCGCCGACACTCACTTCGATTCCTTCGCTGCTCGGGGTGTTCCAGGAGGAATGGGACGCTTTGGCTTTGGAGACATACACTTTAAGGCAGACTTTGGCTCAGACACGACAGGAACTTAGCACCGCTCTTTACCAGCACGATGCCGCAGTGAGAGTGATCGCGAGACTACGGCAAGAGAGAGATGCTGCGCGCGACGCTCTATCGAAAATCTCCGTTGGTGCTGGACGAGCCCCGGCTGGTGGTGACGCAATGCAGGTGGATAGTACCGGCCTGTCTCCTGCCGTGCTTGCACGGATAGAGGAGACACAGGAGAAGTAATTTTTTTACCGCGCGCAGCTTGTGAGGGTTGCTGCTGATTACTCCTTTTACAGGTTATCAAAAACGCGCCGCAAGCGTCCTATTCCCGAAGACTGGGCAACCAGCGAGACAATACAGAAATTTAAGCCCGTTGCTACCTCCGAGTCACTCTATCCTGGGGGTGATTCCTTGTCGCTCAATGAATCTGGGGAGTTGGCCTTGGTTGGAGGTGTAGATGGCGTTGCCGGTATATACTCATTGGTCGATAAGGCCATCGTGGCTTCTTTGAAAGGTGGCGGTGGTGAGATTACCGACACGATGTGGGTTAACGACAAAGCTGTCATCTCAACGTCCACCGGATCAGTCAAAGTTTTCGAGAATGGAGCCGAGGTTGCGAGTTTCAACTCGCACGCGGGTGCGGTCACAGCTTTGGCGAGACACCCAACTGGAGATATTGTAGCTTCTGTTGGTGTTGACAAAAGCTATGTGCTGTATGATCTCTCAACATCCACGGTTGTTGCGCAAATTTTCAGCGACTCTGGTAAGAAGCTTTTTCTACGTCGGTATTGCATTTGCTAACAGTATCAAAGCGCTATCGTGTGTCCAATTTCACCCTGACGGCCATCTAGTTGCCGCCGGCGCTGCTGATGGACAGATAAAGATCTTTGATGTCAAGACTGGATCAAATGCTGCGAGTTTTACCTGCTCTGGGCCCCTCAAAACTTTATTCTTCTCGGAAAACGGAACCTGGTTGGCATCTGTTACCGAAGTATCCTCTAGCGTTTCTATTTGGGATCTCCGTAAATCAGAGGTGGTGAAAGTCTTGGAAATTGGCAACAGGGTGGACTGTCTCAGCTGGGATTACACGGGCCAGTTTTTGCTGACCGGCGGACCAAACGGCTTGACCGTACAACAGTATTCGAAGTCAGCAAAATCATGGACCGAGCCTCTTCGAAGTGCAGTTCCTGCGGTTGCGGTTGGATGGGGAAGATCAGCTCATAATATTGTGGCTCTCAACACAGACGGAGTTCTGACACTGGTTGGATCGGAATGATAATGAGGAGTTCAATTTCCTTGCTTGTACGGAGTATTGCTAAGTAGTATTATGGTGCTTTTTGAAAAGCGGACTTTGTTCAGGTGTTTTTTTTTTTTTAATTGAATACAAGGAATTTTCTTGCTTGGCTGGACCAAAAAATCCCTCTTTGATCTCATGACAAGCACGTCACGCAAAATCCTAAAGGCCATAAATAAATCAAGGTTGTTGGCTGGCGGGATTATTAAACCAGCGCTGGGCCCTGGCGGCTGGTGACATAGCAACTGGTTTAGTTCCCTCCATTCGCTCTGTAACCTTAACTTTCGGGCATGGAGATAAGACTCGGTGCTCGCAGCCGACCCATCTTTCCAAACCATCTCCTCCCATCTCCAAGTTCCTCCGCTTCTTCCACCACCTCCGACCTCCTGTACGGGCCCATCCGTCTTGACATCCGCCACAATGAACAGGACTCCCTCCATCCAGTTTTTAACATCGACACCGTCAAGAAAGGTGAGTTATTTCTTCCCGGCGACTGGTGGCGGCCAGCGGGGTGCTTCCACCCGCTGCACACCCACGGACTACGAGGACTGATGGAATTTTTCTTTGCACATTCTTAGCGTCCCCATGACCAAATATCTGGCTCCAATTCTGAAAGCAGAAGTGAATCTCCCTGGACAGCCCAGGAAGAGGCGTCTAATTCTGCCAACAGCCGTTCATTTGGCGGTGCACGCTCACAGAACCTTCAACTTCCACGAATAAGATATCCCGGGGACGGATACGATTATAGAAGACCTATCATGTCGACCGGAGTGCCTCCACCCCCTCCCTCTTTCCTACAAGCCCAACCGCAGCCAAACGTCATCGACTTGACCCAAGATGACTCTAGCCCTCCCTCTCGCTCACCGCAAATGTCTTGGATTCCGTCCTCGGGAAGTAGACCAACAGGAGCAAGTCGACCACCGCGGTTCGGAAGGAATATCATGGCAGATGTTGTCAATTTGGAACAAGAACCAGGGCAGTCTCCAAGCAACAACCAACAATCCAGCCCTGAAGTACAGTGGTTAGGATCCATTTCTCGGGGAGCTCGCCCTAGAACACAGCCTCAACAAACTACCTCTTCGGAGCATCATCATAGAGGTTTGCCTTTCAGGAGGGGCGGCCTGATGAATTTACTAAGGGCCGATAGACTGGCCCTAAACCGAACCCAAGAATTCGCGGAAGAGATGGCATTGCGCACAAGGGATATTGTCGCCTTCAGTCATGCTATGACGCCTTTCTGGATTGGTGAAGCGCCTAGGCATGGAATAGATCTGACCATTGATCTTGATAATCCGCAGATGGATTTAACTCTCGTTGGGCTTGAATCGTTGAACCCGGACGGTCGCCCGACTTCTCCAGCGTATCAATCGCCTCCTGCGCCCCCGGCGGGTTTTACTAGGACCGCCGGTGAAGATGATGTCGTGATATGTCCTAATTGCGAGCATGAACTTGGGACTGGGGATGATCCTATACAGAAGCAAGTGTGGGTGGCAAGATCATGCGGTCATGTTAGTACTTCCACACACCCCCAACTCTCTCTCTCTTTTTTCCCTTTTCGTATATTGGTTGCTAATTATATATTAATGTAGGTTTACTGCGGGCTATGTACGAAAAACCGTGCTTCATCTCGTGGGAGGAAAGCAGCCGTACCCGCAAAAACAAAACCTTTCTCAAAGTGTGTGGTCACTGACTGTGGAAAATCAGTCAGTCAACCGAGGACAATGCTCCAAATCTATCTCTGATATTTGGACATTGCTTTTACCCCTATTTTTATCCTGGCTCTTAATTTCTCAAGGTGCATTTTTTTGGCGACGGTGTTTTCCGGGCAGTAATTGGAGGGGGCGTGATGGCTATTTTTTATTTTATGATACAGTTTCCATGGTTGAGCCATTTCAAGACAATTGTGCTTAGATGTTCTCGCATTGGCAGTGGATTTTGGCCTGGGATTCATGCTTAAGCTTATAGTGTATTAGGACCATTGGATAAGGCACAAGGGAATGCAATATAGATCGGACAATTGAAGTACAAAGTATTTCAAATGGATGATTCTTTATAATAGATAATATGCCCCTAAATAAATAAACCCATTGGCAATCTTCATTGAAACTGATCCCCAAACTCCTACGCCGTTCACATGTAACCTCCGAGTAGTACTGTCACGCGCATCATATCATCTTGATGTCGCCATGATAAGGGTCCCAAATACCTCTGACGCTCTCGTTTGTGCTGGAAACAGGATTTCTCACCCTCTTCAGTTTCTCTCCGCTGGCTTCTTTTAAGAGAGTAGCTTTCTGGAGGATCTGATCCTTCTCAAGGTTTCGGACGCAGATGGCTTTCTCGCGGCCATTAATATAATGGCCTTTGATGATAGGGTGTTTGTGCGGTCGCGGTGATATCCGGATTTCGATTTGGGGGTTCTCTGCGGCGAATTTGGGGAGAGCATGGCGGAGGAAGGAACTGGAATGAGAGCAAAGTGAAGGTTATCAGCAAGCAATGTTTCTGTGAAAAGTGCAGAGCCGTGGCATCAAAAGCCAATGCAAGACAAAGCTACAATCAATAGCTTACTTCATGCCCTTTGAGCTCCCGGCCCAGTCGCAGTAGTGAAAGTCAAGACGCTTGCATTGTAGGATAAATGCGCCCACGCCGTTCTGCACTTGTGGGTTAGTCGAGTCCGTTTCGAGGGGGATTGGACAAGGGTCAGACATACTCGGCCCGTGGCTAACGCCTTCACTCCCTGAATCGGCATTGTGACACTCTGGTTTCCGCACTGTGGTGTTGTTTCTCGAGCTGCCGTCTGCTGTCTTGCGCTCTGGAATTTTTGGAGGAGCCAGCCAATCGAGATCTGATTGGCTGGTAGCACTGCGTTTGGGCGCGCTAGCGTGACACTGCCGCTTTACCGAATTGGGATTTTCTCGGCTTCACTTGAGGTCGCCAGTGGCACATCAACAACTCTCTGGCCGACCAGCACAGCGAGACGCGCTCCCAGCTCTGACCACTCTTCCTGTGGCTGTTCTGGGATGTGCTTTTGTTTTCTACATCCCTTTCTCCCATTCTTCAATTTGGACTTACTTTATTTAGTGTCTGTTTTGAACCCTAACTTGCTGCCATAATGACAGACAAGCTTCCTGCCAATCTCCTGGCACTGTTCGCACCTCGGCCGCCACTCAAATATTTAAAGCCTATAGATCGCGCGCCAGAAGACGTTCGACAGAGTGATCTCACTGGAGTCGCCCAGTTTGTCGGCGAACTACAGAACTATGCCGAAGAGGTGCCGTACAATGCAACAGAAAGCTGGCTTCAGCGCAAAGCGAGACAGAAGCAAGAGAAGAAAGAAGAACTGGACAAATATCTCACAGAGGGGCTGAAAACTTGTATGACGGCCATCTAACCTTCCGAACCAATGTTTTATCGGCGGAATCATTTATATTGTTCTCCGTCTGCTAAACTCCCTATTCAGATGATCCCAGTTCCGACCCGCAAGTTAGAGGCGACCCCTTCAAGACCCTGTTTGTCTCGCGTCTTAGCTACGACGTGAAAGAAGCAGACTTGGAGAGAGAGTTTGGGCGGTTTGGCCCGATCGAAAGGGTAGGTCTGCATTAAACAACGCAAACTTTCAAGTGACTGACCAAGCCGCCCGCTCTAGATTCGAATCGTCACTGATCCATCAAATACGAATCCAAAAAAGAAACATAGAGGCTATGCATTCATTGTCTACGAGCGTGAATTGGATATGAAGGGTACTGAATCCCTTAGCGGCTTCAATCTTTCCTATATTCCCCCCCTCCCCCAAACAAAGAAAAGAAATCCCTTTTTCCCTTTCCGACAGGTCGTCAGGTCAGGTAATGTAAGAGTCATGACTAACACTATGAAACCCATTCGACTATATAGCGGCATACAAAGAAACAGATGGTATTCGCATAAAGGACCGGCGCGTTTTAGTGGATGTTGAACGAGGTCGCACTGTTAAAGGCTGGAAACCGAGACGATTTGGAGGCGGTCTAGGAGGACGAGGATATACAAAGGCAATGCCTTCGCGACCAATGGGACCTGGCGGATTTGCACCTTCTGGCCCCGGTGGGTTCCAAGGTGGTGGTTTCCGTGGTGGTTTCGGAGGTAGAGGTGGATTCCGAGGTGGATTCAGGGGTGATCGTGGATATGGTGGACGTGGGGGGATTGGGTATCAAGGTGGAAGAAGCGGATTTGGAGGTCCTCCTAACGGAATAAGCGCTGGTCAGCCTCCACCCAACGCTCCCTCGGGCCCTGGCGGCGCTCGTGCTGGTGGTCCCGATGATAGACGTGGGGGATACGATGATAGGTCGTATAGAGGCGGCTCCAGATATGACCGATCTGGCGGCGTCACAGGAAGCAACCGTGAACCGGTAAGACCTAGGGATGCATATGATCGAGATAGAGACAGCCACAGGGACCGCGATAGAGATCGAGATCGAGATAGGCGTGACCGTGACAGGGATCGAGGTCGCGATCGGGACCGAGACAGGGATAGGTATAGCCGCCGTGACGATGATTACTCCAGGAAGAGATACCACGACGGTGACGATTATGATGACCCGCGCAGCAAACGGAGATACTAAGATACTGAGTTCTCAACTTCAACACGGGTTTGTTGGTTTCCTTCATTCGACTTCTACTCTCCCAGGTACCTCTCAGGGTAAGACCAACGATGTTCACGGCTCATCATTCCGTCATGGCCCATGCCGAAAAGCGTTCCGTCATTAACATCCATTGGTGATCCGACTCGCATAATCCGTTTCACTTTTCGGCCCCCCTTTTACCAAATGGATTATCGGCTATCTATTTCTTGGTCGACGACGAAACATCTGTGGCTTTCCAGCTTGCGTTGCTTATGCTTCTCTCTATTTGCCATTCGAATATTTGTTTTCTTATTTTAGTTTGTACGGGGGTAAGTATGTATATTATGATGAGTTGGAAAGAACGGGCGAATAGGTTTCTTTTTTGTCGGAGTCCTAGGTAAGATCAAGGTAAGGCTGTTTGGCATTTCCCAAACATTCTTCGGTTTGATCCCCTGTGATCCCGCGCAAAAAAATCTCGTAGTCATTTTATATCCCAGACTCTTCGCGAAGACTTTTCTGTAAGGTATCTCTTTATGTACTTCGTAGTTTGTAACGCAACACAAGGACCCACTGCAACCTGTCCTGAATATAAATCAATCCCATCCGAACAAAGGGCGCCGGGAACTCCTTAAACCAAAACTCCAATCGAGATGCGACGAACCGAGACAATATCCCCGCTGATCACCCTGATTTTTGCTTTTTAATGGTCAACTTCCATACCTTCATCCTTCTGCAAGACCTCCACTTCTCCCGTCTCCTTAGTCCAATGGGCTCTCATCTCAACTCTAAACTCCGCAACCGCGACTCCAAACATCTTCAGCAACGTCGTCTGCCGCGAATCGAGCGTCTCTCCAGCCTTGCACACTTGGTACCCGCCTTCCATATCTAACGTCACTTTACCCCTCACCAACCTTGTGGGCACCCCTAATTTTCTCAAAGTGGGCTCGATTGTATGACTTATCGGCTGGTCGTGCTCTTCGGGGATCTCGCCTGCATGGGCGTATACGATTCCCGAAGGGATTGTAAATGCACGTGGCGATACATTACCAGCACGAGCAAAGTCCATAGGGTGAAATGACGAGAAGTAGTCGAGGACGGATTTGGGAGAGCGGGAGGTGAAGAGGAGACCGACAGCCCCGTTGAGGTAGGGAGAGAGTTTGTCGAGGTTTGGAGCGAAGGCAGTCTCTGGGTTAGTACCGAGAGCGACGGCCATTACTTTGGTTTTACCAAAAAAGAGTCTGCGGGAAGCTGGTTAGCATCTCACTTTACTATGCGGTTTGCACCCCAAGATGATGGAGGATGAATGATGACGTACCGTCCGTCTTCCGAAAACTCGGTTCGCACATCCTTTAAGTATGTATTTCGCATATTATCCACCGAGAAAACAAAGAGGTGGTCATAATTAGATACGGCTTCCTGGACGTTGGCGTAGAGTCGGCGGGTTTGCTCTTTGTGGGATTTCTTGGTGACCTTGGACTCGTGGACAATCTTTGCCCGCTTGGAAACAGGCATGATGGGCAACCGCTCTCCTTTCGCTAACCAATCCTCGAGAACAGACTTATGCCAGGTATTGTCTCGAGAAAGAGTACAGGCAAGGAGGAAACCGGGTCAGCGAGCTGTTTGGTCTGACGAACTCAATTTTTTGGGATTTTTTGATTTTCGATAAGGTTACGATTGCGCTAGTCCCGACGCGGAAATATGATATGATTAGATAAGCCTAAGTCCGATCAGATAAGATAATATGACCGCAGCTCGTCGCTGACACGACCGGCGTGCAGCATCTCGGCAACGGACGAAGACCAATTTTCTCTAAGAAACCGATAAGAATACCTGAACAATTAATGGAGCATCAAACCAGAAGATAACCTTGAATCTGTCTCACAATGATAGATTTTATGGACTATATCCAGCTCGCCTTCTCCGATGCCACACACTGGAATAGAGATAATTCCTACACTGCGCTCACCGATACCGCCAATGGTAACATTTTATCCCTGGCGTACCATTTTATTGATAGTAGTTGCAGAGACTAACGCCTTCCATCAACATGGCCAGCTCTCCTCGATTTTTCCATACCAGAACGGCTCCGCGTTCACCTCTCATCTCTATCCACCCCCCAATTCGCGACCACGTATACACTTGGCACAGTAGGCCTTATCGATGGCTCCATATCGTACTTATTTAGCACCCTGCCGCTGGAGAGCACGCCCAGCAGGAGCACCCTGATCCCGTTGCGGAGATTAGTACCAGGATATAGGCAGATTCATCCTCCATTGGCGCCGGAGAGCCGGGATGAGTCTCGACATGCAGAGCCCAATGAAAGGAGTGAAAAGGCGTTACAAAGCTGGCGAAAGGAGACGATGCTTCACGCCACATTGCATTTGCCCCCTCCAACGACCTTGAACGGCTTATTCCTCCGTCGAATCTCACCCACAACACAGCTCTCGTTGGCAGTATGCTCAACGCAGGCAACGCCGCTGTCTAAATCCACCCCTCAAGCATCAATATTAACGCAGCTGTCCCACGACACCGGAAAGTATAGTGCAGAATTTCTGTTCAGCACCGACAATGCACTGTTAGGATTCAAAGGGCTGTGGAACTTCGGGCCCGACCCCAGACATGCGGCGACCGCACAGCGTCCAAGGACTGCATCTCAATCGGTTTCATTACTTTCCGCAGGCGGAGAGATGTATTATTCTCCTCTTTCTTCCGTCGTAGGCCTGTCAACAGGCTTACGCTTTACTACCTTGCCAGCAGCATCGGAGTCTATACATTCCTTGTCATCTACGCATCCAGCGCAATCACCCATTTCCACCTTTCCATACACGCTTACCCTCACATTGACACCGTTAACTGGCTCCTTGTCGACGACGTATTCTCTCCTCGCGTCGCCGAATTTGGCATTTAGCTCACGATTCGGATTTAACGTGTATAGCTGGGAAAGCGAGATGGTTGCTGGATGCGAGTTGTGGAGACGAAAGAAGAAGCGACATGCAAGCACGTTAAGCGACAAAGATGATCTCTCCTGGGCGAAGAGGAAGATGGGACTGTTACCTCCACTTCCTCCGTCACCGGTGAAAGGGACAAGTGCAAGTGCTGTTACTCCAGCAGGAGAACAGAAGGAATCCGATTCGGTGATAAAGCTCCGCGTCGATCAATCCCTGAACGTCCGACTGCTTTGGGAGGGTAGGGTTAAGGATCTCCTAGTCAGCGCTGGTGTAGGGCTGGGGCCATCGTTGCCTTCGATTGGCGGAACCACATATGGGTGGACTGGAGTTGGTGTGTCCGTGTTATATTCAACATGAACGACATCTAGACAATGACTGACAAAACAAATGAAAACATAAAATGTATATGGATTCTTTTCTATCAGAGATAATCCAAGTAATCAGGTATGTTACAGGAATATTTTATGTTCCGATGGTTGGTTTGCTCCAAAGTCATGAGTTTGTCACCTTTGTTTTCTCATTTAGAGACGAGCATTGACAATGTCAACGACTGCGTGGGAGTGTCAGTAGCTATTTAACCTTATGGGGGAAGCAGTAACACTCACATGCTGGCTTCAAACTAGCTCCACCGACCAGGAATCCATCAACATCCGCTTGTTTAGCAAGTTCCTTGCAATTCTTCTCATTGACACTGCCGCCATAGATGATACGGAGGTTCTCAGCAACACTGGGCGAAACGCTCTCCGCGATGTACTTGCGGACTGCAGCATGGACCTCTTGGGCCTGCTCGGTTGTGGCAACCTTGCCGGTTCCAATGGCCCTGCAATCAAAACAGAGCTTCAATTAGCGGCTGAAGACCAAAAGGAATGGCAAGTGTTCCAAACGTACCAGACGGGCTCGTATGCAACAACCAACTTAGACCAGTCCTGGGCGCTGAGTCTGGAAGCAACTGCGCCTAGTTGTCTGGTCACAACATCGACAGTCTTGTCCGCCTCACGCTCCTGTTATTCCTTGCGCGTCAGAAATTCCACTTCCGTCCGAATCATCTGCATGTGGAAAAGTCCGCACCTCAAGAGTCTCTCCGACGCAGAGAATAACGCTCAATCCGCCATCAATAGCAGACTTGGTCTTGCGTGCAGCAAACTGCCATCATCGATCAGCGGTCAGCGCACAGAAATAATCTTGTGAATAGAGAAAAAGTAAAGTGGGCAAGCGGTCTTTACGTCGTCATCTTCCTTCAAGATAACTCTCCGCTCACTGTGTCCAACCAATGTCCAGGAAATACCGCAGTCCTGCAATTGTTCCACGCTCAATTCACCAGTGTACGCTCCCATGGGCTTATCGAAGACATTCTGAGAGGCAACGCCGATCTTGGGATCGGCAAGGCTACGGGAGAGGATGAGGTAGAGGGAAGGGGGGGAGATGACGACTTCGGTGTTGGGATCGAGATTGGCGCTGTTAAGATTGGTGATGATATCGGTGATGGACTTTTGAGTCCCATTCCTATGTGAATAGAAAAGAAAATCGTTTCAGTCGCGGTAAACAAGTTTTGGCTGCCATTGTTTGGCTAAAGTGGGATGCGGCTTCATATCTAGACTTACATCTTGAAGTTACCGCCAACGAAGAATTTGCGAGCCATGGTTGCTGGATTGGATCTAGCGGATAGAATTGAGGATGGAGATGAGTAGAGGTAAGCGATTCGGGAGGTTCAAACAGTGTAGGGGAATGCGCTGGAGAAGAATACAGAATACAATCGTGAATTCATGGGCGGGGGAGGGGCACAAAGTGCGGCAGAATTCGGGTTGCATGTCGTCTGCCAAGAAATTACCACAACGTCGTCCTGATCGAGACAGGATGCCATCCGTTCACATCCTCTTGCTAGAACCCTGGATGTCATTTTGTTCAAATCCCACATCTCGGCCTTTGGTCAGAACCGATGTTGGAACTGAAGAATCTGAATTAGCAAGACTTGAATGGGAACCCAAATGCAGACTCCCCTTTGCTCCATAACTACACGTGAAGTACATATTTATTTCTGCCGTTCCTCAATTTGACCGAGTCCTCATATTTCGCATCCTGCAGCCGGGGGCCCGGTGAGGATGAGTATCTTGTTCTGCTAGCTGTGTGTACAGAGTAGAGAGGTTCCATATCGCCCAAATCGCCTCAAGTTCATTTCAGGGTCTTCCACCCCCTTCAGCGTTCAATGATTATGCCACCGTGGATTGCAGCCCAATGTGTTGGATTGTTCTTTTACCTGCTTCTTTTTGGCAAAAGGTTTTCTTGCTCATCTTGGTGCTCATAGAGCGAAACCTACAGCAGTTCGCTTAAGACTAACTAAATGCCTCAAAACTTGTCTAGGACTCAAATGTTGTCAAGAACTTCATACGCCGTTAGAGGTTTATTTCGCTCTTTAGTAGGGAACTGTTGACCCTGATAAATTCTAAGCTAAGTGGCACATTTGGATTATTAAACCCCCTCTTAACTTCATAACTATTCAACATAGTTATTAGCTAAATGCCAAATGACTGCTGGATCAATCTAAGGTTGACTAGAAACAAAATCCAAGACAGCAGACCAGGGACACTGCGCATAACGATACAGTTCTCCGAAGATGTATTCATATAATATTTGGTATACAAAGGAAGAAAAGGCAGAGGGACGGTCAACCAAAAATGGAAGGGCTCGAGGCTCGAATCAAGTGAATGCATGTGTAATTTACTACACCATATCACACTTGTTCATGAAAACCTTTCCCGGAACGAAAGTTTTAGCCGAAAGAAGATGAATAGCAAACAGAAAGGGTAGTTAAGTACCACTTAAGAAAGAGTGCAGGATGGGCGTCTGTTCAAGGTCAATGCCACTGAACAAATCAGGCTCCTGGTTTGCTTCGAAAAGTAACACGGCTTCCTTCTCGGATATCAGCCGCGATAGAACACACAAACGAAATGAAGGTCATGCCACATCCAATCCAGTTTGGAAGGCTGCTCATGATGATACAAAAAGTTCCGGAAGGAAAGCAAAAAAAAAAAAGAAAAGAAAAGAAAAGAAAAGAAAAGAAAAAAAAAAAAAAAAAAACAAAAAAGAAAAAGAAAAAGAAAAAGAAAAAGATTTTAAAACCGAACACCGTACAAGGTCATCCTTACAATGGGTATCCCTGTATCCCAGCTTTCCTATTTTACCGTTCCTTGCCCAAATAATATCACAAACACTGAATAGCAGATAAAAACAAAACAATAGTACACTTAACGAAACAGGGGGCGTTCTGCCCCATGGTACATCGAGCCGCGTCGGCGAGGAGCCTCGAACTTGGAACGACGACCGCGATCCTGATCGTCGTAGGAATCAACGACGGATGATCGACGCTCAGCACGCCCGGCTCGCTCCATTCTCATCTCACGACGCTTCACGTCCCATTCACGGCGTTTCAGGTCGTCCTCTTTCAGCTGCAGACGTTTTCTCCAGATGTAGTCGATTTCTTTTTGACGCTCCATCTCCTCACGCTCCCATTCTCTCTGGATCAGAATGTCATTGGTCAAGCTTGTATATCGAAACGGAGATTTGTCTCGAGATGAAATAGAGGTCTGTGCAGACCGTCCTCCATGGATTAACTTCAACGATGGGCGAGAACTATAGGAAACCGATGCCGAACGGATAAGCGGCCCGCGGTGCATGCCTGTAGCTGGAATAATATCAACCTCTCCACGGCTATATTGACTATCTCGGCTTCGCGGGCTAGCGGGGTATTTAGACCCGGGACGGCGGTGTCTGCGGTAACCAGAGGTGGGCTCGTTACTTTCCCTAGACGCATGTTGTGATCCTCCAGTTCTATAATTCTTGCTTTCGAAGTCGTCAGCGATGAACGAATCATCAGTTTCCGACGAATCGTCAACGTGTTCGAAGAGCTCAGACTCATTATCCCCGTTGCTGCTATCCTCAAGCCACTGATCGACGGCATATATGTTTTTGGGTGTGATTTTTTTGCCCACATGCACTATCTCAGGCACCTCATGCATTTGCTTCACTTGAACTGGCGTCTCTTGTTTAAGTGGCCGAGGCAAGGACTGGTGATTAGGTACTGAATGAATTGGCGGGACTGGGGGAATATGTGGATGGGATTGAGGTGGTGGTCCATTCACGACTTGAACACCGGGCGGGATATTTCCTTGTCTCGTTGGATGCATCGGTGGAAAAGCACCTTTGGGGACAGATAATCTCTCGAAGTGTTGTGGAGGCGGATGATGTGATGGTGGCAGTGGTGGTGGCGGCGGTGGTGGTTGCAGGTTGGGTTGGGGCTGGGGTTGTGCTTGGGGATGAACTTGCTGCGGTTGCGGAAAGGGTGGTAGGGGTTGTTGTTGAAGTGGCTGTGGGCGAGGGTCGGCTTGCGCTCCCTGTCCTGGACCCGTACCAGCGTATGATGGCAATGTGGGTGGGTGAGTGGCCTGAGGCCGAGCGCTTCCAGCACCTCCCGAGATAGGATGTGGCTGTGAGGCATCATAATGAAACGAGACTCTTGGACGAGGTTGGCCTCGTACGTTTCCCTTAACGTTGGATGCTGGGTCATTCTTAAAGCGAGGTGATTTCTTCTGCGAATTCCGAGGTGACAATGAAACGCCGGGCTTTAGCGTCTTTTCCAAAACCAAATTGATAGTTGTAGTAACTAACATCGCGGTGAACCCTCGGCGGCCGGTTTCCTTATTGATGGCTTGGATATAAATAACGTTCCAGTTAAACCGACCGTCTTTCCTTCTTAACTCCTCTATCAGGTCGTCGATTTGCTTGCGCTTCAACCGGCCAAGGCTGCTGTAGGTTTTTGCAACGGAGCCTTTCTTTTGCCCTTTAACGAGTTTACGAAGATCTTCCTGGGTTAAATTCATTCGTGACTTCGTAACGCGAGACCAATCCGGCTCCTGGCCAAGTACGGTAGGCTTCGCGCGATACAAAGACCACCCTTGGTATGGCTCTCTTCCCTCGTCTTCGTCTTCGTCTTCGTCCTCGTCATAGCTATCTTCCTCGTCGGTAAAAGAGTTGTCTTTCTGGAGAAATAGGTTCCGGTCTAACTTTTCCTGGGCTGCACCGCGAACGAGTACAGGATCAAGATTGAGCTTTTTGAACTGAGCATTGACTTCATCCAGCGGGATGGACTGGTTGGCATTGGGTAGCCCATTGTCATGAGCTCGTGCCATCTCCCTTTTCAGGAGCTCTGGGTGGTGTGCATGAGGGACTTGTGGCGGTGGCATCGGCGGCCGAAAATTGGAATTCTCGTTCGACATGGCAGCCACAGATTAGAGCTGGCCTGATAAAGTGGCTGCTTCTAATAACGACGGTTAATGACTGTGATGAACAATAGAACGAGATATGATTGAATCAAACGACATGTTGTGTAGAGAGCGAGGAGGAAAGAGCTTGACATATATACCTAGTGCGCTAGAGACTTTCACAGTTGGGAGGGTCTACGATTTGTCAAATTGACACACACTCAAGATTGCGTTTATAGAAAACGCCTTTCCCGTAATCGGCAATCGTAACAAGGCAAAGCAGACAATAAAGGGCTGTGAAACGCGGATTTCGAGCCTTGGAATAGGGGAGCCTTCTTCCCACACACCATCTAAATAAAAAAAGTAAAAATAAAAAATTGGAGAGCGAAAACCTCCATGGAGGTAAGGATGAAAAAAAAAAAAATAATCGAGCCAAAGTTTGGGATCTAGTTTGTCAGGAGACCGAAAACTCAATTCTTTACTCTCCCTTCCCTTGAGTCAGAGTACTTGCTGCAGATTGTTCCCCGGTATTCGGAAGCCTGATGCAACAATAGAACTGCTGCCTTGTGCCGTAGTCCCAACTCAAATGCAGGACAAGGGCAAGGTCTAATGATTGATTGGCTCAGAGGGGGTGTTGACAAGAGGGGATTGTCGAATCGGTGATATTGGGGGCATGGGCCGGCGCCCTGTTAGAGTGAGCAGCTGAAACGGCCCTTCGCGGTGGAGCTGGGCCATCACGAGTTTGCTTGATAAGCCACTCAACTGCTTTATACTGAGGTTGAGCCTGGATGATTCTGATGAAAAGAAGACGGGAGATGGTCACGCCACTACCATCATCGACTACCAAAGGCCCCAGAGGAGGCTAAACAACGTCCAGCTCCTCGGCCATACCCTTTCGCCTTCACATAGTCATCATCGTGCGAAGGCAGCTCATAATGGTTCGGGAGGACAAATTCCCAACGTTTCACCGCAAGTAGTCGTGTTGGATATCAACCCACCAGAAAAGCACTGGACGGGTTGCCCCCCTCCAAGGTGGGATTTTGACCAGGGATGCCCCTCACCGTTTTCCGCTTTGTGCGGACCACATGATTGCCAAGGGCACACTCCAACCATTTTCCAAGGTAGTTGGTACGAAGCTGTGGCTCAAACTAGCAGGGTCGCTGAAAGGCTGTGGCTGGATGGCTGCAAGATGTCGTCAGGCTGACTCCATGATGGTCTGCAGGACCAGGTCTTCTCGTACTGATAGGCTGAATCGCGATGGCCGCGACGTTGGCGGGCAGAGGAGTTGGTTGGCTGGTTGGCTGCCAGGCTGCTTTGGTGGGGGGGTCGGCGCTAAACCCGATCTGGCTTAGTTGGCCCGTAGGCCTCCCGCCGTAACACTCCACAAGCGACTTGAAGGGTTGTCAGTGGTCAAGGGCGATATTACCGAAGACGGATAACGTCAGGAGGCAACTAGATGAATTTCTCCTTCAATCCAATCATGGCGAGTAAAAGAAACGTAGATGAAATCCGGGCATACGTCCAGAAACTTTTTCAGCCCCAAAAGACGTCCTGTCACTGGCAAATGGCTCTCAGAATACACCTAAAAACGGAATGATGCCAAATTTCAAGAAATACAGTACCTGCTAAATCACCAGCTTCCTTTTTTCATATTGTTTGGGTAGATCGCCTTTCTCAAGATCAGGAGACAGGACTGTGTGTACGAAGTATAGTACTCCGTACAGTGCTCTATATTCTGTACGTAGGGCATACGTGTTCTGGAATACGCGCTTCGAAAGCAGTAGTCATGGAAGTGCCATTTCAGCCTTGTGGTTGGATGTAGTCATGTGTGCATGTACGTACTCCAGTGCGCATGCTTAATACAATATCATTGTCTTTCTGTCCTCAAGTCTTGTGATTGGTGCGACCCGGTCCTCGTACTGTACCATGCAAGACGCACACAATGTAGGAAGCTTGGAGGGCGAAATAGCGGACAAGCGTGGTCATAGATCATGACTTTCTCGCGGATTCTTTGTCCGTGACGCCCTGCATCTTCCAGTTTTCCCCGTGCAAAGCGGTTACCTTCCGTATCAGCCTCGACCTTACCCAGCAACACGAAGGACTCGGCATTCCTCTTCCTGTTAAAACAGCAAATTGAACAAAGTCAAATGAAAGGTTCTCCGAGAATTGGTGTAGCACTGATATGCACTCAATCAAGCCTCACTTTCAAACTATGTCTGCTGAGCAAGACGCGTTCGGCTCCTTTTGAGCTTTTACACGGGAGGCATTGCGCCTCGCGGTCGACTGCTGACTGGATGACATAAGATATACCCTGATGCTGGACTCGGAACGCTTCAGCCTCTAGCGGCAAGTTTCCAAGTGTAGCGCCAAATATTGGACGTGGATTTTATGGAAACGGAGAATTGCTCCTGTTCAGCCGCAACCCGATCGATGCGGTGCGGGTTAAAGGTTATTTCGGAGCCGCAATGCTCTGAGCAATGACAAGATAATAAATATGCGGAGTGCTCCTTTCAAATCAAAGAGCCGGAACAACAAAACATGGCGTTAACCACTCCGCCACAGTTGGCCTCCAATCATTCCTGTCCTTGTTCATTCGTAAGTCCTCATAATGCAAAAGGCGGCCAGTGACCAAGTATCCTGTAGCTCTGTACCAATGTACCAATGTAAAATAGTAAAAAGGCGGTGAGGCCCCGTTGCAGCTTCATTATGGCAGCCTTTTAAAGAGTGACGGACCAAATCGAGATTCAAGTCTGGGTTTCCTTGAAAAAGGCCACTGGAGAGATTTGCATAGCCCACAGGTCATGTTTGACCTCTGGAAGAGGGCGAATTGGCTATGGCAAAGAGAGCAAGAGGTACATACCATGTGGGTATGTCCATTCAACCAGTTTAGCTTATCACGCTTTTTCCTGCTGCCAATCACCTTGAACTCACCTTTGATGCCTTAATGATGAAGACAAACAAACCTATGGGGCAAGCTTGAACAAAGTGGCGTTGGCATGCTGCTCCAAATTCCGTGTGGCCGGTTTTAGTTAGCACGCCAAGCTCCACATTGTGAGTTCCGATCATCCTGCGCTCAACATCTCGCATCTTCAAAAAACAGTTTCACCTCTTTTCTCCGCTCGGGCTTTGGCTAGTTGACTAATATGTCAGCTGAACCAGCAATGAATTTTCAGTTGAAAGTTTCCTAGTTGTTCCCTTCATAGATTTTTCAGTTGCCTGTCGTCTTTTTCTGTGGCTCTCCCAATCATGCCGCTCGCAATAATAGCAGGGTTCAATGTTCACGCAAGCCAAAATGGCGCTCAGATATATATACTTTGATCCATTGACTCTGAAGTCCTCGTGCTCGAACTTCCAGCCAAACGCTGGCTTCTTCAAAGGAGGGTGGCTGAAAATGGACAATGGACAGATTAGCGAGGGCTTAACGCCAGCAACCGAGAGGGCATACTAATAAGCGAGGAATTCTTTCATTTGGCCAATTAAGCAAGTCAGTTGCGAAAGCATAACCCGTTTGGCTGATTCATTTCCTTGATAATAGCGGTATTGATCTGTCGCAAAAGCTTTTTGAGAAGGCATTTTAAGCTTCTCCTTACGAGCGGTCTTCCCCCGCATTTCCTCAAATTTCTCCGCATTTTGTCAGAGCAGTAGGCTGCAATATGGGTCGGCTACTATTAAATCTGCCAGCGAAGATAAAGCTACTAATTAGCTTCGCTGGAGCTTTGAAACGCGGCGTCCACTTTTAGATGCTGGTACCTTAACTTTATAAAACTTGTCTAACCAATGCCGAGAGTACCTCGGACAAGCAACGACTCTCCCCTCAACCAACCGGCTAAGAGGGCCTCAATTGCAAATTGTCCTTGTTCAGCGTTGTGAGACTGGAGACTCCTGTAGCTACTCCACAGTCATGATCCGGCTCAGCACTTGCTTCTTTCTCGAGATCGGCTGCTTGACCCATTATCCTGGATTCCTCCGCTCTGATCTCCAAGCTATATAGACCTGCATGTCCCAATCTGTCGGGACCATGTGTAGTTATATATAGGCTTTTGAATACCAGTTACTCTTCACTCCCCTTTATCCTGTTTTCGATTTCCCCCAGACGACGTGATTGATGCCGTTGAACTTCAGGTTCAATCGCAAAAATGGGTAAACTCGTCCCCAACGCCTTCAACCTTGCGGTTGTCATATTCGTGGCCCTGGGCTCGACAGCCTGCAGCTATGGCATGGCCATCATTAGCTCGACCATCGGCCAACCAAGCTTTTATCACGACTTCAACCTTGCCAAGCAGGGGGAACCTGGTTATGGTAGGACATCGAGCCTTATTGGGGCCATGAACGGTCTGAACTCTGCTGGATCTGCTTTCGGTTGTGCCTTTCTCTCCTGGTCTGCAGATCGGTATGGGAGATTGCGCTCCCTACAAATAGGTTCTCTGATCCTCGTCATTGGTGCTGCCCTATGCGCTGGCTCTGTGAACATGGCGATGTTTTTGGTCGCACGATTCATTGCTGGATTCGGTATTGGTATCTTGGTCACTGGCATTCCGATGTAGGTGACTCTCGGCCTTTGTTTGATATTGTACAAGGCGGTATTGACCCCATGTTTTCTTGGTTGACTAGGTATCAAGCTGAAGCGTCTGCTCCGAGTTCCCGCGGATTCATGGTATCTATGCACGGTATCATGTTTGCAGTTGGATATTCACTGGCATCCTGGATCGGCTTCGGGTGCTATTTCATGTCGGCTGCTGGAAATATGTCTTCTTTCGCTTGGCGATTTCCTCTTGCCTTCCAGGCAGCTCCAGCAATTCTCTTGATCATTGGTTCTCCGTGGCTTCCATACTCGCCACGTTGGCTCCTCGAAAAAGGCCGCTCGGAAGAGGCTCGCGAGGTCTTGATTCGCCTGCATCGCACAGCGGATGATCCACAAAACATTGAGGCCGAAAAGGAATTTTTCCAAATGAAGAAGCAGCTCGAGCTTGATCGTGAGATTAAACAGAACACGGGTAAATGGGATATTCTCAAGACTGGTCCTAACCGCCGTCGGGCGCTTGTTGGATTTGCGCTCATGTTTGGAAACCAGTTCACCGTACGTCTTGGGAGTAAATTTTACTGTGCACGTCATTCTACGCATACTAATAACTCATTCATTTAGGGTGTGCTCATTATTGCCAACTATGGGGTCCTCCTTTACGCCTCACTCGGTATGAAGACTTTCATGCCTCTTCTTCTCTCCGCTCTCTGGGTCACAGCCTCCTTCCCTGGCAACGTCTTCACTGCCTTCTTTGTCGACCGCCTTGGGCGCCGCTTTTTCCTCCTCACAGGGCTTGGAGGCATTCTTTTCACCCTTATCATGGAATGCTGGACCCAAGCTGTCTACCTCGGAACCGACAACGCAGCAGGTCAAAAAGCAGCGGTATTTTTCCTCTTCCTATTCATCTTCTTCTGGTCTACATTTATCGATGCCACGCAATTCCTGTATCTCGCCGAAATATTTCCCACCCAAACACGCAGTCAAGGGATGGCGTTGGGCATGGCTGGAATGTTCGCTGCTACGATTATCTTGCTCATCTCTGGCCCAATTGCCCTAGATCAGATCACGTGGAAATTCTTCTTTGTGCTTATAATTCCTACGGCGCTACATCTGGCTGGCGTGTACTTCTTCTACCCAGAGACTAAGCAGAGAAGCTTGGAGGATATCAACGCCGCTTTTGGAGAGAAGGTCGCTGTACGCCTCTATGGTGCTACGGAGGAAGAGGAAGAGATGTATGCTAAAGCTCTTGAGGCGCGGGAGCCTGGCGCTAGTGGTGATATGGGAACCATTCCGTCGTCAGAGGACGAGAAGTCCGCTGATCATGTCGAGGCCGCCTCGAAGGTCTAAAAAGTACAGAGCTAGAGGGTGTTTTCTGGGCCTTAAGCATACCGCTGTTTGTTGGTAAAGTTCAAGCTCATTATACAGGTTGCGTAGAGTCGATACTTATGCTCTATCCTACATGAACACCTATGACTAGATTTCAAGCCTTACAGTGTAGCAGATGGCGCTATTTCCTTGCTCTTCAATATTCCCCGTGAAGAGGGCCAAGAATTGTGGCTCTTGGCGTTTTATGCTAAGACCGAAGGATCGGCCCGAGCCTAAACCCAAAGACGACGACGTGATCCTAATGTCACTTCGTCCTCAAAGACAGCATTTAAATCTTACACTTCAAAGCACTTACAGAAAGCCGAATTTATTTAAAGAAAGCTTTGTTTCTTGAGATTACAAACAGTCACTAACTATCCCTAGAAACTCCGAAGCTCCACCCTTAAAGATCCCTCAATTTTTCTTCCGAAAAAGGCCAAAGAAACCTTGGCTGCTCTGTTTTGCCTGGCGCTGAAAGGTCTCCCACAAAGTTTCCTCCCTCCAGCGGCCCCAAGGATCCATGCACTTACGATCGAATCTGTGAATGAGTTTTTCAAACCAATCGTCCCCATACTGAAGGCGGCACATCCTCCTTAGTTCGGCTGCGATGTTAAGGCTGATGTCTTCCCAGATTCCGCCATCCTTAAGCTTGGAGAGCGGGACGACATCAAAGGAGTGCCCGGCCCACGGGCCCTTGTTGACAGGGTAGTTGACCCAAGTGTCTCCATGGTCGGACCAGCAGGTCTTGGAGATGATTACTTCACCGAACCCAAGAATCTTAATGAGGGGCCCTTGAATGTACTCTGGCTTAAGGGCGATTGCTTCGGCACGAACGAACTGACGCGTCGTCAGATTGCGAAGAATCCATTTTTCGTTTAGTGGATAGAACATCTCCGGCGTTGGTCTGACGATACGGAACATATCTTTCGGGCGATGCGGTCCAGTTGTTTCGGAGACTTCAATCATGGTTTGAACTGCGTCATCGACTAAAGGAAGCATTCGATACCTTTTGATGGCGAGCCTGAAGAGATTTGTCTTGTAGTATCTGTTTACGATCTCCTCATGTCCGGGGATGTGAAACATCTGGCCAGAGAAACCGGGCTCTCCGACACGCAGGCCCTTTTTCAATTCTTCCTCAGCTGAGCTGCTGAGAACACCTGTTGGATAAGAGTTTTCTCCCTTGGGGTGATCACAGCCTGGACAAATGAGCGGAACGCCAGCCCAAATGCCGAGGACTTTCTTGAATCGACTTTTAATGAAATATTTGGCAACCGGCCATAACTCTTGGCAGGTCAGACCAAAATTGAAGATGCTTTGTACGTCCAGGGTTTCGAAGATGCAGCCATAGATTTCGTGTGGGATTTCGAGGATAGGAGAGCGTGGTTGGTATTCGATGGCCTCGGGCTCAACACCAAGTCCGGACGCATCTTGTGCAAGCTGATATTTGATGTCAGTTGCTTTTCTGATATTTCAGAAGATTTGGGGGTGTGCTTGGATACCCACATTCATTGTTTCCGGTTCATCTTCTTCCCAAATAAACGGCTTTGCAAGGAGGAAAACGAGGCTAGATGCGTCGCCATAGAAGAGGACGGTGCTGATCTTGCCTTCCCAGTCGAATCGCTCGCGACGACGCGGAGCAGTAATGCAGAAGACTTCAGGGATTCCGTCACGCATGTCGACGGCATCCATATTTGCCAAAGTCGAGGGAAAATAAATAAGATGATGTGGATATCAGAATTTGTGGGAGTTAAGCAGCCAAAACAACAAATCATGCAAAATGAGGAGATAAATTGACCACAGAACAATAGAAAGTGAGAGATTCGACGAAAACACAATGCTCAACAAAAAGTCAAATTTACTCTGTTATCTAGTAAAAGGAATGGACCACGCAATGAGATGGTACTCTGATGAACTCTGTCCTTCACTGAGGTCCCCAAGCAAATGGTCCGCACAACAACAGCAAAGGGAGATGATGATAGCAATGAGAAAATAAGGTGAAGGAAGATGTCAAGTGAGAGAAGCTGGACGGTCTAAAAGGGGAAATGCTGCGCCGAGAGCTCATGAACGCTCCAAACTCCAGCACATGATCTATTCACTTTCTCGGCGTCTACATCGCACGATATGGACTAGGAATTAGGTGAATAGAAAAAGGCAAAGGGTGTGCTGCATGGACGCAGCATATCGGAGTGGAGAGCTCAGATATTGTGCTCCATTGAGCATTGTTTTCATGATTGAACAATAGAGCATTTTGGTGGAAGAACCCTGGGATTTCTTCACTGCACCACAGATAAAATTGCTCTTCTATGGAATAAGCTCTATATACTTATTCATGGCAATTATGAAATGGAACATTTCAATCCTCCAAGTCTATTATTTCAGTCCATGATTTTTAATTATGCCCTCCAAGCTTCCCCGGGAGTTCTTATAGCCTGGAACGAACTCAGTCCAAGCAAATATGAACATATTGTTCACAGCACATCCAGTGTATGACTCATTTATCCCTGGAAAGCAGATGTGCATCTCATTCATGAAATCAACATGGGCAGCCCTCTTGACCAAGTCTCAGGGGACATCAGTAAGTTGTCTGTGTTTCTCGACCTTGGGCGCCCTGATTTCAAAAAGGGGTTAGTCACATAACAAGTCCACTTCACTTCTATGTCTTTGGGCAGCTGTTAAATTGTGTACCTACTAAGGTTTATGAGTGATATGCACTTGTACAAATTTCAATCCAGATCGCAAACTGGCTACCCTACAGAATATTCTGGATTCTTGTGCCAAGGAAGATCTCTCCAGGACGGAAGTCACAGCACAAGTTGCTTCAAGCCTATTTAGTATTTTGCAATATACTATATCTCATTTCTTAGAAGCTGGTCAGAGTCAGAATCTCAATGGCCTAGGGTTTGAGAGTCGAGTCGGTGGGACTTCTAGTGCTTGCATAGCTCGGGAAATAGGGAGGCGTGAAAACGCCGTTTCAATCCGCGTTTGGAGATTATATCGAGGTTGAACTGAAAGGAAGCGATACATTCCTACCGAGGCAATCTTACCTTGAGGTTGCCCTCGTTTGCCTCGACTCGATTCAATTTACGTGGCTGATGAGTCGACGCTGCGGAAGCTGTTGTGAAGCGCCCTGAAAAAGAATTTCTCTACACGAACCATCCAGGAGAACATCAGAGTTACTCTGTGGAAGAGCTTGTTAGCGGAAAACTCCCCAGACTGACGGAGATTCCAATTTGCAAGATCGTGTCACAGACTTTGCAGGCGACGATGTATTTGCTGGACATGAACTTGCTACTAATGACCTAAGCCATCATACAGTAATTACCCCTTCAGTGAATACTCAAATGCAAGTATTCGGGGGGTAAAATATGTAGTGTTTCCAGATAACGAACGTCACAGGATAGACCACGCTCATCGAATCTCGGGTCTGCCCATGGACCTCTAGACAAAAAAAATTGGGAAAGGCATGCAAGGCTGAACCTTCTATCCACTGAATTTCTCACCAGCGCTGACTGCGCATTGATATTCAGCACCGCCATTTTTCACGCATGAACCTCGGGAGGACAGAGGAGTATATTGAGAGTAAAGGTAAGGTCGCAAGCTGACATCAGATACGTGGATACGAGAGGAATTATCGATATGGCCGCTGTGATCGAACGTTGACCCCCACAAAACCCTATCACGTACACCCCAGACCCTTCTCCAATCTTTCCATGAGAATCCGATTTTCCTACCCTTAACATACTGTACAACAGATGACTGAGAACTCCTGAAACTCCACCCCATGCATAAGAGTTATACGATGACCCAATAGTATCCGCGCCTAAATTGAGCTCACCAAGAATCAAAGTTCCCAAATCCCCCTCTGCCTGTAGACTTCATTTTCTTCCTCGCATGCTCCGATTCGAACTCATTGTCGTCTACAAACTCGACAATTTCGTCTTCAACTGCCGGTCGATTTGTCATAGCTTGCTTCAAATACTTTCCGACTCCAATATTACTTGTAGTGTCTTTGTCATCGCTACCACGAATTCTCTTCCCCGTCCAGGTCACGCGCTCATCATCGTCATCATCACCCTTACCGGCAGCTGATGATGATTTCCCAGCCTCAAGTTTAGATTTTTCTGACTCTTCTTGTTTCTTGTGGGAGAGGAATTCTTCAAATGGGTCAACAAAGACTTTCACGTCTAGAATGTGAATTGGCGGGGTAGGCCTGTTGGATGTGGACGAGTCCACTGGCGCGGATTCCATGGCATCAAGGGTTGGAGAAGAAGGCGAAGGGTCATCTATTACGTGTCCAAAGATGGTGTGCTTATTGTTGAGATGTGGAAGCGCGCGGTAGGCGATAAAGCTGTTAAAAGGATTAGCTGCCATAGCACTTGTTTAAAAAAAGCAAAGTACTCACAATTGGCTACTATTTGTATCCTTTCCTTTGTTCGCCATGCTCAACGTCCCCCTTGAGTCATGTTTCAATGGTCCAATAGTTTCGTCGGCAAAGTACTTTCCCCATATACTTTCCCCTCCTCTTCCGGTGCCGGTTGGATCGCCCCCTTGGATCATAAAGCCTTTGATGTTGCGATGGAATATAACATCTTTGTAATATCCCTTCTTTGCCAACTGTATAAAGTTCCATACTGCCTTTGGAGAGTGCTCAGTGTGGAGTTCTAAGTTCAAGTCTCCTAGATTTGTTGAAATACGAGCGTATCCCTTTATTTTCACCCTGCCGCGCTTGAGCATATATTGCTCATCTGTGAGAAGAGCTAGGTCTGCGGAGGTATGGGGAGTTAATCCGGTGCTGGTGAATGACGCCGCCGCTAGGCCAGTCGTATGCCTTGCAGCGTTGAATGGAATCTGCTTTCCAGGTACTGCGGACACCTTTGCGGTGGAGACTTTTGCTAGGGCCGCGTCTCTTTCTTTTAGCTTAGATGCACCTGCAGAACCGTTCTTCTGCTGTTCCCGTTCTGCTCTGGCCCTTGCAACTGCTTCTTTTGCTTTTAATATCTTGGCTGAACTTCCCATCGCACCTAAATTCACACTTCCACTCTCCCCTTGTTGAACGCTTTCACCATCTTTCAAATATTTGAACGAACTCAGATTTCTTGACTCAACATTTTGCGGATCCTGCAGCGTGATAATATCCTTTCTTGTAAATTCCTGGTCGGAGACCAGATCTCGCCACATCTTCCCCTTAATGTTGAGTTTCTCCACGGTATCCCACGCGAATACATTTCCTGTATTTCCCAGCGCGATGATATGCGTATTATCTGTGAATACTTTGAACGTCACAGGATCAACGTACTCGCCTGCCTCATTCTTCGCGAAGTTCAGTTTAATCAATTCTGAACTTTTCAGCGGCTCCCCATTCACCGGATTTGTGCCATGCTTCTTCAACCAAGGAAGGATATGTGTCAAGTCGAATATTATACCTGTCGGTGTACACACGGGGTGGGAGAACGGTTGGAGGGAGAGCGAACAGAAATTGAACGGGAGTCGTTTGAACGAGGCGTAAGCGGCTGCATTTCTGGATTTCGCTGCGCCAGCGCCGACGCTGGCGGAATACGAGTCTTCAGATGCCCATTCGGAGTGGGTGATCTAATTACAAAAGGTGGCGTCAGCAATGTCATGAATAATGTAAAAGACCTGGTGTCGCGACCGCGTACGTAGAGCTTATCGGTTCCTGTAAGAAGTTGTTAGGATTTATTGCTCAGTTATATTCATTATAGTGAAAAAGTCCCACCTTTCCCCATGGTCAAGATTGAAGACCAACGTCGCCGGCTTGTTCGAGTATAGCAGTCTTTCTTGTCGAGAGGTTTCCGCTTCCATCAACTAAGTAGTTGGTTAGTTAAGCCTTAGAAGCGGGCGAATCCACCCTAACTTATTAGTTGTCGTCTTAACCTGTGCACAAAACGCCTGGAGCTGCTATTTAGCAAGTTATGTGTGGTAGTGAGTAGTTCTTTAACAGCTCGTTGAAATCTTGTAGCCTTGAAAGCTTTGATATTAAGGTTACTTCTACCGTATCTGTACTCCGTACGGAGTAAGTACAGGGCACTTATCCAACTAAGACCAGCCAGACAGACGGCTCCGAGATGAGGAACGCCAATCTTCGGGCGGATTCCTGGTTCAAAGCCTTCATCCAAGACCTTTCTACGTCCTCCCTTGCGGATAACGCTTAACAATGGCAGACTAACTAACTTCCTAACTAGTTACCCAAGACTGGCTTAAGTTCCGGGTTGCTTCTTCCCGTCCTCGACCTTTTAATCCAGAGACTCTGAAGATAATAGGCTCAAAGACGGAACGGAGTTCAGCCGCCTTCTTGAATAAATGAGATTTGTGGTATACACTGCATATCCATTGTCAAGGAGGTCAATGGAACTCTACTTCAGGTTTAGCAATACCCAGTTTGTTTAATTTCTTTTCATGACAAATGGACTTTACACAAGGGGGATGTGGTTAAGTGGACACCCATAGTCCTACATAGTCTTCTCGTGGGATCGATAAATTTACACGCAATGTTGTTAAAAAATTGTGTGCAGTTGTCTCACCGTCAAGTCCGAAAGTCTTGAGGTTACCTCTAATTTATTCGCTCTTCTTTTAACGAACAGACCCCCATGTGTCTTGTTTCACCTATTCGTGGCCAGCGATCCCGGCTGCCAATGATTCCTCAATGCCAGTCCATCCTTTCCCAAAGAATGACTGTAGCAGCTCTTCAGCTCGCTTCGCCGGCACCATGTTGGTTAGATCACGAGGTTCGTTCTCTGGCGGATCCGGGATTTTCTTGTTGTTAGGCCGGAGTTTCCGCAGGATCCCAATCACGTCTGTCCAGTTAAACGGAGAAGCAACTCCAAAAATACGTTCAGAAACGACGTCCGGATCTAGGAGAGCGGCAGCATGAAGCCGAGCATCGTCTTCGACGTCGATGCGCCATTCTAGCAGCGGCATATTAGCATGGAGTTCAGAGAAAACGACTTAGAAGCAAAGGAACAGCTTACGAGGCGGTATGTTCATCACCAAGGTATTGCCGTCTAAGAGATCTCGCGTTATCTTCATCATTGTACCACCGATTTCGGGGTGAAGGATCCTCCCGAACTGTTGCCCAAAGGGTTAAATTCAGAACAAATCAACCAAAGAAATAAACCGGGAGACTTGGTGCTTACATTCACATTCGGAAGCACAGAGTTAAACGAAAAGTTCGGCTTATTTTCTTTCACCCAGTTCCAGGCAGCCCGCTCTCCTTCGGCTTTTGAAGCGCCATACACGATCATGGGCATGAGTGCAGCTGGGGAGTTCCCATCCCAAGCTGCTTTGACCGCCTCATCGTTCCATTTCTCTGATACCGACAGAAACAGACATATTAGTAGACGACTCAGCGAAGCCATTTAGGTGCTTCCTAACCTGTGTCGAACGTAACTACCTCTCCATTGAACTTTGGGAATCCTACCGCGCACATCGAAGATGTCAAGACTACGCGTTTCACCGTCCCCGCCTGCTGCGCGGCCTTCATGACGTTCAGCGTCGCGGAAACGACTGGCGGAATGACCTTATTAGGATCCGAGGCCATTGTCATGTCAGATGCCTAGATCACGGTCAGTGAGCATTCAGGTACATCCCCTCTGCCAGCCCCCGGGCTCCGCTTACAACATGAACTATTCCGGATATGTCTTGCATGCAGGTGTTCAATGAATCATCATCTTCTAGTCGCGGTATCACCACACTCTCAAACCTGCCTGGGCCATGTTTTGATTTGAAGAACTCATGGAGCCACGGCCGCTCCATTCGCACAGTACCTCTAACATTGTAGCCAAGCTTGAGTAGAGTGTCAACAACCTGAGAGCCGATATAGCCGTTGGAACCTGTGACAAGGATCCAGGATCCGAGAGGGATGACGTAGCGGTCGGGCCTTAACATGGCTGTAACGAAAGAATAAACTGATGGATATCGGCCTGTAAATGAGGAGGCTTTCTCAGGACTGGGAGCCTGAATATATAGCAAGCGAGAGAAAATAAGAGTAGGATGTACGGAGTAGTCCTACATAAATACATAACATCGCGTCACCCCGCGAGCAGGGGCAACAAGTTGAAATATCCACAATATGGTTGGGATTAGTGTGCCAGGGGCGATGTTAAGCTGCCAACTTGGTTTTCTCCTCCGATTTTCCCTTGGAGTTGCTATACAGGTAGGCCTCATGACCCATGATGGAATAGCCGATGCCGCTTCAGCTAAGGAAGGAGTGCATACTTGGATGTCACTCGTGAAACCTGAGAATCGATAGTTTAACTGCGTTTGGCGAGCGTGCGAGTTGGATACTGCTCGTTCGTCGCACTCAAAAACACCAACTTGCATGGATCATGCATGCCGCTGCCCCTCACTACCAGTACGACGTCCTCCATACGTCGTCGCGGCACCTTTCTGTGATGATGACATAACGGATACACCAAGAGCGGTGTCTGGATACGCCATTAATGTGCCTCGGTTGCCTGCTTTCTCGTTCGTAACCCGCTCAGTACTCTTTCGATTCCCCCATAAGTGTTGCGTTGACGGAAAACATGCGCCTTCGACGTGTCTCGAGTTGAAGCCTAGAAAGGGAAGATGACTCGAGTTGAAACAATGTCATATATATCATATCTATCTATACAGAACCGAAGTGGACAATAATGATAAGCAGCTGGAACAGATCCATATTGCATTTTCCCATAAACGACTAAGAGCAAAAGCGCCACCCGAATCGCTGAATATTCCGATCCTAAACTGCCTCTCTGTATGCCTGGTGCTTTTTATTCCATAAATTTCGAAAAATTGTCTTGAAACACTTAACTCCCGGAACGACCATTACACCTGCCCATAGCTGAACAGGAATGCGAATGCACGGCAGGACAGCCTACCACCGCACTATGGCGCTTTTGCTTAAAAGGTTAGGGGTACAACCCATTTGTCTCTGAACTCAACTCCATGACGCCTCCGTGTCCCGTATTTCCTCCATGCTGCTTGACTAATCCCGACATCTGCGACCGCAATTTGCCAGGAATCACCTTCGCCGGCAGCCAACGCATTGACCAAGCCAGATTTCGGAGCTCCAAGGCAGACAATAAACTTCGCGTTAGCTACCAATCGTGATCCTTGTACAAGAGTTGGTTCACCTATTACAGAGAGTCAGCATCATCCTACGTGGGCATATGGAGGGGATTTCCAGCTTACCCGAGGAGGCCGAAAGGCCTGCAGGTATGTCTACCGACAATAAATCAATACCACTCCGGTTAGCCCAAGAGACAATTTCAAACGCGGTTTGCTGATCGTCAGTCCGCAGATCTTCAAAGGCAACATGCATTCCAAACAGGGCTTCGACGACAAGCTCGGGAGCATGGTCCACAGCCGCCAGTCTTGTAGATATTTCCTCCCATCTCAAAACTTTGCCCCCAGCCTTTTTGAAAATGTCGACCTGCCTGCGAAAACTGTCCGCAAACTCATTGTCCCGGTCCAATCCCAGGATGCAAACAGTAACTCGATAGTTATGGTTGCGTAGATGTCGAGCAGCAGATACGGCACGAGCACCTGTCTTGTGATTTCCCGCAAAAATAAGAACTGTTGAAGACCCGTGGAGGTTCGAAAGTGAAACGGCTGCTTCTGCGATACCCCTTCCGGCATTTTCAGTGAGGATGTCCTCGGTTAAACCCAGCTCAGAGATGGATAACTGTTCAATTTCCAGCATTTGAAGAGGACTAACGCTTGGACAACGTCTGTTTGTCGCTGCAATTTGAAGGGCGCCTGCAGCTGAACCAGAAGACGCGGTCATTGGCGACGCTGCATACACAGCTTGCTTCTGCGATGGTCGTGGACTCGCTGTTCGCGTTGATAATAACTGTCCCCTCGCTAAGATGGTGACTTGGGGTGACGCAATCGAGGAGCCTTGTATACCACTGCCTTTTCGGGACGGAGGGGCCTGAATGGAAGCTCTTGATCGGGCCCTACTGGGGGTCCTCCCATTACTAAATTCATTTTCGCTTGCATCATCTTCATCACTCTCACCTATGTCGTTCTTCCACAATGCGTTAGGCTCGGGGGAAGGATCCAAGACGTTTTCCGTGTAGTGAAGATTCCTTCCACCGTTGGTCCCAGGTCTTGCTCGTCGGTTGAAACTGACTAGTCGCTGTTCGTCCGCCGTAGTGTCATCGTTTCTGATTTGATCGAAAACCCGACGTTTGTCAAATTTGGAAAGGTTACTCTGAAAGTCAAAATCACCCATCTCTTGAATGTCTGTGGCGTCCTCTGTTGCCCAGCCATTTTGTTCTTCCGCATTACGTTTTTGGCGTCTTTTTACTTGTCTTCTGGCACCGGACCGAGGAGGCCTGGAGTTATCAGCCTGAGCTGGCTCAAAAAAAGCAGTTTGCCTCCATCCTTTTGATGCTGGACTACTCTCCGTGGCTTTGGTATGCAAAGTGTTGCTTTCTATGGCAGCAGCTTCTATGGCAGCTTCTCTTTGCAATTTTCCTCTTCCACCTCTTCGACTTCTTTTGCCCGTGTATTTGAGGGGTGCTTCAAGAGGAGCTGCACCTCTCCGGCCCTCCGGCACAGAGTTTTGCTCAGCGGTATCTTGTCCAACATTCTTGCCTTCTGTCACGTCACTCCCTTTCAGATTGAGGTAGCTAAACGGAGCAGTAAGTGTTGCAGCAGTGGAAATGCTCTCTGCAGCACTTGTAAGAGGGATGGACTGAGTAGAAAGGGAAGGGGCTGGTAGCTCGTGACCTCCGATCATGACAGGCGAATTGACAGTAGGTGTTTTAACTGGAGATTGGACGGGGGACGTAGGATTCTGATGTCTATCTGATGGCTTTTGGTAACTCAGGATGGCTGGATCCACGAACTGTTGTTGGCTGGGCTGAATTTGTGCATTTGACACATTTGCTGAGATCGGTTGTGATGTCTGCGTCTGGAATTGAGGTGGCGGATGAGGAGAGGCGGCTGGAAAGCTTGCAGCTTTCTGTGAGCCATAGTCGGGGCCAGACACAGAAGCAGTTCTCAGGTTAGATAACAGCTCTAAGTCTGCGATCCCAGGAGCTTCGATGTGATACAGCGGGACACTCTGGTTGTTCCACAATAGAGTTGCTTTCTCAAATAATCAGTACGCAACCATAATATGGCGATGGTGAGTGATAGTATAGGACTCACCATTTTGCAGTGACAGACGTTGCCCAACAACATCCGATACAATGCCTTGAACCCGGCAATTTGGCGGAGATTTCAGAGTGACCAGCACTGTGTAGCCGACAAATTGTTCGGCCATTTTGTGCGGGAGGGTGTGAAGAGGACTATCAGGAAGGAAGCTTGAAGCCTACAGCAAGGAGAAAGTAGATTAAGCACTGTTCATAACAGCATGTCTTTCACGAAAGCAATAGACTAAGCTCGATATGAAGCTGCTTGGACTTGCGGTCCCGCGCAACGGGCCTGACGGATGACGCCGAGTCTCAGCTACATCACGTGATTATCGGCAATGTCCATGGAAGGTGACTGAGTCAGCAAACGTGTTTGGTTCACGTGCTACGCGTCGAGCTCCCTCGCGACGTTCGTACAGATCCATGCACGGCGCGATTGAGACCAGAAGCCGCGACGACTTCACACCCTATCCCTCGCTTCACTTCCATCTTCCCAACTTGTTCCACGAAGGACAGGAAAGACCTGTTTATGTTTCACCCATGCTTGAGACCGAGACTTTCAGTTTCCTCGCGCAGACGAATTTCTTTCCTTTCGAAACCTCCATCCCAGGGGGCCCAACTCTCCTGGTCAATTGCGTGGTTAGTGCAGGGCAACATGTTTACGAAGGCTCTCCGTGAGCACAGGGAGCCGCTAAAATACCTACCATCTGGTCAATTGCGGCTTAATATGACGCCTGCCGCGTCAGTGGACCCAGTTATAGGTGAAAAGCGCAAATTCGATGCGCCTCAGAGTTCTCGAAACACACTGGCGTCGCTTCATAGCACTGTGTACTTTGATGAAAATGATTTTGAAGATGACGATGAACTGGACTTTAGCAGCCCAATCGTTCCACTGTCTCCTGGCAAAGAGCTTTCAAAGTCATCATTCGTTTCCGAGAACACTGTAAAAACCCCTCCTCTCCCAGAGAATAACGCAGTCGATCGTGAGGTCGCCCCAGCAAGCAGTGCCCCTCTCCCGTGGTCATCATCGCCTCCCTCTCACTTCCAACCACCCAAGCGGCAGACAATTCCCTGGCTTGAAAAAGAACCAGTACCCTCCCCACCAGCACCTCCTCCTCCACGACAGGAAGAGAAGCCTTTACAAGCCGCGACCACAAAAGCGCCTTCTTACCCTTGGAATAAGACATTGAGTGCTGTAAAAGAAGATCAAAAGGAGCTCCGAAAACAGCACAAAACCAGAGCCACGGTTGAAAAGCAAGGGTACAACCCACCAAAACCTGTCCCTAAAATTGCGCGGATGTTCCTCAGTGAAGAGCAGAACCATGTTCTTGACATGATTGTGAAAAAGGGCCACAGTGTATTTTTTACTGGATCCGCTGGAACTGGAAAATCGGTTTTGATGAGGGAAGCTATTCGGGGATTGCGACAGAAGTATAAAAAGGAACCAGATAGGGTGGCTGTCACAGCATCCACTGGGTTGGCTGCCTGTAATATTGAAGGCGTCACTCTGCATAGCTTTGCTGGCGTTGGTTTAGGCAAGGAAGACGCTACAGGTCTGTTGAAAAAGGTACATCGGAAGCCGCCACGTTCGTTATGGTAAAAATACCACTAAAACATCCTAGGTCAAACGCAATCAAAAGGCCCGAAATCGATGGCTTCGGACAAAGGTATTGATCATCGATGAGATATCAATGGTAGATGGGGAATTCTTTGATAAGCTAGAAGAGCTCGCACGGAAAGTTAGGAGTAATGGACGACCGTTTGGCGGCATCCAGCTGGTTGTAACCGGGGATTTTTTCCAGCTACCACCAGTCGCTGACTCTAGTAAAGAAGCAAAATTCGCCTTTGATGCGAACACATGGAATACATGTGTTCAACATACAATACTTTTGACCCATGTCTTCAGGCAAAAAGACCCAGGATTCGCCTCTATGCTGAACGAACTGCGCCTTGGACGCGTCACCCAGAAAACAATCGATGCATTTAAACAACTATCCCGTCCCTTGAATTTTGAGGATGATCTCGAGGCAACTGAACTGTTAGTTTAGTCGTCACAACTTGTGTCGAGTCTGTGCTAACCCAGGACAGGTTTCCTACAAGACACGAGGTAGAAGGCGCCAACTCTACCAGAATGGGTCGCCTTTCGGGAGAAGTGATTCCCTTCACCGCAGTGGATTCCGGCGCAATCCAGGATAAGAGTATGCGGGACAAGATGCTAGCCAACTGCATGGCCCCGCCTTTGATACATCTCAAGAAGGGCGCGCAAGTTATGCTCATCAAAAATATGGATGACTCTCTTGTGAACGGATCATTGGGTAAAGTCGTTGCATTCATGGACGACAGCACATATGATCATTATGTGAGGAATGAGGACTCGTATCATAGTGGCCACGAGTATAATAGGGACGATGAATCGAGCCGGGCTCGCAAGAAGATAAAGTCGATGGCCTACGACCCTAAGGGCCTCGGTGTTACAACTGCCAAGTTGTGGCCACTAGTTTCATTTGTTCTTCCAGATGGCACAGAACGCCAACTTCTCTGCAAGCCCGAGACATGGAAAATTGAACTCCCAAATGGTGAAGTCCAGGCTCAACGCCAGCAGGTGCCACTGATTCTTGCATGGGCGTTGTCGATTCATAAAGCCCAAGGGCAGACTCTTCAGCGAGTTAAAGTGGATCTGGGACGAGTTTTTGAAAAGGGTCAGGCGTATGTTGCCCTAAGTCGCGCAACTTCGACATCTGGACTTCAGGTTACGCGCTTCGAGCCGAGAAAGGTCATGGTCCACCACAAGGTCAAGGAATTCTACGCAAATTTATCGACTACTAATGATATTATTACTTCTAGAGCCCAAGCAAACAAGGCAGCGCCTACGGATGATGATATTCCTGGGCTGGACAGTGATTTGGAAAGGGAAATATATGCCCAGGCGCTTGGTTAGGCGTTCTATTCGTTCTGTTTGATGGGCGGGAAGGCCATCTGCAGCGTATTGTTAGACGATAGGCGATGTACACTAGTTTTGGAACTATGTAGAGGTCTATGGTTAGAACGAAGTGCGCTACGATTCTTGAAGAGATGCTCCATTATCATTGCAATCCTCCTACCTCGTGATGGAGCTGCGGAAAATAGTACAACCGAGCTACCCCGATCGGGTTAGGTAAGTTAGTTAGCTATGGGCGAGGGCTGATAAGATATCGTCATATGACAGCGCACGCAGTCCGTCGAACGGTTCGCTTTGCGGAGCTCGAATGCGTGTCTAATCCCCGGCGCGTCGAAGCTCATTCAGAGGAAGAGGCATGGATGATGATTCCATTGTCCCGGATATGAAGCATGGCAGAGGATGTAGCACCAAGTACGCAATTCCCGTTCCTACCTTTTGAATGGATAGCTAATGAACGGTAGACAAGGAGCAGCCCCTCCGGGGCGTTATTCTGTGCTGTACCTCCATCCTTCCAGAGACGCGGGTAAGAGGCACGATCAATCCGAAGGAGTACCTCTGCCTGAGCTAGCTAACATTTTATTTCTAATGTTAAAGTCGCAATTGGCCGCAATCGCAGGGCAGATGGGCGCTGTTCACATGTTTGACCTTACCTCCGACGTTACCCATCTGATTGTCGGCGAGACGAATACTCCAAAATACAAATATGTGGCTAAAGAGCGGAGTGATGTCAAAGTCCTGAGGCCAGAGTGGATCGAGGCAGTTCGGTCATCATGGCTGTTGGGCGGAGATACCGACCTCCATGCTCTGGAAGAAGAATATAAATTACCAACGTTTGCAGGACTATCCATATGTCTCACTGGATTTGAGGACCGTAAGTATGGCTGGTGTTGTTTGGAAAACTCATTCAGTTAACAGTTTTGCAGTGAATTTTAGGAATCACTTACAGCGAACGATTGCGAAGAACGGCGGGGAATTTCGGCGAGATTTGACAAAGAGTGTTACCCATCTCATTGCACGTTCTGCAGAAGGGCAAAAGTATAAATTCGGGGTACTATGGAACATCAAAATAGTAGGGTTGAGGTGGCTCGAGGATAGTTTAGAGCGAGGAATGGTTCTTGACGAGAGTCTCTACGACCCATTAGTCCCCGAGGAAGAACAAGGCATTGGTGCATGGAATCGAACGGCTCCAATCCAGGTGGAAAAGCGACAAAATGTTGCGGAAGTTGCATTTCAGCGTCCTCGAAAACTCCGGCGGGTTACAAGTGTAAAACTTGGTGATCAAAACGAAGGAATATGGACAGAAATTATGGGAAACAATTCCGCCGGCGGCAACGAACAGGGCGTTTACGATGGTTCGGCTGATGCAACACCAAAGCCCAGGGCAAGTGCTATAATCCAAGAGACTAAGTCCTTCGCAAGCGAAACAACCCTCCCTGAACGAAGAAATAGCGTAGCCCAGGATGCACTAGCGCCACGATTCCAGCCTGCAGAGAAGGCGCTCGGAATTTGGTATGGAGCCCAGTTCTTTATATCTGGGTTTACCACGAAGCAGGTGGGCCTCCTGTCAGAATCTTTTACGTATCAATGGGACCCTTCATATTGACTGATTTCAAGACCCAACTGTTACGAGATCACCTTATATCGAGGGATGCCGAAATTGTCTCTTCTATCGATGACCTCTCTATAGGCGACGGAGGGCCAGACCCCAAGCAATATATACTTGTACCTTACAATTTACCTCAGTCCGATATCCCATCTACCGCCGACTCCGAGAGTGAAGCCCATGTTGTTACGGATATGTGGATTGAAAAGTGCATTCACAGCAACACGTTTGTGCCTCCTGAAGCGCATATTACAAGCACTCCGGTGCCTCGGTTTCCAATCCCAGGTTGGTCTCTCTGCTGTTAATTTGCACTATATAATTGCTAACTTGTCAAATTAGCATTTCAAAGTTTAAGAGTTTGTTCTACAGGATTTACGGGAATTGATCTCTTGCACGTATCTAAACTTGTTACGCTACTAGGTAGGTTGACTCAGTAATATTCCGCCCCCAGGCAACTAATGGTTAGTAGGGGCGACGTATGATGAATATTTCACCCAAAAAGCATCAGTTCTGATATGCAACACGACAAAACCGAATAGCGAGAAGCTGAGGCATGCCCACCAATGGAATATTCCAGCTGTACTCGCCGACTGGCTTTGGATCTCTGTTCAAACAGGGGAGATGAAAGCCTTCGAACCATACTTAATATCCGGCCGGGACCCTTACAGCGCTGGGGGACAGACCAACGAGATCAGGAGCTTGGGAGGGAGCCGGCAAACTGAACCAAAAAAGCTGCAAGGTCCTTCAGGTCAACAGCCGGAAAGCCGAAAGCAAGATGAAGGGAGTTCCAAAGAGGAGCCCATTTTAGCCCATGACGCGAGCCTCGAACCTGGTTCCCACGGCTCCCCGGCAAAAAAAATGCCATCGCCTCCGCCTACTTTAGAACTCTCAAAAGCTGACAGCAGTGAAGACAAACCCGCAACCTCTTCCAGATCTTTGGACGTGGCTATCAGCGAACTGCTTCGGCAAACACGAAGTCGTGCTAAGCAATCGGCTGAGAAAAGCGCTAATACTCAGCGTCGCAGACAATTGTTTGGTCGTGCAAATTCCAATTCATCACTGCTAGGCAATAAGGAGCGAATTTCCCGTGCCTCCTCTATTGACACTTTGAATGAAGACGGTTACGGCAGCGTCGTTGACGGTTTTAATAGTCCTTCTGTAAAGGGACATAGCAAAGCGCCGAGTTTTACGTCCCTTGCGCAACCAACAGCTGCACTAAAGGGTAATTCAGATCCAACCGAAGCACAACAATTATTGGAAAGTAGATTGAACCTGCTCCGCAACGGGCTTGGGCAGTATGATGCTGAGAGATATGAGTTCGAGGAAGAAGAGACGCCGCCGATGACGCAGTTGGGCTACGAAGCTCCTGACGCTGTGGCGATGAGGGAGAAGATAACCCGGAGAGCGAGAGAAATGAATGGTGCTGAGGAAAATACGGATGATAGGCAGGAAGGAAAGAATAAAAATGACAACGGTGGTCGATTAGTTATCGGCCAACTGAAAGATAGCGAGACATTAGCCATTTGGGGAGGTGGGAGACGCACGAGGTCTAAGCGGACGTCCAATGGAGATGAAATTTGAGGTTTAAGACCAGCTACAATAGAGCTTAGAATTAGATACTGCGACTCTCTTAACCGGTGTTGTGGACTGGGGCTGGCGTTGATTTCATTTTGGATAACCTAAATGCGGAGTAGATCGTTGCGTTGGTATGTTGAGAACGGACAGGCGATCTCTCTATATCATAGTTCCAGACCTAACCAAATCTAGTTTGACTGTTGACTTGATACTCTATCTGGCTTCTTAGCCTAGATATATGCACAGCTCTGTAGGGGCTTATTCTTTTTTTCTTTCTTTCTTTCTTTCTTTTTTTTTAAATCTCCAATTGGAAAATGCAATTAAGACGAATCAACAAAAGCAGAAGATGGGCTCAAAGTCCACCATCCACTCGTCCTTTTCAGCTTTTATATTCTTTACAGAAGAATGGTGTTGTAAAGATAATGGACAGAAAGGTCCGCCCGCATTGCGCCCTTTTCAGCTTTTATATTCTTTACAGAAGAATGGTGTTGTAAAGATAATGGACAGAAAGGTCCGCCCGCATTGCGCCCTTTTCACCGAATTATTTTGCCTTAATTGAAAAGGGAGATGATGCAGAGGACAGTAGTGAAAGGCGGGTATGTGCCGGGGTATGCATACGTTTCAAAACAAAGACATAAAACAAAACTCACAAGGAAAAAAGGACCAGAGTATATTACACACAACACAAAAGGCTGAGGCAGAGAAAGAAGACCAAATATGAGGAGAGTGCCTAGCGTGATGTTGGGGAACAGGCGAAGCTGACAAAAAAGGAAAATATGTAAATCTTACACCAGGAAGTGAGTTAAAAAGAAGATGGTTATGCTCCTGGGATAGTTGCTTCAAGATCGATCGCCTCAACTGCTCTCCTGTTGTCACTGCTCTCACGGAACAAGTTTGCGAAATACTTTCTCGCAACTTCGCTCTCATGCTTCACCTTTCCAACCTCGGCTTTGCGTTTAGCGAGATCTTCGGCAGCAACCTGGAGGGCAGTTTGCAATCTCGTAGCGGGCATTCGGAGTACGCGGCCAACTTCAGTAGAAATACGTACTGCATTGGAATGGACGTAGTCGATTTCGGCGAGAGTGGTGGAAATTTTGCGAGATAGGCGGGAAGGTAGAGACCTAGGGATTTGCGACACGATGTAGGCGGCTGTCAAGATGGCTATAAAGAGTCAGCACGGAAGCTAGAGAAATTATGCTCCTTATTAAACATACCGGCTCCAAGAACGCTGGGTATTATCATCTTTCGGACATTATTTGGCCCTAAAATTCTAACCGCACCAAATATGCCGTCCATCCATCCAAAGCTGCCAAGGGCCCTGCTTCCAAGGATACCAACGACAGTCATGGCCATGCCGGTTCCAGCAACCTTTTCTTGGCGTTCCCAAAGGCTTGAAAGGTCAACGAAATCCCATAATTCAATCTCAGTATCTGCTTGTCTAGCAAGGGAGTGTCTCTGCTGTCTAAACATCACTTCAGAGCGGAAGGCAAGATTAGGGAATTTGTCTTCCCCAACGTGTAGCAGGCCAAGGCTATGGATCATATTGACGCCTTGGACAGATTTGGTCCTCGCATAGTCCTCACATCGACTCACACAGGCAGATATCTGTTCCAGCATAGCTGATTTGACATCTTCGGCGTACTGGAAAACAGCAAGGAGTCCCGGATACTCCACGCCCAAGTCGCTTTCCGCAACCTTGGATATTGTTGAGGAGAGGGTCGACCGCGTGTGGTTGTAGACATCATCACAGGCATCGTCTATAGATTTATCTAGTTGTTCTCCGATCTCAGTCCTTCGTTTGTTAGCTTCCTCATAAGCGGGCACCAGTTCGTCGAGCTCCTTTGACATGCGATCAAGTTCCGATGCCGCCACATCGCGGTTAACAGAAGCCAGTGTATATAAATCATTAAAAATATTCAAGAGGTACGTCCTGGCAGGTGCAAGTTTAGAGCGAGATCGTTTTTCGAGGACAAAGCGGCGCAGTGCACCCTCCAGATTCTCAAAGTCTTGAATCTTCTCTTTCTCTTTCTCTTTGCCTTTGCCCTTATCGTCGTCGTCTGTATCGACCGCTCGGGCTTTGCCCGTCGAATCGCCGTCATCGTCATCGCCGTCACCGCCATCACCATCGCCGCCAAATCCACTGCCAGCAGCTGCAACCGGTACAGCATTGCTAGAAACGAAGTGCACAAGTTCAGCAGACTCCTTGAAAGTTCGCGGACTCAGCTTTTGGACTTGGCCTAAGATCATGCGTTGACAGCGTGTTCGATCCCGAATGTTGTCAAATCCATTGACAACAATGAATATGTAAGCTTTTTCATGAGCAGCATTCGTAATAAATTCTCTTGCAGAGAGCGTGAAGTGGTTAGCAGCAGACACAACGAAAACGACAACATCGATCTCCTCCTGTCGCGCAAAGACTGCTGTCGTTTTCACGGAGTCTGAATTCAATCCAGGGGCATCGATAAGGGCGATGTCAACAACCCCATTATTGAGCAATGATTCATCAATGCTCCGAGTGTCCTTGACATACACTTTGCATTGCATGTATTTGGTGTTGTCAACGACAAGATTCTCGAGATCTGCGAGCGAGTAGACATCGTAAGTGCTTTCGTCATTGCGATTGTATTGCGTATCTTTATGAATCGCATGGACTTCCTCAATACCGCTATTTTCTCTTGCGTCAACAACTTCGCAGAAAATACTGGTACATGGTTGCTGGTCTTCTGGCAGGATCTTACGACGTAATAGCGCATTGCAAAACGTAGACTTTCCGGCGTTAAGATCACCGGTCACTAGAACTTTGCTCGAAGTGTCGTCAATTCTGTCACGTAGGGAGAGGAGGTGCTTGATGCTCTGGCTAACTTTCCCATCCAACAATGACGCGATGGAATTTTTCTCGAGTGAATGTACCAATTCCGCCTGTGACAAGGTGCCTAGCTTAAGGTCCAGTTTGAGAATAGAAAACTCCCGAGCAATCTGCTGCGTAAACAATCTAGGTTCTTGCTGGGGTCTTCTTTCCGCCGCGTGGCTCGACTCCGCATCCGAGACACTGGTGATTGAGGTAGCTGCCCGTCGTAACGGATCTGGCCTCGAGCTTGAGGACTCAGAAAGTAGCTCGCTGTTCTCATTATAGGATCTAACCGAGGTGAAGTTGGGTCTATTCGGCGGGACTTGTTTAGAGGACACCGAAGGGTAATGTGCAGGCCATTGGCGATTCATCTCCTGAAGCTCTTTTAAAAGGTCGAGGGCTCTGGTTATGTATCTGCCGAGTTGAGTTCGATTCGCATTGCTAGAAACAGTCAGCAACCGAAACAGAAAGTACGCGATGCGCGTAGCTTACTATTGAAGTTGATGGACGTGGTTTGCAAGGACTAGTCTTTCATGTTGCGCTACACGAACGTTAGGCTAACTTATCTGAGAATTTCAACACAGTACTGGGAGGGAGACGCAAACCAGCTAGGCTCGAGTGTCCAGGTAGAATAGGTGTATGCGTAGGAGTCGGCCGGTCCTCCATCAAGCCTGCGTGCCATGCCGTGTTTGACTCGTCAACTGTACCTCCCACAGCGCTGCCATAACCAGAATCTCGATCCAGCGAGGCTATCAAGGATGCTGCACTCTCCGACGTCGATCCAGACCCTACGACCATGTAATCCGGCGCATGATGAGGGACGGCGGGCGGGGAGCGTCTCGCATTCTGTCTCGAGGATCCCTCCCCAGCACTGTCGCCGGGGAAATACTCCTGGCTCATGGCTGTAATAGTAAATCGGAAATTGTCAAAGGGGATGGATAGGGATGCGCATCAAGGGAACAAGCGCAGGCGGCGGTTTTTTTCCTTTGAGTTCTAGAGGTCCAACGGAATCACGAGAAAATCGACATCACAAGTCCCTTTTTCCGGTGTCGGGCGAATTGGCCGGTGAGGCAAGCAGTCCAATCCCGTTATCTCGGCCCGGATGTTCGTTTCCCCGGCACGTGGGGTGAGCGCGGATGAGGTAATCAGACTGCCATCGTCATCTACAAGATGCGGACTTCCTACCCGGTCAAACGGACGGCGCGACAGTCCAGGCAGCATGGTTTCGAGAGATTAAGCGGTTTTACAGATAGAGAAGAGACCCGGTTTCAATTCCCTATGTACTTTTCATTCTAATCGTCTTCTTTCTAGACCTTTCAAAGATGAATGTATGCGAGGATCAGGCTCCCCCAACGGCTTGTACACAGCGCTGACCAGAACTGCCAGATTGTCGAATGGGCTTTTGGCAAACGCCTAACGCCGGCTGAGCGTTTGCGGAAGCATCAGAGGGCATTGGAAAAGACGCAGAGAGAATTAGACAGGGAACGAATTAAATTGGAAAACCAGGAGAAGAAACTGGTCCAAGATATTAAAAAGAACGCCAAAAATGGGCAGATCGGAGCGTGCAAGATTCAAGCGAAAGATCTAGTCAGGACCAGGCGGTATGGATAGGCTTCACAACGTATATTACGGCAATACTTTGGCTGATATGTCGCTTTTCTGCAGGTATATTCAGAAGTTTTATTCGATGAGAACCCAGTTGCAGGCGATTTCTCTTCGAATACAGGTAAGAACCTCGGAAAACCCTAGGAGCTGGCGTTCATGGCACTAAACTTTAGGTAATATAGACCGTCAGGAGTAATGAACAGATGATGCAGTCAATGAGAGGTGCTACGATTCTCCTGGGAAGCATGAACAGGCAAATGAATTTGCCCGCATTGCAGAGAATCGTCATGGAATTTGAACGAGAAAATGAAATCATGGATCAACGGCAGGAGATGATGGACGACGCAATTGATGAAGCGACTGGCCTTGACGATGAAGAAGAAGGTGAAGAGATCGTAAAAGAAGTGCTAGACGAAATCGGAGTTGACCTTGGCCAAGCAGTAAGTCCTAATTGGCTTTTTCAACATTTTTCGGCACTCACTAACACCTTTACGCAGCTCGGTGAGACACCAACTGGCCTGCAAACGACTGGAATACAAGAAGGCCGTATTGCTCAAGCTGTTGGCGGTGGCGGCACTGCTGAAGACGATGACTTGCAAGCCAGGTTGGATAGTCTTCGAAGATGATGTCAGCTCCAAAGACTTAGCCTTTTTATATTGTCGTGCTTCTTTGGTGTGCAGCGGCGGCGTTTAGGAGTCATTGGAGAAGTGATAATTTTTCTATGCAGGCGAGGTAATGGGCTTGATATTTAGAGCATTCCCTGGCTACAGCTATGCTCACAGATTCAATCTGCGAGCTAGCCCTTGAGGTTCCTGCATTGGAGCTATGCGCAATGTTCCTGATCGTGAAATAGATCAAATGGCAAATCCCACTTCGATTATACCTAATTCCCGAATTTCGATTCAAACGTCTAGAGACTGTCAGATTTCGTATACTAATTACAAGACTGGTCTCAAGTCAGTCAATGCCTCGTTTATCCTAGCTTGGATTCTGCAGGATGGCAGGATAGGTTGGGCTGGTGAGGCTGCCCTTATTTTATTTCATGAGAACTTAAAAAGTACAGGGTCACAGAACAGGTTCCCTGAGAAATAGTACAAAATTATATTATGCCCAGTGCCAGAAATCTGTATTCCTAAGGGTTTTCAACCTTGTTCTGAAACAAACATTGACCAGCAGCTTCTCCAGTCAAAACAGCGTTTGGCTGCAAGCAAGGACTAACTAGTTAGTGGTGTGTGTCCAATCAAGAATCCAGACTGTAGTCAACGATGCGCTGCTCTTTTGTTCTAGCGAATTGTCAGTAGACACCTATATGTGTGAATCGAATCCCTTGTCTGAGTTATATTACCTGCTCTGTGAGGGATTGTTGCCTGAGAGTACGGCTCTGTTGATAACTAAACAAGCAACCCAATTGCGTTTAGCCGCAGGTTTGTCCTGCGTCTCATTCACGGCATTTTCCTGCCTTTTCCATTTTCCATGCCTTCAAGGTCATATGTCCTCCCCAGTAGTTATCCCAGCTTCCGATAGAGAACCGAGTCGCCAGTGATTTATTTTTAGATCTTCCTGCAGACTCATCTCAACCACCTGAGTGTCATCCCTGTTTCGCGTCTCAACATCCAACTACGTAGATAACTGGCTTTCCAGTCGGGTTGTAGGGATACAGCCCGCAACTGTTCTCTCAGGTATGTGTCCTTTTCATGGTTATATGCATTTCTCCCCGCAAACAAGTGCCGACGGGCAGCCGGGATTCGTGCGAACGTGGACCGGGAAGCCTCCCTCCCAACGTCATATTTGCCCGCGCAGATAGCCACCGCCGCCGTCAACTTTGTCAGCTTTGGCAACGTGACTAATAGTTTGTTCGAGCCGGTAGCTAACAGCGTTCAATTATAGTTTCCGCGATCCATTCCAAGCTCGTTTTGAGCCTTGTTGCTTGCGAGCCTTGTTTGGGTGCAATTTTCGGGAACGAAGGATTCAAACTGGCAGGAAGCAAGCGACTCAGTTTTTCAGGTCAGGGCGGGTTGCTGAACAGAATGTTCGGTGGCTCATCGAGCCCTAATAAAGACAAGAATACCTCAATTGCGTCTCCTTCTACGATTACTTCTACCACCCGGGCCCGCGTTACCGAATCTCCTCCCGCTCGCGAGGGCAAGGGCTCGTCCAGCGACATCCTCAAGCGATCAAACGACAAACGGGACCAGAACGGGGATAAAAAGCGGCGGGGTAGTTCCGTGAGCAGGGCTGCAGCGTTTTTCGCAAACGCAAAGAACTCATTGCATATCTCAGGCCTGCGCGAGCCACAAAAGTCGCCTCAAGTCGCGCAGACGCCGCTGCAGATCCTAGGCAAGATGGATCCAGCCTTGGTTGTTCCCCAGGGATCATTGAATAATTCAGCGGGAGAGTCGTTGCCCACCCCTCGTTCCTCCTTTCGCGTCGGAGTCACAGAAGACAAGAATAAGAAATGCCGGCGAACTATGGAAGATACCCATGCATACCTTTACAATTTCCTAGGGACACCACTTTCAATAAACCAGGGTGAATCTTCGCCGCAGAGTAGCCAGCCCAAGGAACCTGGAGGACCGGAATCTGGCGACTCGACACCTATAATTGAGACAGATAATGGATACTTCGCCATCTTCGACGGCCACGCAGGAACATTTGCTGCTGAGTGGTGTGGAAAGAAGCTACATCTTATTTTAGAGGAGACTATCAGAAGAAATCCCACTATACCGGTGCCGATTCTCCTTGATCAGACTTTTACCCTCGTTGACCAGCAGTTAGAACAGTTGCCTTTAAAGAATAGCGGCTGTACTGCTGTTATTGCAGTTCTTCGATGGGAAGACAGAGCCCCAAACTCTACGATTTCTACTCCAGACGCGGTGAACAACAAGATACAGAATCCTGAACCAAAAGGAGACAGGGGTGAGACGCTACAAATTCCAGGCAATTCGACCACGGAAACGCCTTCGGCTAGAGACTCAAGAACTATGTCTGCTTCTAAACCTGAAAATCCTACTGTTCGCCAACGAGTATTATATACTGCCAATGTTGGTGACGCAAGAATTATTCTATGTCGGAATGGAAAGGCACTACGGTTATCCTACGATCATAAAGGCAGTGATGAGAATGAAGGAATGCGAATTACCAATGCGGGTGGTTTGATATTAAACAACCGTGTAAATGGCGTTCTTGCGGTTACCCGAGCGCTAGGGGACTCGTATATGAAGGATCTTGTTACAGGCCACCCGTTCACAACAGAGACTGTCATTCAACCAGAGGCCGATGAATTCCTAATATTGGCTTGCGATGGCGTAAGTTCCTAGGAATAGTGGTTTTATCGAGTTGCTGATGCTAACTAACTCCACCAGCTCTGGGATGTGTGCACAGATCAGGAAGCTGTTGATTTGATCCGCAACGCCCACGATCCTCAAGAAGCGTCCAAAATCCTTGTAGATCATGCCCTCTCCCAATTCAGCACGGACAACTTGTCCTGCATGGTTGTGCGCTTTGACTCAAAGGCTCACGCGGATGGAGTTAACATCAAATCGGCCGGCGAGAGTGAAGCCTTGAATAAGACTAGCGTTAGCGAAACTGACAAGATCGTGGCTCAAGCCAAGAGGGAATCGCATCGAAATTCCGCGTCAAATCTTGGTCCTGCCATAACAGAAGCCGATAGCAGCAGTGAAGTTGAGGTTGCTGCGGCGAAACTTGATGAGGAACCAGGGCCGGAACTATCCCTCCCAGAAAAGCCGAAGAATGACGTGGATGCTACGTCGTCGACCGCTTCGAGTGAGCTCACTTCAGCCCCTAATAAAGGGAGTCCTCCAGAGGTCGAATAGCGCCAGTGGTTCTCTTGGGTGAGAAATAAACTACGGAGAGTGTGCTTATTTTTCTAAGATGGCGGCGGAATACAATATCTCAACGTGCGCCCTCTTTCATACGTCTCCTGCGGTTCTCCCCATGAAATGAGAGGTACTCCTAGTGAGTTCCTGTCTCTGCAACGGGCGCCATCTTCCGCTTACCGGTATGCGGCGTCACAGCACAGCGCTGGACCTTCTCGCTGGTGTCTAACGTCTTCCATGGATGCAGCCACCATTTGCGTTCCTCGAATGCTGCATGAATTTTCTTTCCCTTGATCCCCTACTTCCCACCTTGTGATGACCCCCTTTCCCCTCATATCTCGATCCACCTTTTGTTTGAGTTTGCGTCGTCGTGCAAGCCTACAGACTTCTGTTTTCTTGTTTGCTTTTTCTGAATTCTATGCGATGCGCTACGGAGAGATGCGTTACGCATTTCCACCTTTGTTCGATTACCGTCTCTTTTCTTTTCTATCTGATTGCTTCGTTGGTTTAGCATTGGCTGGGATGCAAATCGGTACCTTGGCTGGGATCTACTTTTTCGATGGCGACTGATACCATGTATCCTTTGATACCATGTTAGTAGATGTTAAATACTGGGACCACGGACGTAGAGAATGAATTATGAAATACGATCTTATGGACCGAGCCTTGTCTCAAAATCTGTGTTTTCGCATTTCTGGAAGCCATTTACGTGTTAGATTGAGCGAGTCTAAGTGGTAACATAAATAACACCAAAAAAAAATAAAATAAAATAAACCTCCATTCTAATTCCGAGTATACATACAAAATCTGATATACAATACACTGGTAAGCGAGAAGAATCGCAGCGAGCATATCTGCGGTATCAAGAAGTGTTCGTGACATTGAGAGATAATTCAGAATGGGTTCCGGTTATCGGGACGCCGCTCATCTCAATATGGGGTAGAGGCGGGTAAGTTCATGGGGAGAATATCAAAGGAGATTGTGATACCAGAGTTAGTACACCAGACCAACCGAGGCCGATCAGCTCCAGAACTTTAGGCGGCTGAGGCCCTTCTTGGCCGGCTCTTCTGTCTTGCCCTGCTCAGTAGGCTGGCTTTCAGCCGTTGCGCCGGATTCGGCGGCGGTGGATTGAATCTCCGCTACAGCTTCAACATCCCCGGCTTTCAACTTGGATCCCATGATGTGCTCCCTTACTGGCTCCAACTCACCGTGGCGCACCGATTCAGGCCAATTCTCCGCAAATTGCGCGTCCTGAAGGTCTGTCCATAGAATCTTGACCTCTCCATCGGCGACCTTATGATCTACTAATTCGTCGCCCTCATCGATCTTAGCCTGGATACCCTTCTTCGATAATGCTCGTTCTAACGTGGCAATACGCTCTCGCACTTTCTCTTCGACGGCCTTCTCTCTTACCCGGGCGTGAAATAATCTCTTTCTGGCCTTGTGGCTGAGACTCTTCTTTTTCTCTTTGTCGGACATCTTCTCGTATACCTTTCCTTCTTCTTCCAATTCCTTTATCTTTTGTTCCTGCATGGCCAGCACTGTGGCTACATCAGCGACACTCGTGGCTTTTTGGTCCATAAGCACCCGCGCACGGTCCTTCTTCATCATTATCTGCCCTATTCTCGGTTTCCAGATTTCATCCCATTTCTTCGCTTCAAGCGGATCCCGCGGCCGCTTGCGAGAGAGTGTCTCTTCGGTGTTGGTGATGGACTCCTCCTCAGGAGCAAGTTGGCGCTGAACGGCGAATTCTCGAAGCATCTTATAAGCTGATAGGCCGAGGGATGAGGAAGGGAAATGGAGGGAGAAGTAGGGTATCCACATGTCTTTGCGGAGAGTTGCGGGAACGGTCTTTTTGCCGTGGTATATCAGTTGAGACAATACATTTTGGCGCTGTCAACGAAAATCAGTCAGATCCAAACAGTCCCAGAGAAAGCATTTGTTTTGTTACATCCGGAAACAACTTACCTCTAGTGTCCGCGAAAGCGAATAGATGACCTGGTTCGTCCGTAGGTTGTTATAGGCAAATATATTCTTCCCATGCGTAACATGTTGCAGCGCCTTCCTCAATCTTATAGATTCCTGCTCGCGGTAATGTTTGGCGGCCTTGGAATTGGGAAATCGGACTTTTCCTTGAATCGGTTTGCCATTTGAGGGCGGGTATCGCACTGCTCGTGAAGTCGCAAGCGTCGTCGGGTCAAGCAATTGGATCGTCTTTGGTGCCTTTGTGGCCGCAGCGGCGGCTGTGGTAGCCATTGTGCAAGGAGAGAGGCAGCTATGATGTGAAAAAAAGATTGTTCCCAATTGAAGTCGTCTGCGCTTATAACATTGTTCTGAGCAAGCACGTCCTCTGGCTTCGATGCGGTGGTGGTGGGCTTAAGTGGAAGAACGAAGGATGGTTGAGAGTTGCAGCTTGAAGATTTTAACTTTTGCAGGCCCAGTTCTCGCGCTGCTGGAATTAGTTACCGGCTCCGCTGGCAGACTTGCGACCCAGACCGCGACATCACCATCACCACGAGGACCACCAACTGGTTGACAACATGGCGGTTGCGATGTGTTGTTGGCTCAAAACATAAATTCAATTTTCTTTTTTTTTTTTCTTGCGGTATACTTCAACAAAACTAACTGATGGTTCCTGAATACCCCAGAAGCATCCCCCCCTTAGTTGCTCTCAACTATGTCAGTTGCTGAAGACCAATCCTATAGTCAACATGGATTGCCAGCACGAAAAAAAGGATCGGCCATGGCTTCTTCCATCAGTAAGTCTGAATTGGCTGGGCTATTTTTGATTTTATATCTACAGCCCTGACTGAAAATTGCTGTGACGTAGAACCGCAAGCTACGGAATCTACAAGGCATCTCTGTTCGCAATCTCTTAGTCACTCCGCCGCCCGCAACGAGATCTCGCGGAAAGACAATTGACGACGATAGCGTCCCAAATACATTACAGACGCCTGCAAAAATCCTCGCGAGCAAGGAAGCCCGGACCGTGCATCATTCGCGATCCGTTACGGATCTAAATCGCATCGCGTCGTGCAGAGATGCCGGTGACACCAGAGCAGCCAGAGGCGAGGATGGAAAGCAGCACAGGACGCAAGGCCCTACGAATCGACGACGAAGCACATTTCCATGGTCGGGCGCCGACCCCGGGGTAAGGCAGGCACGGCTCGAGGATATTACTGCGAGGAGAATGGCCGATACCTGGTTTTCCTTGCATTGCCCTGGCATTGAGCGACCCGTCTATGTGAGCGAAGTTATTGAAAGAGCGATGAATCCCACTTTCAAGAGTTTTGACTTGTCTTCTTCTGGCCCTCTCGTGTCTCGCGCGGACAATGCAGTGGTGAATCTGTGGGCAAAGCCGGCAGACACGGCTGAGTACTTCCTGCTCTTGGAGTTTAAGGTGCAGTTTAGGGCGCTTCAATATATAGGGAAGACTCTCGAGAGCTTCCGTCACCCGTTGCCGTTGAACTGTGTTATCTTCCATTTTGTCGATGGCCTTTACACTATGTTGACGGACATTGCTCCGAGCGAGCCGTCCACTTTACCTCGGTCACAGGGCAAGACACGGTCAGAGGGGGGTAGTTCCCCCATTGCCTCCTACGATACTTTGATGCGGCTGGTGAACCTTGACGACTGCCTCCAGGATGCCCTAGCGACACGGGATAAGCTCGAGGTTCAGATCAGTTCGGTGTTAGAGGAGAATAAGGCGTACCTGGATATTCTCAATCAAAAGGCCCAAGCTGAAGAAAGACTGGCGTCAATCAAGAAGTCCGTGGCACTGGAAAAGAAGAGATTGCAGCAGTCCTTGAAACAAAAGGAAAGTCTCATTGCAAGCATTAATGCGAGAAAAGCGGCTATGCAGCAGGGCCGTGAGAGCCAGGAGAAAACTTTGTCGTATCTCCAGGAAGCCGAGGCTACAAAGACATCCAGCGAGAAGCTCTTGCAGAGAACCAGAGATGAATCAACCGGGCAAATACGACGTATCTGCGAAGATTTGAGTTCCATTTACCCCATCGAGCCCATTCCCGGGAAAGCTCTCGCTTTTACGATTCTGGGGATTCCATTGCCAAATTCTAATTTTGAGAACATCGACAAGGAATCCGTGGCAGCAGCTCTTGGATTCACGGCGCACTTGGTCTATCTCCTCTCGTTTTATCTTTCCGTCCCGCTCCCTTACCCTATCCAGCCGTATTCCTCGAATTCCTTCATCCAAGACCCCATATCCGTTGGTATTACGCAGCGGACATTTCCGCTATATCCTGTGAATGCGCACTATCGATTTGAATACGGGGTGTTTCTACTGAACAAAGACATCGAATACCTGTTAAGCCGACAGGGCCTTCGAGTGCTGGATATTCGACAGACACTCCCCAACCTCAAATATCTCCTCTACCTCCTGACATCCGCCACAAGCGAGCTCCCCGCAAGAAAGGCTGGTGGAGTGCGTGGGCTTCTCGCCCCAAGAGCGTTGACCCCCGACCTATCACGGCGACAAAGCACCGAAAGTGTGGCTAGTGGCGATTCCAGTCTTAATCAAAAAAGAGTTTGGCAAGGTGGTGGTGGTCCAGCGATTCTGATTAACGGCGGCGGGATGCCGAAGGGCCGACACGGAGACGATGAGGATCAACGTTCGGTAACGACGATGACGAAGGCTACTGCGAGTGGAATTGGAGGGTAGCGGACGACAAGAGAACCTTGCATTTCGACCGGGTGGAGTTGAGCGATCTGCTTTGACGGGATGATCATAACACTTTTTGTGGTGAACGGTGATCGGATTGGTCTAGGAGTCTTTGGAATATTCTGGCGCAGGCGTGTTGGAAATATCCCAGGCCGGGGCATTTATGGAGTTGCCTTTTCTTTCTTTCTTTCTTTTTTTTTCTTTTCCATTTTCCCTTTTTTTAGGGGGGGCCGGGGGATGAGCAGGTCAGGATTGTTTCGCTTGGGCCTTCTTTTAACGTTCTTTTTTCTTGTATTATCATTTGGAACGAGCGCTTGGGTTGGGCCTGTGAAAGGGGCCCGGGCTGTAAGAGTATGTAGTTTCGCCAGGCACCCGGCTGTTTTACCAACGAATCTGCGATACCCCGGATGCGAAGCGCCGCAGCTCGTCTTTCAGGGTCGAGGGTTGTGACGGCGTCGATCATTCGATCAACGTTCTTCCATACTGCTTCCAGAATCCTTAATATAAGACATTTTTATGTTAATAACGCTGATGAGCAGCAATAATTCCGCAATGCCTGGCAATATCACTGATCGTGCCTACATTTTTATTTTTATTTTTATTTTTTATTTATTTTTATTTTTTTTGGGTGTTGCAACGCGGGACATCCTCATATATCACATATATTATCGCATTCTCATCCAGCAAAGCGGCCTTCTTTTTGCTCTGGCGCAGCGTGCAATGTGGTCTGCGCGAGGATTTGGGAAAAAGCCCCCCCCCCCTCAGCCAACGCTTCGTCTAAACCTGTCGTTAGCAGTCGGGTTTTCAGGCAAGATGGAGAAATATGGAGAATCCTCGTTTCTCTGGATTCCTTGCCGGGCTACTAATTACGTGACAAGAATGCGGCAAGGTTGCGAGGGATGGGGGTCGCTGTCTTTTTCCCACTCTCTGACTGGCGTAGAGACGGGTTCGCCTGGCTTGGCTCCAGCATGGGCGAAGGACGGAGAACCCTGTCCTGGTCAATCTTAAACCCAAGTCGACTATGGGCCGCGTCCACAAGGACCTCCTGCGCTGGTGAGAAGCCATGCAGTGCTGACGCTCAGATGCTTTTTCGTTTTTGGTTTTTTTTTTTTTTTTTCTCGAGATGCGTTTCGTTTGTTTTGCCCCCTCGCCATGGCGATGATGGTGCAGCGTGGGTTTTTAGCTCATCGGAAAAAAAAGGTCAAGTGATTCGGGTTTCACGGGCGAAGGCGCCGATGCTGGTGTCTTGAAAGGGAACCCCCATCGGGCTGGTGGGATGGCAATAAACGAACAGGTTTGTTGTAACCCAGCGCCTGGGGGCGTGGAGTGATGATATCAACGAGCGGTGATCCATCTTCACACCTTTGGGAGACGAAAGGAAAATAGAAATATGTAAAAATAAATAAATAAATGAAGAGCTGGCGGAGCGTCCATGGCTGCCATTGCCGGGTATCTTCTGGACGTCTCATCGCGCTGCTCACCGACTTGAAGTTTTCGGTTCCTTTTTATTCGCCTCGAGATCGTTGAGCAGCGCCTCCTCTCCACTCTTGCTTTTCCCCCTTTTAGTGTGTGTGCCGCCGACTGGGATGGGGAGGTTGATTGGAGCGCAACCAAGATCACATCCTTTTTTTTTTAAAAAAAAAAAATAAAATAAAATAAAAAGCAGAAAAATAAAATAAAAATAAAATAAAAATTGCAGGACATAAATGGAGGGTTTTAGCGGGCTCCTCTTGCAAGGTAGTAATCAGACGTAACAGCCTACACATCCTCGAGCCATCGTTAGCAGTTGTCTTGGGAGGTCGATCTGGGCTGCCAGCGCTTCTTCGTCGTCGTCTTCATTTATTCTCCTTGATCCTGCTAATAATAATATATCAAACCGGGACATTTCTTTTTCGCTTCTGAGATCGGCCTTGCTCCTTCGTCCTTTCGTTCCTCTTTTTCTACACCTCGCTCCTCTGTATGCATGCATGCTTTCTTGTGGCTCTGTGCTCTCCGTTGGGATACTTTGAACTCCCTGTGTGACACCCTGCGGATGGCGATCCAGAGACGCTGAAGCCGCAAAGTTACATCGTCTCCATTTAAAAGACGGTGGAAACTTCAAGACGTACCAAACATCAGCCCACTTTTATACTTAAGCTGGCCCAAACCCGCACTCAGCGGCTTGCATCGGTGCGCGCTCAGAAGACAACCCCCCCCTATGTGGCCGCATTCAGGCGACACAAGGGGAGACGGACCTTAGCAGAAAACGGCCTCAGAAAAGACACGTTATGGATGGGATCAGAATGGCAGCCCGACCTGCTGCAACTCCAGCTCCTGTAATTATCACCTGCTCCTCCTCCTGCACACCCCCATATCCGAGCCCTCTCCGTTTCCTTTTTCTTTTTTTTATCCCTTTTTTCCTTTTCCCCCTTTTTTTCCCTTTGTTGGGCCTTTTTACATTCCTTTGTCTTCTTCCCGCTCGAGTTACCGCAAGATCTCTCACAATATATCTGACCCCAGGACCTGACGGCAAACCCTCCCTTCTCCCCGCATCGATCTCCGTCCCCGCCGCCACAACACCGCCGGGGATATCAGGCTTGCGACCCGTGCCGGAAACGTAAAGTCAAATGCGATCTCGGGAGTATGTGGCCCCGTTTATAATCCCCATGCCGTATCCTTTCCAGACACGTTTTCCTCCTGAAGCCCTTCCCCCCCCTTTTCCCTTTCTGCTCCGTTATCAGGTCTGGTCGCTGAGAGCCGTCTTGTCTGGCCACTAGGTGTCGACAACCCCCGCCCACCACCATGCGTCCGCTGTCGTCGCGAGAGCAAACGCTGCGAGTTCTCAGCCACCAGGCGCAAGCGCAAGGTGTCGGATGACGATGACAAGTCAAACGTCCTCCGCAGGGACAAGCGGATGATGTCTGCTGATGGCGCCCTGCCGCCCGACGACGCGACGAATAATACCAAGGTTAACGGCGTTACATCCCATCTCAGAGGTGCCGTACCACCACCACCCTACGAGCCCGATGTCAGGCCATCTGGTCAGCGCCAGTGGGGTGATTCCCCCTCCGCCCATCCCCATCGAATCTCTCTTCCAAGTAGTCAACCATACCCCGCTCCGACCTCTGTCCCGTCCGATCAATATCACCATCCTCTTCCTCGCTCCTCCAGCTTCTCTGGTCACGTACGCCCTATCCTGACGGGCGTGCTGGACAGCGGGCAGCACGTAATGAACAAGACTGCCGCTGAGCTGCTGTCACCGGCGATCAGCAACACCCATGATGCACTCCACCTGCTCTCTGAAGCCGCTGGGAGGACGGAGGACTTGAACCGGCAACACATGGAGTACGGCTACGGTGTTCGCCATTCCTCCACGTCGACGTTCAACTCGTCTGCCTCTCCGATGAACCAGGCTGGGACCCCCGGCGGCAAGGCTAGCAGGTCAAACTCCAGCACCCAGCAGGGTGCCCCCATGGGGTGGTACCAGCAAAACAAAGATTCAAACACTACCGATCCTCTCGTCGAAGGGCATGAGGTTGTTATTCCTAGTCCACCCAGACCGCTCGAGGATGTCGAGTATGCTAATGCTCGACGAGCGTGGTCGCGCCTTCGATTCGTCCGAGCAGGATGGTTCAGTGTGGACGAAGCGATGGCGTACATTGCATAGTGAGTGGTGGCAAGCTTTTATTGGTTTCTCTTAAAACACTGCAGCTTACACTTCTTCTCTCCTTAGCTACTACGAACACCTTGCTCCGCTCAGCCCAATTGTCATCCAGAACTTTAGCTCTCCAGCGACCCATGTAACTCTCCTGACCGAGGAACCGGTCTTGACTGTGACTATGCTTACAATAGCTTCTCGTCATATGAAGCTATCTGGTAATGGCGCTAATTCTAGAGCATATTCTATCCACGAGAAGCTGTGGTCATATCTTCGAGGTATGATTGAACGGCTTATCTGGGGACAAGAGAAGTTTGGCTCAAGTGGCCTGCCATCCGCGAAGCCTCGTCAATTCAATCTATCCACATCCTTCTTTGGTCAACAGTCCAAACTAAATGGCAATCTACGGTCTCTGGGGACCGTGGAGGCGCTCCTCCTTCTCACAGATTGGCACCCGCGTGCTCTACATTTCCCTCCAGGAGACGATGAGAATACCCTGCTTGATACAGATCCTCAACTGCTTACTCAAGTCAGTGGCACTAAGGAAGAAGAAGGTTATTCTGAAAACAAAGACCACGGTAGCAGCTCCGAAGGCCGCCTTGCGTTTTATAAATGGCTGGAGCCCGTATGGCGTTCGGACCGCATGTCGTGGATGTTATTGAGTACGGCCCAGGCTCTGGCGTTTGAGCTTGGTGTGTTCGATCAAAAGAATGAGCTCAAGGGCGGCAACGAGTGTTCGGCTGAACATGTGAGAAAACGTCGTGTGCGCCGGTTAATACTTGTTTATGTTTCACAGAGCAGTGGGAGGCTAGGTATTCCGTCAATGTTGCCTCTACCGCAATGGAGCTTGAGCACGGAACCAGTTTGTGCGGATAACCCGAACTCGCGAGAGGCGAAGGAGGAGTTCTCTGTGGACTTGATGCAGGATTGCTGGCTGGACATCTCTAAAATAATGTACAACAGCAACCAGGTGCTCTTCCCGTCTAAGGAGTACACGACGAATTTGATCAAAACAGGTCAGTATCGGGACAGGATAGCCGAATTCATCCCGTCTCTTAGGGAATTCAAGCAGAAGTGTGATCGGTTGCCGAGTAAGTGCTTATCGTCCCTCAACACGCCCTGATGTAGAGATCTGATTTTTCCTTTGGATATAGTGTCTCAGGATATGCGTCTCATATTGACAATCGAGTACGAATATACCCGTAAGTCCCCTTTGCATATGATGCTACCTATCGAGAGGCAAGCTGACATATCGCAGGATTGTATGTGAACTGCTTGGCGCTGCAAGCTGTGGTCGATCGTTGGACGACCATGTCCAACGAGGGTTCTTCCAACATGGGCCAAAACCAGTCCAGCGGGACAGCTACTGGGCAGAACTCAAATTCAGGAACCGTTCCCTTACGTGTTCTCATGGATCAGTATGAAGTCAACGAGCCGTACATTCAGGAGGTGGTGGATGCCTCTCGAAAGATATTGCAGACAGTGCTGGAAGGCTTGGTTCCTGGGGACCGCTTGAAGCATGCACCCGTCCGAACATTCTTTAGGATACTTTCTGGAATGATCTTTATTTTGAAGGTAAGCTGCGTGATCTCACGTCAATGTCCTTTGGGCTACGTTGACTGTGTTTGAATAGACATTTACTTTGGGTGCAAAAGAAGACGACGTGAGAATATCACTCGAACTTCAAGACCGCACCATCGAATCCTTACGAACCTGTATAGTGGACGATGTCCACCTAAGTGTAACCATAGCAGATCTTCTTCAGCTGCTTACGTCGAACATCCGAACGAGGTTTTTGCGGTTCGCACCTTTTGACCGCGTGGATTGCAGCAGTCGAGAACGCACCCCTCTACCAGCTTCCCGACAGCAGTCCCCGCAAGCGCGCGACAGCCAGAGCGACATCCGCTGGCAGACGAACCCTCTAGGCCAAGGCACAGGAAACTTCCAATTCGACAACTCCAACCACAGCAGCTCCGCGCCATCCACCACCAACGATCCACTCGCCAGCATCCCCGCACAACCGATCAATTCCTCCAACATTAACGTATCCTTTATGCCACCTCCACCGTCCGTCTACTATAACTACTACGACCACAGCGCTTCTCCGAAGATGGAAGTCGACGACCCAACGATAGCTCCGCAGTCGATCAGCACCAGCGGGCCAGGATCGAATTCGAATACCATGTCTGATTGGTTTGCCTTGCCTCTTGACCAGTTCTTCAACAGTTCTACGGCTGGCGTTGACCAGGGACTCGGCGGTACCGGGCCCATGGTCGGCGAGTTCGACATGTTGGAAGTGTTGCTGAAAGACCAGTATACCGACAGCGGCGCCGGTGGTAGCGGTGGTGGAGGAGCAGGAGGGGGCGGTGGCGGTGCTGGCAACAGTGGCTCCGGCGGAGCTGGCGGCTCGAACGGCGCCGGACTGTCGTCTCAATTTCTTTGATGTGAATGAATGAATGAATGGTTTTATTTTTGTGGGAAACAGTACATAAATATATATATATATATATACCCTATTTATGTCTCTCTTTTTGGGTTATTAAAAACGGATCAATGGACGCTAGAAAGGATTGCGAGGGCAAAGGGTATCTGTGCTGTTTGGAACTGCATTTGCGTATGTTACTTTCACTTTCCCGTGTTTGTCTATCTCCTGGAGTGTGCGGCTTGATCTACTTCGTGGAGAACTACTGAGATTACTGACTAGTATTAGCATATTGAGCTAAAGTAGAGAGATGTCTAAATATTCATATATGGATATAAAAAAGCTTCATTTAAATAGTCTTATCTTCACACGCAACGGCAGCCATCCAATCCTATGACAACATTGCACTAGTCATTATCCTAAGGTAGTAGCTAGTGCGAGCTGCCATGAACATCTCGCCAGCATTATCCCCAAGGGAAAACTTGGAAGCTCCGCTTTCACCCCGTCAGCACGGCCTCCAGGAGCCTTCTGTCTTCACCTTCGGCCAAGTTCGGAGGCGCCCACGACCCAACTAACGTAAACCCAGCCCGATCCAACAGAGATTCAAACTGCTTTTTCGTTCGTTCTAGAGCCGAAAAATTTGCCATCATCATAAAGTCTATGGACGCCGAAAGCAGTGTCACTCCCGTCTCAGGGATGACGTTTTCGCTGACGAGGAGTATCGAGTCTGGACCCATCGCGTTTTTGATGTGTTCGAGTATCTTCAGTGCCTGCGTTTCAGGCCAATCGTGAAGTATGTTTGAAAGGTAATAAGCCTTTGCATGTTTGACGGGCTGTGGGGAGAAGAAATCATGCTCCATGGCTTGTATGCCAGCGGGCAACTCGTTCACATCTTTGAGGACAGCGGGGATATCTTGAAGAATCAGTTCTCCTGGCAGGTCTGGATATTGCTCTTTGAAAGCGATGAGGTCGTGTCCTCTTCCACCACCAATGTCGACGAGGAGCGGATCCGAAGTTGACCCCAGCTGCAGTTTTGTTAGGACTGGAAAGTACTCAAACCAATGTGTGCCCTGCGCCGTTCGAGATATGCTCAATACACTGTTGAACGCATGCTGGAGCCGTGGCTTTGTGGCAAGCCAGTCAAAACAATGCAAGTTTGTCTTTCGTGCGAATTGGAAGACACCATCGTAGGCGTCGTCGGGGTTCTTATAGCCCTTCGAAGAAAAGTAGGAGGGAAAAGCCGAAACAACCTCGTTCTGCGACGTTCTGAGAAGCATTTCTTAGCGCCACTATAAGAGACCAGGCAGACAATTGACGAACATATGAATAATTCCTTGTGCTAAAGGAGAAGCCGTGACATAGAGCTTCGCGAGTCTCAGCGGTGTATATACCCCTTCCCCCTTTTCACTAAATATACCCATTCCGACTAAGAACCTCATAACGCGCCCTGGGCCGGATCATTAGTCTCATAGTTTATACAATCACTTGGCAATATAGTTAGGTTGAAAGCTGCTAAACTACTTACTAACGAGTAGCGGATCCACACCAGCCAAAAAGGCAAGGTCATCAAGACGTACATCTGCACGGTCGGCGGATAATTTAGCAGAAGCATCGAACAGGCCCATATCCACTGCCAACCTAAGGGCCACTGATTGATGAGGCTGGGTTATAGAAACCCCGTCAGCGCAATAATTCTATCATAATCCTTCCCGCGAGTCAAGCAACGCCGGTCTCATGGCCGAATTCACGATGAAAGGGGAGGTTAGATGAGACTAACAGCAAATAAAAACTGGAATGTTGCCTCGCGAGGAGTCTCCAACTTCGATTTGAGTTTCGCGCAGGCGGCGAGGAGAGCTACACGCTCCTCCTCCTTGAGCTCTGCGGTGGGCACATTGGAGGCAGCGCTGATGGAATTGATAAGCTCTTGAGTGGCCATCGTCAATGTCTTCGGGTTGTAAACAAAAAACAAAACCTCCATAAAATTGAAAGGAAGCACCACCCATATTTGTAGTTTCAGGCCCGGTGATACCTCGAAATTCGGTGTCGCTAGGCATCACATTTCCCTCCCTGTATCCTGTCCTTTAGCGCCAACACAATCGGAACCGAACGGTGAGAAGTAGGGTAAGAAGTAGCATCGACCCTCCATCGTGGGCTTTCGAACGTATTCTGAGGTGCCGGGTGACAAGGAGTGCGCAACGATATCCCGATATGGAAATGCCGGAATCCCCGATCTCCGAGTTAGTCAGCCCAAAGTCCATTTTGTATATAACAAAAACTCATTCAATTACATGGTTTCCGACGTTGGTCAACATAGTATCAAACCATCCTCCATTTCCCGGGTATGCTCTGGCCCTCCGGTGAATCCGCAGGTCTGTCTCAAACTCCAGCTTGAGCAATAATATCAGTAGGTAACTAAATGAAAGGATAAAGCTTCCAGGGTATCCTCCCTTGCAACCTCGCAGGGAGAACTGAGAATAACCGCCCAGCCGGCTAAAATCCAACCGAACGGGGAAAAGCAAACAAAAAAAGGGAGACTCCAATCAACGCCACAAAGCCTTCCAGGTTTCCTTTCCGGAAAAGAAACAAGAAATAAAATAGACAAACGTACGTATAAAAATCGAGCAATATACACCTTCATATCTCTTGCGAATCCAAACCCCATATTTCCCAGTGTTTCAGGACTTCCCATCCTACTCGCCGCACTTTCCGTCTCCATAGGACACTCTCGCCTCCGGATGAAGACGTAGTTGGCTCTTGAACGCACTGCATGAGCCTCGACCTCGTATCCTCGGAGAGTTGGGCTCCGAGGTCTTCCAGCAGGCTCGCTGTATCCTGAGGAACTATGGCGTGAGAAGATGTGGAACCCCTCTGGCTATTGTTTAGAGTGGGATAGGACGCTGCGTCCGGCGGGATGACTGGTAGCGCGGGTTGGGAACATGGACGTTGCTTGCGTTTTCCTAGGACGGTATTCGTGGCAGGTGCCGGTGTCGCTTGCGTTTGCTTGGAATTCCAATGGCGTCCTAACTGTGCATTTGGCCCGCATGGTTCTATAGTTGGCGGGAGAGGATTATTGGGCCTGGTATGCGGAGGCTCTGCATTCGCCGCGAGGCTAGATACGGCGCCATTACCCGCATCCGTTGTACTTGACAGAGAAGTCCATTCATACGGACTTACTCCCTCTGTCACCGGGATTGAATAGAATTCGCCCAGTTCCCAGGCTTTCCACCCTAATCCAATAATTTTTAGCGTGCTAAAGATTTCCTTATCGGCTAGTCGAGCTCCCATTGCCTCATTGAAAATCCGGTCATCTAGATCTACAATCTCTGACAGTGATCTTGCATTTAAAGAATCCGCACTCGATCCATTGGCAGTCGGAAACGGGCCGTTGATACCAGTATCCTTTCCTTGCGGCCTTATAGGGCTGGGTGTTGAGTATGCAGGGCCAGTTGGGATGAGCAAGCGGATAGCAAGCAGCTTCCGCAAGAATGGTATTAGCAGACCCAGAGTTTCAAAGCTAGATATATCAGTAGCTAGCGCGAGCTGCTCTAAATTGGGACAAGAGCGAACCAAGCGAGCGATTAGAGGGCCGGGGAGAGACCATCGTGAAGAAAGCAGGAGATGACGTAGCCTCGGCCCGTTCACAGTAGCGATAGTGTGGACATATGCATCACGAAGAGAAATGCTGGCTGCGAGATTGGTTGGTTGAACGGGCAGTGGCGCTGCCTGGGATACCGAGGAGAAACCGTTTGCAGTAGCGGAGTTGGGATCTATGGTCGAAGGGGGACTCATAGAAGCCGAGGATTGCGCTGAGCCGGCAGGTCGCGGGCTATTAACGGAATCGGAGGCGTCCAGAATCGGTGTCACGAAATATAATCTCTCCAAATTCTCCAGACTAGCCAGGAACTCACAACCTTTTCTTTCTATGCGATCATGGCGCAGACTCCTAATGCCAGGGCACTTCGGCGGGGGCCAACTACTCTCCACGAATGTCATTCCGGCCAGAGACGGATCATACACACCGGGGCTATTCAACGTGGTGACGTCTTCAAGCATATCGGGATCTAAGGCGGTCTCAAAGTCATCGGTATGCAATGCGTAGAAATTCTGGAGCGCTATTTTCCTAAGACGCAGAGGCGACTTCGCCGCGATGCATTTGCGAAAGTAGTCGTGCAGGGTCACACTAGGCTCTTGAGCCTCTCTCATTCGTGGTGACCAATGCATTTTGAGCTCTCGCAGCTTCCTGCTGTGTAACAACAACGTCGATATGTCGTCCGGATAGCAGAGAGGATCTATGTCAGTGATTTTGAGCGAACGAAGCTGAGGCATGCCAGGGATAACGGTAGTGGGACGAGGATGGCGACTCGATGGGAATCGAACAGTTAAAGAGGTCAGTCTAGGTAATTGTGAAAGGCCAATATATGCCGTCTCCAGCATTTTCGTATTGAGTTCCCAACTAGAAATGAACCAAGGGTCAGCAACCGAAAAAGAAGAAGAAGAAGAAAAAGGGATTTTCAAACGATCGCGTCCGAAGAGCAAGTAAAGGAACAACGAAAGAATCCAACATCCCCCCATACCTGAACTTTTCCAATCCAGTCATCTTATCTATCGCCGCTCGAACCGCGATATTCAGCATCATCGAGGAATCGGTGACTCTCCCCACTCTCGCGTGCTCATCCAGTCCATCCTCCCTCCACTCTCCCCGCATTGTCAGAGAGCGAACCAGCGACGCGACATTCCTCGTGACAATCGCATTCAGCCCCATCGAAAAAGGGCTGGCGCTGCCACATCCCTCTGGCAGATCATCGCGATAGCGAATCTTATCGTACGAGGTCAAAGTGATGTTTTTATACAGTTGCGGCAGGGTCATATAATTCAAGACGCGACACGTCCGACATAGCCGAGAAAGGTCGCCAACATCATCAAGCTATAGAAACTCAGATAACAAGCGCGTTAGCAATGCTGCCAGTAGGAATTTTGAAGGGGCGGAACTCCAATGGGGTATATGAGTTCTCGGCTCACATATGACAGAATCAAAGCTACAAGGTTGAGCGGGAGGGCCATCAAGGACCGCGGCTGCGGAGGAGTGTCAGCGCGGACACCCGCGTTGAACATGTTTGCATTGACGGTAGCCATTTGCCATGGATAATTTCAAGGGCACGGCTACGAAACATCTAGCTATGTGCTTTCCTGGTTTTGCACGACTAGGGGGGGGCGGGTGATAGAGGAGGAGAAAAGTTGCGCGAACGGTGTTGATGTGATATTTAGTGGATCCTGTATCACGAAGTCGTCCAAGCTCGGGGCTGCATGAATAAGCTCCCACCGTACGACATGCAACAATGGGTCAGCAGAAGTCACAATATTGGCCTACTCTGCACTCTGTAGAGATGTCTAGAATATATAGAAAATTTTTTATTCATGATCCTTATTTCACCAGCTGTTATTTCACTGCATAACTACCTCTGCGGGAGTAATTTCAAGACGGAAAGTCTGTTGAAAATCCAGGCACATATTTCTGCATCCACCTAAACGCCTCGCTAACTATAGAATTTTCATACGAGGGGAAAAAAAAAAAGACAAACCTAGTCAGGAGTCGAGCTCAGGTCACGCCATTGGTTCCGCCAGAATCATCCCAGAAACGCGAAGGATGAACGGGAGGACTTTGCTGCGCCGCTGGGGATTGTCCCCGCCCATTGTCGAGGCCCGACGACGGTGGTACGGAATTAATGAGCGTCCTGTCCGATGAGGAGCGGGACCTCTGTGCCCCTGAGGTATTTTCAACAATTTCTTCCTCTTCACTCAAGGCGGACTCGAATTCTGGCACGGCGAGATCACGTCCACTCCCGGTACTTTCTTGATTATGCTCTGTCTGAGATGGTAAGGGGGTCGGGTGTATTGATCTCTGGTCATTTTGAGAATAATCTTGTCCAGGAGAGCGAGTACTCGGTCGACTTCGAACATACTCTTCAAATGCAGACGAATCCCACGCTTTGGCTACTCTCGGCCTCGCCGGTATCACAACTACGGGGAGGGGTGTATCGGAGTTTCCACGATCGTGGTCATTGTTCCTTGATTCTTGTGCTCCTGAGTGGTGCGTTGTGCTATGAGGAACGGCACACTCCCGTCGCGATCGGGCTGGAATGACCGTGATGGGTAAAACTGACTCTCTTCGCTGAGGTTCGCTATTTTCGCTTTCCCGATCGTGGTGTAAAAAGGATCGAAACGTGCTAAGATGTGTTTTTAGGGTGGAATGAGCCTGTGTTTTGTCGCTGTGCTCGGGCAGTGTAGGATGGCGCATATTGCCTTCTTCCGCTTGAGCACTCGCAACTTCTTGTGGAGGAGAGCCTCGACGACGCCCAAAAGGGTTGAGCATATGAAGCCAGCTGATTCCTTGTCTCAGATGAGGGGCAGGGACCGGGACAGAATAGGTACTTCTATGATCCGTCTCCCTGGTCTGAGGCGGTTCAAATCCTTTCTCGGCGTCCCCATTCGGTGCCACATCAGATGTCGACGGCGATAGACTCCCGACTGAATGATGTCGTACACGGTAAACAGTACTAGCCGTGTCTGCACGACTCAGGGTTGTTGCTGCTTGAGGAGGGGCAGTTGGATGATCGTCCTGAGATGAATCTGCAGCGTGCTGCGGTCTTGCTCTGTGCTGGCGACCTTTTCGCCGAGGTCCAGTCCGGAATCTAGCCCGATTCCTCAAAGGTCTACCGATTATGCTAGCCCAACGACCGCCGCCACCTCCTTTCCCATCACTGTTCCCGTCAGAGGCATCTTGCGATGTATCAACTTCTTCAGAGGGGGTAACCTCGAGCATTTCATCCCCATCGAATATCTCTCTCCCCAAAATCCCGTCCTTTCTCTCTTCTCTCTCCAGGGCTTCAATCCGTTCCACCCACTCCCATACTACCACACTGGCCGCTGCGGCTCCAACCCACCTAATATATTCACCCCAACCAGCAACATTCGGTTTCGAGACGTCCAAAATAAAAAAGACAACGGGTATCAACACTGCGACTAAAGACAATAACGCCACCAAACAAATATTGCGCATATTGACGTGAAAGAAGGCGAATCGGTGTTTAGAAATCGAATAAAAGATGACCCAAGCGGCATAGAGCAAACTAAGCGATAATTCAAAGAGATAATTCAAAGCAGGTATGGCATCGACGATATGCCTTGGTCGAACGGTCACGCCCGTCGATTGGCCGACAGTATTGTTGAGGATGCTGAAAATCGTATCAAGCACAATCATCGCGAAACCAACCCACTTGATTATGACTTTCTCCTTATGTCGCGGGAACAGTCGGATCAACGTCTGGACCTGGGCCAGCCAGAGAAAAGTGCTCGAAATGACGCGGATAACACGAATTTCCACACCATTCACAACTTCGTTTGTCAACGCCATTGAATCCATATAGCCTAGTTCGTACTGTTCCTTGGCCACAGCGAACGAATCTGCAGTTGCGATGCTGAGTGAAATGACAACCGTCAAGGCAGCAACTTTTTGCAACCATGGGCGTCCACCAACCCCGATGACAGAGGAGCTGCCATAAGAGCCGCTGATCATGCCATGGCGACTGAGAAAAGCACCACCACGACCCCCTATAAAGAATGTTCGAGGCGTTATAAACAGCATAATAAGTAAGAGGTAGCTGATGACCGTCGCCGCTGCAACAGCGTACATCTGGGGGAAGGTAGAGGCATAAAACGGTTCATGAGAATTAAGTATCGTCGAGGGATCAAGCGGTTTGGGATGTTCATGGCCTGTGCACGCGGGTTCGAAGATGGCATTTTGAGTCAACGTCAGGGCATATGTGGCATTTAAGATGATGGTGCCTGCAGCGAAAAAAAGAAAAGCCAAATGAGGGCAACAGTTAGCATGTTCAGTAGAATGGAAAGGCAGGGATAACCACCAGGAGACGGCGTATATCTATCTGCGCTAAGGAAAAGTAGTATTGACGCATACCTCCTTTGCCCAAAGCGACGGGGGAGCACCCTTTCGTCCTATTCATGTGTCTGTGGAAATCAAATACCCTGGACGGCATATCCATGACGTCGAGTAATCGGAGAAACCCAGGGTATGCGGCCTGGATGCCATTCAGCTCAGAGGGACGAGAACGCGATAGACAAGCGGTACACGCGCGACAAATGGCCGAGCAGATCAGATCTCTCAAAGCGGGGAGAAGCCCCATAAAATTGATCAATCAATCATCAGACCCACAAGTGAATCTTTCCTCTCTCTCTCTCTCTTTTTTTTTTTTTTTGCCTTTTTTCCCTTTTTCTTTTTTTTGCCCCCCTTTTTGCAAAGAAGGCGAACACGAACGACGGCTATGTCACGAAAAGCCTTCTCTGAGTGTGCCAGTCCCAGGAGTTCCGACTTTCACTTCACCGCAACATGTGTGTCCCGCAAACGATCGAGCCGGAGAGGCAATGCGCGCGCGCAAGCGACAGGCAGCGCGATATACCGTAGACGAAGAGCGTAGAGTCCGAACCAGAAGGCAAAGAGCGTCAGACGAGCGTTCGGCCGTGCGTCCGTGGCACAGCAAAACGAAGAACTATACAACCGAGACGCAACGTCGGGAGGCCTGTACTCTCTGCAGAAGTTAGTTCGTCACGGCCGCAGCAAGCAGCAAACCTAACCCGTACTTCCGAGGATAAGAAGTCTTCCTCACGTAAATGGATCAGGTCATCAGGGAACGCTTGCAGTGCTGCTTTCTCGGCGCGAGGACGGAGAGAACTCGCATGTCGCACGCTGACTCTCTGCCGGCGCAGGGCGAGACGAGCACAAACCCTTTCGACGAGGCGGGCACGACCAGCAGAGACAGCGGGCGATCCCCATTGGCCAGCGCAGCCTCTTACATAATTGGGCCTTTCTTTCCGCCAAGAAAAAGCCAAGTTCGGCAAGGTTGGTCACGTGACTTATCTGTGTGTGATTGCTTAGTCATTAGTGGATTAGGCTTGGAATAAGCTTTTAATGCCAAGATGCCAAGACCGAAGGCTGCGGGTCGGTCTTGGCATTGCTTCCCGCCGATTTTTGACGTATTTCAGGGCGCGATGTACTCCGTACGTGAGAACGAGAGTACGAGTTGTGGGAACGGGCATCAGGTTGAATCTGCTTGAATTATGGTCTTCATACCTAGCCCTAACTCGATGGTGTAATACTAGCCTGAACTCGCTCTCTCCACATCCAAGGAATCCAGTTATAGTCCAGCGAAGAAAATAACAAGCGAAAAAGGGAGCGAATAAAAAAATGGCACTCAGGAATGCTCGAGAATCCAAGGAAATGCGTAAAACAAGAACAGAGACTCCATACGATGTCAGGATTGTGGGCTGGCCGAAACTCAAATACCTGTTCCCCGGCGAGGTGGCTGAGGAACAACTTGAAGAACATTTTTGCAAGCTGTAGCACGAGAAAGTCTAGGCACCATTCACGGAGTGCCTCTCGAGCCGCTTCAACGTGTTCTTCCGACCCCACCAGGCGAGGTCCTCCGCAGATAAACAGTTCAAATTGAATTCGAATCGAATCACTTTGAACTACTCCCTTCCAGCCACTTTCATCCGGACCTGTGGTCTCATTTGTTCGGGGGACTCGTAACACGAAAACGGACCGAAGACAACCCCCCCCCGCCCCCCCAAAAAAAAAAAAAAAAAAAAAAAAAAAAGGAAAGAGAGAACCACGGAAACAAATCGCTACAACAATCATGCGTATAGTACATTCAAGCGCCGTTTCGACCGGGGTATATCATTCGAATCATAAGTATCTATTAAATGAGAGCGTTCGTATGCTTGTGTGACGATCACCAAAACACGGAAGATGTTCACTATGGTTAACCTCACCGGAAGGTTTGTTTCATCGGGGCGGAGGACTGAATATCATTTGACCGGGGGTCGTATAGGCGGGAACCGTGCTCCCAGGCACACCGCCAGTAAGCCGTGCGGCCTCTTCCCGATATTTGATTTCTCGCTCGTCTTGGATAAGTGTGCAGCATGTACAGCAGGATGCTCTCACGCAGTCTGTTGCTATATCGCTGGAGATACCATATGCTCGTCGAACGCGAATATGTTGAATGGTTGCTAAAAGCCCTACAGTGCTCGGAAGAGAGGTCAGCAAGGGGCTTGATGCATCTCTTATGGAAATATGAAAGCGAGCATCCCCATAACGTACATTGACATCCACAGAGCAATCCCATGGCAGTACACTGAGCATTGCAAGTCTCGTAACCCAATAAATTCGTGGGATCCTTCTGGTCGGATTTCCTCGACAATCGATACTGTGTCCTGCCATATAGAATGCATGGGCAAAACAGACCCGTGCAGCAGACTCCTATGTCTCTGCAGTCACATAAAGCATAGCTCCATGTTCCCCCTCTGACCTCCTGTCTCGGATGTAGGACTTGACCTGGGGCATGATTCAAATCGCGTGCTGTGGTCCTTGTCCCCAGCTGTGATCCAGCGGCTGATATCGAGCTGGGCTTAGGTGTAAGCGCTGGATCCGGTGGAGCTAGTGGATTGCTATCTGGAGCAACACTGTACTCCTTCTGCGGGGGTCGTTGTTGTTGCATATCCGGCTGAAGCATTTGCTTGGGCGGAATGGGGCCGGGAGACGCAGGTGAAGGGCTGTGGTATTGAAGCTGTTGCGGTTGCTGTGGTTGCTGCGTTTGCCGTGTAGGGGACGTGGGAGAATCTGCGTAAGGAGCAAATCGCGCAGGATGTTCTGATAAAGGAGGTGGAGTGGGATTCATTTGAGGTTGGATGTACGGGACCGTATGAGCCGTCGCTTGCGGCGGTGGACTATTCGCGCCGGTCACCGTATATGAGAAGGCATAGGGGTTCTGAGGCCCTGGCGACGATACCCTGTCGCTTTGGATCGGAGGGCCAACGGCGTTGTCCGGTTTGTCTGGGTTGCGAGGCGGGAAGGTCGGCACTTGGTACTCTGCTGGGGTGTTAAGATAGGAATAACGTCGCCCTTGTCGCTCGTTCACCGGTTGAAGGTGTAAATTCGACATTGTCGAAAAGCTGCGAGTGCGAACACCATATAGGCAGCTGGCCCGGTTTCTCTTCGCTTTCTATCGTGAGCTAAAATGTCAAGCTCTCTGCAATAAGTCAGCTTTGAATTTTCCCTTCTTGTCGCTATTGAGTTGGAAGTCAATGAATAGTTCTCTCTCCCGAGAAGTAAAAAAAGAATCGAAGAAAGGGACAACCGTCAGCCAATTCAAAGCAAATCGCAATAATACTTACCGCGTCTACTTCGTATCACCCCCCAGGCAGATCGTTTTTATGCGACTGCTCCACTTGGATGCGACGAATAGAAAGCCTGCATCGCCATGCAGCAAGGGTTTCTTCCAATTGGCGCTGACCCAAGGAAGGCTATGCACCCATTTCTCCCTGGTCTTCGGGGCTTGAAACCAACCCTACGCAGGAGATTCGCCTAAAAATAACAGCAGAGCCGGCGTCATCCCTGCCTGGAATGCTCCGTATGGTGGAAGGGATGATAGAAGCACACAAGAGTGTCAAAGAGTTGGTAAATCTCGCCCTAAAACTTCGTGCCCAGATTCTTTTTCTTTGGGCAGAAAGATCTCGACGGAATCGATCGAGAGAGAGCCGGTGGAGACGATCAAGGTGACGTCTCGACGCTCGAGCCCGTGGTTGGGCAGGACGATCTCGGCGGCCATGCAACCCAAAGGAAGTCTGACCACCAGGTCTGTGAAACGACCAGAAAATGAGTTGTCCACAATCACATTGTGCACACTCACGATCCTCAAACCACTGGTCCATCGCGCTGGTTCAATAGCCATCCCGGCAACTTAGTCGCGGCTCGGGACTTGTCAACCTGCATGTTCCGCCTCTTTCTTACCGTTTCGTGGAATCATCAGCATGACTCGGGCTGGTGTGATTTTCCGCAGGTGTCACAAGCAGGGCAGTGCTTCCAAGAGCAAAAGGTCGAATACATAGCCAGCCAGTAGTGCACCGGCCATCAGTTAGCTCAGTGTATTTAACTAGCTCCTCACTTTCACTTCAACTTCAACAGCAGGTTTTTAAGAGCGTGGTCCAAATAACTACGCTTTAGATTCACAAGAAGAACTAAGCGACCAACTATCACTCAAGGATATTTCGACAACCTTCTTGTCTCAAATCGATCCCGCGAAGCATGTGCAATTGTATGTCACGTACCGGAATGTCATTCCACAAAATGCAAGGGTGCTAGTGTGACTGAGCCTGCATGGGCAGCTCGGCGGCTAACTGCAGCCTGAACTGCCGCAGCAGCTGCAAAAGTTGAAGTGGCGAGGAGATATCTTCGGGGTAAGTGTCAAGGCCTAGCAAGAGCTGCAGGCGAGGGCTCTCTTCGTCTTGCGGGCGAAAGGTAAAAGGTTCCTCTGGCCTTGCAGCTACACGCTTTCCCGTCCTACACAGCCTCCCGGACTCTGGAGGCACTCTAGATACAGCTAAAGGAGAGTTTCTATTTTGATGGTTAGAAGGAAAATTCGAAGCACCGTGGGAGCTGGTGATTGTAATGCAGCACATGAATCTTAGGAAGATAATGCTAGGATGCCTGACATGGGCGGCGGGAGTCTTTGATTTCAGAGAGGTGGAAGGAAGACGTTCGAGAGAAATGGCAGTGGTTATAGCCATGGCAGCCAAGTTAGTCAATCGATCAATATTTACATCGTGCGGGGGGTATAGCAGGATGGGGCCATGGGCCGTAGCACAAAGACTCGTCCGGCACCTTTTGCAGTAGTCCGGCAAAGAGCTTTGCGTCTGCCGATCTACCTCCATCATAAGGAAACCCCAACGCTCAAACCCATGGCCTTCCAATAGAACCTAACATCACTATTTAAAGGCCCAACATAGGAGATAGAAGGAATAGGTTCATAGCTCATTTGTATTCAACAGAACTGCCAACCATTTTGATTTTAGGAAATATCCTTTTCCCCGATATATCCTGAATACCCAAGACATGTATATCTAGGAGCTATTAACAAGTAGTCTCAGTAGCTGAGGACACTCCTTATTGACCCATTCCAGATATTGCTTCCACGCATGATGTTCGCTTGACGTCTCCGCCCCAGGAAATGCTTTCTGAAGCTCACGCGTAATCCGTAACACACCCAACGAGGCTTCCTGGGCCTTTTCTAATTCCTGCTTCACAGCTGACTCCTTGAGTTTGGTGGACAAGATTACTTGGAACGGATCGCATAGCGAATCAAGACGACCTTCGGTCTCCTTAGGAGCGAGGACGATCAACTTTGATATCATCAGATTGCAAAGGGTGCGGATATCCTGTTCGTCCCGGATTCCGGTCAAGATACGATCGTATATCTCGGCAATGTTGAGGATGGAAAATGCCATTTCCACACAAGTATAAAGCGTTTCGTAGGCGCTCTGTGAAATTTTTGTCAGTTAGCAAGAATTGAATATTCACCAGCGTAGCAAAGGTCACAAATACCTTTCGGAGTTCCAATCCATCGTCTACCTTGTGTTTAAATGGGCCCATCTGAACTTCCCGTACCAATTCAGGTTTAAGGTGCGTGTCAACCATCACTGCTGGAAGTAACTGGCTGAGATGGGGGATAATGATGTCGGGTTTATTATGGATAGCCGAATTGACGGTGGTCAATGCAAGTCGATGATTGCCCAGATCGGTGTCATTGAGCATCCTGACCAGAATCGGGATGATGAGAGGTCGTAGAACATCATTGTAGGCGCTGGTAGAGTCAGCAAGCGTGTAGCGGAATGCTGATATTACCGTGCCTCTTGTGGCAGCATTTTCATGAGTGAGATATTCCTAAAGCAAATGTTAGCTCACTCTAGTATTATTTTTAACGGCAGACAGGTCGCTTACCTGGAGAAGGGGTATATAACGCGTGGGATCAATCAGAGCAAGCCGCCCGAGGCATTCTGCGCCCACGACACGGTTATCTTCGTCATCGGAGGCGGCAAGCAAAATTTCCCAGAGTCTTGTGGCAAATGGCGAGACATCTGCACGAACGCTCTCAGGGTGCTGCAGTATTTCCCTCAATGAATGCAGTAATAGATATTTCGACGAATTCTTCTCTTCCAGTTCTGCGAGAATGACTGGCAAAAATGTTTCGATATTACTTGCACCCACGCTACCAAGCGCGACGGCTGCAGAAAATCGGACCTTATCCGATTTGGACTGAAAGTTAGAGATAAATAGATCGGGTGTCAGGGACGAGTCCAATCCTAAGAGAAGGCCAATCTCTCCTAAGACCGCAAGAGCGAGACATTTTCTTTGGACATCTTCCTGTGTCTGAAGTTCCTTTAGGAAATCCTGCGCCCTAACGCCTATCTGCGATCCTCCGTACACAACCAGGCTTCCAATTGCTCTTCCCACAATGGAAGGGTCCCCGTTGACACCAACATTTTGTAATAAGGCTTTCATGAATGTAGCCCCGGCACCTTGCTCTCCGATGATCCGGACAAGGTGCAGGTATACTTTCAATGCCACTCCAGTCGGGGATCCCTGAATAACGGAACAAAGGGCTTTGATCATATTTTCATCCACCAGTTGGTCGGCATGGCCAGGAATGATCTTCGATAGTATGACCAGGGCGGGAGTAAGGAGGTGAAGATCACTAGCTGTGAGCAGCGGGAGGAAACTGCTCGCGAGATCCTTAACTGTTTTTGGATTATAATGTTGGCGGCAATGCGGGTTTATAGTCAGACTTTTAAGAGCTCCAATGGAAGCATCTCTTAGGGCACGGTCAGCTTTCCGCAATTGCGTGGCAAGTTCTGATGCTACTTCAGCCAACCATCCTGGACTAAGATCCACATCACAGGATGCAAGCATAGCAACATCATTGATAGCACGAGCAGCTGCAACTCTTGTTGTCTCATTTCTCAAGCGATCAGAGAGGATCGAGAGGCCCCTCGCTCTGTGCGCAGGCGAAATGAACTTGGCTCCTTGTGAACCAGAGGTCCGTGCGAGGAGGACACCAAGAACGTGAATTGCACGCTGGCGAACCTCCAGATCAACACTATTATCTGTTATCTTCTCAGTAGCCACATCATACAGTTTCTCTAGCTGCAAGCCAAGATCTTGATTATCCGGTGAGACGCGGGGAGGTGTCATGGCTTTAACAATCTCTTCGATGGTACCGAGAGCTTCGCCTGCAACCTTGTAGTTTCTTTCATTGACGGCCGCCATGACACCTGGTACCAACGCAATCAAGAAAGGCGGTAAGGCATTAGACATATGTGTTTCTGCAATCGCCGCAATCAGACTAAGAGTATCGATTTGCAGATTCCCGGCAGTGACAGATGTTGTGCCGGCAGACACGGAAACACCTCCAGTGAAAGCTGAGCTTTTCAATGCATCGGCGATGGGATCCTCTATCCGCTGAAGGAAATCAGCAAGGCCGCCATAACGTACGAGAGCTAAGGACTTTAGTAAGTTGATAGCAGCTTGTTTCAACGGTATGGACGCCCGCCTCCATAATTTCACCAGGCCCTGAACAATCCCTGGCGTTAACTTCACAACTCCACCGATAGGTCCCGTTTGCGGAGTCGAAGGAGCAATCGGAGGCCTATCCATAGCCGAGGAAACATGAGTCTCAGGTTCATAGTCTAATATACTCGCATCGCTATCCTGCCGCCTCCTTTTGCGGGAATTGCGAGCGTGGGACTCGGATGTCATGGGAGCAGCGCCCATGCTCGCAGATATTTCGCTAGCTTTCTTAATGAGACCGGTCAAAGTCGAAACCACTTCTAATTTGACACTTTCTTCTCTTTCCTTGTTAAATCTTGCAAGAAGGGCCGGCGCTATTTGCTGATATACGGTGTCGTCGTCTATCGGTCGTGTTGCACTTCGACCCTGGGTTGAAATGACACTAAACAGCAATTTGGCGGAACAACGTCGAACTTTCCAACTCAAATCGTCAATATCGCTGTAGCCCTCTTCTTCTTCGAAATCCTCGTAGGCATCATTGTCTTCGTCCGGCTCTTCGGTAGCGCCATCATCACTCCCTTCATCCTGAGTTCCACCCATTTCCTCGTCCTCAAACTCTGCGACGTTGGGGTCATATTTGAGATATCTCAGGGCAGCGGCGATCGAATCCAGCAGATAAGGCTGCATGTGATGGGTGCAAAAAGTAACCAGTGTGTCAAGCGCTACCAATGCTGTCTCACGTAGCTCGTCCTCCTTGGGATCGTGCTCCCCGGAATCCGACTGGTCCTCTTCCATCTCGTCAAGTTCTTGCTCACTGACGGCCGAGAGCACAAACGGGGCCAGCGTTTTCAAATATGGACCAAACCTGGAAGGAGTTGACCTTCCGAGCGTAGCAACGGTCGCAATGAGATGGCGCCGGCTGTTGATCGTACCATGGGGAGCGCGAAAGCCTTCAATGAGCATGGAAACGAGATGGCTGAGCTGATCATCAGAAAAGTAACCGGCGAGAACTGAAATCGCAGAGAACGCTCTCTTTGTGGCCACTGTTCCCGCGCTTTCGTCTTCTATTATTCGAAGCACGGTCTCTTGCAGCTCTCCCAACTGCGATTCCGCCAGCAATGGGCCATATGAATTCACCATCTCGACCAGAACGTCGATCGCATCGCTGTTATAGCCTTTTCCGGTGCGATTTACTATCATGGACTCCACACCTTTGGAACCCACCAAACGGGGAATGAGGATTGTGGATATCACAGCGTAGCATATTTGAACCTCAGAAGAGACCGCCGCGCCGACTGTTGGACGAGGTAGGGCAGTTAAGATGCTTCTGAGAGCTGTGTTTGGAACCGACGTATCAATTGATACCGACTCCGTCAAACGGCACAGATGCTGCAGCAGGTAACTAAGGACTTGATCCGAAACGCGACGAGCGAGGGGAGAGAAGCTAGGAGAACAGAGTAAGAGTTAGAACTCACAGCGAAATCCTGTGACCGTTATGTTCGGTAAGGTTACCCACCATTTCAGGGCTTGGTTCTGCACCTCCCCGTGCTGGTCTTCCAGTGCTTTGAGAAGCCCCTCCGCGATTCTGCCAAGCAGACGCGGGTCTTGAGGAAGGAAAGATGAATTTTGGTTCTCGAGGATTCCATGAAGGTCGTTCAAGGACATGTATCGAAGGTCTGGATCTGGATCTGTGAACTTCTGGAGCAGCAAGCTCAGGTTGTGTGCCACCGCTTTCCTTTCCATGTTGGAACAACGGTGAAGAGGAATAGAATGGTGAATGAGGGGTAATCAAGCACGTAGGAAATCTGTGAGTGCCACAGAGACTGTCGCTCTAGTGACAGAGGGCATTCATGGATCTCTCCCTCTTTAGGGTGTTAGGATCAAAAGGATCGGAGAAGACAAAAAAGTGAGACGTTGTTTGCCTGCTGTGAGCTAAGTAAACAAAGGTGGGATGCCTAACAACCAGTTACTTATGACATCGTGCCTTTTTCTCCAAGTCAGTCTACACAGCACTGCTTCAGATTGGGCAGCTGGCCAACTCCACTCAGCGCTGCAACACAGGACCTTACCACAAGATATTCTGAGCTGCAAGACTCTTCCCATCTGCATTTCCAAGTCCTCGCAGAATGATCACCGTCCGCTCCTCTCCAACCGCCGCCCCCCGTCGATGTCATCCCGGGAACAGCGCTCAACGATTTAGTCACGTGATAGCATACCCCAAGAGCTGTTCTTACGTAAGACGCCGCAAAGCCGCTGACTAGGGCGAAAACAAACTGACATCTCGCCATTTCCAACCTCCCGCACCCGAACATCACTGTCCTCAATTCCAGTCAATTGCGGTCTATTTGCTGTCCGAACCCCCTTCTCGCTCTCCTTGCTCCCAAAATATAAACACAATGGTCCTCCCACGCTCCGCAGCTGCCTCCTTCCGCACACTATTCTCCGCACAGTCGAGAAGAGTAACCGCCCGCGCCGCGAGATCCTCCCGGGTTTGGCAGCAGACCAGCCGACGAGGATATGCTACCGAGGGCGCGGAAGCGCACCAGCCTGGCAGTGACATTCCATGGTAAATTATGCCGTCCCTCCAAAATTGGGAAAAAAAAAAAAAGAAGGAATTCAATTCATTCAACAATTGCCAATTCGCACTCATCCCCAACCGAAGAACGTCCGCCCGCCAATCGGGCGATTTTCCGGGACTTTGGCAGCAATTGATCTAGAAGAGCATGCTAATTCTCAAATTGAATGATACGCATACAGGCTCATCGGTTCCGTTGCCGTAACCGCCCCATGTGCGTATTACCTTTGGCAGTCCGGTCCCTCCGGCGAGTCCCACGGCCACGGCCACTCCGAACACGCATCGGGAGAGGCCCACGCCGAATCCCATACTGCCCCCGCCGCACCAGCCGAACCCGAGCCCGAGCCCGAGCCCGTGAAGGCTGAGGAAAAAGCTGAAGCCACCGAGCCAGCACAAGAGCAGGAGACCGCCGCCCCAGCTCCGATTGCCGAAGAGAAGGAGGCCGATGCTGCTGCTGCTGCTGCTCCTGCAGCTGAGGAGGTGAGTATATAAGCTGGGGAAAATTCTCCTTTTTACAGTCCCCCCCGGGTTCATCCTTCCCAAAATTCCCCTCATCCCATCTAACATTCCCCCCCCCCCACAGCCCGAGGAGTCTACCTCTGATAAGCCTGAGGAGAAGGCCGCCGGTGCCGAGGAAGCTTCCCCAAGCGACAGCGAGCCCGCCAAGACCGAATCCAAATCAGAGTAAAGCGTAGGACGATCCCACGAAAGTCGTTTTGCAAAAACCAAGGCCGAAAGACTTGGGAGCCCTCATTTCTATCCGTGTTGACCCATTCCCCCGGAGGACCCTATCAGGTGAACGGCGTGGGAAATGGTGTGGCCCTAACACCATTGTTTTGGCTCTCCTTTTCTCACTTGTAGAGGAAAAATGAGAATAGTCAAAAAGGAGGTGTCTGTATCAAATAAAAAGGGCATGGTATGATAGAAGATGAGCATGTACTGTACAGATAATCGTGTAATTCATAGGGAAAACGAAAACAATTCAGCTTGTGGCTTTTTTTTTTTGGATTAGTTTCAATTCCCGGGGTGTACCCTGTATTTCAGGAGTTATTTCCAGCAAGAAGGTCTCTGGTCCATCAGGCCCAGTGCTTCCACTTCTCATCCTAGTATGCATTATGGTGACATGTATGTACTGTACAAGCAAAAACAGCCCTTGTCTACAGGCAAAAATCCTCTTAGGAAAAAGAAGGAGAAGAAAAGGAAAATTATTATAAAAGGCATAATGCGAAAAAAGTGTTATCAGGAGAATCAAAGATAGGAGTCCCCAAGCCCACATCTCCGTGCGAACATCATTTCTGGGAAAACAGATCAGATCACATCGGCAAATAGAGAAGAACAAGGTGACAGGTTGAATGCAGCAGCAATGGTATGTTCTTCTGTATGGAGTACACAAAACAAAAAAAAAAAAAAAAAAAAAAAAAAAAAAAAGGAAAAAAAAAAGGAAAATAAAAGGGGGTGTTTTAACACCCAAAGTATTAAAAATAAGTATCCAAATGCCTAGGCAGAAAACAAGACACAGAGATAAGGAACGAAGTTCCAGTATGTATTTTGTGCATGACCAGGACCAATATCAAGCAAGAAAATAGTCCAGTGCAGCTGAATCATGGGCAGAGGAGCTGCGCAGAGATTGGGGAAGAAATATGCAAAAATAAGCCCATTCTAACCAAAACGCCTTGGCTTGACCCAACAGCATGCAGACATGAAAGCATGGGGGCCGCAGATGAACTTGATGGACCAGGTGGAATAAGAACCATCAGAACCTGTGTGATGGTATTCCCATTATGGTCCCAAGTAATCAATCCAAAAGAGCTTCTTAACGTTGATATGTATGCAAACTCCGCCCGATAGGCTCTAGACAGTGGTCATTAGGTTTCATCTCAAAAATCATTTTTGCTTCTTGCCATTCATGGTGGGTGTCGAGGATTCAGCATGTGAATGTGCCGTAGAGCCAGTCGCACGGCCATTGGTAACACCGTTAGAAACTTCATTCTCCTTATCAGCATTTCTTCTCCTAACTGATGTCGGGCTGTTTCCGTTAAGTAATATCGTCGGGACGGTTGTTGAACCATTATTAGTTTTGTCGTTGTGAGGTGTATCTTCGACTTCCTCCTCTTCCTCTTCATTATCGCTCCGTTCATCCTGTTTGATGTTGTTGAGAAGATATCGCTTTGCGATTCGAAGGATAAGGAAGAGCCAGAACAAGTTTATGGCCTGCAGCGCGCTCAAAAGTGCAAATGTAATATACTGACTGATCCAGCATTTGTATTGCTGTGTTTCCCAATTGAGCTCGAAGGGCCCGACAGTTCGAAATTCCGTTAAGACAGCCCAGATAATGCGGAGATTCAGGTAATGTCTCATGTAAATCCAGATGGCAATAAACATCGCAAAGTAAGGGCCCATGATTGCAGAATCCAAATAATTTAGTGTTTTGGAAGTCTATTAGATTTAAATCAAAGTCAGCTTCTTAATAAAAGAACTAAAAAGCCAAAAAAAAAAAAAAAAAAAAAAAAAAAAATTCAAGCAAAGACTAGATGATGCACTTTCATGCAACAGTTAAGACTTACCGCAAGGAAGAAGTCCGACACATCATGTGTAATATAGACAGCCAGGCCGATATAAGTGAAATGGAAACGATAGCTGAGCGCAATCAACGCCAGTGTGACGATGTGATGTCCCACAAGCTCTTTGAAATCCTTCCTAGGTTTCTCCAGCTGCAAGACCAAAACGATGGCCTGCTGGGCCCAGTAGCTTGCCTCAAGCAAGTAATACGCCTTGAAATCGGCAGTGTGCGTCTTGTGGGGGAAGCCTTCGAACATCGCCGTCGTATTGAAGTACCATATCTTCGTGCGACTCATGACATATAGACCGTAGGGCCCGAAGATGGCAAAGTAAACAGCGGTGTAGAACTGTTCCATGAAACGGGAGGTTTTCGCCTTCCCCTTTATTCCACAGCGACGCGCCAGCGGTTTGATCATCCTCTGCATCAAAAATTCACGTGTGAAGGAGAGCACGATTGTGTAAAACACCACAAAGGCCATGTCGGCAGGGCCCTTCCCATACATCACCGGTCCATCGGGTGTTTCAGGAGGAAGTGGATAGGAGAGGAAGATGAGCTGGTGTATGGGATTGGAATCATTTGGATTCACAGCGTAGGCGGAGAGGATAACTGTTAACAGGACGAGAGGTATGACCCATGTGTGCTTGAGGCAGAAGTTCTCCCAGCAGCGAAACACCGAGCGCGCACGACGCCGCTTCGAGTGGGGAGCGACATTTGTTTCAGAAAATGATCGCGGAGGTCGACCCTAGTGATCTAGGTTAGGAGCCCTATACCGAAGGTCGAGCGCTGTCGGAAACATGGTGCGGAGTAGTCTGCCCTCACCTTGTACAACCCAGGGGGATCCGAAGCGGCGAGAGCCATGGCGGAAGGGTAAGGAAAGTGGTGAATTTCGCTCTTTTATGTTGCTTCCCGTTTTGCAGTCAGCTATTCGTTATAGGTCCAACGCATGGGAAGCGGAGAAGGGAGGGGAAAAAAAAAATAAAAAATAAGAGAGAGAGAGAAAATGGAGTGGAGTATTTTGCAGGAGAACTGGAGAGAAAGGAGGTCTCCGATGCTTTTTCCCCGTGAAAATTACGGGCCAATGCTTGGCTCTGCCTTCCCAAGCGTCCCCTCGTGAATCGAGGAAACGGCAGCCTCAGAGAAGAAACTAATCAGCGTCCGCTTCTTGTGCCCTCCACCACAGAATCTTCCCGCAACAAGAGCCAGATGCATGTAGCCGGCGTTTTCGAGGGTTTGGCGGAAAAAGGCAGAGCTTCGCCGGGTTACCGGGAATCTTAATTTTTTTTTTAATTTTATTTTATTTTATATTTTTTTTTTTTTTTTTCCCCTTCAGCTTCAGCCGGTCAGGGGGTGTTTGTTTTGTTTGGGGTTTCCCGGAACCCGGCGTTAGTCTTTTCCTGGAGATTCCCATTGGCCGAGAGGAGTGGGCCGCCAAGATCCGCGCTAACCGGGCTAGCCGAGCACGTGAAAATCATCATCGTCATCATCATTTTTGCGACTACGGAGTACATAGGAAGATAATTGAAAAAGCTGCTATATGGAGTACCTATGTATATGCTATTGCTGTCTGGTACGGCGACACCCGCAATACACATGCTTCTGCAGAGGGATGCACTGCTGCAGCTCCCCATGCCAAACGAGACAAACCAAACTTCTCACTTCTTCCAACCGGTCTGCATGATCGGCAGTTCCGCCATGTGCAGCTTCGCCGCTCCGTAGGGCACCAGCTTCACCTCAAACGGCTTACCAATGCACTGTCTCTCAGACGCTGAAGGAGGGTTTGGCGCGTGGCCATGACTCTCTGTCAACTCCCATTTGATCTCACACACGGTGGCTGTTATGCTCGTGACCGCCTTGTGTTCGTCCCATACTGGTTCGGGCAGCGGATCCGTGGGGTTGGACATGGCCTCAAAGCGCAGCGTTGTCGGATCGATTGCCAATCCCCATTTCTTGCTCGGGGTCATTGTGTACTCTCGTGCAGGCGAGGGAGCTTTCGGATAGTTCGATGGCTTGTAGGTCACTTTGGGATCAAGAGGAACCGCGTAGAGGAGCGAGCCATGGTAGATGGAAACGGTGCTGTTGGCACGGGGCACAACCCGAATGTCTGTGTCCAATGAATACCTCAAGATATGTCTGCCGGCAAACATGGTTATCTCTTGCATGCTATTGTCGGGATCGGGTAATAATGGGGTCGGCATGCTGCCATCTACGGACGTCCATGACTTAGCCTTGTTTGCCCACTTCGGCACGCGGACATAGAAATTGAAGTCTTTGTCGCTTTCGATGAGGTACCAGAAGGCATTCCCAAACGGATACGAAGTATCACACGTTATCTTGACCTTGGCGCCAGACTTGGTGGTCGCTTCGACGGAGCCAGGTCCCAGTAATGCATGGGCAATCCCTTCCTGGTCCAGCCGGACAAACATGTTGGATATGAACTTCGGATATCCCTGCGGGTGGTTGACCGTACAACAAGGGTAGTTCGGTTCCAGGCCAAATGTCTGGGCGTTGCCTCCGACATTATGCCACGGGGGGTCCCGAACGATATGGGATATCGGCTGGTTGGTCTGGGCGACGTACTGATGTGCCCACCAATCTGTGGTGACCATCACGGGAAGGGCGTTGAACGCGGCCAGTTCACACCGATCAGCATAGTCACCTTCCGCCGTCGCCTGGTATAGATAGCTGAGGGAGTACATCGTCTCGACGACGGAGCAAAGCTCAACCCCGCGGGCTGGACTTAGACCTGACAACCGCTCGTCCGCAATGACGCCTCCAGATGGGGTTCCATGGTATAAAAATGTCCAGTCAACGCCTCTGCGTGTGGCATCGAGTAGACTATCATCATGGGTAAATCTTCGAATGACAGCACTAGATTTGAGCCCCTGGCCGACGTTCACGCCGTGCTCAAAGTGATAAAACTTGGCTGTAAAGTTAACCGGAAGCGTATCCAGGTCTACCTTGGGATATACGTCTTCCGTGTACCACCAGGACCAATCGTGCCCGCCCTGTCTGAAGAACTCCATGCATTCGAATAGTAGGCCTTCGTTACCTCGAGGGTCCCTCTCATAGATCCACTGCAGCACCATAATCATATCCGCCGCGCGAGACCGGCCCCACTGCTCATTAAACTGATCACCCGGGTGCGCCACCAACCCCTGTAAATTATCAGAAAGCATCGCGTGCATCACTCCCAGAAACCGATGCATCGCAACGATGATGCGCTCCGCGATCTCCGTCCCCGCCTCCGCCTCCGCCATCTGCGCCAATCCCATGAGTAACGGCGTCCGCGCCCAAAAATTACGCACTCTCATATCCTTCTCGGGACCCAGCCACCCGTCCTGCTGCTGGCGATCAAGTATGAACCCCGCAATGCGCTTGAGCTTATCCAACAGGACCTCATCGTCCGTTTGGTATGCCAGCGGCACGGCACCGTTAAACCAGTAAGGCAACGCCTCGTTGAGATCGCTGTATTCTCGCTCGCCGCCGAGCCAGGGACTGTAGCGGACAACTTGGTAGAAATCAAATTCGTGGCCGGCGAGACCGCTAGCCATGGAAGTTACCTGTTCGAGGAGCCAGCCTCGCGGTTTAATTGAGCCGAGTGGGAGAGGTTCGAATTTGAGTGGCAGCAGTCCCGCAGTTGGTGTGACTGGAGCGAAGTCAGCCCAAGGGAGTTCCTTTTGGTGTCGAGCGAATAGAGCTCAACTTCAACCTGACCCATGTGGTAAAGAACAGCAAGAATAAAAGAAAAAGATAAAGGTAAATAGATAGATTCAGCAGCAGCAGCAGCAGCAGCAGAAAAAAATCTAGCACAACGTACTTGGTTTCTGGTCATCATATTCAGGAATCATTGATTGCTCATGCTCATCAAGCCGTGTCTCACAGACATGGCCACCCCAGTCACGTAAATTGATGCGGGAGAACATCCCGGCGAGTTGAGCCCAGGAGAATATCAGCAAAAGACAAGCAATCAAGTACTTCCATCCCCATGAGGTAGTGGGAGATGAATCCATGATCATCCAAGGTACAGAGCAACTGCTATCTGGACGTGGTTTGGCCCGCGGGTTGAAAAGCAGGTTTCAAAGAAAGGGGAGGGTCTGATCCAGTTCAAATAAACTATGATATGGATGTAGATGGTGGTTTATCCCCTCCCCTGCACGCTCTCCATCACCTGGACAGAAAAACAAGAAAGTATCACAGTGGTGGGATGCAGCCTGGTTTGATGGGCCAGGTGATGCGGTAGTGGTGTGGTGGTGGTGGTGGTGGTTCAATATAACACGGGTATTGGCCTTGTCTTTTCCCGGCACAGGTCTCTCAGCAAGGCGCACTGGGTCATGGAGGAGGCCGTAGGGAATGAGCATGGGTTGATCCAGCTTTGCACCTGATGCTGTGAACCTATGATCAGGCAGACCTGGGTTCTGTATCACAGTGTCAGGGCGGGTTCCTGCCAAGCCAGCCAAGATTTCCCCAGAGTTGCCTCAACCGTTTCTGTGCGGATCACCCGCAACAACAGCTCAGAGCTTGGACTACTTGTGTTGTTATAGCAAACTTATCAGCCACCTGTCAGTGGAGCACACTTGAAACTAACTTAATACTGTGGATAACTCTGTGTTCACTTAACACAAGGAAGCAAATAAAAGACAAACAAGCCAGAGAATCTGAATACAGTTACACATTGAAAAGAACCATGACACAAAAAAGCAAAACCTCAGTTACTCCATTGCTCAAAGAACCGTTAGAAGCAGAATTCTCAGCCTGAAATACAATGTCCTTGGCTAATGCCATTCTCAACTAAAAGTAAGAAAAAAGAAAAGAGAAGAGAAGTATAGCAAACTCCCGGGTCCCACCAAGCCGGATTTTTGTAGTGGTGATACATTACCAGACTACCGCATCTTAATTACCCGCTCCACATATATATATAGAGAGAGAGAGAGAAAGAGAGGGAGAGGGGAGAAAAGCAAAAAGAAAAGGAAAAAAAAATACTTCAAAATCGGATATCGATCAATCACCCTTCCGCGTAGTAGAAATATGCTCAGCAGCCTGCTTGTCCTCTTCGTCCCTAACACCGGTCTGCTCCAAGTGGGCAGCCTTGCGGTAATCGACCCTAGTTCTCCAAGCCGGAGTCCCGACATAGGGCACATCTCCCTTGGTGAAAATATTCTCAACCTCTTCTAGTGTCTTGCCTGCCGTTTCAGGGAACATGAAAAAGACATGGATGAACATGGTCGCGCAGAAGACGCCAAAGAGCACATAGGTGCGCCATTGGATGTTGACGAAGGACGGGGGAACGAAGTAGCCGAGAGCAAAGTTGAAGGCCCAGTTGGCGGAAGTGCAGAGAGCAACGGCCTTACCACGGACACGGAGGGGGAAGAGCTCTGGTGGATAGATCCATGAAACGGGTCCCCAGGTGGGCGCGAACGAGGCGACGAAGAGATAGGAGCAGGCGATGATGACTTTGCTGGGAGGTCCATAGATCTGCCACGATTGAGCTTCAACTCCGCCAAGACCGCCAGGAGGAGCTGGAGAACCACGGGTGGCGAGAACGGCGGCATTGACAAAGAGCCAGGTCATCATGAGGAAAGCGCCAACAAGCAGTGTCGGGCGACGACCCCAACGGTCAACCCAGAGAAGCGCGGGAACAGTCATGCCGACGTTGATGACGTACTGAATGCTGCTGGAGAGCAGCAAGGTGTTACCAGTAAGTCCCGCCATAGCAAATACGTACCTAAAGAGCTCTCGTTAGCATTCCTTCCACATACTCCAGGGTATATCCGACTCACGTAATGTAGTACATCATAACGTTCATTCCGGTCAACTGACTCCAGATTTGAGTGAAGACGCCGACATGAGTGCGGTTAATCATGTTTGGTTTCAAGAGTTCCCAGTACGTAACATCGGCATTTCGTTTCTCAAATTCACACATGTCTCGGATTTCCTGAAATTCACGCTCGACAAATGGAGAGTTTGCATCGCCTTTGCCGTGCACCTGAGCGAGGACGGCACGACATTCATCCCATCTGTCTTTACGGGCGAGCCAACGGGGCGACTCCGGCAAGAAAAGCATACCAAGGAAGAGCAGCACGGCAGGGATGGCCTGCAACCCCCATGGGATACGGAAAGCAGCTGTTCCCTTAACGAAGCTGCAGCCATATGAAATACTGAAATACTGTCAGCAAATTTCACGGCGAAGCTGGAAAACCCAGTTTAAAGACTTACTAGAACATAATCATGATACCCCACGTAATAGCCCATTGCTGGCAGCCGACAAGGCGGCCACGCTTGGATGGCGGCGCGAGCTCAGAGATATAGACGGGAACTTGCGCCGAGCAAATACCAACACTGAAACCGTTGATGATACGGCCGACAATCAACATTGCAATATTCTGGGACGCACAGACGATAACGGAGCCAACGACCCTATTATACGGCACCGTTAGTAAACGAGTCCACCCGCGAAAGGATGTGATGCGCCCTACCAGATGACAGCACCAGCCATGATAGCTCTCTTACGGCCCATCCAGTCAGAGAGGAAACCAGAGACGAGAGCACCCAACCACGATCCACCGGCCATGGAGGCAGTGATACCTCCTTGCACATCAGGTTTCGGGCCACCGCAGTCTCTCCCAGGCTCTTTCGGGTACTGGTCAAAGTAGCAACGGTACTGTTCCGTTCCAAGAATAGCGGACATTGACGAGATATCGAAACCGAAGAGGCCGCCGCCGATGACCGCGACGGCGGCGATGAAGTAGATATTTCCCGTGAGCATTTTATCAATCAGACCATCCGGTGCGCTATACGATAACGCTCAAGAGGTTTTGCTGTACGGAGATGGTCACCTCCTATTCAGGCTAAGAGGGAGCAGTAGGAAGCGGAGTATTGTCAGCAAGAGTAGTAGATGGTCTGTGAGCAAAGAAAAAAAAGAGGAAAAAAAAAAGAGGAAGAAAAAGCCAAGCTCAAGATTAGAACCTGAGAAGCAAGCTCCCAGATATATACCTAAGGCTTGCAACGGTAAAGCTGTGGGGATCTATGACGATCACTTTCCGCCGTTTATTATTCTTTTGCCATACGATTGGCAGGGTGGCCACCCCGCAATGGGCTCACCTGAATACGTTGTATCAGTGGGTTGGTAGGTAGGGCAAAGTGAGGGATGGTGGCATGACTAGCTGGCGGGAGAGAAGTCTATAAGCTGGTTGGTGGAACGAAGAAGGTTTGCCAGGGTATCAGGGCACTTCTTCTCGCGGCCCAAGGGACAGTCTGCAGGCAGATGGATTGGAAGAGGCGTCAATGTCATTGAACGGCCGGGGCAAACCAAGGTTACGAAGCAAACTCAGGCGGAGAGCAGCGCAGAGGAAAGCGCCATCACTCATCGAGAGCTCGCTGCCCCTTGATTTGCATGGGCTGCACAGGGCGGTTTGCACCAGTTAGTCTGGCGAATTTAGTTATTAGTGTTCCACGGTAAGTTTGGCGTATCCATGGAAGCCCACACGGCTCCCAAGGCCAGCCTGGTGGTAACTTTCAAGCAAAGCCCACCAGTTCTGCTGGGAAGACATCATACATGGCAGTAGAGCTTCTCGTTTGTTGGGGCCGAGTCGAAGGGCTATCCCTTCCACGGAGTACCTGCCTGTGACATGGCCGGGTGGCGGTACGATGGCCCGTCCATCGTGCAAAGTACGACATCCATGCGTGAAGTCGACGTTGATGGGAGCGACGGGCAGCCGATCACCCACCTTGCCGTCTCTGGTCTTAGTCAGTCAGTTAGCGCCGCCGGACAATTTTTTGCACTCTAACCACGCCAAGAGATCCACGTTCGGGCTGTTCCACCAGCGTACCAGATACCTTCATCTACTGTACCTTGTGACGGGAATACTCCAGTGGATGCGGACCGATATTCGACGAGGAGTTCTTCTAGAATGATGGCTAACGGTCTTAACCCGCTCTGCTGCCTACCAATAGATCAGTCATGACCCTTTGTTGTTCCCGTGGTTTGGAGCAAGCGACCACGGTTCTTCTGGAAAGGTTACACAGGCTCCCGAGCGAGAGAATAACGCTGGGTAGTTACGGAGTACATGTTTTGGATACTAAGTCCTACTTTGAGTTAAGCACCTTGTCAGACAGCCCACGCGGAGATGCCGAAGCCAGCTCGAAATCCCCATACACCCAAGACATACTCCCTCTTTCTCGGAGTGAAAATAGCCCACTAATCATTCAACGAGTCTGCACTATTCACATGGATGCATTTGCACCTTTGAACGTTGGCTATCCGAACACGCGTGCCATTTAAGATCCCAGACAAACCCATGTGTGTACGGGCCACCCAACTCACTTTGGGAGCAAGGCCGCAAAGGATATTCCCACGATGTGTCACAAGCCTCGCGAGCATCAGAACACCCAGTGCGGCAGATCTCAGCCCGACACCAACTTGCTGGAATAGCGGATATGTCAATCCTTCCCGCCGTAATGGACAGTGCACACATTTCCAACTATCGAGAATTATTGGCAGCCCTCATTCCCGCAACCTCCACGGATGGATGGATGGATGGATGTATATGGGCATATGCGCGCATGGTCCCTGTCATCAAATATCCGGTCAACGTGGATGCGGTAGGCTCACCATTGTCTTCTTTCGCCTCCCGAGACGGCAAACCCCGCATCGACTTTCCATTTGCCGGTATAAATAGGATAGCGATATTCACATCCAACGCAGGCCCTCGCGTGGGTTGTGAAAAAGGTGTTGTTACCGTACTAGACGCTGATCAGATCCACCGACACTACTCTGGCAGGCCACGTTTACATCGATGTTGCAGGCAGAAGATGGGGTCAGATGAGAATCCATCACCTTGTATCTCTTCCAGGTGGGTGTTGAGTTGGCCCACCCTATACCCCATACCGTGACCGCTTCTAGCGTGTCGCCTCACACGCGGGTTCGGTTTCTTCTCGAACACCCAAGCGAAACCCCTTCCCACACAGCGGATTTCATGTCCTTGTTGTACAGTAAATCAGGTAGATACTCTCCACATGTATCTCACTTTCCAACGTTGCACATAAGAGGCATTACCTCCGTCGAACACACTGACCTCGTGAATCCGCTCAAGTAGAAGCTGCCACTGTAGCCTGCAGTATCGCAATTTTGCATTTTCTCATCTTTTCGAGAGAGATTTTGCCTGCCATACCGGGGACTCGAGTAAAGGTCACTAGCTCGCCCCCACATCTCCACCGCTTTGAAAACGCAAGAATTATGTACCCAAGAACTCCTCCGTGTTTATGCATCGAATGCTGATCATCGCAGAAACTGACAAATGTCTGGCCTTATAGAAGTGGCGCTGATAGTTTATGAACATCGAATCAAGTTAGCCCACATGCAACCCACCCCCAAGCTTCGGAGCCAAGAGTGTGGAGCGGGGAGGAAGCTTTTTTCCTACATAGCTGGACTCGCGCTTGGGTCTTTTCGCCGCCTGCAACAGTGAACCTAGCGTTACAGCGCTAAAGAGCAGCTTATTTGTATTTTACTTTTTTTTTGATCCATTGAAAATCGACGAGATTTCGGTTTGCACCAGTCAATAATGCATAAGGACTTCAGTGACTTTGACATGTGAACCCCAGGCTTGGGTGTTATTGCAAGGAAAAGTTGTGATTTGTGATATGGAAACTTCGACGAGAAATTTGTATATTTGGAGGATTTCGGAATTTGCTAGATTTCCACAACCGGATCGCTCCCCGCTGAGCCGATGTGCAGTGCGCTCATGCATGTGTACTTGCGTGGAGGGAAGTTTATGGCATGAAGAATTATCCTTCCATGCTCCTGTCCAGTTACTGGAATTGACAACATTTGGACTGTTACTGACCTACGACCTTAAACGCACTTGGTTGGTGCCAGATGGGACACGATGATTTCTCTTGAATTCCTCCTACCAAATCTCTGGATGATTCGCAAACTTCCCGCTTTAGATTATAAACTAGGAGGATATAAGAAAATTTATACATCTTATCATATTTTTATGGCCTTGATTTACATCACTTCTTTGTGCTTCATACTCCAGGTCATTATAACACATTATTGGCGTCCCAGAAGTTCCTGTGATGCAGTTAAAAGATGAAGGAATTAAGGGGAGGTGGTGGCATAAGGGCTCCCTCCGTCGGATGGATCTCCTTTACAAATAATAAAAAAAAATTGCTCATCAAACAGGGGAGAAAAAAAAGGATAAAAAAGAGGCAATCAAAGTGATGAGAAGGAGGTTATTAAGGGATGAAAAAGAACAGAAGGCGATAAATTCCAAAGGAAATTCACTGCGTGTACATATTTTTAACCCAAAGGAAGCCCACCCAACGTAGCAAATGCTAGCGGAGGGGGAAAAAAGAAAAAAGGGAGCCTGGGGCGCGTGTGGTAGCATGGGGTGGCAAGGATGCGATGAAAGCAATCCTCAATCACTCATGCCACGAGCTGCCACTGGGCAACTCCCGACCAACCCATAGCTTTTCTGCCTCTCATTTCAAGAAACTCCCGCACCGTTAAACCTCGGCCATCTTGGTTATCACCATAGCTGGTCAGAGCGAATAGTGTCAGCGTTTGTCCCGGGGCGCCTAGAGTCGTTGGATCGGGGATATCTAGGGACCAGCGGTCTCCTCCACCGCCTGGGCCTGAGCCGCGAATGTATTCAAAGGGTACGAAATCGTCCTTTCGGCCGTCAATGCCATGGATCCCGATCATGAACACGTACGGCGCACTCTTGTGGCTGTGCTTTGTGAGAGTCCAGTGTTCGCAGATGAGCGCGAACTCGAAATGCATGGGTCCGGGTGTGCTTATGGAGATGAATTTCGAAAGGGGTTGGAAGGTCATGTCGCCAATACCATGGTCGGCAGCTACATTTGTAAACACCGTGACCGATTCATCCACCCCCTTTGGGCCGTTGGTGAGGATGTACTCTTCCCATGAGATGCTAGGTCTGCCGTCGTCGCGGTAGAACTGGGTCTTATCGCTTGGATAATGGCGCAGGCCAAAGTCATCGTTCGACATGGTGAAGCACTCTGGAGCAAAGCGTTTGATGTATGGCCGGTTATGACCGTCCACGCACCCGGCACCCCAGCAGCAGTCGATGAGTTTCCACTTGCCGTCATCGATCCGCACCACGTTCCAAGCATGACCGGCCGTAAATGGTGGCAGAGGCGATCCCGGAGCAAGCTTTTCAAACCCATAACCTTTTCCATGTCCGCTGATCGTGCGGGCCTCTAGACCTGCGTGGGTTGCCAGTCTTTCAAAGAGTCCGGCGTAACCTTCACACACGGCCAGTCCGGTCTGTAGGGTCTGCTCGGGAGTTGATGGCTTCACGGAGTGGTCGAAGAAGGAGACCACATCGTATTCGATATTATGGTGGAGCCATGTGAAGATAACTCGAGCTTTGTCCGTGGCAGAAGGGAACGGACTGGTGAGTTGCACAGCCAGCCAGGAAAGATCTTGTTTTGGGAGTGACTGCCGCGGAAAACGTGTCGCATGCGTATCAGGCCCAGAAAAGTCACGGCATTTCAGACACTGAAGGGTATTTGTAGGGGGAGGGGGAGCAGCTGGTGCAATTCGTGGTTTTGTTGCCTGCAGTTTAGATAGATCAGGGCGAGAAGAAATCGGAACCGGAGGTGGAGTCGGAGCAGGAGATTGATTGCTCTCCAACCTCCGTGAGGTCTGGGGAATAGGGGGAGGCACGCCGTTGGATTTGCTTAATGTAGCGAGTGATGATTCCTTGATCTTCTTGAGTGTCGCAGGCGGCGGTGGGGGTGGTGGTATTTTCCTCTGAGGAACACTCGGAGGGTCATGCAATATCTGATTCTTGGCCACGGATATTGGGGTTTCCGTGGTGGGAATGGAAGGCTTCGGACGTGATGGAAGCTTGGGGGCTGATATAGGAACATCCTTTGAGAAGTCTCCTCTATTGTATTCATAAGAAGGGGGAGCTTTAACATTATGGACTCCCACTTGACTCTTGCCGGTTTTCGTTTCATGTAATTGAGCCAGTAGAGTCACCCGTCCCCGACAGGAAGCATTAGGGGAGAGGTGCTTCCCGTTGGATGCGATCACGGTGTCCGGATGCTGGCCTCCAGGTTCCCTATCCCCTGCTACCCTGTTCCCATTGGCCTTCTTCGGAGGTAATGGAGGCAGCGTAGCCTCTCCCCATGCTGGTGCGCGAAGGACATTTTTGGGCGAGGAGCCCCTAGAACGGCTAGTTGCGGTGCGGCTCGTCGAAACAGAGGATGTCGAGAAGCATGAATCGCCTGATTTGCGCAAATCGGAGGATTTTCTGGGTGGCAGAGTGGGAGGCGCGTTGGAGTGGTGTGCAATCTTCCTGCTTGGCAGAGGAGGAGGAGGGGCGGACGACGGGGTCGGTGGAGCGGGTGGTTTTGGTCTCTGGGGTAGAGCGGGCTTCTGCTGCCCAGTCCTCGCTATGGTTGGAGGAGGCAAGACATCGCGCCCGCGAATCATGGTACAAAACGAATGGCCAGTTCGAAGGTGGAAACGAGCGAATCGAAGTGGGTTCACGAGATGTAGCTATGGACGATGAAGGTACTCCAGAGACTCTCCTGGCCGTCTCGATGGGCTTCCAGGTCTCGGGCAGGGAGCCTATTTGGGTTAAGCGTCACACGTCAGTGTCTCGCTGTGCCGCCGCTACAGATTTAAAATCATCGAGAGGAAGATGATGGCCGGCTCCTGTATATGTATAGGTAGCTCTCCTCGCCCCGTCAAGCTTGAGCCGCAGGCTCCTTTCAGCCCTTTATGTTTGTATGGCTCCTCTCCTGGTAGGGTTGTTCCAATGGATCTACATCCCATAGCCCGCTCGAAGCTCCTATGGAGTACTCCGTACATGAGTTAACTTTGTCCTCGCAGAAGTTTCTTTAGATACGACCAAACCCACCGAGGCTGGTAGCGTTCCCAACATTTGAAATGCGCTGAACGACTGGAGGCCTTTCGAACTCCTATCCTTGCCAGACAACCCAGCTGTGTCAAGGGCACGACCATCCCAGGCTATATTGACGCAGCATCCTCCTCACTTCCATCCCAACTTTCATAACCATCCATTATTTGCATGAAAGCTAGTAGTGGGGTTTGGGCTTAAACTCTTTTTATTGGCTACAGGGTGCCCAAGGTACCCTTGAAGCCAATCAGAGCTCCGAATATGCTGACTCAGTGCCTGCAAAAAATCACTCAGCCGCAAATCTACAAGGTCCAAGGGGGCGGAAGTTAACCCGATACGGGCTAGCTTGGCTATTGAGGTTCGCCAAGCCACGGACCCCACCTACCACGGGCTCCAAAGCAGAAAGTCCCGCCATGCCACGCTTAAACATCGCCGTGCGATTGACATACACACGCATGCACTGCCGCCCCACGCCCTTATTTTCTGGGAAATATGTAGGCTCAAGCTACACTAGAAACACGCAATTTTCGATATGCATCCTTGAAGATTCACCTCTAAGCCCCAAGCAACCCCTACCGAGCTAACCGTTACCAACCCAAACCATACCGCTAAAAATGGCGGGACGTCTGTTTTATCATCGAGTGCTCTCGGGCTCCCACTCGCAGAGCCTCGCAGTCCTTGAAGGCTGCCCAAAAAAAAAAATAAAAAAATAAAAAAAAATAAAAAAATAAAAAATGAAAGGTTGGCTGGCCCCAGAAGAGGTGTCTGTCGTCATCATGCGCGTTATGGCCATGTTGCTTCATACATACTATGTCTGTTGTGACTCAAAGTTGTGTGAAATCACATAACAATGGCGGTTGCGGCCAAAGCAATAACAACAAAGAAATGATATTTGATCTGGTGCCTCAGTAAATCCATGTTCCTCTCACTGCGCTCTTCGAACCACTGAAAAGTGCACAGGTGAGGGCTGCAGAATGTTTCTGCCAGTAACTTTGGCTATGGAAGAATTAGCAGATGAGAGTAGCAGGGCGGTGGATAAGGGATAGATCTGGTAGGAAGGCTGCAATTGCAATCAAAGCCTGACACAGTTCATCATCAGAATTGATATATCCATCGGCAAAGCTGAGCTCCACAGGCTTGAAGAAGACACGTTTGAAAGGTACTAATCCGGCCTTTGATAAGCCGGACCGCGAAAACCCACAGGTAGAGCGGACAAGTAAAGGGACGGGTAAATCCATCCTTGGTGCTGTTGCTATTAACATTATTGTAAAATCTACGCTGAGAATGAGAGCCCTGATCCTCAGCTAAGGGCTCATGAATGGAGAAGTTGATGATGCCCTCAAAACATTGACTGTGACGGTGGGACGCCATTCCCCAGGTCTTACTGCAAAAACGCTTTAAAACTGCAGGCTTCAAGCGAGATCAAGAGCGGAGGTCTGGAGTCCAAAGAGTGGCATATGGATTGAGCCAAAGCCGCCGGATGGGAATGAGTAGTTAAAATGCGTTTAGCCAGTGATTTGAAGAGATGCGAGTCAAATAGTCGCCATGTAGTTATGCTACTCTTAAGTGAGAGAAAGCTATTCCATTTCGTGTTGTATTACTTGCTGTACAGGTCAGAATAAACATAGGAAAGTGCCTAGAATGCACTGCCGCTGTCTGATTTTACTAAAAACACAATTTGGAAAGGAAAGTGCCCTTGGTTAAGGATGTAATGCTGTGGGGGACAACGAGAGATGAGAAGCAGGCAAGGAAAGTGACAACCCGGTGCGAGGATTGGTAATAAATGGATGTGCAAGGCATCCCGTGGTTCTGAAGAATTAGTGTCGATCAAAAAAGGGGATCCAACCTGCAGTTGGCGGCTGTTTGAAGGCGCCACCGAGTTGATGGGCCGCCTTCAACCCAAAAAACATAAGATTAATATCGTAATATAAGACCATCACTCGTCGAAGTATGGCATCATCGTAAGAATTCTCAGTCACTCCGTCTCCAGGTAAACATGGTTTTGCAATCTCATTAGACATTTTGATAAAGCAAAAGCGGCTCGCCAATGTTCTCGATCTCGGGGATCGTGCACTTCAGGTCGAAGGCTTTGCTGAGTACGATCTTGAAAATCTATATCGAAGTGGCGGTGGTTAGTTGCGCGTAACAGAAATGGGCCACCAACATCAAAAGAAGGAACACATACTTTTTGCACATTTATGCTATGACTTGTGCTGCTAAAAATCAAGCTCGCCCTCATTGCCTTGGCGAAGCGCTTGGCCTACCTAAGTCAGCATAAACCCACATGGTACGAAGATGACCTTGGAAACTGACCTGAATTGAAATCTCTTCTTGGTCTTCGCGAGGGAAGTTGACGAAATGGTCATATTTAGTACCGACGAGCAGTGGAATTGCAGTTTTGTTGAATCCACGACCCTGGCGGTACCATTCTTTGATAGAATTCAATGTGCTCTTCCGAGTGAGGTCGAACATGAACAAAATAGCGACCGCATCGTTGCAGACCAAGGGAAGCATGTTGACAAATTCCCGTTGCCCACCAAGGTCCCAAATCGAAAATGTAATCTCCGTGTTTCGAATCGAGATCGTCTTCTCCATGAAGTTTACCCCTACATGACCCTATGTCAACTAACGCTCCGAGAAGGCTCGTCAGTCACGCGCGCATGCTTACCTAGCGTCTGGATATAGTCTTCGTCCCAGCTTCCTTCAACGTATTTCACCATGAGACTGGTTTTGCCGATTTGCGCATCCCCAACCATGCCCACTTTGATTACTACACTGTTTTTGCTGGGAGGGCCCGACTGCGGCCTGGAGGTCTGTTCAGAATGCGACTGCGAGTATCCATATCTATCTCCACCACTCGACAAACCCGAGCCCGGGCGAGAGCTTGATTGCGGTACTTGCTGAAGTTGCTGGTACGCCATTGTAGGTGAGCTGAACCTTGACGGAAAATCGCCTTCGTGTGACGACAGTGCAGGCGCAGATTGAGCGTACTCAACAGAGGGGTGGTGGGTGGACGGCCCGTTGCTATACCCGTTGCTGTAAGGTTGAGGGGAATTGGCTGGCGCTTCCTCCGTATTTGATGGCATGTCATGTTCTGGTTGGACGTTAGGCTCGGTGGTCTCCAGGGTATCGACAGCTGGCTGCACGGTTTGGACTGTATCCTCCTGCACCGATAGCCTGTCTGGATCCACTGTGGTTGTCTCCATCTCTGTAGTTCGAACGTTGACGAGATGCTTTAGTTCAGCGCGAAAAATTGGGAGTGAATCGGGCAGGAAACCGCGAACAAGACGACGTATTCAATGGCCACGACCGGTTGAAACTAAACCTCGAAGCTCAGAGGCGATTGGGTTTGAGAATCTTCATGGATGTAGATATAATCAAAATCAAGGGATGCGCTCCAGCTACTCGTTCGGCATCAATCTGCATGGGCAATCCGATCAAGGTCGCTCGTCGTCTGTACCCGGCCGAAGACCTCGGAGTCTGGAGTGGTTTAAGTGCCAACTGGAGCCCAAGTGCGGTTAGCTGAAGCGAATTAAAATGAAAGACAGAAAAAGGACAACAGTCAGAGGGAATTAAGTGCTAAAAGAAAGACAAAGCAAAGACGTCAACCCACAACACACTGCAAGATCAGGGAATGTAAACAAGCGGCAGCCGACAAGGAGGTGGAATGACGCTCTGACGCCAGTAAACCCAAAGCGGACTAGCGCGGCCTGGCCGATCCCGCAGCCAAAAAATCGAATCGCCAGCCCTATACAAATTTTCAGACCAGTACTATTTGCCTTGCGGTCGATTGATCGACAAGCAGTCGTTGCCCTTTGAACATCCTATCACCGGAGACGTCTCGCGGAGGTGAAGATGGCCAAACGCGGTGTGGAAGAAACAGATGCGCTTTCCGGCGCTCTCAAGGCGGGAGAGCGGCCGATGCCTGATGCCCCGCCAAACGAGATGGGCGAGTTTGAGGACGAATTTGAGGACGAATTCGAGAGTGAAGACGAGATCTTCGAAGCTGGTGTGGACGGTCGTCCAGACGCGGAACGGGAAGAAGAAGAAAGGGGTACGTGGGCTGCCCGGGAACTGGCATTGCGGTGCGCATTCCAGTTCGCTACTCTTCGAGTGAGAATGACTTTTTTTTAATGCTGATGTTTACGGCAATCAGATGCGATGGACGTGGACAAACAGACCTTCATACCCGGTCGAACAAAGTTGGCACCCGGGGAAACGTTATCGCCGGATCCTTCTACATATGATATGCTCCATACCTTGACTACGCCGTGGCCCTGTCTATCGTTCGATATAGTCCGGGACAATCTAGGTGACAACAGAAAGACTTATCCCGCTACCGTATATGCAGTTGCTGGAACGCAGGCCGACAGACCGCGTTCGAAGGAAAACCAGCTTATGGTGTTAAAACTGAGTGGGCTTAGCAGAATGGAGAGGGAGCGAGGGGAGGAGTCAGACGCTGAATCGGACTCGGATGACGACTCTCCTTCGGAGCCTATCCTCGAATCCAAATCGATAGTTCTGAACTCTACGACGAATCGTATCCGCGCGCATCAGACTCCGCATTCGTCCAACGATCCAACGAAGGCGCCTCAGACCCTAACGGCCTCCATGCTCGAAAATTCCCAAATCCTTATCCATGACGTATCACCATACCTTGCTAGTTTCGACAACCCTGGTTTAGTCATCCCTCCATCCGCTTCGAAACCTTTATCTACCCTGCGAGTGCATAAATCAGAGGGCTACGCCCTAGACTGGTCTCCCCTCTATCCACTTGGAAAGCTTTTAACAGGGGATAATGATGGTGCAATATACGTAACAACTCGCAGTGAAGGAGGTGGATGGATCACGGACACTCGACCTTTCACCGGCCACACTTCTTCTGTTGAAGAAATTCAATGGTCTCCGAATGAAAGGAATGTTTTTGCTTCTGCCAGCAGTGATGGCAGTGTCAAAGTTTGGGATGTTCGATCGAAATCTCGTAAGGCTGCCGTGGATGTGAAGATTTCAAACACAGACGTCAACGTCATGAGTTGGTCGAAACAAACATTCCATCTTCTTGCAACGGGTGCCGACGACGGCCAATGGGCAGTCTGGGATCTCCGAAATTGGAAGCCTGATAACAATAAACCTTCTCAGCTCCGACCACAATCTGTTGCGTGCTTCAATTTCCACCAAGAGCCCATTACTAGTATAGAATGGCATCCTACGGATGACAGTGTTGTTGCTGTTGCTTCTGCAGATAACACTCTCACTCTATGGGATCTTGCTGTCGAGTTAGATGATGAGGAAGTACGAGATGCCGGTCTGGCCGATGTACCGCCACAGCTGTTGTTTGTTCATTACATGGAAATGGTGAAAGAGTTGCACTGGCAAGGACAGATGCCAGGAACTCTCATGGCTACTGGCAGTGATGGATTTGGGTACGTATATTGTTACCTTGTATAATTGTGGGTTTATAGTATCTTATCATACTAACTGGTTTTTTAGGGTTTTCAAAACGATTAGCGTGTAATTGGGAAAAAGTGTGACCGTTAAAACCTAGAAGTTGGAGCCTTCTGTTTGATATCCAAAAGTTGAGCAGTTACTAAACAATGGTTTTATATTTCCAATAAAATCACTGATGTTTCTCCTGTTTGGCCACTCCTGGCTTTACAGCGTCAAGTTCACGCTTCGGTAAATATTACAAATGTTATACCAACAGATTAGCCATACTCCTGGCTAACTTCACTGCCTTGTATTTCTCATGCTCCTGCTTCTATTCAATGCCACTTGCCGCACATATCGGCTCACGAATCACTCAGTACACAAAGACAATTAGCACATATCTTACAATATCCAAGGCGGCCCCATCGCAAACACAGTTTCATACAAGCATTGTGGCTGTATGGTATTCATTTCACAGTCCTCGTTAAGCATTTCCGAGTTCCATTCTCCCTACTGAGGTACTTATAAAAGTAACCTTGTTGTCAAGACTCGGTTTCAAGTATATCTACACACGGCTTACATTCTCCCATGAAAGTCAAATTCAGATATCTATATTTATCAGCGGCTGCGGCTAGTGCAGGGAATCATCTAGACACCCCTAAACCCGAACAACCCTCCAGGTGGTCCTGCCTCGTGACTCGCTCGCTAAGGGTGTAAATTTTGAACGGGCGAGCGGGTTTCTCAAAAACCACGCTGTCAGGCAAAAGACGAAGGGTTTTCTACACCCATACACAATGGATTCCTCCGAGAAATATTCAGCGCTACTAGCCAAGCAGGAGTCAAATCTGCGGGATCCCAAGACAGGTATACACTACGGGGTTGATTCATCTCTTACAGGAGCAAGGGGCCCACCAGACTTCGTTACATCGGTCTCTGAGCAAGGCGGCTCTGAAGGATACGCTAACGCACGAAGATTGCCGTTTGAGATCCTATATATTGTAATATGCGAATCGGAAGATGAAGGTGCTGAGCCCAATCTCAGATTGCCCATGCGAGTTATGGATAAACAGCCAGGGGCTAACGAAAGGATCGGCGGGCTTTTATTCCTCAATAGCGATACAAGGAGACGTTCCGCCTGGACGAAAACAGACAGTGGCCAAATTCTTTTTGGAAGCCAAACGCTCAACGTATCTATCGAACTGAAGCCAGTGAAAGGGATGAAGATGGTGCAGGTTCACCGTGTAGCGAGGGCAATCAAAGCACGGATAGTCTACAAAAGGAAAGCCCGGAAGTCTCAAAATCGTGAGGATTCCCCTGAACCACGGGAGGTGCTCTCTTCTTCCAATCATAGCCATACAGCCCAGCTTCATATCCGCGGTGGCTGCCTTGGTAAATGTAGAAGGAAGAAGAAATTTGAAGATGACGAGGCTGTTTCGGCCTTGCTATGGTGGGTGGCCGGCGGGAAATTGGCGCCGGATGGTTCCAAGCCGACAGGGAAAGGGATGAGAGAATGGAAGCAGAACAGTAAAGGAATCTGGGATGAAGGGCGCGAAAGAGGGTTCTTTCAGGAATGTGCTTTTGTTCTTTCAAACGGCAAGATATGTCGAAACCAGCGCCGAAAGAAGCAGCCGGAACCACCTCCAGAATCACCGGAACAACCGCCATTAGATCCGCCTACTGATCCACCAGCGGAAGCTTCAGCTGAAGCTTCAGCCCGGAACTGAGGGAGCAAAACTAAACCCAAACTCATCAAGCCATGAGTTGGAGGCTGGTTTTCGATGTAATTATATCAAATTGATCTTCGAGGGCTACGACCGAAAAGAACCGTTAAAGGGTGACGCTGGATTACTACTCGCAGAGATTATCTCGTAGCTAGCACATAGGCTCTCCAGGTGACCGTGCCATATAATCAAAACTTCATTATCCAATCCTGGATACTCCGTGCAAACCTTGAAAATCATTGCTGACGCCACTGGACAATGCCATATGAGCCTCTATATACCGTTTACAATTAAATCACCGATAGTATGCTGTGCTTCTTCTGTTCTGGTTACCGGCATTTCTTCGCTTAAACGCCGCAGATATAGCAAGAGAAGATTTTCCCAGCCCAGGCCACCTGTGGCCATGACTCGTGCCGGAACAACTCTACCGGGAAACCATCTTTCCCTCCTAGTTGTTGCTTTGTCTCCACCTTCAAATGCTGCCCTGCTTGCCCGAGTTGTTCTCATACGTTTGGGCTCATTCCCTGGTTGAGAAAGAAGACCGGTAAGCTGAAGCCGCTGCTGCTCGATGCGTAGCTCTGAGGCAATGATAAATCGAATATACGGTGCAACGTCTTCCGCCATAACTGGCATTCCATGCTCAAAGGAGAGTGGCCTATGGTAGGCTTGGGTGGAGTAAGCGGATACATCAAGAATGGGGCCGAATGCCATTTCAAACATAGACGGCTTCATTACGGTCGAAGACTGGGGCGTAGCGTTTTGCAGAATGTGCTCCATTATATCTTGTTCATAATCTGCGGGAGACAAACCAGGAAACAAATTTTCAAGCAACACGCCAAGCGTGGCGCTTATTTTACTTGATATTTCAGTATAATCTGGCGGGGAGTCTGCTTGAAGGAACTGACGGCCTTCGAGACAGTCCAAGCGTTGCTTCTCGGGTGTTGGTGGAAGGGACGTATCCAACGGAGCCTACAAGGGTCAGTTTTATTTAGAAGTGGTCTCTGGGGTTCGGTAGTTACCTGGGTAAAATCACTTCGACTTCTTTCACAGAGAAGGTCAAGTGAACTCTCCATGTCGGACACAAAGCTTGCTTGTTCCAATAATTCCAAATTATTGCTTCCGCTATAGGCTCTCATGATCGGCCTAATTTCTAACCAATCCACCGCTGATATATGCCATTGCCTGAGCAGTTCCGTTATGAGCTGTGTTCTCTTCTCAATTGGATCCCCTTTGTCTACAACCGTATCTCGACAAAGCCAGTCCATACCCCTTACATATGTGTCCGAGCTCAGTATTCTCGGCAATCCAGGGTCTGACTCTAATACGCTAAACCGAGGGCGGTCAGCTATCCAATCGAGCCCAGATTTTTGGCTACCGACGGCCATCTGACACCAATAGTTCAATTGCATTATCGTTGCACGCAGGTCCCTCCCAAGGACAGTATATAAGTCCAGAATTGCTTTCGGATCTAGCACGTGGCATTCGTTCGCACATAAAGCGGAAAGATACTCCGTAACCAAGTCTGATGGAGGCGGGCGGAAGCGAAGAATCGCATGGAACGACAAGCTGTCTATTGGAAGCATATTCTCGTCATTGCATGTCATGATGATGGGTCTTTTGGACTGCGCAATCAAGGCTAAGACGCCATTCCAGAATTGCTTATCCTCATTGAAAAGAATATCCACCTCTTCCAGAAGAATGAGAGATTGTCGTTGCTTTGTCTTGGGTTTTTGAGCTTCACAAGTGCTCCGTACGGACGGGCTTTTGCTCTGGTTTGGCGTAGCGTTCTTCGATGTTGATTTCTGTTTAAAAAAGCTCCCCATAGATGATTGCCTATCGTCGCGCTGGTTCACACTGGATTCCAGAACAGAGTTAGCGGGGAAGTTGTTATCTATTTGCTTCAGAATTTGTACGAGATGATTCTGAGCCATGTCTCCAACTCGCTCGACCACATCCTTCGCACTTCTGCGGGTTCCAGCGTTCACCTCGAACACCTCAAAATCGAGCTCACGAGCAACTGCATAGACTGCCGCCGTTTTGCCACAACCAGGGGGCCCACTAAGGAGAACTATATTTGAAAGCGGGCGTTTTTCATTTCCGGTATCGTTTGCTGACGGCGTTCCCCTTGCTCTAACAACGGTTCTTTTAGAAACTGTGACAGCTCCGGCTAGTTCATCGTCATCATCAGTAAGCTCCTCAATACCCGGCTCGTCGTCACTACTAGAAACGATGAAGTCATCTAAGCCAGCTGCCCTCTTTCGTTTCTTCTTTTTATTAGCCTCTGTCTTTGGTGTTTTTGAAGCTTTAGAATCGCTTTGGCCCGCACCAGTGTTGACGGCCGATACTGTAAGGCTCTGCAGCCAGTGATGCAGCAATAGCGCCTCAGAGCCGACTTGAAGGACTTTTGAAGCTGTATCTGGCGCGTACTTTTGTGTCCAGGGCAATTCTTCGCAGCGTCCTTTCTCGAAAGAACTCCTAGAAGTAGGAATAGAAGATAGGAGACTTGCGACAGCGGGATGAGACAACCTGCTGTGTATTGAAGGATTGGCCGAAAGTTCGATTTCTTCTTGCCTCATAGTTCGCTTTGAAATTCGATCAAGCTTCTCAGTCATAGCATCCCTTAAAATGCACCCTTTTTCTAAAATCCTTTTGGGCTGCCTTAGACACTCCTTCACGGACAATTCCTTAAAATAAAAGCAGCCCCCTCGTAACGAGCGCGAAATGATTCCAAGAATATTTTCCGAACCTGATACATGAGCAATCGAACCTTTAGCCTTCTTTTGGTCAACTATATTATGCTCGTTCTGTTTACGATCCTGCTCCGATGCATTTTCGTCAATGCGAACCATATCAAGTGGAGGCCATAATGGCTCAATGGGGTCGCTGACTCTTCGGCGATTGAGAGCTTTGGTTGAGGCCGATGTTCTCTCCAGTGTCTTTGCGGCTGTAGGCCAGGAGCGACGAGGCTCTGGTGTTGGTTGTTTTTGTTCATTCGGGACCGCATCTTTTCCTTGGTGGGCAGAAGCCTTGCCTGCCGGTTTTGAATCTTCCACCTTTTTAGGTCCCTGTCTGGTCAAAAAGAAGGGGTGGGTAGGTTTCGGCGGTTCTGGAGGCGATTGTGGATTTTCTGTCCGTTGTTTGAAAAGGATGTAGGTCGTATGACCACTCATAATGTCACGTATCGCACCCCCAATAAACTGCCGTGAGAGGCTCCCGGGTCCATACTTCATAATCGCTATTCTGGAAAGTGGCGCAACATCCTCCTTGGGCTTTTTGCGACCACGGCCTCGCTTTTTAAGTTCCCTTCCATTCTCACGAGTCCCCGGGCTGGCTTGCTGTATAGGTGAATTCAAAAGTTTCCCGTTGGGATTGAGTTTTAGCACGTTCTCCTTCCGAGGCGTTTCACAGAGGCTATCTTTATGGGGATCTTTAAATGCATACTTGGCCGGGGCGGGATTGACCGTTCCCTTGCGAAACGAATACCGTGCTGTAGTTGACTTCTCTTCAGTGCCATTGGATGAATAGGAATTTGGCACATCCGGCAGGTTGGAAGTGACTTCGGGTTCGACAGGAGGGGAACGTGCCGCGCCATGTCCAGCATTCCCTGAATGATCGAGGGGCGTCGTTTTCCGCCTTTTCCTCCGACTTAAATTTTCATCGTCATCTAAGGGATTTGGGCAGTCTTCGCTCGTCGAATCTAATACAATATTCGCTCTTTCGCTCCTAGGGTTATTGCTTCCTTGCTTCGGCAATGGATCTGCGAGTTGGGGGAGTTCTGCTATCGGTTCACTGCCATCTAATGCCATGGAGTCAGCGGAACAAGGAAACAGAATAAAAGATAATATCCACACACGTTTCATAAAGAAAGGATGTAGGGTCCTTTGCTCATGTTGCCCCATGGCCTTGTGAACAACTACTGCCATCACCCGTCCAGGCATTAACTACCACATCATGATGACACTGACGATGACGGACGGGTCGAGTCACTTCGGCGTGCAAAGACAGGAGAACCAACAAGTAGACCAGACTTTTTCGCGACAATTCGGGCGGAGGATCCCTGCGCTCCGCATCAACACGGCGACCTGTACAGAGTCCACATCGCGTTGTCGAAGCCAGACTGAAGTGGCTCTGAGCGCGTCACCGCGCGTTGTGGCTAGTGGCGCAGATGGATCGTGGCTTGTGTCGGCAAATCATTTCGCCGGTCCGTCACTTTTTCTTTTCTGAGAAATTCAAATCCGCAGCCCGTCAACGAGCAGCCTGTCGTGGAGGCCGTTTTGCCAGCCTGGAACTCTGAAATCAAGGCCTGCGACAATGGCTTTGCAGGCGCCCTCGCTATTAGCACAATTGCCGCGTCCCTTAAGCGGAGGCGCGGGCAAATGCCAGTTTTCGGAGGTGTACAGCCTCGCCGGAAGTAAGAAAAGAAAGCGATATGAAATTGCTGCTGCTATTGATGGCGAGAGTGTGAATATATACAATGTATGCCCGCTTTCTCTCGCTCCGGATTTCTAGGCTAACATTTTGGGCACAGGTTCAATTTCCGAAACTGATATCGTCCTATGCGATTCCGCCCCAATCCTCCATATCATGCGCACCTTGCTCTGTAAAAGAGAAATCAGCGGCGACATCCACGGTGAAAAGATACACATATTGCTCCATGAATAAGCCAGAGAGGCAAATTAGATGCTTTGTTGAAGAATTCAGCTCGTCGGAACGAGGTTCAGCTAATTTTTCGACCTTGGTCTCTTCCTTGGAAGACAGTGAGAGCCCAGTGGTTTTCACGACTGTGGTGCCTACAGCTCAGGCTCTGAAAGGTCAAGAAGCAGCATTCGATCTGATTACAGTTCACGAAAATGGCAGAGTACAGAAGCTATCGTCTGATCTCAAAACCCAAAGGTGGAGCATCTTGCACCCAGCGTACGAGAGTTCCGGGGAATATGAAGTGCGCACATGTTTTGTTGTGAGCTTCGAAGAGGCTCAAAAAGCCCTCTTTAGGAAAAGACAGGATTTGATTGCCTCCATACTGGGTGACGGACGTGGAATTGGATCCGAGATCTCCTCGATTTTGATGGTGGTCACGCATCCTCGTCAAGCGAAGACTCTGTTACCAAGTGAGGCATTAGTACATTTGTTCTCAATATCCCCTCATGATTGGACGAATGGCTTTGCCGCGAATGGGAGCCAACAGCTGAAGCATCTAATGAAGATGACATTACCAGACATACCTGGACAAGCGCCCCTAGATGCCGACAATATTAATTGGGTGTTAAACTTAAATCAAGCTGAGCTCTCGCTATCGTTTGATCGAGGCTATATCAGTTACAATATATCGCATTATACTCCGGAGGTAGATTCTCATATGATCGTTAACAACGCCACCTTCTCTTCTGTCATGCGAATCTCCCAGCGATTAGTTATCGGCGCAAATCAGTCAACAGTTTCCTTATATGACGCGAAATATCGATCGTTGCAGGCGGATCTTCCCATAGCAGAAATTTCACATGTCAGCTCCAACAAGCAAATGGATACGCCTTCGTCTCTCGAGTTCATAACCTATTTCTCGAAATCCAGCGTGGCAGTGGCAGACTACGGGAGCAACTTACTCGCTTTTGATCTCACGACGATGCAGAACTGGGGCGAGTCCTCCCGGAAGAGGCAAAGGGCCGGTTTACTCATCGACTCAATTGGAAAAGGGGTAGCAGTTCTTGACAGAGAAACAAAACGACCAGCGTTGGACGGCAATTCATTGCAGTGTATGACGCCGCTTGGGCTCACGGATAAAGCCGTTGCCAATAAATGGGCTCAAATAATGTCGGAGCTGGATTCTGCAGTGAGAGCGAAGGATCCTGAAAAGTTCGACCAGATTATGAAAACGACGTTCTGGAATTCTTTAACCCCCGGTGCTGATGAGAAGCCTAAAGGTTTCCCTCATGTGAAGGAATACATTGACTTGGAAAGGATCTCATTCTTGCTCTCTAAAATTTTCTCTCTGCGATCTGAGGGCGAGTCAAACACACCCAAACTCGCCATCAGCTTCGTACCCTTCGAGACTTTACAATGGCTGGTCAATTCACGGCATTTGAGTTTGGGAAATATTCAGGTTGCTCTCCGTGGCTCTAATCCTGACCGAATTCTTCCCACGATGCCAGATGGCTCTTTGGTTCGGGCACTTGTGCAGTCAGGCCGTTCAATAAAAATGCTACTCCTTGTTCTACGTGGGCCGGTTCACTTAGACACGATGGAGCTTGGTCACTCTTTGAAGCTGCTCCTGGAGGTTGCACGCTCTCATTCCACTAACTCAGCAGAGCCTCCCAAGGCTCTTACCGAGTCCCCTCAGAAGCGATATGCGAACGCGACCGCAGAAGTGACGCCCGCAACTCCCAAGCAGCCACGTGGATCCGAGTCGGTTTTAACAGACGCAGTATCCGGCTTAAACTTGACGCTCTTAAAACTCCATTCTCATCCACTCGACAAAGTCACACATTCAATTAGATCTGTCCTTTCCAATTCCGACATCCTTTCCATAATTCACCACCTCCGCCATTCCCTGGCCGCCGGCGGCTACACATCCCGATTTACAGAAGACCCTCCGCCTGCATTCTCCAGTTCCAAGATCCCTCGTCTCCCTCTCTCCGCTATCGTGGAGCTCTTAAATGCCTGTATGGATGCCGTAGGACCAAGCGGGTGGGTATCAGCCGCTGGCTTTGCCGGAGGAGAAGGCAGCGAGGCGTCCCTAATCGCGGATATGAAATCGGAAGTATCCGCTGCCCTCGCTGGTGTCGAAGAAGCGACGTATCTAAAGGGTATTCTACGCGAATTTATCCGTTGCTGCGAAACGGCGAAGAAGATCACTCAGCCCAAGGCAGAGCAACGTAACAAGAAAGACAAAGTATCGTCGTCCGAAGAAGTCGGCTGGCGTGTCAAACGCACGGAGCGCGTCAATGGCGCCCAGATATTAGTATATGACGATGTTGCGGACTCGTCCGGGCTCTTGAACACTGACTCGAAGATTCTCCCTCTCTCCTTGAAGTTGACCACTGCCAGTGACATGGCTGCTGAAGAGCCAAGTAAGACCAAGGTGATCAAGTCGACAGGCGAAGTGAAGAAGCGAAGTCAGCGTGATCTCAGTTACCTCAAGGGCAAAGCTGTTGGGAAATATTCTTTTGAGCGGATTATTGTATAAACAAATAGGTGCTGCCAAAAGTTGGGTGTATGGATGTGTACAAAGTATGCTTCTAGATTATGGCGTGGAGTAGTGAGCAATAATGATGATAAAATTTACCCTTTTTGCCCCTGCACGTTTGCGATGTATTTTGGCGCAATATTGGCCTTGATTTTCTCCTGCTGAAGATATCATGGTTTACCACCACCATACCGTTACCATTACTATTATCATTACATCTCTACCAATTGCAAATCACAAATCTGTTTTCATTTCATCCGTCATGTGGCATTTCCATACCAAGTCACAGCACTAGAGACAAAGAGGCCGTACTCTCAACAAATGGCCAAACAAGAAACACAGAAATTCAAAGAATGCAGTGAACACAAACATTAAAAAAGATCAGGGCATATGCAGAAAAGGGGATAAATGAAGGTGAAATGGGAAGGGAAAAGAAAGAGAGAAAGTAAAACATAAAACCGCCAGCATTACAACGTAGGATGGTGCAGGGGCGGGAAAGCGAAGATAGACATGTAGAAAGGGGTACCTGACGGAAATCGCGAAATAACATCATCTTCTCCAACATCCACATAACTCTTTCGAATTTTTATTTTCCGTAGTCCATGCATCGACCTCGTCACGAACCCTCGAGTCTTGCACCAGATCAACCTTTCGTGATGCCAGGCTCTATTTTGGGTATATTCTAGAGCTTTATCAGCGAAGACGAGAATGGCTAGAAAAATTTAAAATGGTGCGAGGAAAGCTTGCGGGGGAATTAGGTAAAATGAAATGAAAGTGATACGTGACTTCGAACAGGAAACCAGAGCACAAGATTATTAAAACAGGGCCTATTTTGCCATGACGGAAAGGATCAGGTCGTTAGATTCATCAGACACGAAATGTTTTCAATAGATCAGTGGGTCATAGAGGTATAAACACCAGTGGAAATCCCAGATGGAGAAAAGATCACACGAGATGGCGAAGTCAAATCAAACATAAATGTGCCTTGGACACCAGACGCCCGTCAAATATGGCCCCAAATCGTGGTAGAACGAAACGTTAGCTGGAAAGAAACCAGATCGAAAGTGGGAAGGCGTATCGGAAAGCTTTCTGGGCATTAAGGTTGGATACGGTAAGTTGTCAATCAACCGAAATCGAAGAGCCCGATGACTGGGAGTAAGTGTATGACAAGGTATTTTCACTAAGTCCACAAGCATCCGCGGGCTCACAAAAGGCTGCAAGGCTCATGCGAAAGGGTAGAGCCAACTAGCTTAGCCAGAGAGGGAATTCTGGGCTCGGTCTCTCATACGACGTGCTTGAGTTTCAAGTGCCCTGGCCATTAACTTGATCACTATAAGCAACGATTAGCTATGATAGCAAAACAAAAAGGGTAGGACGGGAGAAAGAATGTGGAAATGCTTACCAGGCCAGACTCCCGCACGATCCAGCAAATAAGCTATTGATAATGAGACCTTGGTCGCATATCCACCTTCCATCAAGCTAGGCAAGCAATCCCACGCTTCGCCGCTGCTCGAACATGGACTCGGGGCGCTGTCTTTCATTTTCGTTTCGACGCTATGGAGAAAATCCTCGATCTTCTGAATCAGTTTAAAATCTTCGTCTTCCAGCAGCATGAGTACGGGAACCTGGCTCAAATCGGTGGGAACTTGGCCAAGAATTCCCAGATAGGGCCCAACCCGGTCCTGGACAGTACTGATCCACTCAGCCAATACCTGCGCGCAGTCAAATAGGCACATTGCACTCTGAAGTGGAAGTTCCCTGGACGTAAATTCAAAAAAAGTGTTGCCAAATCTGTCCGCCATGTTGATGGAATCCACTGCATAGAACGCAGCCTTTCGCAGATGCCGTTCGCTTTTTGATGATTTTGTTCGACGACAAGAGGTTCCTTGAAACGGTGTCTCTAAGCTAGGATCATTGGAAACTCCAACATCTAGGGTATTAAATTCGGCGAGTAGATCTTGCGCGAATTCTGGGCCAGGGCTTCCGCTGGAAGGTTGGGGAACTTCGGCGGATCGGGAAAGTTCGTTAACCATCGCATTCCAATCACGCTGCCAAAAGGCTTCCCTGGATCGACCCAGATTGACATAAAGCCTAACATACGCAAGATCCAAAAGAGGTATACTATCCGCGGATAAGGGGCCCGCACCAAACGGATTTGGTCGTTCCAAACTGCGATGCGGATTGCTACCCCAGGCGGCCTGCCATGCACGGAAAGCGGGCTCAATATGCACATATAGGGCTTCAGTTTCCTGACTTGTCCATTGCTTTCCCATGTGCTGCTGACGGGTTTCCCAAATGTAATTATGGAGAGCAAGGATCAGGACCAAACATCCAAAAGGGCTCGGTTTAAGATCTGTGGGAGGCAATCCGTCCATTTGCATACCAGATCCAAATTGGCTATGCGGAGAATGGTTGTGTTGTCCTGCTATCAGAAGCTTCTTCAAGGCGTCCGAAAATTTAACTGCATTCTGTTCCGCGTGCGCTTGGCCACCCAATGCCACCCAGGCTTCAGGGGAATCCACTGCCCAGAGTTCTTCGTCGCATGGCAAAGTTAGACGAATTTCAGAGTTAGTAAGAGCGGGAGCATGATTATATGCAGACACGAGTAGACTCGATAAAGTAAAGATAGCATATAAAGTCCGTTTCCGCTCCTCTACTACCTTCCATTTCAACCATTCGATCCTTTCTGGAGAGACCTCCGGCGCCTGGACGCCCCAAAAATCCATGTAGTTGCCGTTCAGATGAGCGTCAATTGAGGTTGAAGCATAACCAAACTGATCTGCTGGAAGACTCTCAGGGGGGTGGTGCTGGGTGAGTTCCGCCGCTCTCGCAAGGCTTACTAAGGCCGCACAGTGGGTGCTTGCAATGTCAGCTGCCGTTTTGTCATCGCAGTTATGTCCGTATATGACATTAAGCAACATTGCTTGAACCAGCCATAAAGGAGTATTCTGCACTGAGTTGTCACGTCCAGAATTCGAGCGATTAAGAACGCCCGAGTCTGCCTTGCGTCTTTCTTCAAGGTACAGTTGGATCATCCTCTTCGCAGATTCGAAAAGCTCCTTCGAAGTTGCGGTGTCGAACTCATACAAAGCACCAATAGCGGCCATTGAGAGTATCAAACAGCCATTGTCCCCCGAAGGATTCGATGTCGTCGCATTGCCATACCCATTAGCCCCTTTAAATCTGTTGGCATGTTCCGGCGCCTTGAAATCAAGGGTTGGAATATGGAGAAACGGCCAATGAGGGTGAAAATAGGTAATATATGCGCCTATATAACGCTGGAGGTCACTAGTGCTTGGCAGAGCCGATGGAGTGTTCTCAAACATCGCTGACCGTAAATTGCCGGCCGGAAAGGTCGAAGACGATGCTGGTTGGGAGTATCGACGGTGAGTAAATGTTGCAGGCCGCTGGAGAGTTGTCATAAGGGCCTGGCGAGTCGATTCTGTAATCGTATTTGCATATGACGGCAACCCAGTCTGCAAAAAGTTCGCCTCAAATCCTGTGGCACTTGGTGATGCATTTTGGAACATGTTAGTGGGAAGGCCGGATAGGACCGAAGTTCCCATTGTCCCAAGAGATGGTGATGTTGAAAACGACTGGTCAGCAATTGGGGTCAGGAGCGACTTCGGAGATACCGTTCCAGTGTGCGCGGAAAGATCCTGGAACGTGGTCTGAGGAAAATCCAAGCCAAACTGACTAGGCTGGCTCTGAGAGAGCAATGTGCTCGACCAAGGGCCAGAGGACGATGTTACGATGTGATTGGAGGTGTCTAAGATAGCCTCGCTAATACCACTTGGGCTCCCCGTACTCATCGCCGAGGGAGACGAGTTGTCAATGGCTGACTCGTTGGTACTAAGCCTCATGATGTTGTCGAAGCCGTCATACTTGATATCGTCATCGTACATGTTACGGGCGGCCGGCATATTCGAGAACGCGGGAGTAAATGGGGAAGTGGGAGTGTCCAGGAAGGCGTTGGGAGAACCCGAGAAATGCAGTTGAGCGGGATTGATAGTGCTTCCTTGGCCCAGCATCATGTCACCAAGACCAAAATCTGAGCCAAAGCTACCAAAAACCGGAGCTGTTCGAAGACCGTCGGACATGTTGGGGGGGATGGCAGTCGTATCAAGCTTGGTAAGACCATTTATCGTGGCGTGACGGTTATCAGAAGGCATCCCACGGTACTCCAGCCCCGGCATACTCGGCACCGAGCTAAGACTTGGGTGATGCGCATGGCCAGCTTGCGGCGTCTTCGACGAGTCGGGATTATTGATTATTCCCACGTTGGGTCGGTCAACATGGCTGATGGTGTTGGCCCTTGGCCTCATGTTATTGCCCCCATTCACAATCGAATTCTTCCTAACGCGAGTGGAACTACTTGTACTTTCCCTTCGCACGTTACGGGGACGAGATGATGGTGTTGTAGTCATGTGCAGCTTCTGTTGGTGCCTCAGTAACAGATCTCTTCTCGCAAAGCATCTTGTGCAATCCGGGCATTCAAATGGTTTTTCCTTGGTATGAGATCGCTCGTGACGTTTGAGATGTTCCAAACGTGCGAAAGAACGAGTACAAATTACACAGACATGTGGCCGGGGCTTCTCGGTCTTTGGCGGTGGTATATCAGCCTTCTGACCCCTGTTGCTTGCCGTTGCATTGCTGCTGCCTGTTTGTCGAAAGAGAATGATGATAAGCAGGGCATTTGAAAATAGCAAAGAAGCAGTGCTGTGTGTGCCTTACCATGACCGGTATTCACAACTTCGCTGATTGTCACGAGGTCCTGACTCTGTTGACTACCGGCAACATTCTGATCTGCCATCATCTTAATCCTAATCAACAAATATGAATCTCTAACACCCGGTGGATGCTTCACTCAAGAGCATCCGGAAAGCCGATCTTATATTCAAAATCCAGCAGGAACGAATTAGCGTTGGCAGCACGGCTCTCTCGATGGGCCGAATCTAGGGTGAAGGAGAAAGCTTGGGCCGATTGCGCAGGATCAGATATAAATGGGGGAAGGCAGGCAGCTTTACCACATCCGCTTTTTCTAAGACAGATGGTTAGCACATGGCAAGGCTGAGGCACAGGTGTCTTTGCTTGAATAGTAGAGGAACGAGCCAATCAACTCAGCCGAGGAAGACGGGTCGATGGAAGCGGGAAGGACTATGGGGTGGATGACGGGAATTCTGAGAATAATCACATACCTGTTTCAGCTAAGAACTAGTACGGGCAGGGAATGGAGGGGGAAACGCGATGCCAGAGACCCGGGTGCGAGGGTGAAATAGGGATAAGCTATCAATTTCCAGGCTTAAGCATAAACCCTGTCAGCTGGTGGTTAGAATTGCGAAAACAGTGGGAAGTAATCAATTCGAAATTCGACTTCGAGGGAGAGGGCGCTGTGTTCGGGAAACAAGGTGCCCAAGCAGCACGATGCGAGGATGGGATGCTGGGTGGTTCGCCACGATTCTAATGGATGAAATGGACGACTGTTCAATAAGGTAAAGCGCCAGCGAAGAGTCAGTGAATCAGGATGCAGGATGCTCGCGCTCTGGCGCTCAGGGTCGAAGCGCTTCGGTTGGAACCCTCATCAACGACGGGGAGAGTCACTGCTCGGCGGTAAACGGGACGACTTCAGGAACAAGAGGTTGAGCTGCAATTGTCGACCTCGACCGTGAGGATTGCTTCGATGGCCCGTGAGTGTAGCTTGGTAGTTGACTCACAAGGTGTTTCAGCAGAGCGAGAATACTCCAGAGTCGAAGGGCGATGGACGTCTGAACCTCTGGGTGCAAGGTTGAGCAGGTTCGTTTCTGACGAATAACTCCTGGAGTCGCTCGGCTGGTGGCTGACTACTTCCATACCGGTGGGCCTGTTATTTATGTAAGGGTTGGGTGTACATACGTACGGTACGGGCTGTCCACGCTAGGTTACGGTACGGGACAGCTGGTACCGCGCTAGCCACGCTCCGCCGTCGGTTCCACAGCAATACGGTTTGACTTGTGGATGACAACTCCAGACGCCGAAACGATGTTTCCACAACCCCAAATCCCAGCTCGTCTCTTCGCTGGTGCGACCTTGCGAATTCCCGTCAGACATCAATTCCCCTGCTTCCAAAGCTCCAACTTCCTATTTTGATGCCAGCTCGTAATCTGGCGCCCACACATTTACGAGATGCTTTTGTATGGAGTGGGTGGGTAGCTGTCGTCTTGGTATAAATACAGTCATCGATGGTCCTGTGCAACATTGCGCGGGAAGAACTGTGTCCGGAGTCAAGTACTTACTGTACTCCGTACGCAAGGCGTGAATACCCATACTCTTCTTGGCAACCATGCCAGCACTAGCGTTGTATCCTGCATCTCACGCCGGTAAAGCTCAGGATTCTTGAGACAAAGGAACATGATGGGACGCCCAGTGCCGCCTCCCAATATCAAAGAAAATTCATTCCATTGCATGCTCGAGTCGGTAGCCCAAACGCCAGCACAGCCACTGTTTTCACCACCTCACAGCTATAGAAATTCTTCGGACTGCGGAGCCTATGAACTCGCGGCGGAGCCGGGCCGAAATCGCATTCCTCCCGTACTGAACGGCATGGAGCCTCCTTCTCCCGGACTATTCCCCTTCCCTCTCTCTCTCTTTTTTTTTCTTTGGAACGTTCCAGACTATTATAGATGTTCCATGAACTCGAAACCCGGTTTAGCTCTACGGAGTACACAAGAAGCACCAGGAGAGTGAGGGCAGGCGACAAAGGATGCATGAATGGCTCTATGTATTGTGTAGCCTCACTCCTTGCTGCAGTTAAGCACCCCTAGGCAATAAGCTTAAACACATTAAAAATTGTTTAGCATAACTCTTATCCCTGCAAGAAAGTACTCAACAAGGAGAGGACCAGTGATAAACTAGACGAGAGGGACAGGATAGCCAATTCAAAAATGGTCCACATACCATGATAACATTACTTGTTCCACAGTGAGGTGTCTACCAGCTATCTGTTCACACTCATTTCAAGCACTTCCTTCCAGCCTACTGTCAATTGCCCCTCTCCATTAATGGCAAGCGAGCTTGTTGCTGGAGCTCCCCTTCTACGCCGCCAATGTCCAGGAGCATGAATGTTACACAATAGTTGGGAAACTGTGGTTTCAACTTGCTTATTTTTCTGGTAAGAACATTCCTGTGGGAGTATATATAAGAGATCCATGTTTAAGCGAGCAGATGGACAGTGTCACCGTTGAGTGAGATTCATTCTACAATCACAAAGTTTGGTACAAGAATTAGTCATTCTGAGTGAAAGGCAATAACACTTGTAGTGGAACTCACCTCTAACCAACCCGAAGACTCCTCTATTCTAACTATAGAGGATGGCTTTGGCCAAAGATGCATATCCATCATTCCAGATACGCCACTCGGCCAAATTTGGATGGGGCTGGATAATGTGACAAAGCTAAAGATCACGAAATCTAGAGCTTGCTTGCACAATTGTGGAAAGTTTATCAATCACCGAGTGCGAAGGGCTTTTCCAATTCTATACTGATGGCATGACCTCAGCCGACCCGCTGCTCGAAGACCTTAATTCACAAGCCTATTATCCCATCCTTACAGATGCGGGCTGAGGACACGCATCTACATACAAGTGCTATATCCCTTTCAATATGGCCTCCTCCACGAACATACAGAAATGCTTCTAAAATAGCCACATCAGTGTTCACTCCGTACCCGTGGTGATATAGTCATAGGAACTATTACCTCGATAGAATGACCGCGGCAAGGAAGGCGTTGTTTGCCCGCAATTTGCGGCGTGTGGGTTCGTTTACCTCCACGGGATGAATACTTACTCGCCGATGAGTGTAATATTCAGAGTTACAAGCCTGTGCCGCACTCAGTTGTTTATTTCTACACGCTCCGTGCTCCATGATCTCGATATACACTTTTCTATCGTAAAAAGGTATCGTGCGACAAAATCTGGATATGGAGGAAAGGCCAATTTTGGAATTTTAGACGTGAGCATCCTCTCTGATGTGTCTCGAGTCAACAATGGTCATAGAAGATGTGAAGCGATGGCCCTCGGTTGTATCCCGAGTAGCAGCATCGTCGGCCACCTGGTTACTCTATTGGGAACCCCATGTCTCTTGCTACTATCCTGAATACCCAGCCTTCCGGGCATGAGATTGTTATCAGCTTGGGCAACCGTGGTCTGCTTTAGCTACTACCTCTCCTGCATCGCCCTTCTGTGTTGATGATAGGCAGGGGTGTGTTTTGAGAGGAGGAAGGAATTGAATTCTGAGCTGGAGAGGGTTGCTATAATGGCACCTACGATTAGGTACGTCTCGCCTCTTTCTGAAATCTCTGACCGGTCCTGGCATGTCAATCATGCAGTATCTGGGGACTCGATCTCAGACTGTCTCGAGAGTTTATGTCCTCCGCAAGACCTTGCAACCTTCTTAGCGCCAACATTTAGCGCCGTTTTCAACCCCTTTCGTCAGCACCAAAAGTCCGCTGGGAGATCTTTATCTTATCTCTTCGTTGTCCCACAAAGATACTACGTAATTTGATCTCAACCAATGATCAGAGCTGCGGCGTGCACACAGTTGAGTCGACTCTTTCACGCGAAAGGCACCAGCGTACGGATGAGATGGTAATATCCGATTGCCTGCATGGTCCTCCGTACTGGTATTTCAACGTTGAGCTACCGGCCAGACCGACCAGGCCAATGGTGGCGGTTGGATGCGCATAGAATCGAAGCAGGCGCCACCAACCCTCGGTCCTGATTGGAGGGTGAGTCCCACAACAATGGCGGACTTCGTAGCCACAGCCAGGCCGGCCAGTGACATTTCCCCAATTTATGACGTAACCTTTGACTAAGCAGTGGCCAAAATCCGCCGCAAATCGCGGGGCGCAAAGGGTTCTCGGCAGAGCGGCGTGAAGCTGTTGACCTTGAACCTCCAGCTTAATCAGCCACCCCGGAGTTCGGACCTAACGCTCCTTGGTAACTCAAGGGGTAAAACTGTAAACGTTACAGGGTCAGGCACAGCTAGCCGAATTCAAAACTGCGTTGAAGGGCTGGACTAGGTCTGCGGGCGCTCTACCGGCGCTGGCGACATCGATATGTGCAACGGCACGTGAGAGAGGAAAATACACGCCCCAGCCGTCGATCGAAGGGCAGAGCGGAAAGCAGGCCTGGGTGTCCTGTCGTTGGGAGGGTCTGTGCTCAGCTCTTCTGACTTGCAGCGCTGTCGGTATCGTCAATACGGAACATACGGAACCGACGTACCGCGCTTGTAATTTCCGCCCGGAGTCTGTCCATGCTGTAATGTTCCGTGGCTCCACCGCAACGACTGACTCGCCAGCAAAAAACGCGGACAATGGGCGGTATCCACCCGCAAGCCCCGGTTTTCCCCAGCTTTTCTTTGGTTTCACGGTTCTCTCCCAACGCCAGGATCTTCCAGAACGAGATGAAACAGGAACAATTTCCTCCAAGCTGACTGCCCTGCAGGTCCGCCCGTCCCAGCGGAAAATTCCGGTTTGGGCTTCGCTACATGCCATTCCCTCTCATCGTGCCTCCCCCCGGTTTGCCGTCAGCCCCCAAGAGGGCAACTTCTGCAAGCTCTGACGAAATGGTTACAACGTCGCCTCCGGAGAAATTCTGGCGCCAAAGGTTCGAGTCAACAAACCCACCATTTGATTCTCTAGGTCCTTGGCGAAACCTTTTCGCGAAAGTTTGAAGCCGTGGCTTGGGTTGACAAATAAAGAGCCACGGGTTGAAAATCTGGGGAAATCTGGCCCTTGACGCCAAAATCTGATGTCGGGAGCGTTTACTGAGCTTCGTGACATGCTTGGTTCCCAGGCAACTCTTGCGCTATTGTTCGGCAAGATCTCCCGCTCTAACTACCGCCCCATCCGCGATGCTCAGGCAATGGCAAGGAAGGTCCAGCGTAAGTAATACTGCGGCTTGGGCATGTGTGGTGAGGCTCGTGTTGCTCAGATTACGTTTGTTGGATGTTCAGCTGGGGTTGGCGCTTAACGGCGGCGGGAGAGTCTTCTGATTCGAAGCTGGAACCTCAAAGTCGTGAGTTAGTTGCTTGTTCACCGTGTTCCTTACTCCGTACTCCGTTCAGCTTTCGCAGTGGTGTGGCTAAAGCGCTTTGGTTACAAACGGGAGCATCATGTGATCCACTTCATATGGATGTCTCTCATAGGGTACTGACACGAGTGACTCGGCTCTCATGGTGCGATAAGAGGTAAAAGATCGGCTCCGTGGTTTGAGAGACACGCCTGAGGAGAAACATTGCCTGACTGCTTCCATGCCTCTATGGGAAACGATCGGAAGGGCTCTATTAGGGGACCACATGAATTCATTCAACTCTCTTATGTTGCTTTGGGGTTTTGGCGACACTTACAGAGATGGCGTCACAGCAAATCATGAACATATATATGTATTTCCAAAAGAAGAAATGTGATGTCGGCGGCGGCAAGCCACTTTGCGCGGCAAAGGACAACATTCGCAAAGTAAGAGCGACCAGAATTTTTACAGGAAGCAGATGATGGCCTCTTGTAGAACCATCCAACTTACGACTTAGAGTTATAGCTGTCAAATTTCCATTTTCACAATTTGTCCATTGAAAAAGGGCTGAAACAAGAGCAATATATGAGCTGTGCACTATGGAGTAGGGCGCGCTGCATTGTACAGTACATACAATACCTGGTTACCCAAACATGGTTTGTCATTGTATGGAACACGTTCTCCGTACATTACATCAAAAGTGTAGAGCATTGTGCTCTGTCGATAAAGATCAGGCTTAAAGCCGGTTGAGATGAAATGATATCATGTTCTTTCAACCGCCGAGCTGTGGGTATCTTTGCCTCGTGAGGCCCAAAGGTCAGAGCTGGCGTTCATGGGATTGCTTCAGCCTGTGAGGGAAAGTTACAGGCAGACGAATTCATTTGCAGGTCCAGCCCTTCGGCCTGTCATCACATAACTAAATAGGCTTAACCAATACATACATATAAGCCAACATCTCAGGTCGTATTCGCTCTAGGCCATTGTGACTTTGCGGCTGAAGCTTCCATAGTATCGCCAGATAAGCTCGTCGCAAACGATTGCAGCCGAGGCCAGAAGTTCTTGGCATGCCCAACACGAGCGGCATGTCTGTGACTTAATTTTGGGCTCGCAACATCACCATGAGAGTGGACAAATCTGGACTGTCCTCGAAGGGAATGGCACCATGAATCTCGCTTACCTGGCCAGGCGACTGGCCTGATGGCCTATCAGCCTTTTCTTCATCTCAACTCAAAATTCCTCTGCCAGTGCACAACCCTCAGCACTCCTGGAGAGAAGGACCTTTTTATTTTGGATCATGACATGTTGGAAACTATAAATGCGCACAGTTTCAATCAAACAAAAGGCCACTGATCACGAGAGAAACGATGCCACCATGGAATTCAGTAAAAATCCAGTGGTTGCTATCCCGGGGCTGCGTTACAGCAATATCTTTTTTCGTCTAACTTGACAGCCATGTCATCAACAGAAAGCCCGTCACCCTCACCATGGCCCATGCGTACCGTGATTCATCGGCGACCAGGTTCGCCGCCTGAGGTTTTGTCGTTCGATAAGGGACTTGTCCCGTCGCTTCCGACGGAAACTTCAGTCCTCGTTCGCGTGTCTCACGTGGCGCTCCATCCGGGAACTATCATCCTGATGCATCTCGTCCCTTCGTTGTTCCGCCATTTTCCAGCCATCGCGGAGACAGACTTCTCCGGAGTCGTTGTCGAGGCTGGCGCTGGTGTGCCGACAGCAGCAGACAGCAGCACCCGGAGTTTCCCCTCCGGCACGCCCGTTTTCGGTTCCTTTCAAGTTCCCGTTCATTTGAGCAGCGGGTAAGGAGCTTTGGCAGAATATATTGCCATTGAGTCTTCGTCTATTCCCCAGAAGCCGGATAATGTCTCATACGCGGCGGCGTCTGCCCTGGGTGCCTCACTTTACACGGCGATCACGCTGATTGACGCTGCGAAACTTCCTCCGAGATTTAGAGTGCTTATCAATGCACCTTGCGGAGGGGTGGGACATTTCGCAACGCAATTACTCAAGCATCGCGATCTAGAGGGCCATATCGTGGGAATTTGTTCGCTACATAAAGAGACACTCGCAAAACAGCTAGGATGTGACGAAGTGATTGACTACAAGGCCTTTCCTAACAGCGAACACCGGAGCCTAGCAGAGTACCTAACCTCCTGGTATGGAAGCACAGCAGAGGACAAATTTGACGCTATTTTTGATGCATATGGAAGCCAGGACCTATGGGAATCATCACCGGGTTATCTAAAGAGTGGTAAAAATCATGTATACGCAACTGTTGGGCCAAAAGTTGGCTGTACATATTCGGCAATTCTTGGCTTCTTGTGGAAAATGGCGAAGAACACAATTTGGCCGCCGGCCTTGCTTGGCGGTGTACCCAGGGTGTACAGGCAGATATCCGCTTTCTTGGATACTGATGGTCTTGAGAAATGCCGTGAAGTTGCTGTGGATGGATCCGTAAAGGCTTACTTGGGTGGGGTGTGGGAGATGGAAGAGATGATGTTAGCATATAAGGAGCTCACCGGAGGCCATGCGCAGGGAAAACTGGTGATCAAAGTTTGGGATCCAGAGAATTGATGGCAGGTTCATCGCTTGAATGGAAAGTAAGGCGAGGGAATATCGGGAGATGAGGCTACTCCGTACATACTAAGTAATAATGACAAGTTTACGCTTCAAACTGCAGGGGTGTGAGGGAAGCGACTCCAAGCGTGGCTGATATTCATGGACATTAATGCATGTGCAGGGTAGTTAATGGAGATAAAAATTTTTGACAGAAGTCATACAACATCATGTAGCGTGTTTTGGACCAGGGGAGCTCAGTTTATCGCGGTTGACCAGGCTGGTGCTTAGTTAACAGGCTATGTTTGGTGGGGGGCAAGCTTGGGGAATCTCCACACAGGCTACTGGTTTCCACTGACATCAAGCAACCAGCCACCGAGAGGAGAGATACTCCATACAGAGGAAGCTCTTCCACGCAGCTATTTCAAGAGCAACAGCAGCATTACCCTTCCTGTGCTGGGTGTTCTCTTCCATCTTATATCCGGTCAACCCGCCGCCCAACTATCTGGACGTATCATTCGGCAGATCATTGCCACTTCCCCTACACCCAAGCCCACCTCCATGTCATCCCTCTTCGGCACCCCATCAGACGAATCCTCTATGGCGGGAAAGCCCTCGTCGTTTAAATCGAAGTCCCCGTTATTTGACAACGAACCCTCTTCCTTTGGTGCCAAGTCATCGGCGCTTTTTGCGGATAACGTCAACTCTCATGCTGACGACTCTTCGCCCTGGGGTATGCCTACATCCAAGAAGGCCGCGAGACACGAAGTCCTGAAATCGCTGCTCCCCGCGACGGATGTTCCAGAGAGCTATGTTGATGTGTATGATGTAGCTCTGGGGTCGAGTGATAATCGAGGGAATACTGGCGTTGGTATAACCACGGCTAGGAAGATGCTTACAAGCACACACCTGGACCCTGACGCGCAGTCTAAGGTTATGAATATTGTCGCTGGTGGGGGAGACCTTGCAACAGGAAGCCTTTCGAGAAGCCAGTTCAATGTTTTTTTGGCATTGGTGGGATTGGCGCAAGAAGGCGAGGATGTTACCCTCGATGCGGTTGATGAAAGACGGAAGAGTAAGTTTGTTGCTTGTTCGTGAATATTTAATACTTATATACGACTGTAGTCGGGCCAAACTGACGATGGGCTGCATTGTAGGACTTCCACGACCGAACATTCCTTATATAGAGAAATTGACAGCTCAGCATGATACAAATGGCGCTCATACTGATAACCAACCCATCCCGACACAATCGAATACGTCACGCCAGATGCGCCAGGACTCATTTGAAGACCCTGAATTAGATCCGTGGGGAAGTCACCGTATTCGCCAGAACTCATATGAAAACCGGCATCGACTGAATATTAATGGATTTGCTTCATCTACGGGGCCCGGTGTCAATGGCACAGCTAATAACTTGGCCACTGCATATAACAGCCAAGTAAGATCGACTGCTGATAGCAACCAACCCAGGGAATCTGGTGCCCCATCTTCTGGAGGCACCGGGGCTGGCTGGGGAGGAGAGTCATTCAGCAACCCTTCCGGCGGCGGCTTTGGCAACCAAGGGGAATCGGGGTTTGCCGGTGGTTTTGGCCAGTCAGGAGATGATCAGGGGAATCACAACCGGAATAATAGCATGCCTCGATCGCTAGGCGGAGGTCCCATAAGCAATAACGGAGTTGACGAGGTGATAGCGATTCATATGCTCCCGGAAAAAGAAGGCATGTTTATGTTCCAGCACCGAAACTACGAAGTTAAATCTGCGCGAAGAGGGAGTTCCGTTATCCGACGATATAGCGATTTCGTATGGTTGGTGGATTGTCTGCAGAAGAGATATCCGTTTCGGCAGATTCCTTTGCTGCCACCAAAGAGGATAGCAGGTACGTCGAAAGCTTGCTAAGAGCTTGCCTAAATCATGCTCACGCTTTGTAAAGTCAATGGTACTCACCTGACAGCGGATTCAAATGCTTTCCTGGAAAAGCGACGACGGGGCCTCGTCCGCTTCACCAACGCATTAGTTCGCCACCCAGTTTTAAATCAAGAACAACTAGTGGTAATGTTTCTTACCGTACCAACCGTAAGTGCTAAAAAGAATTGCCTCCATGACTCGAGACAAGGGCTTAACAGCTTTAAGCAGGAACTGTCCATTTGGCGAAAACAAGCCACTATTTCTGTCCAAGAAGAATTCTCCGGCAAACCTCTCCCGCCGGACCTCGAGGACTCGCTTCCGCCTACTCTCAACGACTTATTCGAGACCGTTCGTTCTGGTGTCCGTAGGTCCTCTGAGGTCTACATAAACCTATGTAATTTGCTCGACCGTCTCGCGAAGCGTAATCAGGGCCTTGCTGCCGAGCAATTCCGGTTTTCACGCGCTTTGCAAGCTTTGACAGATAGCACCGCGGATACGTATGCTGTTGATAGGAATGACGTTCCATTGTTGAATGATGGAATTCATTCGACAGCGAAACATCTTATCACTAGTCAGGGTTTACTTGAGGATGAAGCCCGGGCTTGGGATGAAGGCGTTTTAGAGGATTTCAAACGGCAACGGGATTGCCTTGTTGCAATGCGAGATATGTTTGATCGGAAGGACCGATATGCGAAGGATAATATTCTTCAGCTAGAGAAACGCATTGAAAATAATGAGAGGAAACTGCAGGAACTTCGAGCGAGGCCCGAGGGAACGGTGAGGGCTGAGGATGCTAAGAAGCTAGAGGATGCTATTTTCAAGGTATTACGAGCTTCCCGTCCGTGACTTGGACATATTTTTGTCATTTGACCGTGCTGTCTAATGGTTAACTTTGCACAGGATAAGGAATCAATCGTGCAGCAACACGCGCGTGGTGTGCTTATCAAGGAGTGCGTTCGTGACGAGCTATACATCTTCCAAAGAAGCCAATATCACATCAGTCGCCTACATCAAGACTGGAGTCAGGAACGAGTGAAGTATGCGGAGCTGCAGGCGGACAATTGGCGGGCTTTGTGCGAGGAGGTCGAAGCTATGCCAACAGGTGATTAGGTAGGTATATCGAGAGACGTACCATTTATCTCGACTTTTCAACTACGGATATGAAGTCTTTTCTCCGGGATGGTTTGCCTTAAATGTTCCTATTTTCGTCTATTTTGTTGCTTGCACCTGTATATTTCCATGTTGTATACTTCCCATCAACATACCCTCTATCGTTCTCGAAATCTTGCTTTTGATCCTATGTTATTGGAGAGTTGATACGCGATAGTTGCTTAAATGTCGTTTATCGTGAGAGAGACCTGTGATGGCGTTTGCTTTGAACGAATCTGCATAGGGTACCCCGTACCCCGTACACATGAATGTTTGGATTTATATCGTCTCATGCTATGGATATTAATGAGAGGTTTCCTCCAGGGCCTATCTTTCCCCTTGTAGACCTCTGGGAGCTTAATGGACTAGCTATCATCGTTTAAATCGCTTTGCCGGTGCATATATTATCGTGTCCATAATGAGACGGCATTTATGGACTTCGAGAGTCCCGTCCCCGCCGGCCTAGAAGATACTTGGTGAACAAGCAAGCAGCGATGATGTCATGTTCCTCATAGACGATACTTTAACTATGGGGGACGGGGTATTTTGCCATCGCAGTTCAGCTCGTGAATTGCACTCGGAAAGAGTCGGTGTGCGAACTCGCCGCTGTGGAACTGAAGCGTCCGGGGGCCATTTCCCGCGCAAATCCGTCCATCACTCCGGCCATCTTTGGAAGTTGTAATGCAAAAGAGATATATGAAAGTTTCTTGGGCCATCGATACTGCCCGTCGCTAAATGAATGTCTACCTTTCCATTCTCCGCATCTCCTTTGTGGATGGCCGTTTCTCTCGATGCTGCGAGGTCGTTGATATTCCTTCGCGGTCGAGAGTTGCTGTTCCGGGCTGAAGCTTGAGACTTGCAGCGGGCGGTGGTCAGCCAATGAGAAGCGTTCCAGTGGATATGCCAAGCGTTGGCGCGTGCCCATCACAGACGTTTTAACCTTTCCGGGTTAGATGTGACCACCATGCACACATTGTGCATAAAAAATTTCTTAATGACTAATGAGTGCACCGGTACATAGCTTTCTATTGGATGTTGGCCAATATTATGCACGCCTACATCGTGATTAATCAGCCACCACAGAACCGTCGTTTTGTCCCTTTGCCACCAGCGGCGCATTCACCAGGATGCTTCACTTGCCAGAGCTCTTGGTCAACGCACCTTGGTGCAGTTAAGCCTCGCAATCACTTCTTGGCTGCAATTTGTTGTTGGGTCCTGAGATCCACTGTTCGAGAAACAATCTATTTCTTTCCATCTACTCCTGCAAGAGGAGTTGGAAGACAATTCCATTAAGCATTGGTGTACTCCCTACGGATCACTTCGTCTACGGCGTGCCTTGTGTGCACACGAGGTGGGACGTGTATTGACAGCTCACCGCTGAGAAGTATGATTTCTATTCGCTCCGTTGGGACCAACGTTTTTGCTTCTGGTTGATTGCGGGAAGACTGATATGTTGTTTTGTTCCACTTTAGACTCGAATATTCGCCCCCTTCTCAAGAAGATTGTGCGGACTCTGCGGCCTGTGCGATTCAGTTTGGCCAATCTGGATTCTACGTCGGCTATTTCGTTGCTCCGCCTAAGAAGCTGAGGATATGCTGAGAATCAGGTTTGCTTTTCAAGGACTGACCGATAGAGAAGCATCTCACCGTACCGTGGTGGTGGCTCTGTTTTTTGACTGAAGATACGGGACCTAATCGCGAAACTATCAGCGACAACGCTCGACCGCTCACCGTCCGTGCACAGCTTTAACTTGTACCCCAGTTACAAGGGGAATAACCGCGCGGTATTTTTGCAAGAATGGCGTGGGACCACCTTGACATCGACAAACCCCATGTCGCGTATATGATATTGGGTGGCTTCACCAGCCTGTTCATGTTGTGCTCGCTTTTTGTGAAGGAGAAACTCTATATCGGTGAAGCAACGGTCGCCACTCTGTGCGGTGTGATTTTTGGCCCTCATGCCGCCAATCTATTCGACCCCATATCGTGGGGCAACGTTGACAAGATTACACTGGAATGCTCGCGAATTGTCCTTGTGGTGCAATGCTTTGCTGTTGGCGTCGAACTGCCAAAATCTTACATGGAGAGGCACTGGAAATCGGTAGCACTGCTTCTGGTACCCGTGATGACATGGGGCTGGTTGGCGACCAGTCTTTTCATCTGGTGGATGGTACGTCCGTTGACGTGGTTGGAGAGCTTGATCTGTGCTGCCTGCGTCACGGCCACTGATCCCGTCCTGGCCTCGTCGGTCGTTGGTAAAGGCAAATTTGCAAAACGTGTTCCGAAACATCTTCGAGACTTGCTCTCTGCTGAATCAGGATGTAACGACGGCATGGCCTTCCCTTTTATTTATCTCTCGCTTTATATCCTAGCTTATCAACCTAGCACCAACAAGGTGGCGCTCCATTGGATTTGCATCACACTTCTTTATGAATGCATCCTAGGTGGCTTTCTCGGATTTATGATTGGTTATGCTGGCCGTCATGCCATCAGGTTTGCGGAGCGGAAGGGGATCATTGATCGAGAGAGTTTCTTGGTCTTCTACTTCGTGTTAGCTCTCTTTTGTGCTGGAACCGGTAGTCTACTGGGGATGGACGATTTACTGATGGGGTTTTCAGCCGGAGTAGGGTTTAGTAACGATGGCTGGTTCACTGAGAAAACAGAAGAGTCCCATGTCTCCAATGTCATCGATCTGCTGCTAAACTTGGCGTATTTTGTCTATTTTGGCGCAATCATCCCCTGGCAGGAGTTCGACGCACCAGAGATTGGTCTTCCAGTTTGGAGATTGGTCATTATTGCGATTTTTGTGATCTTTTTTCGTCGGATACCCATTATGCTGCTCCTGAAACCTGTTATACCGGACGTTAAAACTTGGCGGGAGGCCCTCTTCGCCGGCCATTTTGGGCCAATTGGCGTCGGTGCGATTTTCGCTTGTATCCTAGCTCGAGCAGAGCTGGAGACACATTCTACTCAACCGCTCGATGGGCTTCCGGGGAAAGGCTCCCCCAATTACATGGTTATCCAGCTTATTTGGCCTATAACAACCTTCCTGGTTATCTCATCCATTCTCGTCCACGGATCCTCGGTTGCTGTGTTTACTCTCGGCAAGCGCATCAATACGTTGACGATAACCATGTCTTACACAACTGCCAACGACGAAGGGCCGTCTTGGATGAACCGACTTCCTCGAATTCAATCCCAGTCCAAAGCTTCTCTGTCCTTGCGCAAGGAGTCCCTCGATTCGTCTAACGAAGCGCTACCTCAGTTCCCGCCTGGGACTTTGGGTCCAATTGGTATTCCTGGCAACTTGTTGCGACGGCAGAGAGAAGGAGAGCAGCCCAGTCAGCCGGGTAGTCGTGCTTCCAGCCGAAAACCTACCAGAAGAAAGAAGCTAGGAGCGGGAGGTCCAATCAGTCAATCTGCTATCATGCCACAACGAAGAACCGAGCCTGTAACGGCCGACGAAACTGTAGATCTTGAAGAGCAGCCTATCGACCGGGCTGTAGAAGCGGGAAGACCTAGGATCGAATCTGGGACGGAGGGTGAGGAAGAACCGTTTAGACGGCCTGAGTTAGAAGTCTACCAAGAAGGAGACAACATGATCATTGAAGACGAAGAAGGAAATGTTCTTGAAACTACAGATATTAGCCATCTTTCGCCTGAACAACGAGAGCAAGAGATTATGGCCCAGCACAAGCGTATCCGTGAGGATCCCACTGGATTTTTTGCTAAGGCGAAAGGGCTTCCCCATGAGCAAACGGAAGGAGAAGCCATTAAGAAGGCTATTGGAAAGGATCTTGCTCGTCCACTCAAGCAGTTTAGAAACCATTTGCCCTGGAACAATGGCAAGGAGAAAGATGCGGAGGCAGGTGGTGAGCCCTCGAAAAAGAAGACAAAGAAGGAGCGCAAACGTCGGTCTGCTCGCGCTTATCAGTTCGCAAATACAATCATAGTCGAGGACGAAGACGGTGAAGTTATCAAGAAATATACCATTCCTGGTCACAAGACAACCAAGAAGCCCACCATAGAAGGTGAACCGTCCACCAAAGCAGCGTCGGCGGCTCGGAAATGGAGCGTGGCCCGAGTGGGTACGTGGATTGGGCGTGGCGACGGCATGGCAAGCGCAGCTAAACCGAAAGACGAGGAAGAAGCGTCATCTGACGAGGAGAGGCTCCGGTTTACTGTGCCTGGAAAGGATGGGCGAGGCCATCGTCTTGGAGGTCGTAGAATGACCAAGGAGGATTTTATTAGAGAGATTCAACGCCTTGAACCTCAGACGCGAAAAGAGATCTACGATGAAGACATTCCAGGTCAGTTGAAGCCTGACACCGGAGACGAACAACCTGAGACCACGCGGCGGGCGCAGGGTGGTCAAGTGGAAGGTCAGGGAACGCCTCCTTGCCCTACACCAGCCGAATATACCCCGTTAATTGGACAAGAGGAGAGCATAGGAAGAGAACAAGAGGTGCCTGCTCCTGACGTCGCGGCCACGTTAGCTCAATATACCGGTCCCGACACTTCGGCCGCAGAAGCCCGCCGTCGCCGTCTCCTTGGACCTCGGGAATCACCCCCTCCATCACCAACCAGCAGCGTCCGGCGTCGTCGCGACTCCGAGGACGATGGAACAAGACGTATCCCACCTGCAGAACGTAGACAGCTAGCTGGCCTGCCACCATCGCAACCCGCATCCGCGACGTCACGGGCCAAAGATATCGATCCGGAGACCGGGGAAACACATGTGGAACGGCAGCGCCGTCTTGCTGCCTTGGGTCAGCTACCTGACACCGGTGACGATGAGGACGCTGAAGGGCGTGGTCGCCACCGCGGTGACGGGCACTCTGATAGCGAAGATGACGGGCGGCCGCGCCCGGTGAGAGGGAAGGTATCATTTGCCGACGGAACACGGCCGGCGAAGACGAGGCCGGGCGCGATGGCGGTGCACCCTCCTCGGGGTGCGAGTAGCGGTGGTGCACCTACGGCGGAGCAAACGTCGTCGCAACCCAGTTCGAGCTCTAGCAGTGGAAATGGAAATGGCAATGGGAGTAGTAGCGGGAATGGGGACGGTAACGGTAACGGTAACGGCGATTCTAGACGACATGTATCACGTATTTCATGGGGAGGAGAGAGAGGTAGATCATGATTGTGACGAGTGATGATTGATTCCATACACATGTCTAGAACATGCGTATAAGAAAGACATATATATATATATATATATATATATACCCGGAGTGTTGGGTATAGATATCCATTGACGAATATCGGGAGAGCGTGGTTTAGCGCGTTATGTTTTTGAGTTTTCAGCGCGAGCATATGTCCCATACCTTACGCCTTTGTCTTGCGAATGTTTTACTCGCGTTTACTACCCATATATACCCAGATTAGTATATTAGTGTGTATGTGTGAATGGAGTTTTGAATTGCAAACACACCTTGGGATGCTATTTCATGGTGAACCAGGGCCTCTCGGATTAGCTATTAATTCTTTGTGATGGACAAATTCATCTAATTCCGGCTAGGATTTGGTGTCTCTACCGAGTGCCCAACTACCTCAAGATACTGGCTGAGTGCATCGTGTTGATACGAGAGTATGCTAAAACCCGAGACAATATCTAACGATGACCTCAAAGTTTCCAGCTAACACACCTTTCAATGCCACCTGGCTCTATTTCTGTGGTGGGCACCTAGTTTGCCGGGCTGTCTACGTTGCAACGCTTCAATGTTCCCACAAGAAGTATGAAAATAGGCGGGTGCACGAGGCCCAAAAGCAAGAAAAAAGATTCCTTTTGGAAATAAAGCGTGATGGAAGAAACAGAAAAACTAGCCTGGACCATTCATGGAGTAGTTATAGATAGACATACATAGAGGTAGGGTGGGGGAGTAACTTGATGTAGAAAATGGGACATAAACCAGATTACGTGAAATAGCAGAAAAGACTCAATCCCCCCCCAACCAGCAGCCGTCATAGCAACAAAGATTTGGGCTTCGAGGGAAATTGTGGGAAGAGGTTTGGGAACAAAAAAACTATATGACATCGTAAAAACTTTCTTCGCATAACAGACGTGACGCAGGAATCATCTTGACGGGGAGGGGTGGAGATTAAGGAGTCTGGGTAAAAGAGGTAAGCTTGGAGAGCCTTTTCCCAGGGCGTCGTGGGGATAATGATAACCATAGGAGCGCATTTATGGGACGACATGCAACGTTCGGGGGTATGTCCAGTTCCAAAAGAATATCCTTCGAGAACCCATGACGCGACGGATATCATTAAAAGTAACGCAGGAAAAAGGCGATCTAGTAATTCGGTCTTGGTGGGTAGTCTTCTGGGCGCCCGGTGGAGCTCTTGCCAGAGCCGTATTGCTGGAAAGGGAAGAGAGAATTTTAGTATATGTGGCTATAGGCAGAGTAAGAGAGGGGGGGAAAAGCTGAGACATACCTTGCGTCTCAATGCCTCGAGCCGCTTCTTCTTGGTATGGGCATTGATGTAGGTGCCGATGATGAAGCCAACAATGTTGAAGAACGGCACCCAGGTCTGCTCTGGGAGGAACTTCTGGGCGAATGCCAGCGACAGTGGCGAAACAACCCAGCTGACCTTCATCACACGGAAGAATCCAGACTTCACAGTAGCCCGGACCTGGTGGAAGGTGCGAGCGCCAGCGATGATAGCCATCGAGGCCAGATAGATGACGTTCTGGATGGGCGAGATCTACAAAAAGCGATTTCCATTAGCCAAAAAAGAAAAAAACAAAAGAAAAGGGACATTGCAACTTCGACAATCGCGCGAAGCGTGGACGAGGGATCCATGGGCATACAATGAGGTTGCTAGCCAGAATCTGTAGGATCTTGGCCTTGAGACTGGTGCGGCCGGCAAAGACCCTCTGCAGGATACCGATCAAGAAATGGCCAAGCGGAGCGCTGATGAAAGCGCCGTAAATCGACATCTTTGGTATCCTGGAATTGAAGTAATGGCCATGCTTGCTGCGATCGTGCGCGATCCACGAAGCAAGGATCTCCTGCAGGGCAAAGAGCGACCCCGAGGTGATCATTTTGGTCCGGAGCGGGTTCGATTGGAGCTGCTTAAGGTACGCCTGTTCAATTGCAAACGGAGTTAAATTGTCAGCAGCAAGAAACCAACGATCGCAGCACATCTCCCCGACGGGCCAAAAAGAAAAAAAAAAAAAAAGGACATACAGCCAGGTATCCATTCTGCGTCTTTCCTCCGGTCAATTTTTCTCCGACCTTGTGAGCGAGTTCCTCGCCGACCTTGGTCGCGGTCTTGACTGTTTCCTTCTCGAATTTGACCGACATTTTGAGCGCTGGAGCCGGTGGCCTTCGACACGGTATGAAGGATGTACGACGGATTGGATTATTATTATTATTATTATGATGATGCTGGACCAGAGGAGAGAGAGACAAGGGAAAATGGGGTTTGCGACGGGTATTGTGATGGAGGTCGAGAGGTCAGCTCTCCGAGGCCGCTCAGCGTGGGGAAGGGGTTCGCGTTTAGTTAGCCTGGTCGCCTTGTTTGTTTATGATTGGGGAAGAGCTGAAGCGGGCTGGACCGAGGTCAGGATCGAGTTTTAGCCACCGTCTGAGGGAGGGAACGCGGAGCCGGGGTCGCCGGGATAAGTTGGTTTCTGCTACCGAACGCCAGGGTCGGCAAAGGGAGTGCGATGGAGTGCAATTGAGAGCGTCTCGCAGCCACCGGAGAAAACAAGCCCAATCAAAGCGGAATGATGCGCCTGTGGTTTTGATTTTATGTACTCCGTAGCTGGTTTTCTTTTGCTGCTCTTCGCGACCTGCGCAGCGACAGCTGGGCTCGGAAAAATGGTTTCCGGCCGGTTTTGGTGAATAAGTTACCGCTTGACAGGCTGCACGTCAGCGTCAGCGTTTCGCGCATCGCCGCAACGCTTTTCAACTTACCTAGATCCACGCCTGGCCAGGAACCGTTTTTCAACAGATTACTGTGCGGTTGTCGTTCCAAACAAAAAAAAAAAAAAAAATTAAAGGAGAAAAGGTCTCCGTACACAGCGAAAAGTGGTGATGGCTGCGGGTTGAGACGAACGGCGTTTGGTGGCGATGTTACGGCAAGCGTATTACCATGACAACCGACTCGAAGTCCCGTTCCCAGCCTCCGAATTAATGTTCAACCAGATCTCTTGACTCGGCACAAATCGAACCGTCAATCGAGTTGCTCCGTCTCCTGCTTCCAATGCTTGAATGGAATGCTACTTGTGTACCTGATACCCACAGAGTCCTGGCAAATTAACGCCTTTCTACGGGGTATGCGGGATTGCATTGCTTTCAAGATACCCAGTCGCTCTTACAACTTGGGAGATGGATATCGTCTCTAATTTGAACATGTTTGCTGCTGGCTGGCTGGCTGTTACCCCGTGCGCGATCTTTGAATGCGCCGGTGTGAAGGACGAATGCCCTGAGATGGTTGTATGTATACGTACGGTTTAACGATGCTGGTGATCTCCTGCTTGGGCAAAGTTCCTTGTGGTCATGATGTTTGTGTCTGATATTAAGTCTGACCACGGAGTGTTCCGGCTGGATTCAATGACCTCGTGATATCACCGTTGGTCTTGGGGGTTCTTTGAATGAGACGACGAGGGTTTGTCGACGGAAGATAGGATGATTTGTAGGGAAGGGCTGATGTATGGGATTGCTTAACTACTACCAACTAGTCAGCTCTCAGAGCGCGATCAGCAATCTCCATCCAACGTCCGCCAGATGGCATCTGATGTACTCTCTCCTCTCTTCCTCTCTCCCTTTGACAACCAAAAGCGTCCATCAACCTTGTCCCGGAAAGGGAGTTTTTCCGACCGCCAAACGTAATTTCACAGCGCGTAGTTTGTGTGCACAGCCTCGGTTCACATGAGACGTTTTGCATCCGAATGTCCGCCGTAGGGCCAGCGCTGGATGCTGAAGGGAATGGCAGCAACTTCATTCTTTCAAAGAATCACTCATTCGTGAAAAGGCACGAAGAGCCCGTTTGGGTAGATGGACAATGGAGGACACCGTCACCACCCCCGATCCCTTAGAGCCGTCGGTTCAAGCGGAACCCAGCCCTGCAGCAAATAGGGCTGAAGAGAAAGCACAATGGCAGCCCAAGGGCCAAAAGACCTGTGGGTGTAGCACCTTGAAGGACACTCTCTCAAAGGCAGATAGCACAGCCCTACGCTTAAGCAAGTAAGTCCGCCGTTTGTTCCCTGGCCAAATCCCAAAGGGCCGCGAGAAAACCTATCGTTCTGACCAAAACAAAAAAAACTCGCCAGCTTAATATCCACGTCGTACGGAGAAGAAGCCACACTGGCGATAGCTGGCTACTCTGCCGACATCCTGCACCATGCGCTCCTTTGCCCGCCGCTACGAGCCATCTTCTCTTGCCTTCGCACCCGGCTGGGGCTCTCCGCGTCTGCTGATGATTCGAAATCGCAGACGCGGCCTCTTCTTGCCCTGGCATCCCTGATCTCCGAGACCCGGACCGCTCTCCGTTTGCTCGGCCTGATACCGCTCTGGGAATGGGGTTCGGCGACTGTGAAATCACCGCCGGCTGATCCAGTCCTGCGGTCGGTAGCTTTTGCCCAGGTTGTCGTCAACGTCATCTACCAATTCATGGAGAACGTTGCGTTTCTTGCGTCCAAGGGCGTGGTCTCGCAGCGTCTCCTCCAGCGTCTGGGTGGCGTTGGGAAATGGTATATCTGGTCTACCCGAGCATGGTTGGGCCATGTCGTTCTGGAATTTGTGCGCCTGTGGCGAGAACGATCGCTAGCTGCGAGGCAGAAGGAACTAGCACTGGCGAAAGCGTCATCGTCGGATGATAGGCTTAGCGATGAAGATCAGCGTGCTGAGGCTCTGCGGATGCGGGCTTGGCGGAAGAGCTTGGTGAATAACCTTGCCTGGTTCCCGCTCTGTGTGCACTGGAGCCTGGAGGATGGAGCCCGGGTGCCGAGTAACATAGTTGGACTGCTGAGTTTCATTGCTACTGCTTGGAAAGTGAGCGATTTATGGAAGGCAACCGCAAGCGCGATCTGAACTAGCCATCGGAGCGAGCCCCCGAGTTAAGGCAGCGAGAGGCGTTGGGCATTCGCATTGGTCATGCGCTATGTATTACGAAGATTTTATCTATACAAGGTCGTACGTACACTGCGGATATATGGGTAGATCATCACCCTTGGTTCGACAAGAGACCTGCCCAGGGAAGCGGCTTTGATGGCTGCGGCAAGACATGCACCACCCAAAACGTGACAAGCAGCATATTATCTGACGACTACCCCAAGCAGCTATAGCAATATTGGGAGACTCATGGGATAAATGTTGAGGGTTGTAGGAAGCTATCATGACGCAAAAATCCAGCAAGGAGCGTATTTCCCATTCTTATGTGGGGGGGAAACCTTTTTTCTTCCTAGTCGTCCTCAAACTATAGAGCAAAGACCATAGAGCAGCAGACTCAAGAGCCCCGATCTCGGGGACATGGCTTAACTTTCTCCTTAAAACTTTGGCCATTATATATGTCATTAGCATCGTCATGTGCGATAAGACCTCAAATGAACCTAAAAGTAATGCCTCGTCGCTTGGCTGCCACCAAGGCTTTGGGTCAAGTGAGCGAGCGCGTTTTTTTTGGACACTTTTTCGACGAAATCCAACGTCTGGAACCTCAAGCCACACTTGCGCCAAGCCTTAACTGAGAGCTTTCCACTCAGCTGGATTGCGCCACTCAACACTAAACCGTTTTGGGTTATACAACGCCACATTTTGAGCCCGCCGCTGAACCGCGAGAGAAATGCAGGCGGAACAGCAACCTGATAGCAGACAGGTCTGATGAGATTTGTGTGTGCGTGCATGTTTGCGATATTTATGGCTGTGTTTCCGGGTTTGAGTCAATTGGAGGAGTCATTATTGGCGGCCAAAAAAAAAAAAAAATAAACAAATAAAGAAATAAAAAAACTAAAAAGACAATTTGATAGTGACAAGAGAGGGATTCGAACCCTCGCCCCTTTCGAGACATGGAAACTTTTGCTTCAGGTTGGCCTGAACCATGCGCCTTAACCACTCGGCCATCTTGCCTTGACTCTGTCGCCAAACACAAAAGAATAAAAGGGCGGGAATCAAACCAAGGTCCCGTACCTTTTTTCCCCCCACGTTCTCCGTACATCGACCGAGTCCTGGGAGCCGTGGAGTACGGGGTAGCGATTTGAAATGTTATATTGGCCAGACCACACTATGCACTCCAGTGCAAACTCTGTGGAAGCATATCCTGACCATGATGAGCAGGGTGCTTTGAAAGCATGTTAATTACCTTGTTACCCGGCACCTGGAGTGTGAAATATTTTGTTTCAAAACAATATGCAACTCCTCTCTCTCTCGCCTCCCCGCAACCATGGACTCACGAACTCCGTAGGTAAGCCGAAAACATGGGAGATTGTGTAGAGAACTGCATGTGCGAGGCGACACACAAGCCATTTCCAACTTCAAATTTGATGATGATGAATGGACTTGACACTAGCATATCCCACAGCTTCTGCTACCTGCTGCTGGGGTTGTCGCGGAGTTTCAGTTGAGAATCTTATTCGCGTACAGGGCTTCTGGATACCACGTCACCATGATTCCATTGATTGGGCGTAACGGCGCAGATGGCCTGGATGGAATGCCTTTCGGACGATCCAAGCCACATTATCCCTACATGTCAAAAGTTGGATACTTTCCAGCCGGCCTTGCCAAACTGGCGAATGGGCGAGTTCCGTCTCACAGCGCCCCCGACAATACACCTTCCGATGCTCCGATACCGTGGGTTTCTCAGCCCAGCCCTTTTGCCAATGAGCAATTGGACAGCGCTTATCAGCCCATCGCATGGTTTACTTGGTACCGGTTCATATAAATCTTCCCACCGACGGAACATCGAAATTCATCGAAATAGCTTCCATTAGGGTTTGTTGCCTCTGACAGCCAGTCACTCGTTTGGAGAAAAGGGGAAACAAAAAATTCAAAAAAAAGAGGGAAAAAAAACACAATTTCCAATCTACATCCTCAGAGCAGGAATCATTTATCATCGACCCAGTTGCCTTCGGACTTCCTGTTTTCCAGTTCTTTTCGTTCAGAGCCCAGGACCGGCCTTAAAGAACTTTTCCGCTTGCGGGCGCCTGCAGTGGCTGTCTGGCGCTGTCTTCGCCTGCGTCAACCTTTTGATTTCGCCAGGAAAATCGATATTTCACCACAGGCAAGATGATGAAACGAAGCATCTTCACAACCATTACCCCGTTGCCTTCCTATATTACTCGTGAAACCGTCATCGAAGCTCTGCACCAACACTCGGAGATGATAGAGCTGAATCCACTCGTCATCAAACACGTAAGATGCAAACCTCCTGGCAACGCTCCTTCGGACGAATTTCACTGTGTGTGGTACGAATTGACGGACAAAATACACTATCTACCGGGTGGAATTCTCTCTGGAAACGTTTCGTATAAGGCATGTTTCCACGACCTGCCCAGAGGCCTCCAGACCCATGTTTACGCCCCTACGGGGCTGGATATAAAGGAGAAATGGAGCGTCGGAGGGAACATGCCCGGTGAACCACGGGAACCAATCGAATTGGGTCTCCTTGACGTCCCCCGCGAAGGTCTGTACCTTCGAGAAGACGTCGATATGAGGTCTAACATCCTCACGACAAGCTTTGTGAAAAGGACCTTGAAAAAGGCTCATTCCGTCCTCGTCGAACGATTAATTGTCAAAGCCGACTTATTGAAACAACGCTACGAAGATGCACAGCGACAGAGCTTCATACCCCGGAGCTTAACGTATCCACTTACGGAGACGGATTCACACCGTGGCAGCATATATTCGCCGCCGTCCCCTGGCTTCCAAACCACTAGACCGGATCAGATACCTGCCCCGATCGTACCGCGTCTCGCGTTCCCAGATGACATGCATCTTCGGGCACGGGCCTCGTGCCATGCCGTCAGTCCGGGCCCTGTAGATACGTTCCGACATTCACATTACATTCCGCCCAAACAGGCACATATCGTTGAAATAGACAGCACGCCGGTGTATGCTCCCCGTATAGGAGTCGGGCAGGCCGATATATTCTCCCGGGAGAAGAATCCTGCGGTATCTACAAAGCGTGCCCCTGTCATTCCGTGACACGGTCGTGTAGGGTTCGGATAGGCCACGTCCGGGCTTTCTGCCTTGGATAGAACATGTGGTTTATTCCGATGCCTGGGAATTGGAAAGGTGGTATTAATTTATGATCTGATTATCGATCGAGTCCAAGGCAGGGTGTGCGGCTGCATCCGTTTTCTCAATTTTCGAATGTCTTCTCTCTATTCACGTTCCTGGAGCATTATATAGGCCTTGTTTTGTATTGGGATACCCGGCTTTTGTTTTGTATGATGAAATTCTTTTTGGTGTGCATACTGCAAAATAAAATATAACTGTAAAAAGTTTGTCAATTCCAAAAGAAAAAGGGAGATAGAATTGAATTTCAACATTTTCTTTTCCTCTGGCGGTCCTAACCCCTTTTCGAATAACCACCACACCACTATAATATCAAATGATGCAAACAGGTCCGTTGGGAATAAGCTGTCCAGTTGTTCCATTCATGAAGTTGTTCTCTACGGCGATTTCCAAACGAAAATGCCAGTCACATGGGGCATCAGAATGTTCATGACTCAAAACATGGTTTTTCACGGCTGCCTGGAGCCTGAATGATTCCAATAAAATTCACTTCTCTGCAGAAGGATTTTTTTTTTTTAACAGTTATTCTCAGAAGGAAGGGAAATCCGGGACCTTTTTCTGGATAGCGAATACCTGGAGAGATGGGGGGCAAGGTGTTCTCGGAGCCAAGGGGCGATCAGGCCGCCCTCCGGACCCCTCGAATGAGCGAGGCTGTCTACATTCGCACAAGGGATTTCTGCATCGACAAGCTTCGGCAGAGCTTTGAGGTCGTGGTCGCGCCGCCAGAAGCCCCGGGCAAACTAGACTATGGGGACGTGGACACTCTCGTCCAAGGACTTCGACCGGGATTCACATGGGAAGAAGTTGGGAAGCGATTAAACTCCGTCCGCACGGTGAGGAATGGAGAGACGCGAAGCTTTGCTGTTCCTATCGTATGTTCTGACGGTGATGGTGATGACGGCGAGGAGGACACGTATGCGCAGGTCGATGTGCATGTGTGCCGTCCTGGATTTATGGAGTGGGAGTGCCTGCTTGACTCGTATGGTGATATGTGGAAGATCGTGGGCAAGTTTATGAGGCCGCTCGGCCTGACGGCGACGGATAAGGGGCTTCATGTTCGCATTGCAGAGATCGAACCGTTCAATCGAGCGTATAGCATGGTCTACCTCACGCATAGTCCGATGGATGTGCTGGACTTCGTGGGGCTGGATGTGGAGCGGTATCAACGCGGCTTCAAGACTCTCGATGAGCTCTACGGCTGGTGCGCGAGCGCGAAATATTTTCATCGTGATGCGCATTCGTCTGGCTTGGAGACGTCGAATGACCGGCAGAGAAAGAGAAAGAGGCCGATGTATCGAAACTTTGTTGATGAATGGATCCCCCGAAATGCTGAATTGTGGCAAGATAAGAAGCCAGCCTCGAGAGAGGATGTTGTCCAGCAAGCGCTACTGCGGTTCGGAAAGCAAGCAGAGTACGAAGAAAGGGTTACAGCATGGAGGTATAAAAGAGAGGAAGAGGAACTCTGGAGTGAAGTTGGGTGTGTTATCGCAGAAGAGTGCTCCACAAACGTGAATATTGTTCTTAGAGGCTTGAAGAGATGGGTGCGATTTACAAATGGTGATGGCGATGGGCGAAGTGCAAACGATGAACCGGTGCGGCTAGTTCTCCGCACTGAGGCAGAGATGGACCCAGACCGCCAGCCGCGTTGGGCATCGCAGATTTCACATGAACTGGGAGACAACCCCCTTTCAAAGGCTGAACTCCTCGAATGGGTTCGGAAACATTGGCAAGAGGTGAAAGTGCTTGAAAAGGGGCGCGTTGCCGCAGCAAAGGCAGCAAGGCGTTGATTTGATGCTAGGATTTTGCATTATGGGTTACGCTGGGGGAAATATCAAAGTTGAAATCAGATATCCTGTTGTTAATCATAGATAAATAAATAACTAGATGAAACAAGCTGTTTAATACGAAGGGATGGTCTTTATAAAAAACACAGTTTCCCGAAGAGCAGTCGTGCAATGGGCTCAGCAAAAGAATGATGAGATGAAGGTCCGTGAACAGCTCCTGTTCTCTTTCCATTCGCCATAGGATGAATAGGTGGTTTTTGTCCATGTTTGTGACTGTGGAGGCCAATTCCTATTGTACAGCACGACGCAGATCCAAGGGGGTTCTCTCTCTCTCGCTCACTTCTTTCCTCAGGCTTTTCCTCACAAGCGGATAACTGCAATCTATAGTAAAGGCGCCGAAATCTCCCAAACTTTGCCCGACCAGCTTGGTTCTAGCCTTTTGCCCTAGTACAAAAATAAAACCCAGAATAAAGAGTGTAAGGTGGCCTTAAGAGGAATCGTACTTTCGTGCGATGTTCTGATACCATTCACTCTCGATAAAAGCATCCACTTTCCACGACTTGGAACCCGTTTCCACTATGCCCGCCATCGGGCCCTTCCAGACAAACGTGGCGGCATCGATACTCCGCAAATTTCCATCGTCCATGCAGATCTCAACTTGAACATGAGTTAATAGCTTAGAGTTTTCTGCCTCGAATTGATATATCTAGTTCCGCTGTTCGGGGGTCAAAGAGAAAATCACAAGGCCGTCAACACTGTCACCCAGTTCCCCTGATGGCAGCACTACTGGGAAGTTGGCTCCTTCGAAGACCGAGAGTTTGTATCCGAGTAAGCTCGCCTGGGTCATATTGGCGGCGACGTCGTAACCGGGCGGAGCGTCAGTTACAAATTGCAAGACCTGCGGGAGCATGAGCTGTCCGAACAGGAACATGGGCATGGGGCCTTTGAGCAGCTCATCGAGTCTCTCCGCTGATAACATGTTGTTCAAGGCCCGCTGATAATCTCGTGGGTATGTATGCTTGCACTCCATTTATGCTGCTCTGCGTATCAGTGGTATACGCCTAAAATGGTGGGTGGCTTCGTCCCGCGATTAGCTTGTTTTTTTAAGTAGAAATTGGAGGGTGGGGGCAGGTGTAGCAGGCGTAAAAAAAGAATGCAGAAAGAAGTAGGGTATAGGAGATTTCGGAGGCTAATTTATATATATCTGGCTTGTGCTGCCAACAAAATGACCTGGAGATGGACTGATTATGGGCAAACATCCCACCCAGCCCAGCATGGTGCTGTGGTCAATTCCAACGCTGGGAACAACAAACGACGACACAAACTGTGAGAAATAGCCTCCCGCTGCCAAATACAGTGTCAAAGCAAGGGCGAGATGGCGCCATTGGCTGATCAGAATAGCATGAGGAGCCTTGTTTCTGAATGAGGGAACAGTATCGAACCATCACCAGGGATTTTCGAGACGGAGAAGCCATCCCGCTTTTGGAAAAGGGCATAGGAACTGGCCGGACTGGAGTGATGACAGGGAGCCATCCTTATTTGGGGACGGGACACATCGTGGCAGCCTGGTGATCTGATCCAGCCTTGCTGTTGCCTTCCAACACCAGCACTCATCTTCACACGATGCCATGCCGATTGGCTCCAGCCCCTCCTGCAGATTGCGTTATTCAATGCATTGAAAGGCGAGCTGGAGGGTTCATTTTTCATGAGGTTGCTGCCCTCAAGACTTCCCTTGTAGCTACTGCATTTCCTCGAAGAAATCCAACTACCGATTGGCAATTGTATGATTGTTTTCTTTGTTATTGCTTTCATAGCATGATGAGCTGAAAGGGATAAACCTCGAAAAGCAGAAAGGGAGGCTCCTCTGTCGGGAACTGTCAGTGGAACTCCTTCATCGCCAGGCGCCGGAGGCGACCTGGGGAACATGGATCGCGCGGCGTTAGGCTTCCAAGCTGTCGTGGCGGCTTGCTGGGGCTGGTCCATGGCTTTCCAGAGGCTTCCAAGCAGCAACGCCGCCCGTGATTGGCCTGAAGTCTCTGATTTGCTGAGTCAGATGTCGAATTTTGTCAGCAGCGCACAGCCTCTAGCCGGACTGGGCTAGCGTGGCCGCCGGAGCTTTCCTCGCCCGTCTGCAGCGAACCTCATCGTCAGCCAAAACTGCCACCTTAGACCTCGCAACCTCCAACTTCCCTCCGCTTCATATCCTCCCCCGTCCAACCCTCCCTTTGCTCGTCTCTAACCTCGTTGTCTCTTCTGTATTTGTTCTTGTTTCCCATCTAATAGCTGCTTCCCCCCCAAAGAGTTGCTCCTTCATAGGCCCTTTCGCTTCACGCCCGAGAAGCCTCTGGGTACAGCATCATAAGCTCGACACCCGCAGAGAGTGCGACCACATTCCTCCCTGCACATCTTCCTCTCAGTCTCGTAGCCTTGTGGACGCCTTCTCTTCCTAATTTTCTTTCCTTTACCTTTTACCTTTCATAGTTGAAATCCCTCCTTCAAGATGTCTGCCGAACCAGATCACTCCCACCACAAGCACAAGGTCAACCTGAAGTGAGTCGAGAGCTGTCTTGAGACAAAATCGAATCTTACCTGAGTTGCCTATGCTAACTTTTGGTTACAGTGATCCTTCAGGTGCGGAAAAGAAAGATGTAATGCTCTTCGGTCCACTGTTAGTCGAAATGGAGAGTGGAGCGATTCTGACATCATATTAGGAACTTGATACTGCCACCGCCATCCTCAAAAAGAAGAAGAAGCCAAACTCGTTGATGTAGGCTTTTCCTCTTGCTTTCTCGATGGCTTACCTCGTCCAGACACATATCGGCTGGAGAGTCCGATGCTAACTGTCTAAATAGTGTCACTGACGCCGTCAACGATGACAACTCTGTTATTGCGCTTTCCAACAACACCATGGAGACCCTCCAGCTCTTCCGTGGCGATACAGTCCTCGTGAAAGGAAAGATGCGCAGAGATACCGTTTTGATCGTCCTTGCGGATGATGATCTTGATGATGGAAGTGCGCGTATCAACCGCGTCGTTCGACACAACCTTCGCGTCAAGCATGGGGATGTTATCACCGTCCATCCTTGCCCAGATATCAAATATGTGAGTGGAATTTTACCGAATTATGGCCCCATTTCAATGTAATGGCAGCATGGCTGACACACCTTCCATGAATAGGCCAAGCGCATCGCCGTTCTCCCAATCGCAGATACCGTCGAAGGTTTGACCGGGTCTCTATTCGATGTTTTCCTCGCACCATATTTCCGCGAAGCCTACAGACCCGTTCGACAAGGCGACCTGTTCACTGTTCGTGGTGGTATGCGTCAAGTCGAATTTAAGGTCGTGGAGGTCGATCCCCCGGAATATGGCATCGTAGCCCAAGACACCGTGATCCACTGCGAGGGTGAACCCATCCAGCGTGAGGATGAGGAGGGAAACCTCAATGATGTTGGCTACGATGACATTGGTGGCTGCCGAAAACAGATGGCTCAGATCCGAGAACTTGTCGAACTTCCCCTTCGACACCCACAGCTCTTTAAGTCTATTGGTATCAAACCTCCTCGTGGCATTCTCATGTTCGGGCCACCTGGTACCGGTAAGACCTTGATGGCTCGTGCCGTCGCCAACGAAACTGGTGCCTTCTTCTTCCTCATCAACGGTCCTGAGATTATGTCAAAGATGGCCGGTGAATCCGAATCAAATCTGCGCAAAGCCTTCGAGGAAGCCGAGAAGAACTCACCTGCAATTATCTTCATTGATGAAATTGACTCGATTGCTCCCAAGCGTGATAAGACTAACGGTGAGGTCGAACGCCGCGTCGTTTCCCAGCTCCTTACCTTGATGGACGGCATGAAGGCTCGCTCCAATGTCGTTGTCATGGCAGCCACAAACCGCCCCAACTCCGTTGATCCCGCTCTTCGTCGTTTTGGACGTTTCGATCGTGAGGTTGACATTGGTATCCCTGACCCAACTGGACGTCTAGAGATCCTTCAGATTCACACGAAGAACATGAAGCTTGCTGAAGACGTCGATCTCGAATCCATTGCTGCAGAAACCCACGGTTATGTTGGCTCTGATCTTGCGTCCCTCTGCTCGGAGGCTGCCATGCAGCAAATTCGTGAGAAGATGGATCTCATTGATCTCGATGAAGACACCATCGATGCTGAAGTCCTTGATTCATTGGGTGTGACCATGGAGAACTTCCGTTTTGCCCTTGGTGTTTCTAATCCCTCTGCCCTCCGCGAAGTTGCCGTTGTTGAAGTTCCCAATGTTCGCTGGGAAGATATCGGTGGACTGGAAACTGTCAAGAGAGAGCTCATCGAGAGTGTCCAGTACCCCGTCGACCACCCCGAGAAGTTCCTCAAGTTTGGTCTTTCACCGTCGAAGGGTGTCTTGTTCTATGGCCCACCAGGTACTGGTAAAACACTCCTCGCCAAGGCCGTTGCCAATGAATGCGCTGCAAATTTCATCTCTGTCAAGGGTCCCGAATTGCTGAGCATGTGGTTCGGTGAATCCGAAAGTAATATCCGCGATATCTTCGACAAAGCGCGTGCAGCTGCTCCCTGTGTCGTCTTTTTGGACGAACTTGATTCCATTGCCAAGTCTCGCGGTGGATCTGTCGGTGATGCCGGTGGTGCTTCGGACCGTGTTGTCAACCAGCTTCTGACAGGTAGGCAAAATTTTTGATCTTATTTGTGTTGCAGAATAGAGCTGTCGCTAACATGTTGTATAGAAATGGACGGGATGACTTCCAAGAAGAACGTGTTCGTCATTGGTGCCACTAATCGTCCTGAACAGCTCGATGCTGCCCTGTGCCGCCCTGGCCGTTTGGACACTCTTGTTTATGTGCCCCTCCCTAACGAGGCTGAGCGCGTTTCCATCTTGAAAGCTCAGCTTCGAAAGACACCTGTTGCTCCCGATGTCGACTTGGAGTTCATTGCTAGCAAGACCCACGGATTCTCCGGTGCTGATCTCGGTTTCGTTACGCAACGCGCTGCCAAACTTGCCATTAAGCAGGCCATCTCCATGGAAATCGAGCGGACCAAGGAGCGGGAGGCTGCGGGTGAGGATGTCATGGATGAGGATATGGATGACCCAGTTCCAGAACTTACTCGCGCCCACTTCGAGGAGGCCATGCAGATGGCGCGCCGATCCGTCAACGACACGGAGATCCGTCGATACGAAGCTTTCGCACAGAGCATGAAAAACTCCAGCGGCAGCAATTTCTTCCGATTCCCAACTGAACAGGAAGCCGGTCAGGCTGGATTCGGTGACGCTGGCAACGATGATAGTCTTTACGATTAAGTAATACCATTGGGGTTTTTCATGCTACATTCTGGGTTTGTCTTCATATCTCACTATGGCGATGAGGATTTCAACGGATCATTGGCATCAATGTTAGGCGGAGCAGGAGACGAAATGTCTTTTAAATTTTGTGTACGCACGACTTTTTATTTTCCAACTTTTCCAGACTTTAGATTGACTGTCTCTTTGATTTACTTGAATGATGAGGTGTCTCCTTGCAAGACGGGAAAAGCAGTTCAATAGTCAGATAGATAATAGCTAAAGCTCAATGCTCTGGAGGAAAAGAAGAAGCATGCTTTATTGCTCCCATGGCCGCTTGGAAAAAAGGGAGAAAAAGAAAAAGGATCTCCCGATGCACGTAATCTACACGCTCCCCCAACCGTCATTGCCAGGGGGAAGGTTGGAAAAAAAAGAAAAGGAAAACTTAAAAACCATGACCACATCTATGTTGTTCTGTACATGGAAGGCGAATAGGGCCAACCTGCTGTAAACCAAATATCAACACCAAATCCGCCGCAGTAAAGTTAACCCAAGTTAAAAACGAAGCGTTAAAAAAAAAAAAAAAAAAAAAAAATAGAGAAGGGAATAAAACAAGGCAAAACAAAAAACAAAAAGCTAACAGTAAAGAAGATGGATGTTATGGTAGCTAGCGCTTCTTCGCGATTTTCACTTTCGGATTAGCCATCTCTTCATCGTCGTCGTCGTCGTCGTGGTGTGTCTCGGCGGCGGCGCGGGGGGCAGGTTCAGCTCCGCCATCCTCGTCCTGGCCTTTGGGTGCCTTGGTGAATATCTCGTCGATAGCTTCGTGTAGAAATTTAACACCCCTTCCGACGATATGCGAAGGTATACGGACGTCGAATTCGGCGAGAAGGTACAGTTCGTCGTCGTCGTCGTCGTCGTCGTCGTCGTTCTTCTTCTCCTTCTTCTTCTTCTTCTTTGCCTTCTTCTTCTTCTCTTCCTTGAAGGCGGTTTTGCTGTTGCTGTTGTCGTCGTCGTCGTCGTCGTCGTCAGAGGGAGATTTGTGTTTTCCGTTGGGATCTGCTGTCTCAGCGGTGGTAGTGGTGCCGTTGGCGGTCTGTTCGTGCGAGTCCTCCGTCTCGTCGGGGTGGTCTTCCTCCCCCTTGCTTCCCTCGGCGTCGCTTGTGTTTTCCTTCTTGAGGGGTGGTATGCCGTTGGTGGCGGAGGTGGTCCCGTTGGGTCCCTTGTCGCGTTTTCTTTTGCCGAGGATGGAGGAGGACGAGGAGGAGGAGGTGGTGGGGGACGAGGACGACGGGGAGGCGGGGGAGGGAGATGGGCTGTACCCGGTGGTGGGTTTGGGGGAAGTGGCCAGGTGCACGACCTTGTCGAGGAGCTCGTCGAACCTTGTGCAGCGGCCGGAGCGTAGGAGTTCGAAGGCGAGGCTGCGGACGCGTTCGGTCCAGCCTGCGGCGGAGAGAGAGTGGAGGAGGGATGTGTGCAGTTCTTCGAGCTTGGTGGTGGTGCAGAGGTAGGCTAGTGCGAGGTCGGTGGAGGAGGTGAGGTCGGAGAGGGGGTGTTCCGCTGGCTCGGAGGAGGCATCGGAGAGGGTTTTAACACGGTAGATCTCGTCCAGCTTGGTGGCCGGTTTGGAATTAATGGGTTTTGAGTCGGTGGACGGCATGGCGGAGGCGTTCGCGGACCCTTGGGGGGTTAATAAATTATTAAAAAAAAGGAAGGGCTGAAAAGAGTGCGGCGAAAGACCAGCTGTCGCGAGGGAGAAATTGGGTTGACGACACTCCTGCAGCGTGAACCGGAAATGGATTCCAGAAGCCTTTCAGAGTAAAAGCGAAAGTCTGCGAAAATCTGAAGAAGGACAGCTTTTGCTAAGTACCTTCGGTGGTTCGGGACAGGGGGGTTTGATCGTGTGTGCTGGCAAGCAAAAGGGAAGGGAAGGGAAGGGAAGAAAAGGAAGCGAAACGGGAGGGGGGAAGAAAATAAAAGAGAAAAAGGCTTGTCAGGGAAGAAATGTCGTGTTCATCTTCGTCCGGCCATTTCTTTATCTCCTCGTGCGATTGACTGGGCCGGGGGCTGGTGTACCTCATTCATGCGTGTTATTGAAGCGCTCCAGGTGTTCATCGAGTCGTGCTCAAAAAGTCTAGTTTGGTGGACGTCATTGTCCTCTCGACGGCACTTTTTCGCCTCTGATTGGCCCAACCGAAGGCGGTCACAGAGTTTCTGCCACCCGAACGGCATTTTTTTGGAGCCTCAGCGCCGCGGCGAACGGAGAGGACGGCGGATTGAAGGCGGAGGAGAGCCAATTACCGGATGTTACATCAAATCAACGAAGCTTACGGAGTACTCTTAAACTGCTCTCGCCGGCGCATCGACCGGTTTGCTCGGCGACGGACGCGATGCCGCAAACTCGCTGCCGGAACAGCACAGCCATGCAAGGGGCGTCCAGAGCCGCCATTGGCACGTGACTGCGCCATAGCCGGCGGCGAGTTAGTTTATTAGTCAGCTGAGCTAAGCCCGCATTGGGAAGATGCCAAGCATTTCAACCTTCCAACGCATTTTTGTGGGTTGTTTGGTTTAAGAGAAAAAAAAAAAGGTGCTTGATCTGACACAGAAGGGAACAGGAGCAAGCTCTGGATCCGTCTTCGGGCCGAAACGGACCATGGCAGGCAGGCAGGGAGGACTACCTAGGTTGAAGCATCGATTGTTGGACCAAGGGGCGTGCGCTGGAAATCTCAAGGTCAAGCATGTACAGAGTTACCCCATCATGTCGCCTGAAGCTTTGCACTCAAGAACATTTTTAGTCAATCGGTTGCTGGACGCAAGTTGAACACCGTTCGCCAGGACATAACTAAGCTAAAGCTTGTCATGATAATTGGGACCCACCTGAAACAGACAGCAAGGCAATCTGAATTTGCCTGTTTTGCGGAGACAATTTCTACCTGAGTCTCCATTTGAGCGCCCCTTTCTTTGTATGTATTGATAGAATGACTTTGGAGGTGACACACACACACACACACACAATGGGGTGTGTATATGCAGAACATCGGGATCCACTGCTGTTTGCCAGAATGCAGTTTACCGTCAAAATGACAAACTGATCGTTAGCTATTGCCAAAAAAAAGGCCTGTCTCCTAGGACATTCTTTAGCCCAATGCTTTCAGCAGCGGCTTGCCAGCATTTCAGAAGCCCCCCAGATTAAAAGCTATCGACTCTAGCTAGCCTTATGCTTCAAACTGTCCTTTGTCGGTGTGGTAGATTGGCTTGGACCCAGTGACGTACCTCCGGTTAATGGAAAGGCTAGAGACCATCAAGTGATGATCAAGCACGCGCATCCCTGGCTACCAGTTGGCTATACTGAAGAAAGCCACTGTCTAACCGTGACTCCCAGGTCATGAAGGTGCACTTCATTCACGACGGTTCTCTAGCTGACATGATCGCTTCCCTCAAACACGTGAATGGAGGTACAGTCAGCCATCACGTCAGCAAAGATTATATATAAGTCTTGTCTCTGGACAGTTTAAAAAAAAAGAGATGCGACCCAGACAGGCTTATCGACTTGGCCAATGTGTGGTGCAAAGATACCCTTGCCGAACCTTTTCTCCCAGATTGCTTTTATACAAATTGAAACACATCCCTCTCAAATAGCCCAGAGGATGGCCGCTGGGGTTGAAACGGTTGCACAACCCCTGAGTAACTCGGCAGATGGCCAGGCTGACCACAACCTGTCGCGTCTTGTGGGATCCGATCCCCCAGCAGCGGACGAAATTCACGCGTCGAACAGTGTCAAATCAGGATCAGGCCTAGGAGTCCTTGAGATCTTCCCTCTCGAGATCCTTCACATGATCCTGTCAGGCTTGGATATCACAACTCTTACAAACTTCCGCGCAGCAAGTCAAGACGCCAAAATAGTCGTGGAGAGCATCTCGAAATATACATCTATATATAAACTGGCGCCAAGCGTATTCAGAGCGGTCGTTTCCTTTGGAGCCGGTTCCTGGATCACTTGCGAAGACCTCCGGGGTGCCCTGAGCAGCACATCCTGTGCCGCGTGTGGCGGGCCTGGAAGCTTTATATACCTCTTCTCGTGCGAGCGAGTCTGCCCGGAATGCATCACGCGCGGACCAGAGTATCCGACCGCTTTGGCCGGCTTCGCCAGGTTTCTCTGTGATCTCGATAACAAGACGCTCGGCGAGCTGCGAACTATAACTATACCGGAACGAGACGCGTGTCCCGATATGGTGCACCGTCCGCTGGAGCTGGTGAATCGAAACGACGCTCTCAACGCTGGCATTCGCCTTCACGGCCCAGATTCACTGTTCTCAAAGATTAGCGATGGGGAGAGCGACGAGGAGGACACTGACAGCGACTACGGCGATCGGATCGAACTTGAGGAAGGGAGCTCTCTGGCAACTGAGTCTACCGCATCTTCCGAAAAGGCAGACCTCATCAGCGGCGTCACCTTCTATGCAGGGGCCGTCCGTGCTCCGCAGGTGAACTTTGCCGCTGGCTATGTGGAGTGGGGTGTTTGCTGCAGCTCCTGCCGCAACAGTGGCCGCATCGGCCGCGAGAAGATGAAGTGGGATGAAGATGGCGCCGCCAAATATGCGGACTACCTCCGGGAGTGTAATGGTGCGATGACTATTCTTTCATGCCTGGATTACTGTCAGCATGTTGCGCGCAGTGCGGCGGTTGGCTACGTACCCATGGTGAATGAAGAGTAAAATCACACCCATTTTATTTTATTTTATTTATTTATTATTTCTTTTTTTTTCTCTTTTGTTTACGTTTATCTTTCCCCAGGGAGAGATCTCGGAACAACTGAACTCTGCATCTGTTACTTGCATTAGTTACCCTGAAGATCTTACATAGCACCCGGCGAGTCTAGATCATGTCGACACGAATTCGGTTTATAGCGATTTGCAACGGAAGATGCATATAAAAAGGGTTTATCGGCGTTGTTGTGGCGAGGAGTGTTGGTAACAATGCTATTTTACAATTTTACTGCCACATTGTGCTCCAACGGTGCTGCGTTCACGGAGTGTTCGACGGCTGATATGTCGCATCTACATGCATACTACTTACATGTTACATCAGATAGCTGCATATGATGATTCTCCTACAATGCTTTTATCCAGTTATGTACTCTGTACTTTTTGGTCAACACTCTTAGTTACTACTCCGTGCTCTGTACTCCGTACAATAGAATCATTACATATCACTCTGGCGATATCCCAAAATGTAGCTTTTGAGAAGGTCGATCGCGATTTGCCGGCGGAATCTGCTGCGGTGGACCCGCCATACCGCATTAGGACTAGTCACCGCGCGGATCACGGGCTCCACCCAGCACATCAGACGCTAAACCGTATCCGGTATGCTCTGTCCACGTGATCCAAGTTGGTGGAGAGGTTTCACGTGACCCTAACCCGATCCGGCAGCCGCAACGCCAGCCAGCCAGCCAGCGAGCGAGCATCTCCAAAGTTGTGGGCATTTCGCGACGGGCGAGCGATAGACGGACAGCAGCTGCGGCGACGAACAGCGACGACGACGACGACAGAAGCGACACCAAGACGACGAAAAGCCTGCGAACGAATATCCCGTTGACGCCTCCGCAGTCGACTAGTCTACGGAGTACATGGTCAGACTTTCGCTGGCGAACCGTCGCTTTGACGTGAGACTTCCCAGTTTCAGAGCCTTCTATTCGCTGATCGTCACGGATTGAACCATCAACTAACCGCCAGGCCACTTCCAGATTGATCTCAATGGTTCCATTGATCGCCGTGGGTTAACTCAAGAGCTCTCTACCCAGATCTTTTATCCGCGACGAGTGGCGAGGCTGTCCTCCGTCGCACCGTATACTTTACCGTCCACCCTTGTTGCCAAAGACGTTATTCCTACTCAACCCCAGCGTTCGTCACCTCAAACGCTTGCTTGCAGTCGAGTTCTAGTCTGATTTCAAATCTTCTTCGAAGTTTATCCGCTGGCAGAATATTACCACGACCTCGAAATTGTTTTTTTATTTTTATTTTTATTTTTATTTGTTTTTGCTCGCTCGAACTTTTCTTGCGACTCAAGGATACCTGTTTAGTCATAGTCGTCGGTTTATGTCTTTATCGCCGTTTCGTCGAGGCTCGACCTTGTCTCACTCGGGACGGATTCGGCAGCAGAATCGAAGAAACAACTAGTGCCGCTCTGCGCTAGGGGAGGGAGTTCCTAATTGTTTTTATTATTATTGTCATTATTTTCCCCCCTTCGTTCCGCGATGGCATTCCCTTCCTCATATCATCACGGAGACTCAGACGCGGACGACGAATACGAGAGGAGTATTGTCGTCTCACCCCGCCTCGCCGACGACTCTGAAGCATCCCCCACCGATTCCGAACCCCCCTCTACTGAAAATACACCCACGGCTTTTGCAAACATGCCCGACGATCGCACATCACCGACATCCTCGATAACGGAGTGGTCTGCGGAGGAGTGTGCGAATTTCGCTTCGAGTCTTGGCTTGAAACAATACCGTGATTCGTTCATAGGTGAGCGGGGATGAATGGCTGCTGGGATATTCCCCTTTCCCTCCGATTACAAGACTGATCTGTTTGTGTCTGGTTATATTGTAGAAAATGAGATTGTTGGAGAGGCACTTATCGCACTGAGACACGACGAATTGAAAGAGCTTGGAATATCCAGTGTTGGCCATCGATTAACCCTGTTAAAAAGCGTATACGAGATAAAGGTTAAGCAAGGAGTGCCGTTCGACTCGGACCATTATGTCCCTTTGTGTAAGCAAATCCTTAAAGTTTGCTTTAACCGTGCTCCTCCGGGACGGGGTCAATTCTAACATAGTCGCTAGCTGCCGAGCAGAGCAATGCGAAGGAGGTAGCCACACAGGAGGATGTTGCGCTTCTTATAAGGACTATTCGGAAACGGGATGAGAGACTCGCAGCGGCGGAAGCAGAGCTACGAAAATTGGCGGATGACTACCGAAGGCTCAGAGAGGAACTGCTACCGGTATTCAAGATGGCCAAGGACAGGTCGCAGCCGTTACCATATCAACCAACCTCATCCTTCGGAGGTTCTACACTATTATCGGATCAATGCATTCACGACCAACCCGCTACTTCCCCCTCGATAAATCAACCGGAGAAAACAGGCACTAGCCTCTCTAGGTCTTTTTCAAAGAAACTTTTTGCCGGAGGAACCACCCCCAAAACCAGCTCACCGACACATATCCCGCAGTCTATACCAGAGGGCAGGACATACACAGACACATCAACTCTCGATCCATCTGCGGCAGCGATGGCTGCCTCCTCTCATCTGACGGCTTCCATGAACGGTGGCCAGCCCTCGCCCAAAGGTATCCCATCACCTACCTCTCCCGCTAGCTTCTACCCACAACAGACCCTTGCATCCCGATCATATTCCCGCGAGACCTCAAGTATCAACCGCTCCTACGACCATCCAGAAGACCCGCAATCACAACAGCGACAAGATCGCCCTACACCAAACCATCCAAACTCCAACAGCAATCCTCCCAGCTCACGCAACCCCAACGATGCCGCAGGCCCCAGTGTCGAGATATTCAAATCCTTCCGGGTCTCCATGGACGATCCATGTTACAAAGTTCTCCCTGCCGCCCTTAAGAAATACAACATACACGAAGACTGGCGACACTACGCCCTTTATATTGTCTACGGTGATCAAGAACGCTGCCTTGGCCTTGAAGAGAAACCCCTAATTTTATTTAAACAATTGGCCGGTGATGGCCAGAAACCCATGTTTATGTTGAGACGACAGACACCGATAAGCGACAGCACAGCAACAAATATATATCCCGGGGGTGGAATTGGTATCCCGCCGGGAAGTGCCGGCATTGAAGGGGGAGGAGGAGGAATTGGTAGGCCACAACCCGGAGCGATTCAGCTACCCGGTGGTGTATTATGATGCCTTTCGGGGTTCCCACCCTGCCCGTTTCCTTTCTCCTCATCCGTCATTTACGGTATTTGGCTTTATTTACATAGTTCAGATCTCTCCTACTTCACCTGGAAGAAGAAGAAGAAGAAGAACAAGAGTTGGTTTTGGTCCTCATTTATTTTCATTTTCATTTTCTCATCTCTTTTTCTTTTTGTTGCAAAGGCACTTCCCGTTTTCGATTAGGTTGATGTAACTACAATTTTTTACGGTTTATTCATAGGCATATTTGAAATATCTACGTTTGGGAGTGGATATGTTGCCGGATCCTTATAAGCTCTCAGCGATAGCGATCGATGTAGTAAAAGTTATTTCGTAGGCCAAAGCTCGTACTATATGTGTTCTTCAAGCGACAACCAGGCTGCTCTCGAATTGGTGGTTAAGCTATTATCTTCCGGTTTGCGAGTCTAGTCGCCCTGTCCGCAGCTCCATCACCTGAAACAGTGGAACCAACCCTTGGCTTTGTCGAAGGTTCTGCTCGAAATCCGAGACTCGCCTTCCCCATCTTCACTCGCGGCGACGATCAATTGCGCATTCTCGGCGTCGTCAGACACTGTTGATACATCAGAATGGTCGAGGGCCACGGCCTGCGTCGGATGCGATCTGGCGCTGACATTGGAACTTCCGGAGTGTCTTTCGTTTTGCTTGTTCTTGTGATTCCATCACTCCTCTCCTCTCTGCCCGGTCTCGAGCATTACGATACGCGGATGCTCCCTGACGAAAATTGACGTTTTCCAGGTTAGCCGGTGCCAAGCCCATTGATCACATGACTACACACAGGTCGACTCAGATGACTAATTAGTCTAACACGTGACTCGGCCCCTGAGGAGGCCGATCTGTTTATGTAAGCAGCTGCGGCGCGGGGGAAAGAAATGCATACATGCAGTTCTGTGGTTCCGGACCGCGCGGAGAGAACGAAGACTGGAAAGAAATTGGAAATCGTCGTGGCATCTCTGTTTGCTTGCTCTGTGTCTTGGTGTGCAGTGCATCAGAATTCTTGATTAGCTCGAACCCGGCGCATGAACCTCTCCAGCCGGTCAGCAAGCCTAGCTTTCCTCTCCGTATTTGGCCCCTCATCATATCAACCATGCTGGGATATTCCTCGAGCCAGAAACAACTTATAGCACAATTCGTCGCGTTTTCAAGCGCAAAAGATAGCGTTGCTGCAAAGGTATGGCCTTGAGCTTTGTTCCGTTTGAAACCCTGAGAATTGCACGGCCTGAACGAGCATTTCTGCCAACCGCCCGATCGGCGTAGGGGATTGTCAGTCTTTGCACCTTGCTGATGGTTTGCCCCTCCTGATATAGTATCTCAAAAATAATGGATGGAATGTTGAGAGGGCTGTAGATGAGTAGGTGGCCATTTCCATTAACTGCCTTTTTTTTATTTATTTATTCTTTCTGTTGCGCTCTCATTTTGTTGTCGTGTGACACGCCGGGGCCTAGAGTCTTGTCTGTTGTTTGACAATCTGGCCTTGCGTGGCTCGGAAGCATGTAACCATGCTCTTTGATATGAAGTATGTGATGTGCTTTAATTGAGACTTGTGGATACCCATATACCCCGATAAGTAGTATCCAACGCTTGGACCAACTTCCCGAAAGCCGGGGCTTCCAATTTTGTATGGTCTCTTGCTGATGAAAAGGCCCAACTCCTTGGTATTCCATTGTTGTGATTGTTTAAAAGACAGTACCTGAGGAGGAGCTGGCCCTGGAACACTCCGCTACAAATCACGTGGAGTGTCAGAGCGTGTGGACTTCAAAAAGATAGACGCGATCATGTTCACTTTCTTCACCTTACCTCTGTGCGTATCCAGTGGTGTTCTCTGTGAGCTGAGAAATTCGTGATCTGGTGCTGTTCTTGCTTGCTTCTAGAGCACCTTTAGCAAGATATTAGCCGGGATTTCTCTCACTGGCACACCCCAGAATCACTCTGGCTCTTTCTCCTCTTCTGATATTGCACAGTTTCTTCTAGCAACAATGACTCCGCTGACCATAGCGTTCGAATCTGATAGCTACTTTCAAAACAACCCATCAGCCTCACAGGCGATGGTGTCTGCTCTGAACAAGATATTTGATAGTTATCGAGGTAAACATTCTCTCACACAATTTAACACATATTTTATTTTTGCTAAGAATAGACACAGATTCTCCTGCTGTTAACCCTGATGGCATCGGAATTGAAGGCGCAATGAAATATTTAGGTGACATAAAAGTGCAACTGGACGAAGTTGTCTGCCTGGCGATATCGGAACTCCTGCGCTCACCATCAATGGGTGAATTTACACGCGAAAGCTTCATTGATGGGTGGAAGGACTCAGGGTAAGCTTTACCCCAAAATTCATGTATTTGAAGGTATCTGTTTAACTTCCACCAGCTCGGATACCCTTGCAAAGCAAGCATCCTTTGCCTCGAATCTGCGCAAACGCATCCGCAACGAACCGGATCTGTTTAAACGCGTATATCGCTATGCATTTATTCTCTGCCGCCTGCCTGGTCAGCGCCATCTCACCCTGGAAATTGCAACTGAACAGTGGCGTCTATTCTTCACAGCAGATAACGGGGGCATCTCGTGGAACACCTCAACCACACCATGGCTGGACTGGTGGCTTGAGTTCGTCGAAGGCTCGTGGAAACGTCCCATTAACAAGGATCTCTGGGAGCAGACGGAGGTGTTGATGCGAAAGACTCTAGAGGATCCGAGTTTGAAATGGTGGAGCCCGGATGGGGCGTGGCCGGGTGCTGTGGATGATTTTATAGTCTTTGCGAAGGGGAAATTGGGACAAAACAGCTCCAGCGAGGCTATGGATGTTGAGTGATAGAAGATTCACGGAGGGGATTTCAGGAGAACGAAGGATACGCTATTATGAGACTAATGATGAAGACCTACCAAGGAGGATAGAAAGGGCGGAATCAAATGGTTTTTTATGCCAGGTCTAGCGAACATTGAACGGCGTAACTCAGTGCCAGACATACATGGCTTTTATGGAAAAGACTCTTGATCTATAATCGGCTCCGGTATTCGGTAAACAGTATACCTGCGGAGAAACGAATGACAACTGAGTTCATGCAAAAATGAAGATAAAGTGTTGGCAGTAAAGACCGCGTCCTAGCCCCAAAATATCTGGAGTCGAAGCGAAAGGATATCTGTTAGAAAAGACGGGGCCTGAGAAGAATCAACCACATATGTATAATCATCCCAGTCTAAAATCAAACCCGAGAAAACAGAGAACACACGTCACTGATCACGCAGACATTCGCATCCATGAAACAGATGCCTAATACCAAAGAAGGCACAGTACATATCATCTACCATTCAATAGTGAGGTGGGATCGGATAGTACGGCGTTCTGGGACGCCCATACACCGCAGGAATTTGGGCGGGATACAGGTATGCTCCGGAATCAAGGCCATGAGGGCAAGAATATAGATCGTGCGAAACGTAAGGATGCTCTTGGCCATGGAAAGCGGGAGAAGGGGAAGTGTGGTAATGGGAGCACTGGTGCGCGCATGATAATGGCTTTTCTTCCTTGTCCTTCTCCTTGGCTTCCGCATTTTCATCTTGGTCTTGTTTCTCCTTTTCCTTCTTCCTTTTCTCCTTCTCGTCCTTGGCTCTTTTCTCCGCTTCACATTGTTCAACAAGCTGGTTAAAGATTTCGGGAAAACACTGGCAGAGGCTTTCGAGCTCCCTAGGGGTTAAGCCGCCCAGCTGCTTCGTGTCGTCCTTTTTTCCATCCTCGCCGTCTTGGTCTTTCTTCTCTCCCTTTTCAAGGGCTTCGAGGGCCTTGTTAAGAAGTAGGTCGTCCTCTGTCTCGCTACAGTCCTTGTTAAACAGCTCATTCTTCTTCCTAAGTCCCATGAATCGATCTTTCCATTGCTCGCTTTTCTGAAGAATCAGAATATTGGTCTCTCCTGACTTTTCGATCTTCTTTGCAAGAAAGGCTCGGGCCCAGTTGCGTAAAGTACTCTTCTGATCTTCTTTCTCTAGGTCAGCTTCATTGTATATTTCCTCCAGCACGGCCATCGGGTCGTTGTGTGTCTCGCTCATGGAATAGAGCCGCTCAAGAGCCTTCTCCTTGAGCTCATCAAAGGCCATTCGACTGCCGAGTACGAACATCTGGATATCATTGACCAAATATGCAGGTGTATTAGGATGGAAGGTAGCAATTGAAGGAGGACCCCGGGCCGTAGTTGTGGTGAGATACGGGGTGCTAACCTGCACCAGCTCTGGAGGGTAGTCCTCATTAAGAAGAAAGGAATAAAACGCAAAAAATAGATGATTGGAGGGGGCTGGGACATTAATAGACACATTTCCCTGAGGGATGTTGGAACTGATCGATTCGAATGGTGTTAATTTCGACCTAGGGAAAGGAACTGCGAAGTTTGCAAAATGGAGTTCAACATATCCCTCAGGAGAAGCTGGATAGCGTGTACGAAGAACCGGAACGAAAGAAGCCTTATCCACTCGGGCCGTGTGAAGATAGTGTGATTTTGGGCTATAGTACCTATAAGCACATGCATAGTTACCAGATATTAGCTTAACGAAATCTAAATGCTCACTATAACTCGGGAGTTGGCTTCCCGTCCTTGCCGTCGTGAAGTTTCATCTCATCAAGAGTCGACATATGGGCCCGGCAAAGCACTTTGTCAAGCCCATCATCCCCGGACCAAAGGCAATAGCTCCACCCCTTTGACTGGGCCGCGCGCTTGATATGACGATCTGCTCGGACGGGACTTCGGTATGCGCACGGTCTCGAGGGCATCGACGAGGTGCGAACTGCCCGGGTACTCTGGGCTCGACATACTTCCCGTATTCTGTAGATCAAAGTGCTGAATCCAAGGCCGTGCTGAAGACTGTGGTTATCTGCCTGGTCATTTCCCTGAGCATCGCAGCATACGAGGAAGTATGCATGAACCATGTGATGAATGAGAAACGGAATTAGAAACGGCACGTTCGCTTCGCATGCAAGGAATGAATTTAGTTCAATAGTAATTCTTGTGTCCCGCACGCCTGGTTTGAAAGTAATACCGTGGATTTCGGGCGCAAAAGTCTCCCATCGAACGTAAACCTGATCCTTGAGCACTCCACGGAAAAGGCTGGTATCAAGGGTCTCAAAAAGATGGTAAGGAGACCAGTGATAGTCTCGTTTATGTACTTGGCATTTCGGTAGGCTTAAATCCGGGGTGATGTAATTCTCCAAGGCATCAAGGGCCAACTTTGTGGCTACGGTCTCGCTAAGACCCAGAGGCTTCGAAGCAGGTACATTCTTCGCCAGAAGGCCACGACCCGTCTTTTCTTTTTTGACAACCTCTGTCTTGCTGCTGTGACAACTGCATCTGGAGTGAGGCATACTTGAAAGATGACAAATTTAGAAGGGCACATAAAATAGCTATGAAGTTGGTTAGGTACGGAGAACCAGACAGAAAAATAGTTCGGCAAGCATAGCGGGCAGGGTATCATTTAAAGCTGAACTTTTGAAAAGCCTTTTCTGCCCGTACAGTATCAAGATTGTTGGGTATGATGCCTAAATAGGCTTGTTTGGTGAATATTGGCCTAAATCCCAACCCTCATATGTGTCTGCCCAAAGCATCATGTTTGCTAGCATCGTGGTACAGCGGAAACAACCCAAGGCAGCAAAACAAACATGTACAGATTTAGGGGAGCCAGACAGTCGGATAACGGCGTTGATGCAAGAGCATTTAACTCGTCATACCTTCAGTGATGTCTAGCTGCCATGGGGTTATTTGCTCAACCAACGAGATTGAAATCCGAGAACCAAAGTGTAAACGCAGGAAAATAACCATCTAAAGGTCCAGTGGAACCTTAACCAGAGATTACCATGTAGTAGGTTGTTTGGTGGGTTGAGTACCATGTACGTATCCAGTGCCAACCGGCGCCCACCCGGGGAAGGCCCAGCAAAGGCACGACGGGCGCTTCCGGGATGAGGATGAAAGAAGGACGAAGTATGGCCTTTCGAAATTGGTAACATTTGCTTTTGGCTCGCCTATGTATGTCAACTGAACCCAAGTGCCTTCCAACGCCAAAACTGATAATGTAGTAGACATAAACACAAATTGAAAAACACATTTATGTTGTCTGGAACAGCGTGTCTTCCTATATAGCCGTTAGCAATATTTTAAAGAATAAAAGGGACCCGGATACCAACCTCTCTTAGATATTCCCCAATATCGCCTTGTCTAAATGTCGTAATTCCAGTCGGGTCCAACCGACGCGCTTCTGCCGTCGAACGGGCTGTTACTCCGAATCCCTAAAAGCAGGTCAGACAGCTCGCGCAACAATCGAAAGGAAATAGAAGCTAAAATACCAGAGGAGTATCATCCATTGACATCACCACCACGCCCTGGTGCTCCGGGCAGTCGTCACTCCACCGTCCAACATGCGCCTTAACAACATTTCCACCATAGAGGAATGGCATCTCTCCGTTCGGCTTAATCCACACCTTATATCTTGCATGAGGTGCGATAACGTCTAGAGCTGTAATGTGCAGTCTAAATTTGCCCGTCTTTGTGAATTTTCCTATACAGGTACCGACGGAGAGTAGGTTGTCGCGCGCGATGGATGTTGCGAGATTGGCTATAGAAAGGCGGACATAGTAGACTCGAGATCCATGTAGGCGGAAGACATGTCTTTCATCTTCGGATTGGCCGCCTTCCGAAGAGGAGGGAGGAGCTATGAGGTGGTTCAGGGAGCTACCCGTGTAGTTCGCAAGCTTGGAGAACAGGGTTTTCGTCTCCGCCTCGGTGAGAGGACGCATGCTGAGAACAGGTCAAGGGGATAGCCGTAACAAGAGCAACCGGTTTATATCAACAGCACCAGAGATGACCAAAAAACAAAAATAAAATAAAATAAAAATACAAAGCTTGCTTGCGGATGGTGTTGCTGGATGAGCGCTGGAGTTGCGATAATTTTCTTATCAGTCGAGCTTCCGGTCTTGGCACCGATCAAAATTTCGGCGGAAAATCTCCCAGGACGAGCTCCTCCGCATCTGCCTTCCAACATCAGCCGAGAACAACCCTGAAGATGGCGCCGGGCCATGCTGCAAAGAGGAGACGTCTCAGTCCCACTGGAAAAACCACTGCTCCATCTACTCTGAACAGCTTTTACGCCAATGCCTCGCAATGGGACCTCGAACAAGACTATGAACGGAGGCCGAGGAAGGGCAGCAAGAAGGATAAAGAGCGAACTCGATTGCCGATAAAGACCGCAGAAGGTGCTATAGAACATGTCGAAGAACCCGCCCATTCAGAGCCCGAATCCCTAAGTCCCTTCAACTCGGACGAAGAATCTGAAGATGACGCTCCAGCGACCACCGAAGCCGTCGAACAGCCTGTGTCGCAAGTACCTCCGAAACTACAGATTATACAAGCAAAGGAAGAACTTGCAAAAATCGCGACGCTGATAAATGAAGATCCGGAAGAACATATAGATTTGTCCAAGAAGCTGGCGGAGATGGTTAAAGCCTCATCATTGCCGGCGGTGAAGAAACTAGCGCTGGCCACACAGGCTGCGGTCTACAGAGATGTCATTCCAGGATACAAAATAAGGCCGCTTGGAGATGCGGAGCTAGCTGTTAAAGTGTCGAAGGAAGTTCGAAAAGTTCGAAACTACGAGCAGGCGCTTCTTTCTGGGTACCGCAATTACGTTCAAGATTTGATTGCCTTTTCGAGATCGAAACATGACGATGGTCTTAAATCCGTTGCTATAAACTGCGCATGTAGCTTGTTGGCTGCTGTTCCACATTTCAATTGTCGACAAGAACTGTTGAAGATCCTTGTGTCTCAGCTCTCGCGTCGCCAACTTGACGCCGATTCTATAAAGTCTCGCGAGGCGCTGAAGGAAATTTTCTCCAATGATGAAGATGGGATAGTATCCATGGAGGCTGTTAGCCTTTTGGCCAAAATGATGAAAGCTAAGGATTTCAATATTCATCCTAGCGTCTTGGATACTTTCCTCCACTTGCGCCTGTTATCAGAATTTTCGTCCAAAGGATCCAAGGATGGGATAGATAGGAACGAAGACGAGGTCAATACGTATAAAGGCAAGAAAATCAAAGAGAAACGTGAGTTCAGAACGAAGAAGACCCGGAAACTGCTGCGAGAACAGAAGGCTGCCGCGAAAGACCTTAGGGAGGCAGATGCTCTCGTCAAGCACGAGCAACGGGACAAGATGCAAGCAGAAACGTTGAAGTCTGTTTTCACCACATATTTTCGGATTCTGAAACTTCGAAGTGCTTCTTTGATGGGCGCCACGTTGGAGGGCCTTGCAAAATATGCCCATTTGATTAATCAAGATTTCTTTGGCGACCTGCTCGAAGTTCTTAGAGAGCTGATATCCGAATCAAGCCACCCAGACCAAACCAATGAAGAGACGAATGGAAATGCAGATCGGGAAAATGCCATATCCAGAAACACCACGCGCGAAGTCCTGCTTTGCTCAACAACCGCATTCGCCCTGCTTGAAGGCCAAGACGCCAGCAAAGCTGCCCCGAGCCTCCATCTTGACCTCAGTTTCTTTATTTCGCATCTCTATCAATCACTTTACCCTGCCTCTCTGAACCCAGACATAGAATATAACCCCAGTAAATCCCTCCGTCTCCCGGATCCAGGATCCACCAACGCTGGTGCCGACGATATATCAGGAAAGGACAAGAAGGTCAATTTCCAGACGCCTACGGTCCTGCTGCTCCGCTGCCTCCAACCTATCCTCACAGCCAAAGGCGCTAATGCCCCGACGCCGCTACGTGTTGCCGGGTTTACAAAGCGTCTCATGACGAGCGTACTCCAATTACCTGAGAAATCTGCCCTAGCGGTACTCTCTCTGCTGAATCGCGTAGTGAAAATGCATGCCCCCAAGATCGCGCCCTTGTGGAATACGGAGGAGCGAAAAGGAGACGGGGTATTCAATCCGATTGCAGTAGACGTCGAGGCGAGTAATGTATTTGCGGCTACTGTATGGGAGGGAGAACTGCTGAGGGTACATTATTGCCCGGAGATTCGTGATGCATCTCGAGGCATCGAAAAGATAATTATGAGCGTTAAATGAGTTACTTGGAGGTCGAATCAAAATATCCATGTCGCATTTTGATTTAGAATTACTTAGCAGTTTTGTTTTCTCGAATACATTATTGGGAAACCCAGACATCAGTAATTTTCAAATCAGAGTCATTAAAACGCTTCGCTCAACCATACCATGCGTCACGTCATCAACGGAAATACTCGCAGAAGAAAAAGGGCATCAAACACAAACCATGATAGCAAAACAGAACATGCCCGAAGACCAGGGTGCTAGTTAATCTTTATCTCACTGCAGTGTTGAATGAACTTGCTAGGTGAAAAATTAATCAAAAGAATCACAAACATTACAAACCTGTAAACAGAAATGCAGACATGGGCAATTAATACAATTTTCCATCACCAAAGGAACCTAATAGAGACAGGACGTAAGACATAGAGAAGTGGCAAATTGTCCAAATTCCGGTATTCCAACGCTCACAGGTTTATCTCTAGGAAGCCTGAGTTTGTTGGCTTTGTCAAAAATACCGCTTGGCTACTTAATTCTGCGCATTCTCATTGCCATAAGCGTGATGATACCAGTTTCTTGTACCACCCCAAGTACCAGCAAAGTGCGATTGAGCGCTGTCACTTCCGAATCTACCCCGGCGATGAGTAGTATCATTGTGGGTCGTATGCTCCTGACCTTCTCCTGGGTTGAACGGAGGCACAAAGGGGTTAAATTGCGAGGTTTGCTGGCTCCGATTCGAGACTGTTCGACGGTGCTTCACAGGGCTATTGACAATCATTGGTTTTGCCGGGGGGTCAGGAGACTGCTTTGTTGGCCGATTATGCTTAGTCTTTCCAAATCCAGCTGCAGGTCCACGTCGAGGTTTGTTAGCAGGATCTTTCTGCTTTTCTCCAATGGTGATAGGACGGTTTGGGTTCTGACGTCCAGCATAAGTTGCAGACTGGTTGACCGTGGTGTCAACCGTACCGTCGACAGAATCTTTGGCAATAGGAGCAGGAATGTGGATGCCATGATTTCCAGATACGGATCCCTCAGGCAAATGACCAACGGGCATGGAAGCACAGTCACCATTTTCGTGAACTGTCGCGTTGCTCACTTGGGTTTGGTGATAAGCACTTCGTCCAATAGGACTCCCAGTGCTGCCATTGCGGTTCTGGAATTCATTTGTTCCGGTGTATGGCGGCGTTCGAAAGGCGGCAGTTGGAGTGGGAACCGAAAACTGATTTTCCATAAAGCTATTCTGGCTACGAAGGACGTTGACATGCGCGGTAAGCTGCTGCAGCTGGAATGTCTGAGCCTGGACTTCTGTCCGCACCAAAGCAAGCTCACTTGACAACCCCTGGATTTGACAGAAAAGCCTGTCTAGGTTCTCGCATGGAACGGCCACATGTGCCATTCTACTTGCTGCTGCTTCCGGAGGGGGATAAATCGAGCCAAACTCTGGACGAAGTGGAGTCGACGCTGTATCGTAGATTGATGGAGAGTAAGGAGCAGAGAGTCTGTGCCAATTGCCGTGCATGTGACCCTGGTCCCAACCAACAGTGAGTGGCATATTTTCCGGCACAGCAACATCCACCACTCCATGCATGCTAGGGACGCTCCTGTGCTCAACAATCTCCGGGTTCCGTTCCGTAGCGTATGTTCCCTGACGCGTCGGGCTAAGCGCCGGACCTCCCATGATGATACCTTGAATTGCGTTCTGTGGTGTTCCGTCTGGTACAGCTATGACAGTTTCGCTGCTGGATCGGCGCGTGTGACTCGGCTCTGGCGGGCTGGGAGGATTTTCCGCAGCGTCAAATGTCACCTCCTGCAATGGCGTTGGCGGAACGGATGAGCCTTTGTAAATCGTACGCGGATGAAATGGCGAGGAGGGGGAAGAACGCGACCCTTCCTGAAAAGGGTTGATTGCTGGCAACGATAAACAGTTGGGACCAGCTGATGCTTTAGGCTTGGGGAAGAAGACCTTAGCCTCGCAGTTCAGCTGCCGAGCACTCTCGGCGCTGGGTGAGGGGTTGTTTGTGTGCGATTGTTTATTTTCTCCTCCCAACTGGGTACTCTTCACAACATCAATGGGTCTAGGTTTACTCTTTTCAACAATGTTGAATGTTGCTTTGAGCTGTGCAATGAACGACTGCTCATTGTTTTCAACAACTGGGTCTTCAGAAGATAGCTCAGTTGAAGGCTGTGAAGCCTCTGATGCCTTGTTAAAGCTCTGGTCTTCCAATTTATCTTTAGTGAGTTCCTCTGGCTCTGCTGGATTTTGCAATGCTGATATCGGCTTGTTATATTCCGGGCCCTTGACTTGGTTCTGAGCAGGAGAATCTGGTACCTTCGGGGAATTCACAACGGTTTCGATCTCCCTCCTAGGAGATTCCATGTCCCCCGAAATGCCCTCTCCTCCCTCGCTTTCCTTGCTGGAGGGTGGGGAGGGTTGGGGATGTCTCGATCGACAACGACGAGAAGCCCTCTTCGGCTCGCTTGCAGCACGCATTCTTGACTCATTTAAAGTTGGAAAAGCAATAGGGTCTTCGAACTGACCAGTAGCTTTGGGGGCAGACCTCTTCACAATAACCAGTGGGCCTTGTGGGCATTCATCAGTCAATATACCAGTTCGCTAGTTTGGAAAAGAAAGCCAAAAGAGTCCACTTACTTGGCTCTGCTATGGCACGGCGAGCCACATCCGCGTAAGGCAAGGTTGTTGGGGGCCTGTCAACTTCATGGGTTTTCCCAACATCCTCATCTGGCGTGTCTCCTTGGATTTGGGGCTGCAATTCGGGTTGCTTGGGTTGCGCCGGGGGGAAGTGCACAACAACGGGTCCATGTCCAGAGACCCCAGGAGGCTGAGAGACTGTTTCAGGACTCTGCTGATTCTCCATGTTCAAGTGCCACAAGGGAAGAATCTAGTTCAATGGAAAAAAAGAAGCCCAAGAAAGCACAAATAGAGCGTGATGCCTGACAGGAGATCTCTTGCGGTACTCAGAAATGTGAACAAGAAACGCAGTTTGAAAACGCGTCTTGCTGCGGAAGCTGGGTTGTTTTGGAAGGATGATGGCCCAGAGTGCAAAGGAAGGAAGACATAAAAACCTGCTGCCAGGTAAACAATGTTGACATTCACATTTGATATCGATACCGCGCTAACGGGATTAGGAAAATGGTAGCCATGTCAACAGGAGTGATACTCCAGCCAAGCTTCAGAAGCTTATCAGATTATGGTAATCATAAAGCTCCCGGTAATATCTAGGGCAGATTCCAGCCGACAAGGCAAAGAAATTGGGTATTGGCCCTCCCGCAATTGACTCCACGATAGCGATGCAGCATCTTTACTATTTGAAAAGTACTGAAGAAAACTTTTATGCGGACTCCTCACTCGCCCTTGGATGCTATGCCCAAAGATTCAAAGCGAAAAGACTTATCAGAGTTATAAACACGACCAGAATCGCTGCTGAAATGATAAAAACAGATGAATAGAACGAAAAATTCGTTCTATACGGCCAACCAACACGGAGTATTTGAGGGGAGAAACAGTCATTTTATTTCAAATAGTAGAGCGTGTGAGAGGTATGTACCATTTTCGTTTTTCTCGACGACTGGCCAAACTTGACTAGAAGGACATCGCGCTGAAGACTATTAACAGGGACATATGGATTGGGATATCTTGAGACAAAAAAAAGAGAGTAGAATACACACGGAAAACCAGCAAATTTGGATACTCAAACAAAGACCAGGGAAATCGTTGATCATTATCTGCGCCGGAATTGGCGTAGTTGTCGGAGCAGGTAGAAGCCTTCGTAGGATGGCCACAGGTGTTAAATTAAACAAGCGGTGGGTGGTGTCCTGGAAGGCAGACGAAAAGGAAAATTGCAAACTCAGAAAGCCCGAACAAATGAGGGTTGAGAAAACAGCATTAATTCCTTACTGAGGAGGTCTCTCGCGGCGACGGAATGCCCCGAACAGACCTCCGAAGAAATTAAGGAAGACGGCACGCCATAAAGCCCTGAAAAAGCTCTCCCTCTTATGTGTCGTCAGAGATGTAACGGATTGATTCGCAGTTGGTGGGCGTTGAGGCTCATCGGCGTCCTTGGCAACGGGCTTGCTTGCATCGTCCTTCGAAGCAGGCTCTGCAGCAGTGGCTGCCTTGATGGCGTCGACGATAGGTGTTGCACTCTTTGCATTTGCATCGGACATCGATGATGGTTCGCTCCGGGCATCAGCAACGGGTGCCTGTTGAGAAACGGGTTCTTTGGCAGAGCCAGCGTCGGCCGGGGCGGGCTCGGCCGGCTTCAAGGCGGCTTGTGGTGGGATAACTTCTGCCGACTTGGCGGGGTTCTCCGGTTGCTCCTCTCTCTGAGAAGGAACGTCTTTCTTGGCCTCTTCGTTGGCAGGCATCGTGGCAACGTTGTCATCGATAACCTTCTGCTGCACTACAGGTTCCACAAGTGGGGGCTCTGACTTGGCGACGGGGGTCGATTCGAGTGGCTGGGCGGGAGACTCTTCAGGGATAGCGGTCTCGGTAGTCTGAGAAGGAGCTTGAGGAAGAGACTTGTCTTGAACGTGAGTCTCATCCTTAGGAGCATCTTCCACAGTGAGATGTGATGTGGTCTCGGCGGCTAATGGAAGAGATTCAGGGGTAGATTCGGCCACTTCCTCCACGGCAACCACGGGATTGACCCCATTAGCTTTGGGCGCGTCTTCGGTGACGTCGGAGTCCTTGGGCAGAGTCTCAGCTGTAACAGGCTCAACTTGAGGTTCCTCGCTTGCGACAGGTTCGGCCGGAGGGGTATAGGGTTCATCCTTGGCTTCTTCCTCATGTTTCGGCAACGGCTCCGGTTCGTCCTTTTGAACGGGGACTCCAACAGACTTTTCGGCCGGCTCATCGGATGCAGACACAGCGACGTTTACATCAGCAGCATTCGACTCTTCCTGCGGTTCCGCCTTATCCTCAACTACGACAGGGGCTGGAGTGGATTCGGGTTCAGGAGCAGGCTGCACAGGTGATTCCTTCGGCTTGGATTCATCGTCGTCCGGGGTCTCAGAGATGGCTTTGGTTTCAGGAGCTGGAGTAACATCGCTGGAGACTTCGACGGGCTCCTCAGCCTTCTCGAGATCTGCAGGCTTTTCAGCTTCGGCAGGCTCATCAGCGATTGGTGCAGCGGAAGCGCCTGCCTCTCCACCACCGGTTGTTGGCTCATCGACGACAGTCACGGGGGTCTCCTCGCTCTGATCTTTAACGGGTGTTGGATCGACCTGTTCCTCTGGCTGCGTGTCTGCCGGAGTTTCCTCAGCTTTCAAATCAGCTGCAGGCTCAGCCTCAATCTTCTCAGAGGCTGTCGCATCAGTCGACGGTTCGGGCTCATCCGCAGGTTTTGATTCTTCCTTGGCCGCCGGCACTGGTTCTGCGGTAACCGGAACTTCCGGTCCCTTCACGTCGTCCTGGACGACCGGTTCTTCAGGGGCGTTGATCTCTGCCTCCAAAACCTCAGGAGTCTCTGCCTTTGGTTCTGGATCGGCATTTGGCTCCAATGCCTCTGTGGAAGTGGGTGCTTCTGGCTGTGGCTCGGGTTCATTGTCCGGCTTTGAAGCAGGCTCTTGTTGAGCTTCCGTAGCTTCCTTCTCAGCATCAGCAGGGGCCGTAACCTCTGGCTGTTCATCAACAACAGCTGGTGTGTCAGGGACAGGGGCCTTGTCGGAAGGTTCAACAGGAGTAACTTCCTTCACGTCAAGAGTCTCGACAAGATCCATCGATTTTTGTGGTACCTGCTCCACGGCCTTTTCGGCTGCGGCATCCCGGGCCGGCTCATCCTCGACGACATCTTCCTGAGCTTCAACCTGCTCATTCGGTGTCTCAGCGGGTTCTTGTGCTGGTGCTGGCGATGGTGCAACGGTGTCTTCCTTTTCTACAACCGGTTCTACGGCAGCAACCGTATCAGCTACCTCCGCTTCCTCGAGTTTCTCGGTTGCAACCGTGTCCTCGTTGACAACAGCAGCCTCGGAAGCGGTCGCTGGCTCAGCGGACTCCACGCCTGAAGTTGCAGTTTCCTGATCCTGCTTAGCGTCGGCATTTTGTTCTTCCGGCTGCGGCTCTGCCTCGGCTGCTTCCGTCTGGATGACGTCATCGGCATCGGTCTTGCTGGCTTGCGGCTCCGGTTCCTCAGCTTGTTTCTCCTGCGCAACCCCGTCCGTCGCTTCGGCTGGAGACGCTTTGGCATCTTCAACGGCAGCTTTCTCCTCTGGCGCGGGCTCAGCAGGGAGACGAGCTTCGTCGTCGTGCTTCTCGTCCTCCTTCACTGGTTCGGAGGCGGGTTCCGCTTCGATCGGAGTTGTACCTGCGGTCGAGGCACTCTGCTCATCGCAAGGTTCCTCGTCGCCAGAGGTTGGTTCCTTGACAGGTGCATCGTCTTTCTCGGCTGGAATTTCGCCGTCGGCCGCATTTTCGGCGGCTGGTGGTTCCGTTGGCGCAGCTTTTTCGTCAGCCGGTTCGGTTGATGCTTTGACGGGCTCCGGTTCGGCAGGAGAATCTTCTGCTACGGGAACCTCATCTACAGGCTTTTCCTGCTGTTGAACCTCCTTCTCCTCGACCTCGGTCTTGGAAGATGGAACAACTTCATCGTCCTTCTGCGCCGGTTCTTCGACGGTCTCGGTGGCAGATGCGGTGACGTTTTCAGCCAGTGGCTCGGACGGTGCTTCAGTTGTGGAAACATTCTTTTCTTCCTCTTTATCTTCCGTTACTGCTTCTGCAGTAGCTTCGGGAATAGGATCGGTTGAAACTGCGGCGGCGGCTGTCTCGACCTCTGGAGCCTTTTCGACCTTTGGTGCTTCCTCAGCAGGCTCTTCCGTTTGCTCTGGGGCCGCAGGTTCGGCTGGTTTCTTAACCTCCTTGACAGCATCCATAGCAGGTTGCTCCGCAGCAGGAGTCTCTTTGGTCTCTTCTGCGGTGGTGGTGGTGGTCTGGGCCACGTCTTCTTCCGGCTTCGATGATGCTACAACCTCTTCTTTGTCCTTATCCACTTCGTCGCCGGCCGTGCTTGCCTCGGGCACCTTTTCAGCTACCTTAGGTTCTTCTGGCGCAGGTGGTTGCGATTCCTTATCGTCCTTGGGCGCCGCGTCATCGGTTTCGGCCGGGTTCGGAACGGACACTGGCGTGAATTTCCCTGGCACGAATGCGGGAGCGGCTGGGTTCAGGGATCTTGTGGAGCTTGACATGCTCGCTGGGGTTTGGGGTCTTGACTCCAAATCCTTTGCGGTTTCTGTTAGCTGTTGAGGGGCCTCGGGATTCAATACAGCTGGCGATTCATCCTTTGGCTCGGTTGCTTCCGCCTGTTTCTCGACCTCGGACGTCGGTTGGATCTCAGGCTCTACGGGCGCCTTAGGCTCCTCAGCTTTGGGCTCGGACGGTTCTGGTTCAGCTTGCCCAGGAGATTCTGCTACTCTTCCGTGAGTTTTAAGACTTCTTAGGCCTAGGGAGGGAGGTAGGACCTACCTTCGGTTGCAGATGAAATTGGGTCAGCGGAGGAGTCAGGAGAGGAGACCTCCGGCGCTTTCTTTTCAGGCTGCGGACTCTCAGTCTCTGCTTCCTGTACCTCCAGTTTCTTCTCAACCGGGCCACCATTGACGGACACGTCCTCATCCTTGATGTTAGCCTTGGGCTGCGAATCGTCGGCCGGTTTCAGGTCCGACGGCGTGCTCTTTGCTATTGCTTCGGAGACGGTGGTGGGCTGTTCCGCGACATCTTCACCGCCAGTGGACTCCTTTTCAGCCTTCTCTGGAGCTTCTTCTGCGGGGACTGAAGCTTCCTTTGATTCCGGATCGGCTTTCTCTGCAACGACGCCGTTTACACCATTCGATTCCTTGTCCGCTGCCGCCTTTTCCGTTGTTTCGTCAGAAGCCACCACCGTCTCAGCGTTTTCCGTCGTGTTATCCGACTTGGACTGCCCAGCCTGCAGGCCTTCTTTCTTGGAATCGGAGGCGGTTTCGACTAGCAATACGTTGTTCATATTGCCATCGTTATCCACTTCTTTATTAATTGGAAGGGGGGAGGTAGAAGTCAGTACGGGGAGAGCAATGTGGTGGAACAAAGGAAAGAAAGAGAGGAAAGAAAGATCCCTACCTGTGGGCACATCTGTATCACAGAACCAGGCATCCCCTGAGCCGGCACGGAACTTGTACTGGTACTTGCCCGGAGCTAGCTCGAACGACTTGGAGAATTCATACGACTCTGATGTGGCGTCTGCGGATGTGACGGGCTTGGCCTCGAGCTCGACGGGATCCCAGGCGGGGTCGGTGAAGGACGCGACGAGGAAGATGGATGGGGTGGAGGTAGGGCGCCGAACTGCGATTCTAACGGATTGCTTCGAGGCTTCAGTCATGACGAATGTGCCTCTTCTTTTTTCTTTTTTTATTGTTCTCCTTTCTTTTTTTTTCGTGGGACTCGTAACTGTCGTGATGCAAGGGGGAGTCGAGAAAAAAAGGGGAGTGCGTGCGTGCGTGTGTGAGAGAGAGAGAGGGAGGGAGGGAGAGAGAGGACAGAGGAGGTAGGGCTAACGTTGTTGGTTCGCGTTCGGCAAGGTTCCAGAGTCGAAGGGGGCTTTTTTTTTTGGGAAGCTTTAATGTTACACACAAGCTGATATTCTGGGTATATCAACTATCTTCTGTTTCTTGTTCCTCTTCGTTTCTCCCTCCTTATCCTCTGCTTGAAACAAAAGCAAGGATTATACAAGACAAGGAAAGAAAATAAAAGGGGAAAAAATAAAATAAATTAAAAAAAAAAAACAAAAGACAGGAAAGACGCCTCCCAGGTTGCAAAGTGTACAGTGCAATGGAATGAGCTCTTCTTTTTTGCTTTTGCGTGAAGGGTGGAATCACAGGCGCGAGGGCGTTTGGAGGATGGTGAGGGGAAGAAGAAGGGAAGATTTTAAGAGGCGAGATTGGTTTGCTGCAGAGGAATGGATTGGATGGCGGGGGTTTGTGTGGGAAAGGAAGAAGGGAAAAAAGCAAAAAGGAAAAAAAAAGGCCGAACCAATGCACGAGAGGGAGCTTGGGGAAATGCACAATCTCACACACAACACACACACACACAAGCTCTGAGCAAATCACGGGAAGGGAAAATAAGAATTAAGCAACAAAAAAAAAGAAAAAGAAAAAAGAAAAAAAACCACACTCTGCTGTGTGTGTGGATTTTTGCAGGCAAAACAAATGGATCACGCCGGCCGGCCAGCAGCTGGTTTGGTGGAGAGAGAGACGCGGCGCTGTTCCCAAAGGCGTTTAGCGCTGGTGGCGGTTGGCACGGAGATGCACGCCGGACGGGGACTTGGCGGCTCGCAGGGTAGGGAAAAAAAAAAGAAAAGAGAGAGAGAGAGAGAGAGAGCAGCTTTGTTGCTTCAGTGCAGATGAGGACGGAGTATTGCTTCAAGAGTACTCTGTATTGCTACAGAAGATACTACAGATGACGGCTGATCTCTACTCTACTCTACCCGACAATCAGGACATCCTCTGTCTTCCTGTCTTCCGTCTCACGTTCCAAACCCCCCCGGTCGAACGCGGCAGAAAATAGCGTCACTCTGGCAGCTCGATGTGGAGAAAGCCTGCACCCTGCTCACAATTTCCACCCCCCCTTCTCTCTTCCTCCCGATCCAAACCTCCTCACCGCCTGTGACTGGAGTTGCTGCTCATCACCGGGGAGGGGCCCGCCGCCGAATCCCACCCCGTTGGTCAGTTCTCTTGCGTGATATTGTGCTCCTCGAGCTTTTTTCCCCCCTCTTTCAAGCGACGAATCATCTACAGCCACAGGACACCCCAGACGTGAAGATAAAATGTGCATCTCTCCCCGCGCGCGCGTGCTTTTTTTTTTCCTTCCTGTCTGACCGTTGAATTCACTGCATGCCGCGGCAACAAAAAAGCTCTTCCGCCACGCTCAGCCAGCCAAACTTCCGCTAAAACGTTATTCCGGGGCCGACACCGGGCGGAGCTGCTCACATGACCGTCGGGGTGCCCCCACCTGGCCCATTGGCCAATCAGCGTCGAGAGAAAGCCGACTTTGCCGACGTCAGATCATGTGACTCTCTGTTAGGTAAGCAGAGCTTAAAGCGGCCAGCGTTTCGAAGTATCAAAACGGATTACAAGAGAGAGGGAGAGGAGGGAAGAGAGAGAGAGAGAGACAGCTGATTCCATGGTCATTCATTCATACATCGTTACTGACAGAAGGGGTTAGGATACATGTAATAAGATAGATATCTAGGAACCAGAAACGAAGCCAGCAAAGATGCGTGTACACCCTGGCATCAAATGAAGACGAAGGGGGAAAAAAAGAAAAGAAAAAGGAAAAAGAAAGGAAAAAGGAAAAAGGAAAGAAACCAAGAAGTAAGGAAGAAGAAGAAATGAACGGAGAAAGAGACAATCCCCTAAAGCACCGTCGCATTCCTCCAACCAACTCCCAGTCCACACGGCGTAAGATTCCAAGAAAAAGAAAGAAAAAACAGAGGTAAAAGGAAAACGGGACAAGCACATTCAAAATATTTCCAGATCCTCAAACTCCACCACCAACCCATTCGCCGGCCCCCCATGCCCTCCACCCCCGTCTAGCCCGCTCACGTATCTTCCCCCGTTCCGCGCCGCCCACATCGTGCTCTCCATCGACAGATTCGCCGGCCGACTCGCATACACCCCGACATGCACGCTCTTGTCCTCCACCCCCCAGAAGAACCACGTCACCTCCCTCAACTTCCGCCACGAACTCCCTATCGCCCCCGGCGTACGCTCCGCCTGCGCGCTTATCAGGCCCGGTATCTGGTACCACACCCACAGCGAGTGCCCGATGCGCTCGAGCTTGATGCGCAGCGATGTGATCGACGTGGGGACGTTGGGCGGCGCCAGCGGCGAGAGGCACCAGTCGGCCCCGTCGGCCGTGGCGCTGACTGAGGAGGCGTTGACGGTGCCGGCGGAGAATTCGAGGCCGGCTTTGACCCATTTGTTTGGGCCGGTGGGGAGGCTGGGGTAGGGAGGCGGTGGGGCTTGGGAGGGTGGTTGTTGCTGTTGCTGCGTGGAGGATCCGGATGCCTGTCGTCGCTGCTGCTGCTGCTGTTGTTGTGATGGCTGGGACGACGGCGGCGGTGGTGGTCTTGGGACGGGACCGGCGAATATTACCAGCCCCCCCTGATCCCATTCCATCTCCCAGTCGGCCGTTACCGTGACCTCGGCGATCACAAAGGGCTGTCGTAAGGAGGTGAAGAGGATGGGAGCGGTCGTGGTCTCACGGTCAGGCGGTTTGCGCCAGAGGTCCGTGTTGGGGGCGGCGGAGAGTGTAAAATAGTCCATGCATTCTGGGAGAGTGAAGTCCGGCTGTAAATTCAGTGCCGTGAAGCACGATCTGTCGGGAGGCATTGCTGAGTCCCCGTGAACAAACCCCCCTTTGAACTGGATCCCGTCGCGTTTCGTTTTTTTCCCTGGCCTCGGGACCTTCTCACTCTCGTCGCGTCTCTCGAAATAGCTAATTAAATTTCCAATTGAAAAAAAAATAAAAAAATAAAAAAAATAAAAATAAAAATCGAAAAGGTAGAATCACCGGGTAGAAAAAGAGAAAAGGATATTCCAAGAAATCGCCACAGCCCAACTATGACTCAAGCACGGAATTGGACACAGTTGCGAATTATACCTTGCTGGGAGGGAGTTCGAATAGGAGAAAGAGAATAGAGAATAAGGGAGAAAGCGAACACCGTCTACGGATACACAAAAGGGGGTGAGAGAAGCATTGACCCCCCCCCAAAAAAAAAAGGTAAGAAATGGAAATAAAGGGAGAATGGAGAAGGGAGAAAGAAAAGAGGACAAGCGCCCAAAAAAAAAAAAAAAAAAAAATCCTGAGAATTGAAGGAAATTGGAGAATCAATGACACTATTATGCGAAAAAGGAGCGATATCTGGTGGCTGACAGCTGGGAGATAAAATCATCAGGGCCGAACCAAGGGGCCGCGTGACGCGCTTTGCCGCTCCAGAAGCTGTCTCGCTTGGCGAGGCTGGACTGGGGCAGACTGACTGACTGACTGACTGACTGACGGACTGACGGACTGACGGACGCCGCAGCAGCAGCAGCAGGCGAGGTCAGGGATGGAATGGGGAACACGACGGACGAGCCCAAACGAGAAGATAAATTAAATTTTGGTTTTTGTTGTTTCTTTTCAGGCCATGGCCGGAATATCAATCGAAAGAAAGTACATAATGCTCGAAATAGGTAAAGGAGGGCAAGGAATAAAAAATTAAAAATGGAAAATTAAAAATAAAAATAAATTGGGCGAGACGGGAAAAAAGGAAAAAGAAAAACGGAGGGTATGCATGCATGTTCGATGCACAAAGACTCCGAGACAGCACTGTTTAGCCACCTCGAAAGGAACCGAGCGGCGTGCGGTGGCTAACTCACAGCGAGGGGGCCATCCTAGGGGCCTTAATTGACATCCACTCGAAGATCATCCTAGATCATCCTCTAGTCCATACATATACCTGATATGTTCTATATACATCGTACTCCGTAAGAGGAAGCGCGTATTCTGTCAGAAGCGTCCCACCCAGCCAACAACCAGGGCTGAACCCAGGCGCATGGTTGGTGTCAGCGGATGGTTGCGGTAAGATACGAGCAGACATGGCCCCAGAGGGAGTATTTTGCGTCGGAGGTACTAGCGCACGCTTGTCGAGCCGAATGAGCCTGTCGACATCATTCTGTCGTCCGTAAAAGGTCGGGTGTCAGAGGACCCGGGCCTGTGGGAATGGAAAAGACATCCGATGGAAGACAGCTCCTCTTCATCCCAGTTCAAATTCAAGCTTGCAGGTGCCCTTAGCTGCACGAAGGCAAAATAGAAAGTGGGGTGTGTGTGTGTGAAGGAAGTAAAAATCGACATTGGTCGATGACGATGGCCAGGAGCTGACCGGAGCTTCGATGCTCTCTATTGGTGAAAAGCATCCTCGGACTGCGTGATCGGGTGGACTTGGACGTGCGATGCGAGATCTGGTGGAGTCGGGAAAAGCAGGGAAGTTGGCGTGCCTGGCGCAGCTGAGATGAGAGACAGCCCTTAAGTATACATAGTCACCGCAGCTCTCCCTGATCTCGAGCGAGGATAGTCAGTTAGTTTCTGGGGTGATCTCCGTGGGACCTTGGCCATGACTAGGTAGGTATCTTGCCATGTGGATCGGATCCTCCTCGGAGAGGAGTGAAAAAGGGCATATTTGATCCCGATAATATTTCCCAACTGAGCGTCCGAACGTGCATTGGAAAACACTCTTTTCTGGTTTGCCACAACGGCTTTCCTCGCGCGAATCCTCGCCAGCTTCTGTTGTAGAGAATGTCCATGACATCGTTAATCGGTGGCGCACGCGGAATATCCCCCGCCGTGGGATCGAAGGGAGTAGTTTTAGATCTGCCTGCCTGCAGTCTCGAAAAATCGCCGCTCAGTGCTGACGACGTTGATTTTACTTAGGTACCTCCTTGTAACAACGCAAGGAAATTATCTATCTTCGCAGGAAGTTTGTGCCGCTTGCTGGGCATATCCTCCATCCAGGTTTTCGATTACCGCCTCTCCGTCTATTTACACACAAACAAACCCCTGTGGCGACCAGCTCTTTTCGCAAGCTTTGCCCGGTCAACCTTCCAGTCTTCGGCCTCTCGACTTCGCTGCCGGCAAGCATGCGTGTCCCAGCATCGAAGTATAGACCATCGACCACCATCTCACCCTCCACCAAGAAAAAAAAAAAAAAAAAAAAAAAAAATTTAATTAAGAATGCATCATACGTGCGGATTAAAATGTTTTCCAGATATATACAAGGGATTGTGACCGCCCTGTTGAAGTTCTCTGGAGTCTGTATGGTTGGACCTTACTGCCTTTCTTCGTGTACCGTGCCGCTCCTGCAGACAAACGAGACTTTCAGCTTTCACATCCCTTCTTCTCTAGACCGCTACGTGGGAGCAGACAAGCGGCTTGTAACCTTGTCCTAGGCGGTTCTAAGAATGCGCGTGCCGGCATTCAACTTCCCAGGTTCTCCCCACCACAATTCACAATAGCATACACCAGGGGCAGGCTATCAAAAGCAAGAACTCCTTTGTCGACGACACGGGATATTCATGCAGGAATCACAGGCATTTGGAATCTCCCCGGCGCAATGCCAACTCTAAGTCATGCATGTTTTATCAGGTCATTCCCGGGGTCTGTGTTGGAAAACAGGCCAGATGCATTCGCTCCCAGGTCTCCTTGGGTAGAGATGGTATGTGTGATGAGAGGAAGACGTTGCGAAATCGTCTTCAGCGCGATTCGCCTTTTGACCGGCCACGGGTCCCCATGCGATGCACCAAACGGGATATGATTTGCTTTTCGTCTAACGAGAATTGGAACGGGTATTTGCACCTCTGAAATTTGTGCGCTTGGACCTAAATTTCCCAGATTAACAAAGTTATTTGAATTGCTGCAGCTTATGCAGGGAGCAGAATCTATCATTCTTCTGGGGGCCGCGTGCCAGAAATAAGAATTTTTGCATGGTACACCGCACAGGCTGTATTGGTAGAGCAAAAGGCCAACGAATCAGTGTCTTCCGGAGGGAAATGGAGGAAAACTCATTGCATTTTGAAGTCAATCCGGAAATTACGACTTGTAATAGGTTCATGCGGTGCTGAAGCTCGTTTGAAAATCTTGATAGCACCCCTGCTCACTTGCAGAAAATATTGTTAATGTAACCGAATAGATCAATTTTTGAGATTGTAAAGAAGACAAGGGTTTCGAGCTTTTCCAGAATATCCAGAGCCGAAGAAACCCGCTGGGGCGTTCTCTATCATCATTTGCAGCTCGCAATTTGCTAGTCGATCTAGATTCTGAGCTAAAACGCATGTCGATTCCAGGCCCATCCCAGACAGTTTCCGCGGGCTTGGATACTTGGACGTTTCATAAGAAAATGCTGGGCTACGGTGGTGCCTGTGATGGAAGCGAGTCATGCGGGATACGTGGTTGTCCGTGCCCATGCATCCTAGGAGCCACATACGGAGTAGTTGGACGAAAACGGAGAACTATGTGCATATCGGGCTCCGCTGGTTGCAAGTTTAAGACTGGACATATGACAGCTCCAAGAAGGAAAACACGCCCCGTGCGTTAACGTCATCAGGCTTAAGATTAAGTAAGAGATCGTGAACTCGTCCGACCTGCCATTTGTTTGCCAATGCCATCTGGGCGAATACCCTCAAACGGTCCGCAAACTCCCGCTGTGCATCCCCAGAACAAATGAATTCCAATCTGACACCGGCTAAGGACGCTGCACACCACTGCAGGATTGTTTTAATTTCCCTGTTGCCACCGAACGCGCCACAACCCCATAACCCCGTGACGATCCTCGAATACGTGTGGCCTCCCTGTTGTGAACTGAATGCGTTGTACGCCTTCAGGAGCTCCCTGTCCGTATGACCCGGAAGCAAGTCTGGCACTCCCTCTGACGAATCGTACATGTCGAACTCCAGAGCATCCATGAACAGCATTACTCGCCGCTGCCACGTATGCGGATGCACACCGTGCAAGGAGTCCTTGTAGGATGTTTCCAGGAGCCGTGCTTCTCGGCCATAACCCTCCACGACAGTCATGGCTTCTGCACCCTGCACAACCAAGATCTGAGTGTCTTGGAGAGTTGGGGTGAGTAGGACGATCGGACAGGATTCTGGCGTTGAGCCGACGTGCATCTCTTCTTGTGTAGCGCTCTGACCAAAACCAACGTTCTTATTTGCGGAAACGATGCACGCCCCATCAGGGATGCCAAGTAAAGCGGGTTTGTCGAGATGATAGGCTCGTAGGTCACCGTCATGGGCCGAAGCATACATCCCATTGGTAGGGTGTGCAGTATTGCACTCTTATGCACTCCTAGGGTTCGCAGTCTAAAGATGATTGGCCATTCTGCCGACAATAGGGATGGGGAGTCAGAGCCATGACTCGATCCCGCGAGGCGCCCAAAGTACGTAAAGACTGAGGATATATAAGCCGCTACAGCCTTCGGATGCCTGATATCAGTCGAATACCAGATTCGAAAGTCTGGAGAGCTATCAGTCGGCCACGGCTGAGATGGTAGAGAGCAGAGGAACTGGTGAACAACTAGGCAGGCGACCTGCCGCCTAGACAGGGTTACTTGGTCATGTTGCTCGGAGAGAATAGGAAGCGAGAACTCTGGGAAGAGCGAGGGCATCTCCAGTGCTATCTCAACTAGCACTGGCCAAACCCTATTGAAAAATTGCCCCTCAGCCGCCTCACCCATTCCCCTCAGGAATGTCTGGAGGAATCCATGATCAGTGGTGGCACAGCCACGAAGAGTGACATCTATCGTCTGCAGGAGATCGATCAAACCATGGCTGTCAGTGATCTTCAACGAGAGAGCCTTTTTCAATATACTCCAAAATGGCACATCCCATGCATCTGCTTCGAGAAGGTCAAAGCGGTCCTGGCACACCAGGCTCGGTGAACAAGGCAAGGGATACCGTGCCGGGATTTGGAATGACATAACTTCGAGATTCTATGGTGATCAACTGGAGAAGATATCTCAGCTAGGTCCTTTCTTGAGTATTGGCCACGTTTGCCGGTACGGCAACCTGGAAGAAACTTCGCTTCTCGATTCAATACGAGGTGAAATTCTCCTGGTAGGTCATTCGCGGCGCGGCGCGGCGCGTCCGCACAGGGGGGCTCAATTTCGCTAGAGGAGCTTTGTTGACTTCTCGCAAAGCTCCTGTAGCTTTCACCTGAAGTCAGACCAGGATTCAGCAACCGGAGAAATACGTGGTGCAGTTTGCCCCCTTAACCGCCCCCCCTTTTTTTTTTGGCGAAAGGATGAGGTTGGGTTTGGCTCAGCTTCGGTGGCGAATGACCGCAGATCACAACCAATCAGCAGCAACATCAAACTCACATCGAAGGATCACAAGCGTATCAGGCGAACAACCATCTTCTTTAACTCGTTTAAGGCAATAAATCTCAATATCGACTTTCTCTAGTGTTAGTGATACTATCCTTCGACTCTCTTCAGCCCTCTTCACCCTCCCTTGAACAAGGAGTGGCACAGTATAGCGCTGCACTCGAAATCGTCGTATCGTAAATTGCCTAGACCACCACCATGGTCTGTTCAAGATGTCAAAAGAAGCTGCAGAAGACCGAACTAGCCACCCCAGCAGTGAAACGCAAGAATGATATGTTTTATGGGTCAACGCTGTCTACATTGGGTGGCGGCGGAGGTGGTGGCGATAGCAAGAGGCCTTCAGGCACATCCGGATATGCAGGAGTGACAAAGGTACGAAATTCCTTAGTGATGTTCTCCCTGCAATGTCTTAATTTGGACCGGTACGGAGGATATACATCTGATCGCAGATCTGCTAACCTCCACCTTTGCAGAATAAGCTCCTGAGTAGCAAAGCAAAAAATCCATATGCCGCATATTCTAGCTCATGCGATGCGTGCAAGACCAAGATTGAGTCCGGCAGGAAGTACTGCCAGCGATGCGCGTATTCAAAGAATGGTATGCTGTTGATTTCTTATGGGATTGTGTCCTTGATCCTAAGCTAAGTACTAACAAGTTATAATAGCATGTGCAATGTGTGGGAAAAGCCTAAGCACGACAAAAAGTACGCAGAAACAGCCAGTGATTCAGGGCCAGAAGTTCACAGCGAAGTAAAAAATTGTTTCATCGCTTGGCCTTTTCTTTTATGTTTTTGTAGTTGTTCAAATGGCGTTATATCTATCTTGGATAAATGGCGTTAGGAGTCGAGACCTGCAATCGAATTCAACAGGGATGTGGTGACAACGACGAAATATGGCCAAACCAAGTTATGACTGCTATGACCAGCCAGACTATGTTTAGAAACGAGAAATATACATGCTTGCAGAACCTTCACCTTTTCCAAGAGTCTAATTGTACAAAGTATATAAAATCAAAAGGAGAAAAGAGATAGCACTTCCCAACGGATATATACCACTGTCTACTCCGTACTCGTGTCTCTTTTGTCCTACCACACGTATCTCACGATATGAACCATAGAGTCCCAATAACATTACAGATTCGCCTGCCTATCTCTCGGCGAGCATATTCTTGATAGCACTCCAATAGTGTGGATTCACGTGCTGTTGGATTTCTTCCTTTGCCAGCCACTTGAAGTCTGCGATTCCCTGGGTACTGGCTGACAGATCTGCTTGACCAGCCATAATGCGCCCCTTCATAAAGAAGGTCTTTTCACCGAGTATTTGGACACCGGTCTCAGGGTTCGTCTTCGCTTTGTTGCTCTTGGAGACATAGTGACCAATCGGGTGGTAGCCAATCATCCACATGTTCATATTTGGACCGGCGGACTGGAAAAGACCCCGTTCGGCAGCCTATGGGTTAAATATCCATTAGCAAGATTCGAAAGAATTTATACCTCCACCTCTGTAAGCCCTTACCGTTCGCAAATTCTCCTTTCCTTCTAGCACGACACTGGGAAATTTCCAATATCCCTCTTTAGCCTGAACCAGCAGATAAAGAGTTCTCTGTAACAGACGATCCAAGCTCTTATAATCACCCTTCTGGTCCGCTTCTGTGAGTCTTGATAGCGGTCTTGGGATTTCTTCTTTCTTTGAACCGCTATCGCCGGCCTCAGTAGCCGCAAATCCCTCCGCATCCGCTATTAGTGCTTCGACCTGGTGCTCTGGCTCGGATTCAATGGCCCCAACGAGCAATTCGTCGTTCCACGCATCTTTAGAGTAGGCATTGTAGTTGCCGATATCTTTCGCCGCGGTTTGACGTTCCTTGTACTTGCGTTTCCATTCGACATCGGCCGGCGTTCCACGCTTAAAATAGAAATACTTGGTAAAGGGAAGCGCAAGGCGCTCGTTTAAACGGCGTTGATAGAAGTAGAATGACTTTTCAAAGGGAGTGAGGTCGCGGGTGATTTGAGGAGCACGCGAGAGAACGATGCCTGCTCTGACGGTGTACGCGGGTTGTGAACTGGACTGACTTGTGACTGTCGAGGGAGTGGAGGTCGTCGATGAGGGCGGTTCTGGAGAGCTTGAGGAAGGGTCTGCGGCAGAGGTGGTTGTTGCAGCTGCGGCGGAGCTATATCCGCGGCGACTCAAGGTCTCTTGACAGCTTTTACAAATCGCTGTGTCAAAAGTCGGTTTAGACGCTGGAGACCATCTGGTTAGCTTGCAATTGAACCAAAAATCCAAGCATGAACTGGAAGATTACCTAGCAGCGTTACTACGCGCCTGACGCTGTTTGTTCCTGCAGACATCCTCCTCGCGTGATGGTGCAAATTCCCTTTTCCCCGTGCACACTCCCTGTTTTCGCTGGCATCACTGAAGATTCAAAAGTTCTCGCTGCTGATAGACGAAATTCTTGTCTTGGCGCGCTAGTCCTAATTAAGCTAGCTCACACCTGGCTCCCTCTCCATGCACGTGACGTAAAGGCTTGGCGGGTTCGTGACTTTTTATTCAAAGAAAAAAAAAATAAAACTTCTCTTTCTCTTCATGTTCATCATGGCACCGAATCCTTATCATCAATTGCTTCTTCTACATCACAGCCAATTGATCATTTATAGTGCCTAGAGAAGGTTTTTCATTGCAGTCAATTTTCGCTAGCGGTACCTTCGATTTTACCAAGGTGTACTGTTAGATAGTCACTGCGTACATTCCCATTTCAACAGCCTCACATCTCATTATGGACGGTTTGGTCCCTACCTGAGATTGAAGAGGCATGAAAACGCCTCAGTGATACCATAGTACCTTCTCTCATTGGGGGGTGTTTCTGCTAAAGCCATGGAAGGGAGTGGCGGGCTGCAATGGGGCATTTTAAATCTGGGGCTCTCTGCCCAGTAGAGCTTCTGTTCGAGACGCAGAAGTTGGGTTGCTCACCCTACTATCTGCACTTGACGCTACTCTGGTAGCTCGATACTGAGTATCTGGAGCGGTATCTTGACAATACCCATTTTGACAACTTGCCCCATGTGACTACCACAGGTATAGTGGTGAGTGGAGACTAAAAGGGTCTTCTGGGAAGATTGAAATCATTTTTACTGGACTTGAATCTATATGAAAACTACTAGCCCAGCAAGTAAATTTATTTATCATGAAGCCTCAACTCGCAAAACCTCTCTGCAATCCCAAACATCCGAAGTTTATTTCCGTAGACCTTCCAAAACTCATTGTCTAGTCGGGGTAGCAATTTGCCATGCTTAATTTTGGAATCGATTGTTAAATCACCTCCCGAAGTGAGGAACGAATCCTCTTCAACAGAATCGTCGTCCGAGCCCAAATATTCCGATATATCATCCGGCTGATCAGCGAGAATGTCGAATTTCGTTGCGTGAGCAATAACTGGTTGTTGTCTTGTAACAGTGACCGGCGTCTGGGAACATTCTCGTTCGCGTATTACCAGCGTTTCTTCAACGGAGCGTGAGGATGGTATATCCAGACCCTTTGCCAAAATGTCACCAGTGCCTAAAGATACTCCACCGCCTTCTCCGTCGCAACTGGCTTGTTCTGAGGCCCCCTCTGTGACAACACCCTTCGCGTGAAGCTGGGAGGCAAGTCTTAGGAAAACACGAGCCGTCATCAAACTATCATAGCCAGCTTCGTGGACAGGTTTCTCGTCGACATATTTGGTGTGCTGGGCGTCAGTAGCTTGGGATAGAAGTTAGCAATCCTTCTTCATACGGAAAAATTCATTACTCACTGAAAGTAGGAAGCTCCCTGAAACGCAACGATTCATCAAGCTCCTCTAGCGCCGAAGATGGAAGGGCTGATCCGCAGTCATGGGTTGCCAGGTATTTCGTGTCCACAATCATGGGAAACAATTCATGGACATTACCGAGGAACTCCTCTACTTTATCTGGAAGACCCCCAATGAAGCATTTGTAGAAATTTACCAAATCAGTAAAGATATTATGCCCAACTAGAACCAGTCGCTTTGACTTCAGCTTCGCCTGTAGATAGTCGATATGACCGAAGGCTTTTTGCTTACGACCGTGAGGGTCGCGACTGGAATCCGCAACAGAGTCGGAGGAGAGTCTGGATAAGTCGCCGCCGGTCATAGCCTCCACTATCCACCGAAAGCCCGTTTGGTTGTAGATACGCTCGCGAACTTGCCTCATCCGCCCCTCCTGTACATTGAGCTCACGTTTCTTGTCGTACTTGACGATTTGGACGAACATAGCCCTGCCAATTGAGACTAGATCCGGATATTCTGAACGAACAAGTTGATGAATCAGGCGTTTCTGGTAGTTATTGATTCCAGGCTGATTCGCAGACCTCTTTTCGGCGCTGGGAATATTAACGTATTCTTCTTTCCTCTTCACTATTATTAGCCCCAGCTGGGCACAAGGGTGGATAAAGTGAACCTCACATTAGGTTTGCTAACCCAGTCATTGATCAAGCGGCGAGCCTCTTCTAAAAATGCCATAGACTCTGTATCTAGACTGTCGAAGTTTATATTATCCATGGCGGCTAGACGACTTTGTCTGTCACGAACCCTCGCTTTTGCCATTCCTTCTTCCTCTCTCGATATATACGGGACGCCATCTATAAAGGGCGCATCCATGCGAAATCCGCTACGCAGGAGCAGATCGATCGCTTGATGTCTGTCTTAGTATTGCATTATAACCGCGAGGTTCACACTCTAAAAGCCAGCAAAAGATAGGACAAACCACTGCTTTGACACGTCCATGTCCTCTCCAAGTCCAACTTTGGATCGATTATTGGATTCAAATTGAAATTATACGGACGAAGGGTATAAGTTCCTATTTTTATTCAGCAAAGTAGCAGGTGACAGGCCAGGAGAAAGTTGCCCGGACCCCTATCCACATCCTCTCTAATAAAGGTTAACCCGACTTGGAGAATTTGGTACTTCTCCGCAGCTTCCTTGACCTCTTCGTATCTTGACTGAAGAGTTCTGCCACCACCCGAGGAACCATCCGTAGAGGGTTTTCGATCTTGCTTGCTAAAGATACCAGAAAATTCCAGGTCCAGAGCCACACAACAGGACTCAGCTATGTCGTTTAGAATCCTGGGAAGGGCCTGGCCGAATGAAGACTTGGTCACTTCCATTTTTGACTGCCCTGAGAACAAAAGGTTAAATAAAAGAGAAACTGTGATAAGCTCTCATTCTCTATCCAGGCTATAGGTAAAGAGACATAGTAGATGTGGGCACATAGAGGGGTAACGGAGTACAAAGACAAGGAACAAAGCAGAGGATAAAGTAAAGGCCAAGTTCGCCGGTTAGCAAGTTCTTATTCACAGAATTCTGCTTCTTGTAGTTACCGTCGCGTCCAGATAGCTCATTGTCATCCATTGTCTGCTGGCAGTCACGTGTCATCACGAGCGAATTTACTATAAGTACATATGTACTACCGGCGATTGGCACTAGAATGTCATAAGCCTGTGAGCATAGCTATGTAACTTTGAGACAACATTTGCCGAACGTTCAGGAATATTGTCAGCGCGCTAAGTCGAGATCTTCCAGAGTCGGCCGAGGGATGTATTCCATAAACAGATCACTTATCAGCCACGAGAGTTCAGATTGGTTTTGAAAGTAGCGAGCGGTTGTTATGTGTTCCAAGGGACCTATACCTCATCCAGGGGGAATGCTACTAGGGAACTTGTGGGGAGTTAATGGGACGAGGGAGAACTTTAACTCTATTGATGACATGAACCGTTGGCTCAATAAGCGCCTCTAGCTCATCGAGAAGACGATAGGTTTGCGTCCACACCCACTTGTGCTCTGTCATCTCGACCTCAGCCGCCGGAAGTTAAAGCTCATGGGGCAATTCGATATGCTAACTTGACTGGGGCTATCCGGGAATTTTTGTTTGGCTGAGCCTGCAAAGAGCATGGACCAAGTCAAGGAGGATGACATGTTTGTATGTTCTAAGCACCATTTACTGGGCTAGTTAACTTGTTACTCTGTACTATAAAGTAAGTAAACCACATAGCAAAGTATGGAGCTTGTTCCTTTTCCATCACAGCAGTTTAATTGTACAAAAATTGGTGCAGCGAAGATGAAAGACATAACATGGGAGGCGGAGATGTTATCATCGAGTTGGATGATTAGAGGACCGCAAGGATTCCAGCCATGGTTCCCAAAGATGGCTTCATGCAATGACTATGCCCAGTGGTCTGAAGGCTCTTGTTTCTCGTAGCCTTCTAGGCAAAAAGCCATCGCCAGGCCAGATAATACAACTTATCTTTCATATTCCCCCTTTCGCTCACCGGCACAAGCGTAGTGAAATCTTTTGAAGACTCGCTTGCTTGCGCCAGCAATCTTCTTTACTAAAGGTACGCAAATTAGGCCAGTCATTGACTATCAAAAGGCCGAAGGCTTTAACGTCATTCTGGCGAAGGACGATCATTGTCATGCTCGGCAAAAATATATGCTGTTCGTTCATTTATTTTGATAGAGTACCATCCAGCTAATCCTCAGTCTTTCAAAGTCACTTTGTATTGCCGGTATTGTATTTGCAGCAATAGGAATCTGGCTAATAATAATGTTCTTGTGTTGGAATTCTGCATGCATAGATGTCAAGTTATAGCTGTAGAAAACATGTGACAATAATCAATGATAAAGATTAGACTTGTGGGCGGTACGTGTATTAACTGTTTCAAGATGTTTGAAGGACTAGAACCTCTTCGGTGCAATTTTAGAGTCGAAGGACCATTGATGCAGGGCGTAGGCTGTGAGATCCGGAACATACCATGTAGAAGACAGGTTGTCCCAATACTCTCAATGAATCTTCGTGAGGAGAGGCTGCATAGTTCATCAACATTGCAATGGTAATCTTAGATTTCTCATAACGGCCTAAGTGTCCTCACCAAGTGGCCAAGGTATCACCTTTGATGAAATCCATAACAATATATTTTGCCGATGACATGGGGCAACTGTAAAGTGCATAAAGTTGGCCTGCCCTACCGAAGTTGACAACAAAACGGTCATCAACTTTAACCTGCTTGTACCCACTGTGGCAGTTTAGAAGAGGAGCTTCCTGGATCTCAACTGCTGTCTCAAGGGAACAGGGTATATCAGGAACAAAACGCGGAAGCTTGACAGGTGGTAAAATAGTCCAGTCCTGTGGTCCCTTGCAATATTGGCTTCCGATCGCGAAGCAAAGAATTGACAAGGATATGAAGAACAGTGCTAGCTTCTAGGCAAAAGCTTAAGCTTTCCAACCCAAAGCAGAGAGGGGCTTTCCTGATCACTGTGATGGACGATAGGAAGCATTGGATGTCAGGGGCGCCCAGGACCCTATGTTAATTTGGCAGCAGGCATCAAGGCGACGGGCTTGCAGAAGTATCATCACGATTCGGAGCTTTCCTAAAAGTTGCTCTCGCAAAGTCTCTGGAATTTGGAACGGATGTGTGTTTTTGAATAAGGATATTGCTTCTCTTTCTCTAGGGGGTTATACACTAGAGGAAGCCAAAAGCGCAATATCAAATTGCTAGAGCGTATTCCGTAGAGGATACCCTTTTGTACCAATATCCAAAGCCTGATACTTTGGTCCTCTTGAGGTCCAGCGGCCTTTCCAAGCCCTCCTGCATCAAGACGGCCGGTTGCATAATGAGGCCCTAACACGTGATAGTATTTGTGGGGCATCTGACTCAGCTAGTTTTGCTAGTTTAGCCTAGTTAAGTACTAGCGCCATGGCCGATCTAGCTCCGTCCCGTGACGTGCGACTTTTGAGCCGAGGATAACAGGCGGTCGGCTTCGTTGCTGGAGCTCGCATTTCCAAAGGCCGGCCTCAACTACTGTTGACATCTGCCCAAACTCCAGCATACAAAATTTCTCGTGAGATTCCAATCCTTACAGCCGTCAAGAAAATATACCTAAGCACGATGTCGGACGATGGAACACCCTCTCCGGCGCAATCCCAATTGCTCTCCACATCAGCACCATCCCAGTCGCGATCTTTCAACAAACAGCTCCAGCAAACCTACAAGCAAGCTTCGCAGCTTTTCCTTACCCGTAGATTGCAAGAATCGCTGTCCGTAATCGAGCCATTGGTGACTCCTTCCCCCTCAAACGAGTCACACCAGCAGCAGACAAATGGCAACGGGGTCGCTGTTGCACCAGTTGCTTCGGCGTCAAGCAACTTGAAAATCAAAGTGTGGAACCTCTACATCACCCTTCTAAGTTCCATTGTGAATTTGGGCCCTGAAGAAGGAAAGAGACAAATTGGCCAGAAGGAATGGAAAACATTGGCTTCCAAAGTTCGTGATGGCGAGATCTGGGATACAGTTGTTCAGGTTGGGTATAATGGCAGAGAAGGCTCTGTGGATGCAGATGTTGTCTATAACTTGTGCGTATCGACTATAGCCCTTTCAAGCTTTATTGAAGGTGTTTTTGAGGTATTAACCGGACAAATCCCTTAGAGCCACCCTCTTACTCACCCATTCTCCGACCCAAACTCTCAACCAAGAGCGTCTCGAAAACTACTTAGCTTCATACGGTGTTCCGGACTTGGATATTGCGGCTCATATTCAGAATCACTCCCCCACGAGGCGGAAGCAAAGAATAGCATCCTCTAGGGGTGCAGATACTCCAAAGGACTTGACGATCCGCGTGAGATTACTAGAGTTATTCACTCTTCATGTTCTTCCCCGGAACGGTGAATGGGAATATGCCAGAGAATTCCTTAATCTAAGTGAAGTTCTCGATGATGAGAGAAAAGAGACATTTCTCCAAACGCTAGATGGCTTACAAGAAGCCAAGGAACGTGATGCAGAGCGGGCTGCAGAGCTCCAAAAGGAAAAGGAAGAAGAATTGGAGCGGTTACGCAAGCAGCAAGAAGAAGAGGAGGAAGCAAGAAAGATATTGGAAGAGCAGCAACAGCGAGCAGCTGAAGCCGCCGCCGCTGCAAAGTCTGCCCATGAGAGCTCAACAAACGGCCATAGGAGAGTAAGCAGCGAAGTCGATTACGGCATCGAGCGGTCCAATCCAAATGGCAGTCTTAAAACTACCCGCGGCACGAAATCATCCATCAAATCATCTTCGCGCTCGCCGGAGCCGTCGAAACAAGTCAAGAAATCCAAGAAGCCGAAACCGGGTGCCCTAAGACAAGTCCGGCACTTGGGCAATTTACTCATTGCATTCCTAAAGCGTATGGCCAAATCAATGTCATCTAGCCCGATGTTCTTTCTTCGAGCGATTCTGCTAATTATGGGGGTGATAATGGCTTTGGGGCGCCCTGATATACGTGAACGGATCCGCCGCCTGACTGGCGTGGGGTGGCAGAAAGTTCGGGGGACTGTAGGCATGGGCGTTAAGGTTAGTTACATATAAAGGATGGGTCGTGATTCTGCGTATGAACATGTTTGATTTATCTTACAATCAATATCTATCTCCGAGTTGTGTATTATGTATGTAGATAGGGCTTCACTTCCTGTGTTGAGGCGCTTGCTGGCAAGTACCTGGTAATGTCAAAACCAGAGATTGAGCCATATTATCTTATAGACTCGGGTTTGGGTAGTCTACGGTCCCTAAAAACTTAGCCATATGCCTGAAAGTCTCTACTGAGGGAGTGAGCCGTATATACGTGCGCCGGACTGAATGTCGATGGGACTGTTCATAGTACCTAAAGATGGCGGGCATTCTCGCGATTATGTAAAAGTAAGACTGGATGAGGTCTCCGAGGCCTGCGAAGAATAACTATCGCCTCTAAAGTACGGAGGATTTTTCAGATGAGCTTGGACGTTGGCTTCCAGGAGGCCTTGTAAACCCTCATAAGTCTAATATCCAAAGTACTCCATTCTTATGCCGAAATGCAAGATTTTTGACACAGGGTTCAAAGTAAACCCATGGACAGAGGGGCTTTTACAGGGCTAGAGAGCTCCAGTGAACAGCATTGAAACCCTAAAACCGCCCATTATTCAGTTGTAGGTTGCTGAAGGGGCGGCGCGTCTTCGCGACTTTCATTATCACCGGTTAACCGTTTAAGTCGGCAAAGGATTCGTCACAACATAACCACAGCAAGTTCGACATTCCTGCTCGAAGTTTCCTCCTTTTTACGCAGTTTTCTCAGCCATGCTCGAAATAAATGAACCATAAAGTGGGCAGAAAAGATTTGCTCTGTCGTATATAAAATTACTGGGACGGACATCCTCGCGTTCAGAGAGACGTCATTCGATTTGTACATCGCGTAGAGCATGGGGATACCAAGGCCAGTTGTCTTCGCTGGGCCGCAGAAACAAACCGCGATAGTTTCGACGGGAGGTAGCCGACGGAATATACGACTGATAAAACGGTTTGACATCAAGAAAGTTGGAGGCCAACAGAGAAAATAACATATCGCAGTCAGAAATAAGTATAGACCGATGTTAAAGAACACAACCAATATAATGGATTCTTTGGTCAGTGACTCGAGCGCTTGTGTTGCGAAGCAGGTAGAGAAACCCGTCCTTGAAGCCTTGATGTTAGGGAGAGATTCCACGTAGACAATCGTGTAACTCACCATGTCAGAAGAATCAAGCAGCACCCAGAGATTTTGGAAAAGTGAAACGTCTCTACTACATGCTTCGCTTGTTGGGGCCATGTCCAGCGAATCACCTGCCCCAGGACCAAGGGAATCAACACGCTTAGACCCAATGATTGGAAAACTTGACGATACAGCGAATCGAGGTCCGAATCAGCATGCCTCCAGAGATCAAAGCTGGGCGATTTAGGGAGCAAAGTCACGGTCCAACCAGGTGTGACAAATGGTCCCAGCATGTTTGCCACTAAGACTTCCATCAGTGCCACGGCATCGTCACCTCCAGCCTCCCTCGTCATCGCCACGTTAGAGGAAATAGTGGTTGGTAAGCAACCCACGAGAATATATCCAGCCAAAACTGCCTCATCGATTCGACGGCCGTGGTCACTTGTGTAGATTAGTTGAACAAATGCAACCATGATGGCCGGAACAACTAAAAAGGATATTCCCTGGACGAGGATGTGCACTCTGTAGTTGAGCAGTTGTAAGATGAGCTTTTCTTTCGCAATGCTCAAGCCGCTAATCAAGAAGATTATCGCAACGGCACCGTATAAAATGGAGTATTCCGCATGTATAATTCCTCCGTGTTTAGCAACGTTTGGGAAAAAGTAGGCCAGCAGGCAAGAAATTCCAATACCTATCAGGAGATATTGTCGAAGGATGAAAGCGCCTATGATACTCGAGGGCGGTGCCTGCTTCTCCGAATTGGCTTGATAATTGGTAGCCTGACTTTCCATAGTAAATGCTATAGTCTCTAACAGCTCTTGTTGGAAGCTGAGCTCCTATATTTCATAAAACTCAAAAAATTCGCTAGGAATCCATTTATCATTTAACCAATTCCAGAAGGCATAAAGGAAGGATATTTTCTGCTCCAGCTCGACTCGAGGAATAGAAAGCACCGTGCTCATGCAACCAACATTGACATCAATGTCATCATCCGCTGCAGCAAAATAGGATTTTACCGCGACAAGACTGATGAGTTCTGTTGTGCTTTCACAATTTCATACTCCGCACTCCGTGGTCCAGTTGCCGGCCTAGTTCACTGACTAGCGGGTGGGGATACCTCTCAAGACTGGCAGAAATCCTTGTTGGCCTTGCACGAAGGCTTTCGGAAAGCGGCGACACCGCAATCATCCACGGGGAAACATGCAAACAATGGCTTCAACCATCATTTCTCACCTTGAAATGTGAGAAGGCAACGCCAAAATTTAAGTCCTATAGCGCTCATTCGGACCAAGCCCGTTCGGGCCTGGGATGCGGAATCGTGCCGAGACATAGCCATCGTTTCTCGAGCACAAGCTCGGTATTCCTAGTCGAATAACCGAAGCCGAAGCTCTTCGAGTGAAAACTGACACAATGAAAGGAGAAGTCCCACGACATATGTCCCTTCACGTTCACGCATTGACTTTTGTCAAACGATAGGACGTTGGACGAAATTCCGCAACACCGAAAGATCGGATCAGATAAGATAATGGGCCGAACAGGCGGGCGGCTCCGCCGGCGGGCCGGAAATTAGAATATCCGCAAGCTCTTTCGGAATTTAGATTGTCCGACCTCACGAAGTCGGCCCGGCATCCATGCGCATGGTCAGAGCACCAACCTTCCAATCAGAAACTGACCGCTGTTACATTCCTGGGATTGTCATAATTGTGATACTAAGTGCATCTGGTTGCACCGAGTGAGATTCGGAAACCAAAGGAAATGAGCCATTCTGTCTGGAATCTCGAGTTCAAAGAGCGATTCTAAGCGGTATGGTATGTACAGACATGATCCGCGACTCGCAAGACAGTATAGGGAAGATCAAATACAAGCATATTTTGACCAAAGCTATTGCGTGTCCGTACTGAGGAGAGACTATATAAAACATCGATAGCTGTTGGCGACCATGTATAAGTTCTCCATTTTCATAGCATTACCAAGGACCGGCATTGGTTATTCTTATCAAGGGTTGGATGGGTGCACTAGGAGCTATTGCAGGTTTTCGTGGAGAAAGGATTGCTTGATCAAAGTAGTATTCTATATACCTTAGGTGCCGTAAGACAGACATCAAAGGACACATTGCGCGAAAAACGGCAGCCCTGTCAGGGCACATCGACAACGTAACAGTATTACCTAGTCAGTCTGCCCCTGGAGAAGCTGCAAGGGTGTCTCCAAACAATTTCAAATAACCCAATCCGACTGCGCAAAAATGATGGAAAAGAGCGTGCATTTTCAAAAAAGGGCTCTGCTCCTCGTACTCTGTCCTCTGTACACCGTTGCTGACAGGGGCAAGCAGGGGTATCTGCGGCAGACCGTTTTGAGGCGCGGTTTAAATCGGAGAAACATGCTCCTCAAATAAAAAAGGACATTGAACTAATCCAAGGATGACAGCTGGATTGCAGAAATCGAGCGTCTCCCCTCGCATTTCTTTTGCAATCCTTCCACACCGTCCGAGGCCGTCGGTGGCTTTCGAGGAATCGCGTCACCCGGCGTTCTAGCAAGATGACGTAATTTTCAGCGGGTAAAATCACCCTCTTGGCGTTTTGCTGACATAATCCACCGGCCCGCAGGGTTCGGACTCGCGCTCACATCCTCGGCATATCCATAAAGTACCTCTTCATATAAATAAAGGGAGAAGGAACAGGAAGGGTGGAACAAGTAGGCTTAGTTGTAGGCCTCTCGGCCCCGAAAACTCCCGGACTTGGCCGGCAACCCCGCAAGCAACATGATTATCGCCCGCCTTAGCCCGATCCATCTGCCTTGAATATTGGCGGGAGTGGCTTTTTTTCAGGTACAGAGGAACTGGTGGGAGGACTGCCAGCATGTGAAAAAAAAAATGTACGGAGCAACCATGAGTGTATATAAAAATCAAGCTGCGAAAGCTTGATCATATGATTGTATCTCACATGCTCTTGACCCAACTACTGGCTGGGAACCATTGGGAGCACGGGGTCTTTATATACTTTTGGCATCAGGGTTCAACTGGCATGTGGCAGAGTGCTGGCTTTCCGGCCTTGCGAAAACGAACATGAGCCTCGGACTTGTCTCCGTTGTTTTTCAGAACCATGGATGATACGTAAGATTAGTCGATAGCTACCTTCTGCTTGTCCTACCAATAGCCATGAACTGAACCGGTTCCTGCCTCCCAGTAAAATCATCATTGCTCTACTCCGTACCCTTTAAACAAATTACATGGATTTCCTGCTGCTGTTTCATTTTGACTTTGTGCGCTTTTTCAAACTGCAACATCCCACTTTTCCGCTTTGCCTACCCTAGCCGGAAACGATGTGGGGAAGATTTCTTCCGCTCATCCAGATCTGATAAAAAGCTCTGGCGTCTGCGCCTGGGTCACTGACGAAATCTTTGGAGCTTGCTATTGCTAGATCCCGCCACTGAGAGCCAAGGATTCACATTTTCCCAGCCTTTTCCTAATTCCGCACTCGGGGCGCTTTCCCAAAGTTTCTCTGGTACTTTTTTTTTTGAACTGGAGCCGGGGCGTTTCGGGTAGCCGTTGCAGTAATTTATTCAAAAAGATCGCTTTCCCACCACCCTCGGCACAGACGCACTCCTTGTCTTGACTCATTTTGCAAGTCATATTGACCGATCGGTGCTGTATTGGTTTTTGCTTAAGCTGTCTTTCATTTTAACTTCTGTTCCTCTCCACTCATAAAAGGTCATCGGCGGCGCTTGGGCTTGCTCTTTTAATTCGACTTTAAAGACGTTGAAAGATAGATACCAAGGAAAATGGCTTCAAAAGATAGGAACGCGAAACCTGCCTCCGCTGCAGTGAACTTGGTTGGTAAGGAGAAATGTGTTGTCTGGGAACGTTTGCGGTAAATATTAACGTCCCGGTAGCTGGTGGTGGAGCGGGAATGATGGAGGCCTTAGTGTGTCATCCTTTAGGTATGCGCCCTTCTGTTTTGGCTTGCAATTCTGCCGGTGAATCGACTGACATTCCTTAGATACCGTGAAAGTTCGAATGCAGCTTTCGAAAAAATCCCGCGCACCGGGAGTGAGTATTCGCGGCGTGAAATCCGTTCTCGACGATCTGGAAAGTAACGTGGTATCTGCAGGTTAAACCCCGTGGGTTCATCGCAACCGGGCAAGAAATTGTGCGAAGGGAAACCGTTCTCGGTTTGTACAAGGGCCTCGGTGCTGTGTTGAGTGGAATTATCCCCAAGATGGCTATCCGATTCACTTCCTATGGGTGGTACAAGCAAATGCTTGCAGATAAGGAGACAGGAAAATTGAGCAGCTCTCGCAACATGCTTGGTATGTTGGATCACCTAGAGAATTCTTTTTTGGTGGCCGACCAGATTCTTACCTTGACTTTTGAATCTATCTAGCCGGTCTTGCTGCGGGTGTCACTGAAGCCGTAGCTGTCGTCACGCCTATGGAAGTCATCAAGATTCGTCTCCAAGCCCAAAGCCACAGTTTGGCTGATCCCTTGGATACTCCCAAGTATCGCAGTGCTCCGCATGCTCTGTTGGTGGTTTTGAGGGAAGAAGGTTTCGGCGCTCTCTATCGTGGTGTGTCGCTCACTGCTCTCCGACAGGGTACCAACCAGGCGGCCAATTTCACCGCGTACACGGAGATGAAGAAGCTGTTGCAAGAATGGCAACCCCAGTATACGGAACTTCCATCCTACCAGACCATGGTTATCGGTCTTATTTCTGGTGCAATGGGTCCGTTCTCCAACGCGCCCATTGACACGATCAAGACGCGGTTGCAGCGCACGCCAAGTCAGCCCGGACAGTCGGCCATGTCACGCATCGTGTCGATCTCCAGTGATATGTTCAAACAAGAAGGTGCTAGAGCCTTTTATAAGGGTATCACACCACGAGTTATGAGAGTTGCACCCGGCCAGGCTGTCACATTCACGGTGTATGAGTTCCTGAGGGAAAAGATGGAAAAATCCACCCTTCCCATCGTCGGTGGAAAATATGAGGAATAAACGAAATCGAACAGAACAATCGCTCTCGTTGAAGATGGCGCGGACTGCGGCATCAGAGGCTCACCTGCAGGTCCAGCGGAGCGCTTTGGGATCCTCCAATCCGGCCGTCTTATCCCACTCTTGACAAAACAAAGATTCGGGAAATAGACATATCCATATCAATTTTTTCCGGTCATGTATATATACCGACTTTTCCCTTTTTTTTCCTTTTTTCTTTTTTCTAGTGTTTCTTGATTTCCCTTTTACTCTTTCTTTTGGACATTTTCAAGGTGTTCGAGCGGCTTGCATCTCGCATTTCTTGCAAATCTTGGACGACACTCTTGTGACATACACCTGATAGACTTGGTTGCTTCTTGGGTACAAAAAGCGTGTGATGTGTATGTATGTACATACATTGACTTAGCGACACGGTAGATGAACCGCTTTCAATGGCCTTTCTTGAAAATTCCGATAGATGAAATCTATGACTGAATGTAGATGATGTTGGAAGGGCGAACGTAGCACAGCAAACTAGCGTCTGGCGTGACGTTGGGGCGGCTCAAGGGAAGCTGGGGGGTTGGTGAAACGCGTCACAAGCCGGCCGTTTGACCCCTCGATCTCGACCAGAACTGCTGGAGAAGAGGAGAATCCGATCTTCAACATCAAGTATATCTTGTCAAGATGCAGTCAGGAATAACAGGTAGCCAATCAACCAAAGATACATTTGGTCTCCTGTGCTAACCGGTATCCAGCCTCCGCCGAGCTCCATGATGCCTTCAAGGCCTTTCTCTCCTCCCCGTCCTCCCTCTTCTGCCTTCCCATAACAATCGAGAGCGAACAGCTCGTTCCTCTATCTCCTATCTCCTTCGCATTTAATGCCAACGATGCCCTTGATGATAAGCCATTCTTCGAATCCCTTCCATTCCTCAAAGATACTCTCCAACCTAAAACCCCGATATACCTTCTCCTCCGCCGGTTCCAGCATGAGGATCCCATAGAATCGCAGCTGGTTGCGCTTACTTACATTCCCTCAAATAGCGGGGTCCGTGCCAAAACAATTTTTGCAAGTACCCGTGCTACTGTAGTTCGTGAATTGGGCTCTGAGAAGTTCTTCGACACTGTTTTCGCGGTCGAAGAGGAAGAGATTTTGAGCGAAGCTGCCTGGAAGGAACGGGAGGCAGATAAGAAGGCCTCCAGGGGTGGCAATGGAAATGGGACGGCGGCGGATGAAGATGATGCGGAAAGCAGGAGGCAGGATGTCATGGGAGAGAAGGAAAGGGCGCTTGATGCCATCAGGCGGGCCGAGAACGAGGCGAGGAGCATGTCAATGAGAAGAGATATCGGAATTGGGGGCACTGTTGGCGCCGGAGGGGCGGCCGATCTCAAGGGTGTCCCCTTTCCGCTTGGGGATGGGGTCAAGGAAGCGCTGCAGAAACTGGAAAATGATGAAGGAGGAGCCGTTTTATTGGTAAGGCTGCTTTTCCGTTCCATTGTGCTAAAACACAATCTAGTGTGCTACGTATATTCGCTAAACCGATTTAAAAGGGTATTGATATTCCTAATGAAACCCTCACGCTTCTCTCCACCGAATCAAACGTTTCTCCCGGATCACTCTCTAGCCTAATACCAGACTCGAAACCCCAGTACACGTTCTACCGGTATCCCACCACATCCGCGCTGGTCTTCGTTTATACTTGTCCTTCGACGTCGGCTATCAAGGAACGTATGCTCTACGCTAGCTGTCGCAGAGGAACGTTGAAGGTGGCTGAGGCACAGGGTCTGACAATCTCGCATAAGGTTGGTGCCAAAGCCGTTGAAAATAAAACCCCGCTCACAACGCGTACTGATATACCCATAACGACAGATTGAGGCATCTTCCCCTGACGAAATCACCCAGACACGATTGGAGGAAGAAATCAGTCCCCGAAAAGAAGATGGGCCTCAGAGAGGTTTTGCAAGACCAAGGAGACCGGGGCGGTGATCGTGATAAGGTGATCGAAGAAGCGCAAATTTCACCCGTTTTCGATAGTGCTTTCCCTATAGTGTTTCTATGTCTCACCCATAGATAGCTCTATCCCACCCTTCAGAGTTAGATCTTTCATAATTTCTCTTCATCTCCATTTGAGATTTGGAACAGGAGGCACGGAGTATCTTCGGTGTAAACCAAACTGTTAAGACCTTTCCTCTTTCCCGTTTTCGACGATGCGTGTAGTTCGATTGATAGAAGCCCGGCCGCCACAGGCTTAAATGAGCAAACGGGAGGAGGCGTCAGGTCACATCGCCGTCGATCGATGCTGCTTCCTCTGGAAGAACAAGTCTGTCCTCGAACTTCCCAGGTTTATAATCTTCGGACACCCGTCTCGGTCTTTTTCCAGCCTCGTACACTCAAAGCAGTAGAAGGCATCACTGATTCCCTCGCCTCCGCACACGATGCACTTATTTTGGTAGTTTCCGAAGGAACATTCGTCACAGACGCGGACGAGAGTCGTGGGCCGGACGTAGGAGTCGCAAACGGGACATTTGCCGTCGCATTTGTCACAGAGGCGGCCGATAGAGATGCCGGTCTGCTTGCGGCACATTACGAGATCGGGATGATGGCGAGACATTGTGATTCAGAGTTGATTTTTCCCGTTTCAACTAAGATTGCGCGGCGAGAATAGAGGAGGTGATTGTCAACGCCCTAGCTTTCGCGTTGTTTCTACGGAGTATTTAACCAAATCCTGGTGGCGGGAATTCTGCACAACCGACGTAATCACGTGACATTCTACTGCTGTCCCGGAAAATTGGAAGGCCGAATCCCGGGATTGAAGGAATTGAGGTCCAACAGACACGGAACGCAGGATCGAGGAGGTTAGGTACGGACAGCATTGGCTTTGCAACATGGCAGCCGACCTGCGCCTGCAGAAGAAAGGCCGGGTGAGGCATTTAGTGCTCGGATGACCGAAGATCCCATAGCTGCTCAACAGATGAGCAGCAGTGGTCATGATGAGCGGCGTACAAGAAAGGCGAGAGTAGAAATATTCAGAAGCATCTTGGGATCTTGTCATGTTAACTACATAGCTGCGTTTCTAGAACTTCCGCCATCTCAATAGCTGTGGCCACAAGAACTGCATCCGCCTGCTTTAATTATTAGTAAAGATACCTTGGACCTCTTCAAGGTATTGAGCATATTCATCCAGCTTTGATTTCACGCATAAGGTCATTTCAGGGCGCCAGAACAGGGATATCCCGTCTCGAGCTATCATTTTTGGCACTTCATCAAACATTGGCTCAAGGTGCTCCCTGAAATGGTTGAATAAACTTTTCGGAGTCTGCAATGCACTCAAATACCAGTAGTGGCCGTCCTTTAAAGCTGTTTTCATGTGTACATTCCGGGAGTAGAGTCTTCTTTTGCAATATAGCAGCATGTGTGTATTCTCAATCATAGCACACCACGAACTGTTCATATTCTTCTCGGCCCTCGATTTCATCAACACCCGTCCCTGTCAACCAAAATGGAGGCCGCAGGTTTTCTAATAGCAAAGAACATGCCCATTCAAGATCAATAATATAGTTGATGTTCCAATCTTCATCAACAGGAATGTTGCTTGAATGCATATTCGTTAATTGCATAACAAAAGGTCCCTCACAGACATGTCGATTAGTAAATTGATGAAGCAAGGCTTTCATGAGCACTAGATCTTTGGCTTGTGAACGTGCATCAATCTCATGAACTGCAGCATTCCCCTGATATAGTAGATAATTATCATGAACAGCAAGCAAATCAAGATAGAAGCTGTCGGCGTTCGTGTAAGTCCTTCCCCGTGAAATATCTGTCGGTGTAGACCAATTCTCCAACTGGTGAAGATGGCAGAACATCGGACGGCTGGCATTTGGCAAGAGATAAACCGGCATTGTCTCTGGTGCTTGCTCCAGGTCCAGTGCTAAAGCGGTATCCCGCCCCAAGAAAACTTCCCGGGACAAGGAAAATCTATTCCTCCGCCAAGTACTTGAATAGGTAGGCCAAGCACGGCTACCAGCGATTTGGAACGGTGGTCCCAAAGGAGAGGCCGTCGAGAACAATATTAGTTCCTCCTGCTGCACACCGGAGTAGTTAGCTGTTTTTTGCATTGTTGGAACGATAACTATCCATCTAAAGGCGGCCCACAAGTCATGGCTGAAGGGTAAGTGCACGCAATATCCAGGATTCTAGGATTTGGGCTGAAGTCTCCGATATCTAGATCGATCGCGTCAGCTGTCGCATTGCCTGATCCGGAACCATCGAGTCCCGATGCCACTTTGAAACGGCGACAGTTCCCTTCTCAAGAAGATAACAATACTAAGCGCCGTCGAGTTAGTACGAGTCAAGCACAGTCCACGGCGGACGATACTTCGCAGGTTTCACCCGTCGTACCGAGGACATCTGTCGATGACGGAAAGGAAAAGGGTCGCCAAAAAACTGGACGGGAGGAAGAGCGCAAGCGTGGTCAGAGGTTATTTGGCGCATTGCTCGGGACGCTTTCACAAAGCTCATTGACAGCCACACAGAAGCGGCGCGCCGACATTGAGCGAAAGCAACAGGCCAAGCTGAAACAGCAGGATGAAGAGTATGATGAACAATATAGGAAACGGCGCGAGGAGCTAATGGCTCGGAGAAGAAGGGATCAAGTGGTATATGAGAGAGAGTCGGTAAGTGGGTTTGTTCTTCTTTCGCTGCTTTCATGGCATGTGCTAAGAATAATGCGCAGTTGCGAGTTCGCCATTCAAATCTGCGGGCGATGGCCCGCTCTCTGAAGACTAAGTCGACACCAACCCTGGTTTGTTCCCTTGCCCTTGTATCGAAAGCCAATACAGTATGAATTTTGCTAACACCATGCTTAGTACTACAAACCTTGGCAGCTTCGGCCAGAAGAAAAGGACATCATCGACTCGCAGGTAGAAGATGCAGAAGCTACGATCGCAAAGGAAGTGGAAGACTTCGAACGCCGGAATCGCAGAGAAACCGAAGGATCGCAACCGGATAAAGAAGCGGCAGAGTTACCTCCCGCAGTTGAGTCAAGAAGCACCGCGGATCCGACGGAGTCAATTGCTAACAATGGCCCAAAGCCGGACACGGTGGGTTCCGATACTAATGATCATCAAGAAGCTTCAGAGGCCCAAAAGCAAACCACTACTAATGATATTCCTGTTCCTCCTGACCGGAATGAGGAAACAGCTCATGCGAGACCCAATGAAGATGACTCGGGGGAGGTTGTCTTGGAAGACAAAGAAGATACTGTGATATACTAGGTTGGCCCTGATTTTACCCTCTCCTGATTCTCACATTCCTGAAGGCCTTTCCCACAAGTCGCACTGCTATCCATCTAACATGCACCCGGACTCCTGTCTTGCCATTCCCCACATCGCCAGCATTCCAGCTTGAGCTGTTGTCGGCCAAACTTTGCTTCCAATGAACTTTTGACGGCGTTCGTTTGCACCACTTGGGTGCATGCTGATTCCGTTCCCGCTAATCACGCATCTAAGCAATGTGGAAACAATTTGTATGTTCCGAGCGTATTTATGTTGATAATGCAAATTTTAGCAGTTAACATCGAGATTGTACTTTATTCTGGATGGACAGATAATGGATTCCAAGGAAGCGGGCAAGTCTGCGCTTCAAGCCACGTGAGCTGAACCTCGGTTTGACTAAGCTTTCAGTCGGGTACTCGTCAAAACACGTTCACCAGTGCAGCAACCCCGGACCCTGGCAACAGACCCGCTATACATAAGGGCGCCTTGCTCGCGGTTCTGCCACAATGTAGTCTCCATCCGAAGCTGAACACTCTTGTATACACACAAGTTGATGTCCCTTTAACTTGGACAACGGCTTCGGCCCCCCAAAACATACAACCTCCATCATGACAGCAGACAAGATAGACGTCTGGAACGACCCGCGGATCCAAAAATGTTCCACTTTTGTCAACGGCACTCGATATGGTAGGTAGCAACCCTCTGTATACGAGAGGTATCTTCTTTATATGTGATTATATGATGCTTTCACCCGTCTCTCGCCAACGTATCATCAAGCTACATTTCATTCATTAGTTGTTCATGAATTTTATTCTAACGAATTGTTCACTATACAGGCTATCTTCTCGGGGTCCCTCCAAACGGAGACTACCGGGCAACTGTTTTTCTGGTCCGTTCGCCTTAGAGAAACCCTAGTCACTGCTGCTCATAGCTTTATTTCAATCCATCGGCCACTCTAGAAGTCAAGAAAGCTTCTAGCAGAGATTGCTTTCTTTGCTGCCCATTTGATCTCAAAACCTGACCGTTCCGGGATCTAGATCCATGGCTTTCCTGATCTTTCAATGGGATGGAGATACCAGATCCCAGCTCTGTTAAATATGGGCCTTCGGGTTGTTGCCCCAGATTGTCTTGGGTATGGGAGAACAGTAAGTGTCTTGCTCTTTATGTCGTTATTACTCAAACTCGAATGATATCAGGACTAACACCGCATTCCAGGAAGCTCCCGATTTCACATCGGAATCCGCCCCTCGGTACGCATTCAAGCAATGTGCAGCTGATATGAAAGAGCTCGCACGGCAGCTGGGCACATCCAAGATCATCCTTGGTGGCCATGATTGGTTCGTTCATCCGGAAGCATCTCCAGCGCCCATGTTCTGGGAATTTTGGGGTTCAACCTAACTAGCGATTCATCGCCTCTAATGCGGCTCTACTTCAGGGGTGGTTTTGTCGTTTATCGTATTGCGCTCCATTGCCCGGGTTTCGTCACACATATCTTTTCCGTATGTACCCCGTATGGCCCTCCTCACCGGGAGTTTGTTCCCCTGGACAAGCTAGTAGCAACTCGCATTCCGTTTTTCGGTTATCAACTCCAGTTCGTGAGTGGAGAACTCGAGAAAGTTATTAAAGACAAGAGGGACATCCGTCAATTCCTGATCGCGTTATTCGGAGGGAGGACTCCAAAGGGAGAATTCGGGTTTGACGTCACAAAAGGGGCACTGTTGGACAAGTTGCATGAGCTACAACCCTCGCGAGTTATGAGCGAAGAGGTATACCAATATCTCTTTGACAGCCATTTCATCAACATTATATTAACCGCTTTAACAGGAGCTAAATTACTACGTCGAGGAATACTCTCGGAGTGGAATGCACGGCCCACGTGAGTTTAAATTGCTTCCAATGCTTATGCCGAAGACAGGAACAGGTATCCTAACGCTGGTACTTAGTGAACTGGTATCGCACCCGCGAACAGAATTATAAAGAGGACCTTGAGCTCATCGGGCGCAAACTCGACATTCCGGTCCTTTTCATCAGAGCCACAAACGACGCGGCCCTCCGCCCGGAACTATCACAGAATATGTCAAAGTACATCCGGGATCTAACACAGGCCGAGGTTGATGGTACGCATTGGGTTCTGTGGCAAAAGCCTGAGGAGTGCAATGCCATTATCGCAAAGTGGATGGAGGGTGTTGTCTTTGGGGCACAGAGTAAGATATAATCCAGAAGAGGACACAATACTTGTTTGATATTTAAGTTTTGTTTCATTATTTATGATGACGATACAAGTATGACGCGCTTGGGTCGAACATACACGTATCCTATCCATCCAAAGGTGGCAGCAAAGGGTGTGGGAGTGGCTATCTTTCGTCCATTTTTCTCTGCTTAGACCAATATATTCATGATTGATCAAAGGTTCAATTCAATCTTCCAAGACTTTCGTTTCAATGCTGACTCCACATTTCTCCAACCTAGCGACATATTCGTCGCCTAGGATGGCCGGTGTTAAGTAGCCTCCCTTCAGGTCCTTCCCAACTCTTTCACTAGTTATCAAAACCATAGCAGCCTCCGCTATGAGCATTCCAGTCATGGGGTAAGCAGGACCCTGGTATGCAAGTCTGCCCAAAACCCGGATAGGTTTCTTTCCAGGTTCGGCATGCTCAGCCGTCGCGACACCGCGATATTCCACATAATCCCCGACAGTATCCTCCTTTGCGGGACCCTGGCCCGGGTCTGGAAGAAATCTCTTCACCAGCAATCGAATAGGCGGAATCATCAGACATATCGCAGCTAATATGATGCAGAAATGGACTACTAGGCCCATGAAGACATTACGGGCCTTGCCAAATTCCTGGAAATGAAAGTTTTGGTCGTATAAATCTGGCATGAGGGAGCTACTCCGGTGCACGATGGCACTGTCACACGAAGCTGGTAAAGTAGTTGTTACTGTTCCAATGTCCCTCACATAATGGACACCGAAAAGTCTTCGAAGGAGCGGTGTTGATGGAACAGTGGACGGCCTAGAAACTGACAAACGGTACGGATCGTTCATAGCGCGGAAGTCTTTGAATGTCAGGTTTTCAAATGCGGCGAGAATAGACGCTGCGGTTCCACCGCTAATACCTGCACCTCTAAAGAGGAGGTTAGATATTGTCTTTTCTGATCCAGAAAGGTCAACTTGCTTACTTTAGCTCATAGAGAGACAGAATTACTTCCTTCACCTTAACACCAAATTGGGCATTTATCGATTTCGCCATTGACCAGGTTACCAGGTCAGACGGTGCGCTCTCAAAACCATCTGTGGGTATCATCTAACATGATAAAGTCAATAGAGGCCCCTAATATCATATAAAAGATCGAGGCGTTACTGACAATCGCACCCGTCCGTTTGGCAGTTTCATCATATTTGTCAATCATCTCCTGGACCCATGGGATCTCTCCAGTCCTGATTGATGGGCGAAATAGTTAGACATAACGAAGGCATTGGAGAGATGAAGGGGGGGGGCGTTCCCTTACACATCAAGATAATGTGTACCATTATTTGCGCAGGCCTTGACTACCGGAGTCGAGTATTTATGATACGGCCCTACACAATTGATCAAAACTTTTGTCTTCCGTACAAGGGACCCCAGCTCATCGTCGTTGAGTTGGACCGGAAGTATTTCTAAATTCGGGAAAGAGGTCAGTGCCACAAGCATTGGGTATCAGAAACCGTTGGACTTCGTATGTCAGGCCGAGAACATCAGATAGAAATCTCTTATACTTGCCTGGGTCCTTGCGATCAGGCCCATCTCTTTTAAGCTCCGATGCCAGTGCCTCGAGCTTCTGGGCTGATCTTCCTGCGATCCCCCATTTTAAGGTTGTTGGAAGATTTTGAGCGATGTGCTCCGCACAGCACTTCCCAGTGTATCCAGTAGCTCCTAGGACGATAATATCAAGGCTCCTGGATGATGCCATCGTGCTCAATTAGTTATTATCAGAGGGATGTATGTAAATCGAAGAGGCAATTCGGACTTGAGGGAAAATGAAACCTCAAAAGGAATGCAATTCGGGACCGTATATCACAAAAACCAGGAAAGTCAAATGTTTTACGAGGTCCTAAAGGAGCTTCATTGCTGCTTCACGGTCGTCCTACTCAAGACACCGGCGGTATCACCATCAATGATATCAGGATGGGGCAGGGATATAAATCACGTGAGGATCCATGATGATTGTAGCTCGGAAGAATAAATCAGCGATGGCGCCAAGACTCACATCAACCCACTAAGCGAGGCCGCACCACGTCTGGAAATTTGTCGAACTGCACCTCCCTCACACCTCGACCGCAAGATAATCATCGAAAGCGCGACAAAATGACGAAGCGCACAAAGAGTATGTTCACGCTCTTACATTTCCGGGAAGCGCATGATGGCTAATTTGATGATCTACAGAGGTCGGCGTTACCGGTAAATATGGTACCAGGTATGATTCGATTTGCACACCTCCAAACCCGCGAAGACTCCTCCGACGCTTGTGCAGTGAATGATGAAATGAGGGAAAATTTGGAATTGAATTGGGATCACTGACCTGGTTGATTTTCGCTCCATAGATATGGTGCCTCCCTGCGTAAGCAGGTGAAGAAGATGGAAATCTCGCAACACGCCAGATACATCTGCACATTCTGCGGCAAGAACACCGTTAAGAGAAAGGCCGTTGGAATCTGGGAGTGCCGTTCCTGCAAGAAGACTATCGCCGGAGGTGCCTGGACTGTCGCGTAAGTTATATCCCATCAGATGATTGAACTTCAGCCTAGAACTTTTTTGGAAATTTTGGGGCTTTACACAAAAACCGTCGGGGTGAATCGAGGAGCCGTGCTGATACTCCTTCCTTTTACCGCAGAACCCCTGCTGCCGTTGCCACACGATCAACCATCCGTCGTCTTCGTGAAATTGCGGAAGTCTAAATGGGGATATGGCGTTACTGTCTTCTTATGTCTTGTTTGAATTGTCGCATTGAATAATGAATGATGGGGCATTGTCGATAGCTCGAGCAACCTCTTGCGGCTGAGGCTCGCCGATTAGACAACAGAAATACCATTACCTTATGACCCCATCCCCGTTCCGCGATTGCACTTGCAGCCTTCAGTATTTCGTACACATTTTCTCCGTTTATTGGACCGGACATCAAGCAGCCGGTAGGTAGGACAGAAACCGCGTTCGCACCGAAATTTCTTGATGGTCGAAGAGTTTCCCGCAACGTCTGGTTGAGTCATCCGTCAAGCAAACCCAGGCCCGGATTTCCGACGACCTGCAGACGAGAAATAGCCACCCAACAGCCCCCTTTCTGTGGATTCCGGGCTGGTATTTCTGCGAGGCCGGGCGCTGCGGTTTTCTCCCCACCCTCTCCCCCTCCCCTCCCCAGTATGCGCAGCCATGCAACATGTGTCAACGGGGCCAGAAGCCTATTTGTAGAGCGCCAATCACACTGGCGGATCGGCGTTATCCTCTCCAACCTGAAATCGGCTTTGCAGGCCTGTTCTCGTGGTTTGATAGGCTGATCCCAGCTGAGCTAATACTGTCACCATTTGCTGTCACGTTATCCGTGTCTATTCCGTTTCGCGCCTAGCGTCGCGGATTAGCTCAGGTTCAAAAGGCGATCCACGTCCCCCACAACCCCAAGGTTATTTCTCTACTTCACTCTACATCCGTCCTCATTTTCTTAATTAGATCTTCATGCCGCCAAAGAATCTTCTATCGTGTAATCTTGACACTCATCGCATCAACAATGTCCGATACCTGCATTGTGTGCTTAGGAGACCTTGGCGAAGGCGCCAGCGATCCCACTCTCGCCGTCGATTCGCTGCCAAGACCTACCAGCGGTGATGGTATTGCTGAAGATGTCACCGCTCTCTTGTCCCAGACCCCCGACCGAGAATCCCAATATATTGCCCACTTGATCCCCTGTGGCCACAACCTTCATAATGAATGCTTGAAGCCCTGGGTAGAGAGAGCAAACAGCTGTCCAATCTGCAGACAAAAATTCAACGTTGTCGAGCTCGCTGAGCACCTTGGAGGTGAGGCTACCACCCTCTAAAAGGATAATCGCAGTTCCCCTTGAATACCCCGATATGCTAACTGCGCTTCTCATAGGCTCTGTCATCTCATCATATGCGGTCGAAGACCGAGTGCAGGTGGCGGAGATTGATCCGACGTTGATCATTGACGATCTTGTCGACGATTCCGACTCCCAGCCGTGTCCGATATGCGGGGACGACGATAATGAAGATTTGTTACTGCTGTGCGATGGATGCGATACAGCGTCCCATACGTATTGCGTCGGCCTGGACTCCGTTCCATCTGGGCCCTGGTTCTGTTGCCACTGTGAAGGCCACCGGCCACTTCAGTCTGAGCCCTCTCGGCCTCGGAACCGATCTTCACGCCGTACACGCGCCGATGTGAGAAGAACCCGCACTCGCAACCAGATTCAAGCCCTGCACTGGGCGAGAGTCTGGCAGTCGGTTTGGGATCATCTTAATCTTGATCTGGACTTTCCCTTTGACGACGAACAAGCTGCGGACCGAATTATTCAGCAGCGTCGGCGTGAAGCAGCCAACAGAAGAGAATTTCGCACTTGGGAAAGACGATTCAGGCAGCCTGGGCGGACTCCCACAACTACTCGTTTTAGAACAAATGCTTCAGATTTGCTTGAAATAGGTCGAGGGTGGCCATCCAGACCAAGGCAACGGGTGGAAACTCCTGAGCCTGAGTCAATTGATGAAATCAGAGCATGGAACGCATTTGAAAGAGCACGAGAAATCCAAGAAGTTCCTAACTCCAACCGGCGAAAGCGGAAATCCCCTACCGCTTCTCCCGCCGAACCCGAACAACCCCAACCTGAGCGCAGATTAAAACGACCTCGGACCCGAAGACCAGAGGAATTAGCAGAGCTCTTAGAGCGTGGAGAATCTTCCAGAGCGGCAAGGCCTGTCAACTCTGCTGGAAGTCCGTCTACAGAGTCTGGACCAACATTTTTGCAATCACTTTTGAAAGAAGTCGAGGATTCATCCGGCCCTCACCGCATTAATGGCACGCTTCCTAACGCAAACATCCCTGGCCAGTGTGTGGACTCAACCTCACCTGGGCCATCGTCTCCTGCGTTATCACCAGCTTCTTCGAACCGCTCCTCCCCTCATCCATCATCCTACACCAGTCCTCAACTTACCAACGGTCCAACTACTCCTATCTCATCTACGTCTGACGCAGCGCTTTCCTCACCTGAATTTTCTCCCTCATGCTCTCCAGCACGCGATGCTGCTGGGGTAGATCAAACTCGCCTTTCCCGTCAGCTGAGACGGCTCCAACCAAGAAGAGACAACAATGATTCCTCGTCACCATCACGCCTCCGGTCGATAGAATCCTCTCCCACACGCTCCGAACTTTCACTCCATGTTAAGTCCGATCTGCAAAAGATCGTTCGGGCCGCTTTGAAGCCCCATTATCGCAAGCACCTCGTCACGAAAGAAGAATATACTGAAATAAACAAGCGGATATCTCGTATGTTGTACGAATTTGCCGCATCCAAAGAGTCTGGAGACCCCATGGATGCGGAGAGCAAGGCAAGGTGGGCTCATATTGCCAACAACGAGGTGATGAAAGCTGTACAAAGAATCCAAGAACTAAAATCCAACGAAGCAAGCGATAGCAGCGGTGCCGCTTCATCTTGATGGGGTTATCCCATGTTGCAATATACCATGTATTATCATGTTTTTCTACGATGATCCTGTCATAATGCGCTGTCTGCATAGCATGGTGTTCTCTGGTTACAGCGTGGCATATTGCGCGGCTATAAATTTGATTTCAGGCGCCATATGGGTGGTTGGGCATAAAAGGATTTAGTCCACGGCTAGGAGGAAAGGACCCTTGCGTTGTTATTTGTTCTTTCTTCACTGGAAATATCGCTGTTACTCTACATTATCATCCCCGGCCTATAATCAATTTGAATGGTTCCAACCATTAACTTCCAACCTATTTGCAGCGTCCCTGTAGTGAATAGATCTTTTTGATCTCAGCTAAACACTTCGCTACATAGAATTTCGAAAACCCTACGTGGAAGGTATCCAGGGTTGATGGGAATGGGACCATCAAAATCCTCTACTAAGGTGGATGGGAGAACGCGTGTTCCAGTTTTACCCCAGCCGATGGCCGTTCGAGGGGGTGAATACTATAATAAGTATGGAAGGGGATCCTTTTTCTTCAAATTTTCAGCTTGAAAGAAGCACATCACTCGTCATCCGTCTACCAGGCCCCGGCTGCTTTGTTAGGCGCCTGACAAGACACTATATCTCTCTGGTTGGCCACACTGATTCGACGTGGATGATCGGATGAGGGGATTAAGGTTGGCGAGAGTGGCAGATTGCAAGAGTGATCAGCATCAAGCATACTGCTCTCTCAGAAAAAACGTGCCGCAGCCATGCAGATCCAAAATGTTCGTGGCTAACAGTGGGCAAGGCGTTTGTTAACTAGTTTGCTTTGTTTGCACCCACTCCGCACTCCGCATTTGCCGGGGGCCAAGCAAGAAGCTTGATTCCAGCCGTCGATTCGTCTGCTAACAAGGATGCCGAAGCCCATAACGTTATGCTTCGATTCCATCACTCGTGGCACCACTTTCCTGCGGCCCTTGTCGCCAATCGATGCGTATTCCTGCTGGCATGGCCCGGTGCCGTTCCATCCGCTTAGCGCTCGTGAGGCGTCTGGGCAGGTGTCGAACCACGATGCCCAGTGGTAACCTCGGCTTGATGAAGCAATAACGGGGTTGAAGCGATTGTTCGCCCAAGGCTATTATCAATCAGCTCGTTTTAAAAAAAATAGCAATGGCTCTGCTATTGGCTCTACCAAATAATGATCGATGTCATTATTGGTTAGTGATCTCAATTATATCATGCCGTTTTGGATTCGGCTTTAGTACTTTTTGTCCCGGCCTTCAGATAATTATTTATCGTTGTGAAAGTGCTGCAATTGCTTTCTCTTCTTTCTGCTATCTTTTTGGGACTTATTTAACCCCATCATGCCGATTATCGCGATTGCTCAATTGTATTAGGACTACGAATTTTGACGTAGGCCACGTTTCCCTCTTCAACGCCGTTGGAACTCCAAGACGCTCGGCGAGTCAAGCTTTTCTGTATGCCTGTTAAACCTTCTCTGTCAAAGCATATGTCAGGATGGATGCTGAGAAGCATCCACCATCGGAGCCGCCGCTTGAATCTGGTTCTACAACGCCACTTCAACACGTCTCCGGCCGTACTCCTCGCAGCGCAACTTCAGACGATAGCATAGGCAGTGATGCCACCGAAACTGAAGGCGGAATTCCGCAGGAACTTCCGTCATTGAAAACTCCCAAACACATTCAATACAACACAGATCTCGAGAAGGGCCCGGGCGGCTCTCAGTCTGAAAATTTACAGGCGGCCGTTCAACATGTAGACTCAAATCTGGTGGACTGGGACGGACCGTCAGACCCGGAGAACCCCATGAATTGGGGCCTCGCGAAGAAATGGTACATAACCATGATGATGTCGGCAATGACGTTTTGCATCACGTTTTCCAGCAGTGTGTTCAGTCAGGCAACTGCTGTCACAGCGAAGGTTTATGGCGTTTCGACAGAAGTAACCACATTGGCAACGAGCTTTGTTGTTTTGGTGAGTCTTGTGGACCGACATCTCCGGCTAGGATATCAATTTACCGCTAACATGCTTTGAAAGGGATTCGCACTTGGCCCGCTGGTATTCGGGCCGCTCTCTGAGCTGTACGGTCGCCCAAGACCTCTTTTTGTTGGGTTTATTATCTCTGCAATATTCCAGATTCCTGTAGCTGTTGCTCAGAATATAGAGACGATATTGATATGCCGGTTTTTTATTGGAATGTTTGGCTCTGCAGCCATGGCGATTGTGGGCGGAGTTCTCGTGGATCTATGGGATCCCGTTAGTCGAGGAATAGCTGGCGCTACATTTGCCTCGTCTACGTTTATTGGTCCGATAGCAGGACCTATTGTTGGCGGGTTTATTGTCCATTCGCACCTTGGATGGCGCTGGACCGCCTGGATCACGCTCATCTTAAAAGCCGTCATAGGCTGCATTTGTGTGCTCACGATACCTGAAACCTTCGGCCCATTGTTATTGCAGCGCCGCGCTGCTCGTCTTCGAAAGGAGACTGGCAACCCGGCCCTTCGCACGGCCCTCGATGACGCCCGCCCCACGATGCAAGACATCTTTTCAAAATACTTTAGTCGTCCGTTGAAAATGCTCGTACTGGAACCCATCCTCCTGCTAATCACTCTCTATCTTGCGATCACATATGGAATCCTTTACCTCTTCTTCTTCGCCTACCCAATCTCGTTCCAAGAAGTTCGTGGCTGGAAACACCCTGGCGTCGCTGCGCTACCGTTCATAGGACTCTTCATTGGGATCCTCGCTGGCTGTATGTTTGTCGTTTACTTCACGAGAACACGCTTCGCGCGTAAGATGCGAGAAGCAGGATCCGTTGTGCCCGAAGAGCGTCTCCCGCCAATGATCGCGGCCGCCTTTATTCTTCCTGCAGGCCTCTTCTGGTTCTCATGGACCTCCTCTCCTACAATTTCCTGGGTTCCGCAAGTGATTTCTGGGATACCCACTGGCTTCGGAATAATCGTTATCTTCTTACAGGGGCTCAATTATCTTACGGATATATATATGATGTTCACGAATTCTGCGTTTGCGGCCAACACGCTTGTTCGGAGCGGGTTCGGCGCCGCGTTCCCGCTGTTTGCGGCGCAGATGTTCCATAAGCTAGGTGTCCGGTGGGCAGGCAGTCTTTTGGGGTTTTTGACCGTGGCCATGATTCCGGTGCCGATGCTGTTTTATGTGTACGGGAATAAAATCAGGGCGATGAGTCGGTTCAGCCCAAAGTTATAGAACGAAGTACATAATAGCATAGTTCATAATATATCGCATTGAATCACAAGCATTGCAGCATACACTGAAGCTCCCCTTTTTCCTGGTTCGCTGATCGTTGAGGAGGATATCTGTGTTATGTAATCAAGCCCGTGTGGTTAGTTAATTATCTCCACGTGACAGTATGGGCAGCTAAGCCCGATCTGGCAGAAAGTGGATACCTTGGCCACGCTGCGACGCGTGAGGGGAGATTAGCTCAGCGCCAGGTCGCGCTTCAGTCGAGAAAATAACAGATTCGCAGGCCGTTGTGAGGCTTCCGTGACGGTTTTTGCTCCGTCACATAACGCTTGAAACTCCAGGCTGCAGGCCCACCTGTCAGAGCTCGAGTCGATCCGCCAGCTTTTCTCAACGCATACGCACGTTCAGTGGATGGCACTCAGCTTCAACACGCTGAATCCTAAAGGGCAACGCGGTTTTGGAATTGGCCCCGTGGTGGATGCTGCGATTGAGCAAGGGTAGGGCTGCGAATTAAAGATGCCGTCGCGCAATCGGCAAGCGCATTCATCCGCAACAGAGGCAGTGGAGGAGGAACAGACCGGTCTTCGTCGACTCCGCTTCAACGAGCCGATCTCATGGCGGGCAGGCAGACAGATTCTCGTGGCGGATTTGCTTCGGCGACTGGAATCTCTCGCTGCTGAGCTGCGGGAGCTCGACCAGGAAGATACGGATAGAGATTCGTTGACAAAGGTCTCACAGGACCTGGCGAGCGGACATCTTCTCGGACACAGAGATAAAGGCGTCAGAGCCTGGACAGCATGCTGTGTGGTGGACATATTGCGCTTATGCGCGCCGGATGCGCCGTTCACTGCGAACCAATTGAAAGTAGGACTCTTCTCCCGACATAGGTCAAGTTATCAGGAGGCGTTCCCAGCTGATGAATGCCTTGTGGAAAAAAATAGGATATTTTCACCATGATCGTCACTTCTATAATACCCGCTCTTGCAAATCCGTCCAATGCCTATAATGACCAGCATGTCTACGTTCTATCATCGCTAGCCGAGGTCAAAAGCATCATTTTGTTGACCGACCTTGATGCGCCTGATACGTTGATCCTCCCGCTCTTCTCGTCTTGCTTCGATATCGTCTCTGGATCGTCGAAGGCTTCCACTGGTGAACCTTTAGCGAAGAACGTGGAGTACGACATGATACGGCTTCTAGTGCCCGTTATTGATGAAGCATCCAGCCTTGCCCCAGAAGTGGTGGATGCGATTATTGCCCAATTTCTTCGTGTCGATCCACGACTTCTGGATGGTTCCGGAAATTCCAAAAGTAAAAAAGATGCCGTGGTTGATACGAAGCAGGCAACCTTATTGATGAAGGATTATCCTCCGGCATATAATATGGCAAAGGCGATATGCAACGCATGTCCTGAAAAGATGACGAGCTATGTTAGTCAATATTTCAATAACGTTATTATCGATGCGTCGGAATCAACGTCCAATGGACACTCAAAGCGCCATCGTCATATTGATCTTGGCGATTCCGACGAGGAGGGAGAAAATGTTAAAGAATTAGACAAGGCACATCGGTTGATACGGGAATTATGGCGTGCTTGTCCAGATGTTTTGCAAAACGTGATACCCCAGCTGGAAGCAGAGCTTTCTGCGGAGTCGATGTCCCTTCGATTGCTTGCGACACGGACAATCGGCGATCTAGCTTCTGGTATCGGCGTGGCAGGACCGCCTCCGCCTGCGTCCATGGATCCAGCTGCATACCCTCCAACGTCACTTAATAGCGAATCTGGATCTGAAATTTCGACTTCCTCGAATGCATTATTAACGCCTTTGTCTCCCAGGCCTTTTTCGCAAGCCCATTCTGCCGCATATGAAAGCTTCCTAACCCGACGACATGATAAGTCCGCATCAGTGCGTGCTGCCTGGGCCACTGCGATTGGGCGGATTTTACTCACTTCTGCCGGTGGCTCGGGTTTGAGCGATGACGAGGAGAAAGACTTGATGGAAGGGCTTAAAAGGATGCTAGTAGACGCCGACGAGAAGGTTAGGATTGCAGCTGTGAAAGTTCTTGGAACTTTCTCCTTCCCCAACGTGATCAGAAAGCTTGGTATAGACGGCGGGCTCTCGGAATCGGACTCCCTTCTCTCCACTTTGGCCGAACGGGTGAAAGATCGAAAACATGCGGTTCGTCAACATGCTATGACCATTCTCGGAACAATGTGGGCCGTAGCCGCGGGGGAGATTGAGGTGAATAATGAGCTGGTTGTCCCCATCCTCAAAGACGCTCCGTCAAGGATACTCGAAGCTTATTACACTAATATCAATGAAGTCCACGTTCTTCTTGATCACGTCATATTCGAAATCTTACTTCCCCTGACCTATCCTCCGCTTAAAATGAAACGCTCGAAAACCGAGTCAAGCCAGTCGCGAAAAGCAAAATCCGCCGAAGAAGAGCAAATTGACCCAGAGGCCATACGTGTCCGCCGAATCTTGACCTTGGCGAAGAATTTAGACGAAAAGGCGAAGACAGTACTCTTTGCTCTTCAAGGTCGACAATTGAATATGAGGACCTTTGTGAGCTTCTATCTACAAGCCTGCGAGGAATATAATGTGAGCTTTACCCTTTTCTTAACCGACGTTGATCAGTGCTCACTAACTCTACGTAGGGAGGCGTGATGGATAGCAACGAAGATGCGATTAAGATCAGGTTGACGAAGGTTATTGATTCTTTATCGAAGACTTTCCCTGACTCCTCGCTTGTATCGGCCGATCTGTGGAAATTTGCAAAAATGCATGATCGCCGCAGTTATCAGCTTATACGTTTTGCCATGGCTGCTACATCGGACTACCGAACTGTGACCAAAGCCATTAGAGAGCTAACAAGTCGTATCCAATCAAACACCTCGGCCACTTCATCCATGCTTGGAAACCTTCTTCCGTTGGTCTATCGGAGTAGCTCCTTGATCTTCAACCGAAGCCATGTACCCGCCACGATGAAAATATCGAGAACTGACGAGTTGGGATTGGGAAATATAGCACACGAGATGTTACGAGAGATTTCGTCACATAATCCGGAGGTGCTTGAAGCACATGTACAGGAAATGTGCAAAGATTTAGAATCCCATGCTCCTACAGCTAATCTCCCAGACGACCCAGGTGTGGAGGAGATCCTAAAAGCTTGTGCGGGGTTTGCGAAGAAACTCCCGAATAAGCTACCAAAGGAACGAAAGTTCTTAACTGCACTGTCAAACTATGCGTTATACAGCTCATATCCTCATGCGGCTAAAAATGCGGTTACGATTCTCATGGCCGCTGCGGAGAGGAAGGAGATGTACGCTAGGGATCTGATCAAAAAAAGCATCCACGGATGTTCATACGGCTCTGAACACTTCCTTACCAAACTTGCTACGATCTCACAGCTAAACCTCCTTGTCCCACGAGAAGTTGATGAAGAAGGGGATACGGTCCTCGATATTGCGACCAAGCAGATCCTGCTCGCTAACCTTAATCCTGAACCGGATTCGGAATATGCATGGTCTGCCACGCTGGATGAAGAGACCTCAGCGAAAGAATGGGCGCTCAAAATCCTTGTGAACCGGATCCGGTCAAAAGAAATCTCCGAAGAAGATGAAAGCCACTTTCGGGAATATGCCCAACCTGTATATACTATTCTCCAAACCCTCATTGCGAACTGGGGTGAGCTCTCTAAAGCGAGAGATACCCGTGCGTCTCAGAAGTCAAGGCTTCGCCTTCTGGCTGCGAAATCCGTTCTTAAATTATGCGCAGCTCGCCCCCTGTGCGATCGGATGCTTACTGCCGCCCATTTTAACTCGCTTGCCCTAGTTGCCATGGATCCCCTGTTAGAAGTGAGATCTGAATTTATATCCCAGCTGAAAAAGAAACTGGTGCAACCACCGCATCTTTCTCCTCGTTGGTATACTATCACATTTTTACTAGCGTTTGAGCCAGTTACCAGCTTGTATGATAGCACCTTGACCTGGCTCCGGTCCCGCACTGCATTCTTCTCTCGACAAGTCCAAGGCAAATCTTCAGAACAGCAGACACTAATGGAGTCTCTCTTTGCACGCCTCCTGTCTCTCCTTGCCCATCATCCTGATTATCCACCTGAGGACTCCGATGAGTCGACTAAAGCTAAGGACTTACTCGATTTCACACGCTATATCCTATTTTACCTTACTGCAGTTGCAAACGAAAACAATCTTTCTTTAATTTTCCACATTGCCCAACGCGTGAAGCAGACGCGAGATGCAATATCGGAGACTGAGTCGGATGTGATATCCACCAGACTTCATACGTTGTCCGATCTTTCACAAGCCACAATACGCCGCTTTGCAGAGGTATATTCCCAACAGCACAAGATTGGCGGCAGCAGCGGAAGTGGAGCTGCAAATATCCTACAGACTTATCCAGGCAAGATGAGACTTCCCGGTTCTTTATTTACTACACTCAGCAGCCATCGCGAGGCTCAGGAGATCGCCACGAAAAATTTCCTGCCGCAAGAAGTCGACGAGCGCTTAGATAAGAAAGTTCGAGATTTTATGAGGCCTAAAACGCACGCAGGCAGAAAACGGAAAGTTGAGCTAGGACATGGCGGCAAAAGCCGCGACGAAGCAATGGGATCTGCTAAGAAGCCACGCAGGGAGAAAAGTAGCCGGAGAAAGTCATCTTCTGGAACAGCCGGAGCTAAGCCTACCAAACGGAGAAAAGCAGATGAAGATGATTGGGAGAGTGACGGCGGAGAGACTCGCAAGAAATATTCCGGCTCCTCTTTTTCTGCTGCTCGACGACGAAGTGGTCGCGGATTAACGAAGACGGATATCAATTATGCCGAAGAAGATAGTGATGAGGCTGATAAGGAGATGGAAAAATGGAATACAAGCCATGGTCGGAAGGAAAAGGTGGAAAATAACTATGACTCTCCCGATTCAGATGATGAAGAGCAGCTGTCCGAGCTTTCTTCCAACAATAGCGATAAGGGAACACCGCCATCAGACGAGGAGCCCGGCGAAGACGCTGATATGAGCGGCGTCGAGAAGTCGTCTACACCGCCTCCCCAGGCTCGAAGAAGCTCCAGGTCTAAAATTTCGCTGTCCCCCGTCGTCCCAAAAGCCGGGAGGGGCAGGCCACCAAAGTCAAGACCGAAGGAAGTGGAAGAAAATTCAGCGAAGAAAACTACAGGGGGTAGAGTGACACGTCGAGGTCGTTGAAGCGTGATAATTTCCTATATAATCCACCGTTGACTATATACGTGGTAGCTTCCTGGCAGCAAAGCCTTGTGTTTCCCTTTTCTACGTGTTCCACCCCGAAACTATTTGATGTATATGTGCCTTATTTCCCAGTGATTCTCATCTTCACTTTGATTTTAGGGTCGATTTTTCACTACGAGTGAGTAGTTATGCGACTTGAACAGTCTCCCTTCCGTCGACTAGCTAGTCAGTTCTGAGGTTCTTCAAGTGCAAATCTAGCGGTTCATGTATGATGTTAGCAGCCTTTACAGATTAAATATGACCCTGTGTTTTCCCTATGCCTACGATGCGCGAAGCTTGTGGGAAGATTCGAGTTAGCCAACGGTGGGTTCTGAGAGCATGCAAGTAAATATTGCCTGTGCTGCAATTCAATTCTTTCAGGGCAGGTTAATCTTCATCGGTATAGCGGGTCATGAAGGGACCAGCGCTTCAAACATAGACTTGCAACATTCCGTCCACGCTCAAACACGGACGAATAACTGTTTGATGATTCTCAGGGCAATATCACCGGAATGAAACAACTGGTGGAACGCATTCTCAATGTGTGTTTGGAGGAAGTCCCCTGGTCGTGAAGGGTACAGGAATGCTGGAGCCAGACGGTTCGTATTCTGCTCCTTGTGGATAGTTATTTGCACAAAGTAGTCTTTATAATATCCAATAAAATTCAAATGGAAATATTTGGTTGTCATTGCTGAAAAAATGTCTATTCAATCCAAGAGATGCTCGCTTTCATGAACACAGGTATATACATACCAATCTATACCCTCCCCCAAAACTCCATAATGTACCCTATCAGGCTTGAAACTCTGATGTACCCAATGAACAAAAATTCCGAGTCGCGTTTATAACTGGGAAAATGATCACAGGAATGTAATATAAAGCGTTGTTTAAAGCCTCCAGGGCTAGGGAGTCAACTTTGACCTCCCTGCTTCGTCTTGTTATTTCCCTTGCACCATGTTCCGATGGCCCTGTCCTTCTCTATCTTTGATGCCTAAGGTATGTAATAAGGATGGGTATTCGAGCCTATACCATTCGTCGCATTGGGGAGACAAGAGTGATCGTCAGAAGTTCGACATCGGGAAATGACCACCTTCTATCGTCATAACCAGGTGCCAATAGCTATAATAAGCGCGGATCATTCGATGTGTTGTTCTGTCATATGTTCCCGTTCCATATTCTCCAAAGCTTGAGTCAGTCCTTCAATCATCTTCTTCGCCGCCGCCTCATGGCTAGCCAGACTGTTCCGTCTTGAAGGCGGTGCCCAGGTACCCATGGGCGACAGCTCTGACACCATTGACCTGGGCCTGTCCGACATGGCGGCGGGAATCGAATACGCAGCCAGCCTTTTCAAATGCTCCTCATCGAAAGGGCCACGGTACTTTGAGCGCGGTACCTCGTGGGGCTTGTATAGCTCGATAATGGGATTCCCGTCCTTTCCTACCCTCGGCTTCACTTTGACCGTCTTGACTCCCGCCAGAACTACAGTTGTAGCCTTGGGTTTGGAAGGATGGGGACACGAAGACGGGGAGTTGGAGTTGGAGGAGCCGGAGGTTGTTCGGGAGAAGACCCGTTTCATCTTTTCGCGGATCGGCATCGTTGCCCGCCGAATAGCTAGATTGGAAAGTATCTTGTTATATATTAAAGAAATCTTAAGAAAGAAGAAAGCAGGGGCGGATCTGCCGATCAGCCGTGCAAAAGAAGGCCGCAAAAGCGGTAGTGTACCCGACACAAGCGATAGTTGATTGCAGAGGTTAATACCAAGCGGAAAGACGACGAGCATCCAGGGAATCGTCGCATCTCTCCCCAGAACGTATGAGATTAGCCAGGTATCCCCGTAAAGAAAGAGAAGGCGGGAGAATCTTCCAATTCAGCCGCGCCTGGGACGGGAAAAGGAGCAAGAAGACAAGGTCGTTGGAAAGGGAAAAACTAAGGGATGTTGAGGTGACCATCCCAACTGTCTTACCTTGGGAGGCAACAGTTCATTGGGACCTTTCGCCGTCTTTTCCGGGGAAAGCCCATGGCCCGCCGTTGCGTCTCCCACCCTTTTTAACGCAATAAAACCTTGTACTCCACACCGAATCATATCTCTCGCATAGGGCGGAATGCAACCTGGCTTGACTCCATGGTTACAGAGGTGAGAAAGGGAGCGGCTTAGCACCCTCCGACCCGAGAAGCACGGACTCAAGAAAAATAGCGAGCTTTTTTGTGGTTTTGGAGGGATATATATCACCTGGGTAATGAGGCGGAAAGTGACTAAAGTGCGCCGTCGAAAGTAACACCCGCGTCCAAGAGACCCAATTGATATCTGTCATTTGTCGGCCTCAAATGCCTCATTAGAAGTCGCACACGAAGATCATGGGCCAAATATCACAGCGAAGCTCTAATACTGCGCCATCTCGACGGCTGATCGAGAACATTGTTGGAGAAATTGAAGAAAACTGAAGTCGAATGTGTTCACTTTTTTTTTTTCCCAAAATATTTGGCAAATGCCTTTTCATTGCCGCTCGGTCTCCGCAAACCCAAAATCAAAACCAAAATCTAATCATACAAAGGGCCCAGAAAGGACATGGCATATCATCATCATTCACAGCCACCAAGCTCAAATCCGAAAAAAAAAAAAAAAACCGAACAAACCCATCCTTCAAATTAATATCCCGTATGCTCCAGATGGATAAAGTAGGGGGCGCGAGGAGTAGAGAAGTAGGATCAAACCTATACAAGACCGGGAATTGTTACACTCCGAGTCCTTGGACTTCGACCATTGTGTGAGAGCGGGGAGCGCAAGCGCATACCCATCCCTGCCACGCAGCTTCTCTTGCGAGATGGGTGACGACGAAAGACGGGTACAACAACTTTGCTCGCCAACAACGCCCACATCAACGAAACGAAATGCAGAGGGAAAGGGAGGGGGCAGGAGGGTGAAGGAGCGGGAAGAAGGGAAGCGGACGACCGAGCAGGCGAAAAAATAAAACAAAATAAAATCAAAAAAGCAACCAGAACAGGATGCCAATAGGCAGACAAAACGGTAGACAGCGGGCAAAAGCCCGTACAAAATCCCAGCGCCGTCTATACCTTTTTTGTTTTGTGTGCAAACAACCGTAAAACAATCATAATCCTGTAGTAAACCCAAGCAAAACCGCTTTCAAAGGAAAAAAAAAAAGGATAAACAAAACCCAAGCTCGACCCAATGCACCGACCGCCATGCAAAAAAAAAAAAAAAAAGGGAAAAAAGGAAAAAAAAAAAAAGGAAGAAAGAGAGAAAGGAAAGGGAAGGAAAAAAGAGAGAAAACCAAAGAAAATCCAAATCCTTTTGAAACCGAAATATATTTTGAATCGTTTTGCTGTCACCGACAAACCCAATCCCGGCGAGAACCAAGTCCTGGGAACACAACTGCCCCTGATCAGTTGTGGATTTGCCGTCTAGCAAAACGAGCAACCAAATCAGCCAAAGCCGCTAACCCGCGCGCACCGCTCATTCAGCACGTCAAACGGTATGATTCGAGGACGTCAAGTAGTTACGATCGCGGCACTCGAAAACAGACCAGACGACAGAATATGAACTTCGATTCTTCGCGACCATGTAGATGTAACTATCGACCAGCTCGACATCATACGGAGAGAATTGATAGTCGGACAAGTATGCGCAAGCATCTGACAACTGAGTTATTGATCCCGCCAATTGACCTCCCTCTTGGTTAGGTCCGTAGCTAAAGCTCCGGAGAGGGGAATTAGTTGGTAACATCAGTCGACGAAGTCGCAGCCAGTTCACAGAGGCGCTGGCTGATCAGACCTTGGAGAGATTGAAGGAGGTCAACCTCACTTGTCGCGTTGCGGATCGTCTCCGGCGAGTCCGCAACAAGCTGAGACACCAGCTGCCCTACCCGGCTAGAAGCTGGTTGAGGTTCTGCCATTACCAGAAGGGCCATGGCACCCTCGCGCTCTTCGGGACGAAGATTGGCCAACACAGAATCTGCATTGGCAACCTCGCTCGAGGATCCGGGTGTCCCCCCAGCGGGGACCAGTAGGGCCCGGGCTTGTTCCTCGGCTGCCTTCATGGCTTTGAGCGCTTTGTCCTCAGCGTATTCCCGTTTGACATGCTGAATGAAATTTTGGATGAGGCCGCGCTCGCTCACCCGGTAACTCTTTCCATAAAACTCTTGTTCATGGAAATTGTCGATCTCGTAGCTTGGCGGGAGAAGCTCAAGATCCTCATGCTCATGGTGGCGGCGGCGTCGACGAAGTCGAACACCACCGAGTGCGTGGAGCATGTTGTCCAGGTGGTTGGGACACTTCCAGTAATGCCGTGGATTGCTGCTCCCGCTGAATTGCAGGGGGGGATGTGTGTAATTCTCATCCAGGCAGTCGAGATGCCAGTACAGGGAGCAATGATCGCACTTCATGATTTGTCGCTCACCGTCCAGGTTGGCTCGGTGGCATTTCGCGCAGAAAATTAGCTTCCCTTTGGCATCCCGCTCGACAAAGACCTCGGGGCGGCGCTCCTCCTTTTGCTTAGGATTGAGCTCGCTGACTCCCTCAGTCACTGTCGGTGGAAGTCTCTCCTCCCGAAGAAGTTGGTACGATCCGTCTGGTGCGGTGTGTACCTCTGCGAACTCCTCGCGGATCTCGGTCGGCACCTCGTAGCGTGCGCGGGGAATGGATCCCATCGCCGCTTCAAACACCGCCCCAGGACCCTTTTCTTCGCAGGTGGTGCAGAACCACCGACCTGCCGGCGGGAAATTGGCATCCAGAGGCGGGTTGAGGCAGCCGAAATGGAATGAATCCACGCACCCGTCACAACACAAGAGGTTGCCTGTACCGTTGCACACACGGCAGAAATCGATGTTATCGACCTCTTCCGCATGCGCACGCGATCTGCGAGTTTCATCAGACCCCACAGAAATGACATCGTCGTCCTCAGGGAGACGCACAACCCGCCGGGGAGGCTGAGGCTGTGGTACAATTTGAGTCCGGACGTCGCTTTCGCGGACATGATATCCGGGGAACTCCTCCTTCAGAAGCTTACTCTTCTTGGCTGCAAGTGCCACAAGCTCAGGATCTTCGGGTCTTCTCTTGCGGCCGCGGCCGCTGAGAACGGGAGCCACCCCGGAACCTGTTGATGCAGCCTGTTCCGACCCCACATTCTCGGATTCGGCGGCTTGCGCCACCTCCTCTGATACTGGAACCGGAACATCAGCTGGCTCTGAACTTGCAGCGGCCAAGGCTTCAGCCTCCAAAGACTTGGCGGTCGAGAGTGAAGATGTTGAATCTTCACGTCCCAGAGCGGCGGCGGCGGTGGTGGCGGCGGGTTTTTCGGCTTTAGCTTTCTTGACGGCATCCCGCAGTGCAGTTTGAAACACGGACATGTTGTCGGTAGTTGGCTCGGCGACAACATTGTCCATGATCTTCAAGAGAAATGGATCTGTGCCTGAGGCATCCAGCATCCAACGAAGTCCCTCCGCGACTTTGGTGTCCTGAGACGCCTCAGCTCGCGAGATAGCTGACCCGAGGACTTCGTTAAATCTCTCTCGGCTGCATTTGAGATCGACCGGGATGGACGGCGCCGTCGATGAATTGACTGGCTCAGCACCGTTGGTGTCAAGATTGCTGCCGGATGCCGAACGAGTCTGTCGGGCATCATGCTCATTATCTCCGGTAATATTTTCATCGGCTTGGTGGGTGGGTGTGTCTTCTGGTGTCGTTGATTCTTGAGCAGATGTGGAAGCAGCTGTCGACTCGTTGATAGCCTGCTCGACGGCTTGAGCGGCTTTGGCTGATTTGGTTGTGTTGGTAGATTTCTTCGATTTCTTTCTCGACCATCTCGACTTCGCAACTCGGCCTCGCTTTGACTTGGGTTTCTTCTTTGGAGCTGGTTTTGGGGCTGGCTTCGGGGTACTGACGGGTTCTTCATCCTCGAGCAGTTTTGCAATTTTGAGGTTGGAGCGTGTGGGACGGGCACCAAGTGCGAATTGACTCTGGAAGATGCCACCACGCTGCCATCCAGCGTCCACAAAGCTAGGTCTCAGCTTGGCCTCTGGAGGTTCTTTCCAGGTTGACTTTGGCAAGTACCAGTTATTTTCCTGGCAGGGAGGTCCGTTTCGTTCATGGAGGGGAGGGATTATAATGTTGCGAAGGGCAGGCTGCTGGGGCGCGGCATCCTGGGAGGCTTGCTGCTGTGTAGATTCTTGATCGGCCTGTGAAGGGCCAACTCTGGTCTTTCTCTGCCTCTGCCGTGTTGGCTCTTCGGAGTCAACGGGGACACTTGTGTTTGCGCCTGTTTTACGCTGTTTTTTAGGACGGGAGTTCTCGGAGCCGGCAGCAGTAGTATTGTTTTGCGGCGCATCGAGAGGGGTTGAAGGGCGAGAGGATCCTTGAGTAGCAGCACGAGTGCGAGATCGAAGTTGAGGAGCCATTGCGATTGAACGAAGCTCTTCTGCAGCTTGCGATATTTAATCTGCGCGCAGTTAGCTCAGGGCACTCAAATAGAACGATGCAGAGGCACTTACTAAAAGTAAAATCACAAGCTGACAATGGACACACCACGCGTTGTTGTCGTGAGAACGATTGGGCCGCGTGTGGTTGTGGCCGTTGGCGGGAGTTGAGAAGTTTTGAAAGGGAGAAAATGAAGATGGCGGATTTGAGGGAGCTTTGGGGTCAAACTCCTCGCCGGAAAAAGGGACTGTCCACAAACACACCGAGTCGACCGCACAACGGGAAGTTTAAAGAAAAAAAAAAATCGCTGCTTTGACTTGAAAGGTCGTAGAATCGATCGGTTTTGACGCGGAAATGCGTTTTGATTATACAGATACTCGGATTTTCGAGAATCTGTTGGAAAAAAGGATGCAGAACGAGTGGTTCAGGGGCTGTGAGATCGAGAAGTGAATGAAGGAGAATGACGCGAGTGAAGTAGGCAAAAATTAGCTTAAACGATTCTTCTTGTGCAGGAGATATTCTCTACGCAGAGAGATCGCGCGAGGTTGATGGTGGAGTGTGAGGATTTGGAGGTAAAAATCGATGAAGATGAAGTGATGATGAGCCAAACTGCGTGCCACTTGGGTCAGGAGTGACGCGAGTAGAAAAGAGTGAGAAGACGCCGAAACGATCCCTCGTCACTGAAAAAAATAATCTTTAAGTAGAGAGATGGAGGTGAATTTAAAGGTAGAATGTGAGAAGTTAGAGGTAAGGATCGATGAATATAAAGACGTAATGAGCCGAAGAGGAGTTACTTGTGTCAGGAGTGACAGATAATAAAGAAGAGTGAGAATGCGGCGAGACGATTCTTGACGAGCCGGAAATGGTCTCTATGAAGAGAGATGAAGTGAATATGAAGGTAGAAAAGTGACGAGAATCGGTGAAGATGAAGGAGTGGAAGGCGTCGAAGAGAGAGTTGTTTAGTAAGAGAACTTGATAGCAAAGCAGAGTAGATGAACCGTGATGGATAAACGCTTTTGAAGCAGTAGATTTGAGCGTGATGAAGCTATTTGTGCGATGTGAAAGCGTGGAGGGAGGAAAGGTGGAAAGGAAGAAAGAGAGAGAGAGGGGGGGAGAGAGCGGAGAGGAAGGGAGGTTTTATATCGCCAGGAGGAGTCTCCAGATCAACCAGCAGAGATTTCGGTTGCTAGGCGGGAAGGACAAAGAAACATAAACAGTCTCGCGGAGAGCTCCGTGGCATCGGGTTGCAAGTGAGAGCTGGACGCGCTGAATTTGTATGGCGTCTGCTCACTTGGGACTTCCAGGCATCTGTTGAACCCCCCAAAACAGGCGGAGACTCCCGGCCATCCTCTCTGCCTTCGAGGGCTTTGTGTTCCTTTCACGGCTCCCAACTGGCCCTGATCTCTCGAGTGAAAGTCTATCTACCGTTTCCCGATGTCCTGGTGCTAGCATTTTAATCGAAGGGACGGGGTATTGCTAGAGAAGACCTGGCCAGGCAAGGCGCACAATCATATTCATTTGCTCGAGTAAGGCACGTAGCTATTTAACAGTGTCTCCTGATCCGCAGCTATCCATCCAAGTCCTGCCATCAAGGTACAGATCGCTGTAGAACCATTTTGAAAATCAAGAGAGTCCCAAGTAGACAGATCCCTAAGCGAACAGACACCAGGTCACCACACAGTACCGAGTCCAGCTGCCACAGAACGGAAACATCCTGAAAAAAAAAGAAAAAAAAAAAATGAAAAAGGGGAAAAGGTAGAGTTGAGTGCGTTTACTCCTCCTCGCTCGAAGACTCTTCAGCATCTTCGGCCTGCTTCTTAGCGGGCTTCTTCTTCTTCTTCTTGTTTTTGCCTTTGGCGCCTGTGGATTTGGCAAGGGGTTTCTCGAGGATCTTCAGGATTTCTTCATCTGTAATCTTCTTGTCGGATTCGACCTTGGAGAGGTCGAGTGGAGGAGGGGCGGCCAGCCGGGTCATGCCGTTCTTGAGAATGGCTAAAAAGTTGAAAAGGTCAGGGGAAAATCCACAAAGACAAAGAGTCACATCCAGCTGCGGGCTTCATTCTGACAGCGGTGTTTCGCACAGGGATACGGGGTCACATACCAACAGTCGTGAGCAGTCGAGAAACCGGAGCACCGTCGGCCTCTCCAGCGGGATCGTACTGGCGAACAACTCCACCACGGACACACTCGACCACACCGACCTTGCCGGCCTTCTCATCGTCAAGCTGACGGAGACTGAACGGGAAGGTACCGAACTTCCTGACAATCTCAGATAGAGTCTGTCTGGAGCTTGGTCGCTTCAGGATATAAGTGGTGGTGGTACGACGATGCAGCGTGGCTCTGTGCTCGAGGGTCTTGACTTTGCCAGATCCAAGACTGAGTCCAACCTCAACGCCCCACACTTCGGGGACCTCGGGGCTCCCCTCTCCCTTCACGCCTGCACCGGGTGCAACGATGATCTTCTTCTTTCCCTCGATTTCATTGTGCTCAAAGAGCCAAGTGGTGGTGTTCTCGACCACGTTGCAGTCATAGCTCTTCGCCACTTTCTCTAGCAGAGTGGAGATCTTTGCTTGAGTGGGGGGCTTTTCAGCTGCGGCTTTCTTCTTTTCTTCCTCTGTGCCAGTCGCCAAAAGGCCCGGAGGGACCATGAGTCTGAGAAGAAGCTCATTAGCGTAGTAGGTAGCTAAGAGCAAGTCTGCCTCACGGCCGGTGATCTTCTCCTTGGGACCACTGGCGGATGGGACGATGATGGTATCACAAACAATGGTTCCAAAACCATCGATTTGGGCGCCCAGTTGGATCTTCACAACCTCGCCCTCTTTCAATGTTGTCGCAGCTTCCTCCGCATCGGACGCCAAGGGAGTATATGGTGTCACATACGAACTCGGAGAAACCGTAGTTGGGTGGGAGATACCTGAGATAGGATATTATTACAGGACCACGACGAAAAGAAGCAGGGTTAGATGACGGTATGAATGTCTGGAGAGCTGCAAACCGTGGCAGAACCAGGCGAGCCGTACGGACCTTTCGGGACCTTTTTGCCCTTGTAGACCTTGCTCACTTCCTCATCCAGGAGCTTATCACCCTTCTCGCACAGCTCCAGGATCTTTGCGCCCTCAACGCACCATCCTGTATTCAGTGTCAGCTTTGCATCCGGCTTGAGTCAGAGGTCCCATCGCGTCTTATCCCTCAACGTGTACACGACTGTGACTAGGGAGGATCCGGGGATGGAGAAGACGGCACCTGTGACGGCCTCGAGGACTTTGTGAGAGATCTGGGCGGCAGTCTTGTACTTGGTTAGGGTGTCGGGGTTGTTAAGGGTGTAATCTATCGCGATTTTCGGTCAGCTTTTCTGGTCGACTCAAGAGCACACGACAACGTCCCCTCTGCTTGGACCCATAGCAAAGGTTCGAACGGCGGGGATATATAGTGGCAGCCCAGAAAATTAAAGCAAAGGAACGACAGCAAAGAAGGCGGCTGCCAAACCCACGAATGTCGGACAAAGCAATGTGCTCGATTTAATTTTTTGACTACGGCCACGAGACGGAGCAGAACTCACCAACTTCAGCTGATTCGGCCATTTTGGATCTTCAGGTGGTGAGCGATGGCGGACGTTTTTCGCCAAAGCTGCAGCAGCGAGAGCAATAAATTCCAATTGAAGTGTTTGGCGGAACCACGCTGTGGACGTGAGTCGTGTGAGCTTTTTTCAAAGGCCTAGGGGACGTCAGGCCGGGTTGTTGGTCAACTTAGGTGGGGTGGAGGGGAATATTAAGCGGTTGCAGGTTGATGGTGGGATTTCCCGTGTGGATTCGCGCCCGGCCTCTGGGATGCTGCGAATGACGTACCGGCCGCCGCGCCCGCACCCAGAGACACCAGCTGGCGCGCAAGCCCCGACAGCTGCGAGCAACAGCGAGCTACAGAGTAACACCGCATCGATATTCGATGTCCAAGGTAAGTTCTGCTTGAGGTCTCTCGGTATGTATTCCTCTGTACGCTGGGCCGCAGGCTCGCTTTGTCGCGTGCGGCTTTGGTCCACACCGCGCATGAAGACCATCACATGATGCCTGATCAACAAATGCAGGGAAGCGAGACGACGGCTGCCATGAGAATAAGATAGACCGCATCGCCTGCTGCAAGGTCAGGGGCAGAGAGAGATAGGCTCGATAGCGACTCTACCAACTGCCTGCCCATCGCCTCTTTGTGATTTCTCTCGTTCCAACCCGCATCAGAGAGGAAGCTTGATTTGCTACTTTGTGAGAAACAAGGAAACCCAATCATGCAGCTAGACTGCCCGCTGTCTATCCGTATACTTACCCATAACATTCGCTATGCAACTTCGCGTCCATTCAAGGGCGAGAAGCCCTGGCCAGAACGAAAGCATCTAGTCCTGAATGAGCTTATCTTCCATACAAGGCACAACGCGGAGAGTTTCATCTGCCTGCAGGAAGTGCTCCGCGTCCAGCTCGAGGACGTCCTGTCCGGCCTGAATTCCCATGGGGACACATGGGCGTACATTGGAGTAGGCAGGGACGACGGAAAGCAAGCCGGTGAATATTCCCCGATATTCTATCGCCCTGATGTTTGGAAGCTGGAGACCTGGGAGACGGTCTGGCTCTCCGAGACCCCTGAGGTGCCCTCGAAAGGCTGGGATGCAGCCTCGATCCGCATCGTAACCGTCGGAGTGTTCAGACATCGGGCTAGTCGAAAGACGGTGCTTGCAATGTCTACGCATCTCGATGACCAAGGGTCCAAGTCAAGATATGAATCTGCTAAGCTCATTCTGCGGACAATTGACGGGTACCTTCACAAATTCAAAGACCGCATCTCGGGCCTTTTCCTCGCGGGAGACTTCAACAGCGAGGTCAACCAAGAAGCATACCAGGTCTTTATCGATCCAACTTCTCCTCTAGTCGACGCCCGAGACCAGATCAAGCCTGACGAGCGCTATGGTAATGAAATCACCTACACGGGGTTTGGATACGAGGGAGAACGGGAAACCCGCATTGATTACATCCTTGTCGGACCCAAAACGGAGCAAGGTTTCCCGTGGACGGTGAAGCAATATGGTGTGTTGCCTAACAAATTCGACGATGGTGTATTCAGCTCCGACCATCGTGCAGTCGTTGCAGATGGCCTTGTGGATTGTTAAACGTCGTGATTCACTCCAAGCCGCTTCTTTTCCCCTTTCAAGGTCAATGTCAATATGTACCACGTGACTGAAGTGGAGTTTTCCATTTCTCCAGGCTGGCTGCGAATATATTATATGACCGCCCGTCTTTTGGTTGACCGATGTGGAAGTGCTCTGATAGCTTTAGTTTATACTGGAGATGATAGAATATTTTCCCATGATGTACTCTATATTAGCTGCTCCACACCCTATACTCCATACTCTGCATATCAGCAGCTCGACAGCCCGAATTCGCTTCGACAAATCCACGTGATTGTGACAGTGGATGAGTCAGCACTGCCTGCCTCTCTTCTGCTGTGTTCGCTGCTTGGGCGAAGAAGCGAAAAGGCGAGTGACGGATGATCGGAAGCTGAGCTGTCCATCAAGCAAGACATAGCTGCTAGCCATACCCTTGGAAGCGACTTCTCCCGGGAATTTTGATGCCTTGTTATTATTATTAAGCCTAGCCCCTATCCCATCCAGCAAAGCGAGACGCGTTAATCGCCGACAATCTCCTCATTTTTGCCGCCACGCGTTAATATTCTGTTTGGACCCAGCCGAGTAGCCGAACGCAATCCAAGCAAGAATTATTGGCTCTTTGCCTGTGACTGATCTAGGTGTGTTAATATCATCATCTTGATCCTATGATCTGTTGTACTTCTGTGAATACTTCTGCGGTTCTGCGCACTTTATCATATCAATGCCAAAGATCTGCAGAATGGGTGGACTGTTCGGGTTGCAACGCCATTGTGAATTCAGTAATTGGGATGGTCTTGCCTATTATCCAAGCTAATGAACTGCCCCTGGTTCCATATTAGATCTATAATATGCGTGAAGCTCATATCGCGCGACTGTCAAGTACATAGCAGTTTGCCAGGACCAACTGCCTGGTCGCGACCAACAACCCCCTTAAAAATGGCTTCTTCCGATGCCTCGCCGGATTGCCCAGCTATCGCCGGCATTGTACCCCAGACGTCATCCCAGCCTATGGCGGAGCATACAGGGGGAAATCTCCTTGGCGATGAGACAGATATAAAGACGTCTGCCAACACGGAAACTACCAACGGGCATTCGCCGGCTTCGCTCGCCGAAGGAAAGCAGAAACCTGAAGGCCCAGGTACAACTGAGTCGCAAAATGAAACCTCAAATCTTGATGACGGACAGGAGGACTGTCCTGGGTCTCCCGATCCGCAGCAGGAGGAGCCTGCTAACGGGACTTCCCTCGGACAGAAGCGCTCCAGATCTGGCTCCATAAAACATTCATCATCATCACCACCACCTGTGGAGCTTCCTGTCGGGCCCCGTGAGACGCCGCTTGATAAGGTATTATTGGAGCAGTACCTTCACCGTGAATGGCTACATTCCACACTTGCTGCTGGCAGAACCCGACACCAGGATATCTTACAGGAAAAACGAGCAGAGCGCGACTTCTACCTGCAGATACAACATGAGCGCCAAATGAACCCAGGCGCTATATTTGGAATGGGCTATGAAGGTTTTGGCAACGCCAGAACCGATCTCAAATCGCAGCATCCACAACTGCTCTACCCATCGAATAGAAGGAAGCCCGGAGGCCGAAAATCTCGGGATACACGGATTTCCCGACAGGAGATGGACAAACAAGCAGATCAACCCGAAAACTTGGTCCCCATACGGTTGGATATTGATTGGGATAAGGTGAAAATTCGAGATACTTTTACATGGAACCTACATGACCGCGTTACGCCACCTGATGTCTTCGCGGAAAAGCTCGTCGAAGATTTTGGCCTCCCGCTAGAATCCTGCGGCCCACTTGTCCGGCAAATCACCCAAAGCATCCAAGATCAATTGACGGAATATCACCCCCATATATTTATCGAAGAGGAACCATTAGATCCCCACCTCCCGTACTTTGCCTACAAAAACGACGAAATGCGCATTCTGATCAAGTTGAATATCACTATTGGACAACATACCCTAGTGGACCAATTTGAATGGGATATCAACGACCCCTATAACTCACCTGAAGTTTTTGCAGTTCAAATGGCGACGGACCTAGCCCTTCCGGGGGAGTTTGCGACCGCAATTGCCCATTCCATTCGAGAGCAAGCCCAGCTCTTCACTCGAAGCTTATACATCGTATCCCATCCGTTTGATGGTCGCCCCATAGAGGATCCTGTCCTCAAAGGTGCATTCCAGGCTTCTCCACTTCAATCCACATTCCGTTCTATCCAGCAGGCCAAGGAATTTACGCCCGTCCTCTGGGAACTCAACGAGGCTGGCCTTGAAAGGACTGAAGGATCTATCTCCCGTGAACAGCGACTGCAAAAACGTTCTGTTAATCGTCGTGGTGGGCCAGCTCTTCCTGATCTAAAAGACCGGCTGCGCACAATTCGAACGATGATCGTGTCCTCCGTCATACCTGGATCTGCGGCTTCCGTCGAAGAGAGTCGACTTTTCAAACGATCTGGCACTGGTCGAAGCCGGCGTGCAACTACTGGACAACGTGATGGTCTGGAGGATTCCGATGAGTCTGACAGCGATGAATCGTCTGGGGCCTCGCCGGCCATGTCGCATTTAACCCAAGGAACTGCACGGACCCGCGGTATGCGGACAGCGTCTGCAATCGCTCAGTCGGCGATGCGCAGCCACCTTGGTCGTTCTGCAACTCCCGAAACTTCCTCTCTTCACGAAACCAGAACGTCTGCAAGAAGGCGAGACTATCGCGAAGAGAGTTCCGAGGCTCCAGAGAAACTGATCGTTAGACTTAGGATCAGTTCTCACAAACTACGACAACTGATGAAGGACCTGAAGACAAGGCAAAAAGGGTATCCAGGTTCGCCAGCTCCAGCAGGTGCAACAACTCCCGTTCGAAACGCATTTCCCACCCCTCGCGGCTCCATGGGCCCGCCAGCCGCCCAGCCTGCAACCACTCCGAAACGCCCGACGCCATCCCAACTGAACGGGGTCGTCGATGCTCCTCATCCTCCTCAACCTGGTGTTCCTGGTGTATGATACTCCAATTTGCCCGTCCCTCAAAAAAAACAAAAAAAAATTTTTCGCCAATGTAACTAACAACTCGCAGCCTCCCCCTCCGTCTTGGCTCGTCCGTGGCCTGAACAATCTAAAACGCAGCTATCCTCGCGACTCGTTCGAAGGCACAATGCGCTACACTGCCGTCGACCCCCAGACCAGCTTACCCATCCCCAACGCTGCAACGACACACCCGGGACAAAAGCTGATCTACAAATACTTCCCACGAATCCGATGCCACGATTGTCCCGGGAAGCTATACACTCCCGGTCCAGCGTTGACGGTGGATAATTTCGAGGTACATCTTAAGAACAGGCAACATAAGGAGAGGGTTGAGGAGCGACACGCGCGCCTGGCGAAGCAAGCTGGAATTGCGGGTTGTTCTGCTGCGGAGATTACGGGTGAGCTCGTTTCTAGGTAGAAAGGTGTGTTGAGAAGAGTGGGAAACTGGGAGGGCACACGGCAGTTAGTGTTTTCTTCTTCTTCTTCGTCTTCTTCTGATCCTTCATGTCCTTCTTAACATATGTACAGTACTGCATACATACCCCGCTGTAGTAGTTCAGAGAACGAATATGCCGTGTTTCCCGATAAAGTACAAATTCATCCTCGGATACGGGGAAGGGTATCTACCTTTTTATTTTATTTTTATTTATTTATTTATTGATTTACGTTTTCTGATGGTCGAGCTCATCGGGAACTGAATGGGTGGTAAATTAATCATAGGCATAATTTAAGGAAAAGCGAATACATTTGGCATGGAACAAAAAAGCAAGGCAGAAATGGCTTCTGCTGATTCAATCCAAAACATCGCTAATAGCCAACATGTGTATCTGTCGCGGGTTGGGGGGGAATAAGGCTCATCATCTCCAGTTTATCTCATTCAAGACGTCAATAGCATAAACACAAAAGGGAGGCCTAGTTTGGAATGGAAGGATCAACTAATCTAATTTTACAGGAACTTCTTGGGCATATTTGCACGGCGTTTCTTGTAGAAAACATATGCTCCGGCAAGGGAGAGTTGAAGCGCTACTACCAGGAAGATGAAGAAGCCCATGCGAGGAGCGGATGAAAGTATACCTAGTCATTTTTCGTCAGCACTTGCTTGTTTTTCGCATTGGTTTCTTTTTGTTCCTTTCTTTCTTTCTTTCTAGTTTTTGGTTTCCGTTGGGGGTCGGGTTTTAAAAACTTACGATGGGAGGAATCGTGCAGATTCTCGAGTAGACCCGAGTGCGAGTGTCGCAAAGCTTCTTCCAATTTAGTGAAATGGCGCTGATAGTCCTTGCCCGCGAGGTCCTTTTGGACGCGTTCGATCATTCTCTCGAGCCTCATGACCCTCTGGTCCACGCTGCTGACCTGATCGCGATTAGCGGAGTTGCGGGCGAGTTCTTGGTTGCGTTCGTCGAACTTCTTGGAGAGCAGGGCGAGGTCGTTCAGGAGCCTTTCAGTCGAGGTGCTTAAAGTGTGGAGGCGATCTTGGATATTTTTGATCTGGGTCTGAACTCCCGAGAGGCCGTCCGGGGAGGCCTGCTGGTTTGTGTTACTTCTTTGAACAGGCGGCTGCTGGGCTTGATGGCTTCGCTGGTTCTGAGAGGCGCCGCTGTCGCTGCCTGGTCGTGGAACCGACAAGGCGAACTTGAAGACTTCGAAGGAGTCGGGATAATCCGTGGACGAAGCTGTGATTCCAAACGTGTTGCCCACGGGAAGGAAGACCTAAGAAAAAAAAAAAGGACTAGATGAATACACTTATCTTCGGCAGAAGGGCAAGCGATGACCAACCTTTTTGGTATGGAAACAGCTTCTTTTATCAATTAGAACCTCGAATGAAAACATAGTCTGCTTGATAGTAATTTGCGATGGTCTTCCAAGGTTACGGTAAAAGTACTCGCAGTGGCCGAATGCCAGGCTGTCGACGTTCCGGTGAGTTCTGTAGTCGGTAGTACCATCGTTCAAAAAGCCACGCACCATGCCTCTCTTCAAAGTACGTTAGGCAATCGTGAAACCAATACAATTCTTTTTTGGTCGAAGGATGCCGTGTACTTACGCCTTGTGAGCTATCGATGGTGATGGCCAACCCGTCAAAGCGAGAAACGCTGTAGATATCTTGCGACCCGACATCAACCTGGCCGTTTTTAACATACCAAAGCTGGATATTTCCACCCGGACCATCCTCGCCATTGACTCTGAATTCAAAGTCGACCGTCCACTCTGATTGAGAAACACTGGATGTAGATGTTAATGCAGTACAAAGGAGGTTTGCTACGGGACACTCACGGATCAAGTGTCCACATGGCGCCTCGCTTCCGGCCTGGATATGGAGGCGTCATAATTATTCTATCGGACATCTATGGTCCATTAATGCCTTTTCGCTTCTTGGCCCAGGTTCTAGGTGATGCGGGAGACGACTTACTATCTCCGGGATGAAGCCATCTCCAGAGAGTTGCCATCCCGGCAACGAGGACATGTCCGCCGAGATACTATAAAAGTTATTAGATTGGCGCGTCCCCAAAAGAGACTGGAATCCCATACCGATTTCCATTGCCAAAGCTTGTTCTTTCAACCAGGGTATCAGCAGAGGATAGTGCAACCAGGGACGAAGACAGGGCCAGGATGCGGCCAATGCTGGATGATAGAATCATCTTTAATGATAATAGGATGAGGCGCTATCGGTTTCCCCCCTCCGAAAAAGAAAAGCAAGAAGCGAAGTCTTCCTGATAGCGGGAGCAATGAAACACCGCGTCCAAAAGGGTTGAAATGTTTATGCTGATAATCTTAATAACAGCCGAAAAACAGTATGATCATTATAGGTCTTAAAAAAGCCTTTGGTAAAAGAATGATTGCAAAAACAGAGGGCTTCCGGTGAATTCTGCCTGCACTTGCTCAAGCTCAAACAGTGAGTGTGTTTTAGATATTCCGAGCAAGAAGTATGTTGATAACCAGTAATCCTTCCGGCTCCTGGCTTTGGGGAAAATTGCCCAAAAGCACAAGGGACAATTAATCACAATAAATGGACAAAATAAATTTAAAGCTGAAAAAAGAATAAAACAAAACAAAAAGACAGACTCCTTTCCCTCTCTTGTTGCTCTGTGTGCCTGTCCGCTGGGCTTCCGTCTGATATTCAACCGGCCAGTTTGTCCTCACGCAGCGCCGCAGCCACAAGCAAACAGGCCAAACACCCCAGCCTGTGGCTGCATAATCACGTGGCAGCCAAGCAATTCAGCCGTATTGGAGCTGTTATGTTGCCCGTACGGTAATTTACAGGTCCTTCTCTGGCGAATTTATTTGGCGAGATAAAGCTGCAAACACGCAGCGGGAAGCAGAAGAACCTCGAGGAGTCGTCGTTGTCGTCGTGGTCTCTCCGCTGCTGGATCGTCCGTTGTCTATCCTGCCAGCTTAGTATAGGTGATGACGGTCATGCCCAATGGCTGAATTCTTCCCGTCGTTGACCCAATGCGCCCTTGTGGCAGCAGCATTTAAGGTCCTCCTTTTCCCAGCATAGTAGGTGGAAGTTATATTCTCAACCTCCTCTTTTTTTTTTTTCTTTTCTTTTTTTTTTTTTTTTTGTTCCAGCGCGCTGACTTAACACCATGTTATTAGCAAGTCTACGGATTTCGAAGTCCACCGCAATTGGCTTGCTATCACGCATTCTCTGCCTGTGCAGGATTGGTACTATGAGGTAAGGGTTTCCACTTCCTATTGTTCAATGTCAGTGCAAGGATGGCGCTGATGAACGAGTAGAAAACTTCAGAATGGACACTCGATTATCCGCCATTCTTCGCGGGCCTCGAGTGGCTATTGTCGAAAGTGGCATTCTTTGTTGACCCTGCAATGCTGCAATTGGGAAATCTCAACTATGATTCCTGGCAGACGATATACTTCCAGCGGTCATCCGTTATTTTCCTAGAGTTGATGCTGGTTTACGCATTAAATCGGTACGTTTGTTTCTCTCTTTCTATATATATATTTTGTTTTTACGCTCGATGGACACAGCTGAGTTTACTGACTTGGCGCCTTGGTAAGATATATCAAGTCCGTGCCTGCTCCCAGCAAGCATTTGGCCCACGCGGCCAGTCTTTCTATTCTCCTTTCGCCAGGCTTGTTGATTATTGATCACATCCACTTTCAGTACAATGGATTCCTGTATGGGATCTTGATATTATCAATTGTCCTGGCCCGCAAGCAGTCCACACTCCTTTATGGCGGAGTCACTTTTGCAATCTTGCTATGCCTGAAGCATATATACCTTTACCTCTCCCTGGCATATTTTGTGTATCTCCTTCGAGCATACTGTCTCGATCCAAAATCCGTCTTCCGTCCACGGTTTGGCAACATCATCAAGCTAGGGATTGGAATTACTAGCGTGTTTGCTGCTGCGTTTGGTCCGTTTGTGTACTGGGGGCAGTTAAACCAGATCAAGGAGAGGCTATTTCCGTTCTCAAGAGGGCTATGCCATGCGTACTGGGCGCCGAACATTTGGGCAATGTATTCATTTGTGGACAGAGTCCTTATCCCAGGTACACACTTGACTCTCCATACTTCTACCCTGTTACATCCTTATGCTGATAAATCCCCATAAAACAGTCGCCCCTCGCCTTGGACTTCCTATGAAAGCGGATGCACTCACAAGTGTGACGCGAGGTCTCGTTGGTGACACTTCGTTTGCCATCCTGCCCGAAGTGAAGAAAGAGCACACATTCGCTTTAACTCTTTTCTTCCAACTGGTAAGATATCGAAAAACCCCGCCGCCCCCAAACAAAAAAGAAAAAAAGATTTTCCTTCCCACTCCCACAAATGAAACCAAGCTCACAAAAGGAAACACACACAGCTCCCACTCCTGAAACTCTGGCTCCAGCCCAACTGGGACAACTTCGTCGGCTCCATCACCCTCTGCGCCTACGCCGCCTTCCTCTTCGGCTGGCACGTCCACGAAAAGGCCATCCTTCTCATCATCCTGCCCTTCAGCCTCCTAGCCCTCAAAGATCTCCGCTATCTCGGCGCCTTCCGCCCGCTCGCCGTAGCAGGGCACGTCTCCCTGTTCCCGCTCCTCTTCACGGCGGCAGAGTTCCCCGTGAAGACGGTGTACACCGTCCTCTGGCTCGTGCTGTTTCTGTTTACGTTTGAGCGGCTGGCTCCCGTGCCGGCGCGGCCGAGGGTGTTCTTGCTGGATCGGTTTTCGTTGCTGTATGACACGGTGTCGATCCCGTTGATCGTGTACTGCTCGCTGGTGCACGGGTGGCTGTTTGGGGGCAGGATGGAGTTTCTGCCGTTGATGTTTACGAGTTCGTATGCGGCGCTTGGGGTGATGGGTAGTTGGGTTGGGTTTATGGTGGTTTACTTTACGTCTTAGGAGCATTCATTGTAGTATCTCAATCGCCCCTTCTTTGTGCAGGCAAACAGTTGACTGCGGCCTATTACCAGGAAAAGATAATACAACCACGCCATATATGGTATAATCTGAAATCTCATTCAGCGTCCAGTGCCCATCGTGAAGTTGGCGACTATTAAAAGATTACTGAAGGGACATATATAAAAGAGGTATATAGCGCTCCGAGCTCATCGTACGCTCGTATACCTCCATTCAGAAGCCTAAGATGTGTCTATCTACCAGGTACTTGCCATTGCATATCTCTAGATATAGACGTCCTGGTAAAAAGGGGGCCTCCCTTGAGGAGCTTGGGAAAGATGGTAAGGTTCATTGGGCATGGTAGCTCTGTTTGGAAACACTGCTTAAACATGAATTTTTGGATATGTAGTAGCTTCTGGTGGCGCAAACCAAACAAGAAGGCCGTAACGCACTCCTGCCAAACGCGAAGGAAGCTGCAGCGAAGTGAATATCCTTTGGATCATGAGAAGAACTAGAGATTGGGCGCGGGGGGGGTATTGATGACGCCAAAGGATGCCTATTCAGGGTTGAGAGGCGGCCTGTTGCCCGCTCCACCTCATACGAACCGCATAGGTTTCGAGTGGCATGGGAAAGTCAGGTCCCTAGTAGGGGGAGGGGGCAAAATGGAAGAAGTGAAGATGGCGCCGACCTTGACTGATGGCTATGACTGGTTGTGTTAGTGGAAAGAGAGACTAATATGAGCCTTTCGGATTCCGACGTCGAGGAGGAAGCTTGCTAGATAGAGAGGAAGAGTGGTGGGGGTTGCTCGGGCCGCCCGGGGGAGGGGGAGAGAAGGGGGTGGTGGAAGAAGGCATCAATCTGATGTGATGGTGTAGATGCTTGGGTAAATTAATGAAAAAAGCAGAAATAAAGGTCTTCAGCGTGAATCGCCGCTCGATTCCGAGCAGAACGAGTACTCATACGTTGGGGGTTGTGTGCGTGGGCGGGATGGCAGGGGGAGGTTGACGGTGCAGCGGGACGAGGGCAGAGATGGAGGCGTCTTTTTTGTTCTCCTTCAACGACCAAACGAGCAGCGCAGCCGGGCGAAGGAACGAACCTGAGCGCAGATCGGCTTGGGCTGGCGTCTTGGCAAGGAATTGTCCCCCCCATTCTGGTACTCTGCTGAGCCACCACTGGAAGCACAAAAAAATAAGGAAGAAGAAGAAGAAAAACAAAAAAGAGAGCTGTTCTCTTTATCGAGCTTGTGATGATTTTGGGGGTTGAAAAAAAAAAAAATAAAAAGAGTGACTGGAAATTTTGTGTTTTCAGCTCCGAGTAACTTACAGCCTTTCCCGCGCGGCACACTAGACACCTTTATGTACCCGCCATTACCATACATACAGCCAAAGCTTAATCGATACGTCACCGTGCCCCGGTCCACCGCGTCGAAAACTCGTCGAAGGCCGCAGAAAGTCGTTGCTCGGGACCAAAAAAGGGGGGGAGGAACTGTGTGTCTGGGGATGTTGTCAGCGCCGGGACGGGAACAGCAATTACACAGAGAGATCTCGTCTGCAGTTCGAGCTCCGCGAGCCAGCTAACTAAGTTCACCATGGATGTATGTATGTTTTTCCCCCGTACGGAAGTACTCTGTAGTTTGAACCAGGGCCGTGATCGTGAATCTGGATAACCCGGCGGTCACCCGTTCAGCGGCTTCACCGCGCCGGAGTAGACGATATGTATTTATGTGCTCTCGCGTGCCCCTATATATATATATATATATATTGGGGTTGGGGAAGATGTACCCGCCCATACGTTGATACCGCCGCCCTTCCGGCGGCTCCCACCCACGCAAGTCGCTGGCCCCGGCCCTATTCCCCATCAGGAACCAAAACCACCCCCCATTCCCGATTAGTGCAGCGGCCCTCCTCGTCCTCCCCTTCTTCCACCCAAATGGTTTTCTCCTCCCTCCTCCTCTTCCCCGTCACCCACGCATCAACCTCCATCCATCCTCCTCGCTGCCTACCACCTCTCCGCCGCCGTCTTCCTCGACTCACCGTTCGCTTTTCTCCCCGTCGTGTCTCTCTCCCCGGCTGGCCTTGCTTACCCTTTTTATTTATTTATTTATTTATTTTTTGGAGGCTTCCGCTCGAACAGCTACGCGTGATGAGGTTTCCACCAGGTGAGCAGCCTTGCCCTTCGACGCCGCTTCTTGCAGAGCTATCAGAACAACGCGTCTTTCCATCCACAAAAAACATTTATAGACCAGGGAATCTAGAAGAAAAGGAACCCAATTAAAAAAAAAAAAAAAAAAAAAAAAAAAAAAAAAAAAGGGAAAAGAAAGAAAAGGGGGGGAAAAAAAAATTTCCATCTGGGACTTCCGTGCTGACTACCACATTCAACCCAGGCTGAGTTAGCTCTCTTCGTGTCCAAGACTTCGCGGAGCCTCACGGGCGAACCTAGCCCCCGGCGTCTTATCTTTTTGCTCAACCTACTCACACGCGGTCCGATCCCGTTCGCGTTCCGCGAAAGTCGTCAAGATGGTACGGAACAGCACCCCCCATACCTGCCGCCATACCGCCGCTGACACTGGCGCCGCTCCGCTCTTCTAGGTGTTATTCAAGCGCAAACCCGTTCAGTATCTCCCGAAGCCGACCATTGAAGATGACAGCTCGGAGGTATGCGACTAGACCGGTTTGAGGGGGGGAGAACTTCTTTTTGCACTTGGTTGCTGATACCGCTCGAATCTCACTAGGTTTGGGTCATTCCCGAGACAGATGAGGTTTTCACGAGCTACGAGCCGTTTTTGCAGAGGTAAGAGGCCGCTGCTGTTGTCGCCATATTCCCAAACCTTTGTGCGTTCAAGGAAGGAGCAGAAAAAAAGGGCTAACCTCTCGCCAGAATGAATTTCTACAAGCAGGTATGGAGCTCTCCCCCGGTTTCTTCTTTTTGCTCCGTTTTTGCTCCGCGACCCGTCTGCCTTTGGTCCTGTCGGGGTTTTGGGGGTGTTGATGCTGGTTACAATGGCTGTGGGCAATTCGAATAACCTCAGTTATCCTGTATAGAAGCGGTTTATATGCGAGATCACCGGTCACTCATCCCTTACCTTTTTCGAGGCCTTGAGAAGCGAAGTATGTCGTACCAGATTGACAGCAAGCTTCTGGGAAAACAGCATTGACTGTGATGTATAGGCTGAGGGTTCCAGAGAAGTGGATAACGCCTTTCCCGAGGCCCTGAAGGAGCCGGTGCTGCGCAAGGTCCAATTCTCCATCGTGTCAAGAATAGATAGTCTTGGTAAGAGAGCACCCTGAAGTTGAAAAAAAAAAAAAAAAAAAAAAAAGCCACCGGAGGCAGTTTACTGATATTTGCTACGCAGTGGATCAGCTTTACGAGGTACCCCTTTCCAGAGCAGAGCCGAATTTAAAAACAACCGTCGAGCTTACATTTTTCAAGGATTTTAAGCAGGACTTCTATCCCGGCGAACGAGTCACCGTGTTACTTACAAATGGCTCTCGGCTACAGGGGGTGGTTCGCGAGAAGGCAAGATTCCCAGAAATCTGTCGATCAGATGGGACCTTAGAACGGAGGGCGTCATCCCGGTACCTGGTGAAACTTACCAACCGTCAAAACGAAGAAGCATTGGTGGATGACGAACATCTGGCGCGTGATCGGAAAATATTCACAAAACAGATGTTGAGGTCGTTCATCAAGAATACAGTGTCGAGAGAGTCCTGGAACGGTGCGCCCTGGCTGGTCAAGCCGCACATTGCTGAATACTACCATATCGATACCGAGGTTCCTCAGCATCTTCAATACGGGAATAAAGCGGGAAAGAAGGCTAAGGTGTCGGCAGATAAGCAGGAAGACGAAAAGTTATTTGGATTCTTTGCCTCGCAACGCCCGCAGTTGAAGCCATCCACGAAAGGTCAGAAGGCGAAAACCCCCCAGGAGCTTGAAAAGGCAAAGGAGGAACAGTACGAAGCCTATAGACGATCATTAAACGGCAACCCATCGTTTAGACTGCCAAAGAACGATAAACACAGGCCACCACCTCCCTCTGAAGCACCGGTGGCCCTTCTTCCAGAATTTTCAGTCATCATTAACAACAAGTTACCGCCCTCCCCACCACCGCCTCCGCCGGCCCCGATCAAATATCCTATCGAGGATCTCGACATACCGCCAACCGACGGCGCCCGGCGCCCAAGATTACGCTTCTTGACCAATGACGAAACTGCCGAGAAACTCGACCTAGGCCTCAAAATGGAATCTGTCGGGCCCCTTCTCGAAACTTGGAACACGTTGAACGTATATTGTGAAGTGTTCCAGCTTGACTCGTTCACCTTTGATGACTTTCTCGAGGCAATGCGCTTTTCCTCCGATGATATCAACTGTGAACTCTTCACGGAGATCCATTGCGCCGTGCTGAAAATACTTGTTAACTCCGAAAAAGATCAGGAAGGTGCTATTCAAATATCTTTACCTGCGGCCCCGGAAGAAGACTCCGAGGAGGAGTCGGAGGAATCTGAACCTGAGCCCGAGCCTGAGCCCGAACCGGTGCCGACTCGAAGAACAACAAGAAGTAGTCTGGCACGGGTTGAGATCAACAATACGAAGCCTCCACCACGCAGTCGTTCCACCACCGCTGATATTAAAGTCCACCGGGCTGCCGAGATGTTTACGGAGTACGGGTGGATCGACCGTCTGCGGAAGCGCGATTTCAAGAATGGCGGATGGGAGCTTGTGATGATCGGTCTCCTATACCGACTGTCGAGTCGGCCAAGGTTGCAGAAGATTTGCGATGAAATTCTCTCTCATCTCGCACCCCTGGATGCCGAACCGACACGAGAGACCGCCCAGGAGCAATATTCTACCCTCAACATAAACCTACGTATACAGGCGCTACAGATCATCTGCATGCTCACTCTTGAAACAAAAGCTATCAAGAATTACCTTGAAGAGTGTAGCAACCAAATGACCGAGTTCCGGAAAGAGAAGATTGAGCTGCAGCGCGCTCGAAAAGCTACGTGAGTACTCACCTGAAGCCCCCCCATGTGTGAAACGTTTACTCGGAGATGATCGATGTTAATATGTCCACAGCCTCGAAGAGCTACGGAAGCTACATGAAGAACGGAAAGAACTTGAGCCGGAGCGCCCTCCTTCTCCCGCTCCGGAGCCAGAGGAGATTGCCGAATCGAAGGTACCCGGAACCGAAGAAGAATCGGAGGCCACTAGCGAGTCAGACGAGGAAGAAGAATCCTATATTGGTCGCTCTCTACGTGGAGGGGCTGATAGGGAGCTCGAACGCAAGCGAAGACAGGAAGAGGAACGGCTGCGTAAGGAACTGGCTGCCAAGCTACCGAAGGGAACGAAACAATACCAACGCGTGCTTAAGAAGATTGAAGACCTTAAGGCCAAGGTCAAGGCGTATGAGGCGGACATAGCCGTCCTTGATAACGACCTGCGCGAGGCGGATTGTCCCAGGACCCGCGTCCTTGGAAAAGATCGGTTTTGGAATCGCTACTATTGGTTTGAACGAAACGGAATGCCTTACGAGGGCCTTCCCAATAGCTCGACGGCGTCTGCAGGTTACGCCAATGGAAGAATATGGGTGCAAGGTCCCGACGAGATCGAGCGTGAAGGGTTCATCGATCTTCCCGACGAATTGAACCGATCATATTTCAAAGAGTTTGGTATGACTGTTGCGGAGCGTAAAAGGGCCGAAGAAGGGCCCACGAGCATGCTCAATGCCCAGGAATGGGGATATTACGAAGACCCAGACGAGCTGGAGCAGCTTATCAATTGGCTCGATAGTCGAGGAGTCCGCGAGATTAAATTGCGCAAAGAGCTCCAGCTTCACAGGGATAACATCGCCAAGTACATGAAGAACCGAAAGGAGCATCTGTCGCAGCATGCATCCAAGGTGGAATTGGAGGAGGAGCCTCCGACGAGGATGTCCACGCGGACGAAGACGTACACCGATTACAGCAACTTCCATTGCCTGAAGTGGAAAAATTCGACGGCTCTACGGGATAACGGTCATCTGCACATTGAACCAGAACGCCCTACGAAAAGAGCGAAAAAATCGGTGGACAACGCTAGAGAGCTGAAGATGCTGAATCGCCAAGGCAAGCCGCTGGCCAGACAGGGTACGCGGTACAATTTCTAGGCGCCGCCGGCTTCTACCAGCGGGGTATTCACAAATAATAAAAAAAAGAAAAGAAAACTAACGATTTGATGACATCCTTTTTTTTTTTTTTTTTTCCCCCTTTTTTTTTTCCTGGTATATTTCTAGATCGGGTTGACCGTTTGGCCAGCCAACCCGGTATCCCAGGACACCTTTTTTTGTCATTGATCATTGGCCTGCGCATGCGGTTTGGAATCGAAGTACCCCGCTCAGCATTTTTTTTTTTTTTTTTTTTTTTCTCTTTTTTTTTTTGAGGGGGGGGGGGGGGGGGGGGGGCGGCAAGAATGGGTAGCTGTTTTGACCCAGTGTTCAAATACCTTGGGCGGAGTGAGTTGAAGAAGCCCAATCAATTATTGGGATATATTGATTTCGGTGTTTTGTTTTTTTTAAATAGAGATGCAGTTGGCGCTGTTCTTTTTTTGTAATTTTTGCCCCTTTTTTTTGCCTCACATACGCGAGCGAACTGATATGCATATTGGGGGGAGTTTCTGGCATCTTCGGCGAGCGTGTGTGCGTGTGTCTGTATCCCACCGGCTCTGATCAAAGAAGGGGGGGGGGGTGTTATTATATTTTGGAAGAAAACAGATAGAATTGGTGGGGGCCATCGTCACTACATGGTTTATTATTTTGATTTCTAGTATACCAGTTGGAGCAGCACAAACAAACAAGCCAGTTCTATGATCATCCTTCGATTCCGCTCTCTCTCTTTTTCTCTCTCTCTTTTTCTCTCTCTCTTTTTCTCTCTCTCTTTTTCTCTCTCTCTTTTTCTCTCTCATTTTCTCTCTCTTTCTCTCTCTCTCTCTGCGATTGATTTCGATCTCGGCCTGCAGGGATGTCACGTGGCGGCTTCTCCGGCAAAATCGCGTCGGCTTTTCGGCGCCGGAAGCCAAACCGTAGCCGGCCACCAGCCAATCAGCGTGCGCGTAGTAGGCAAAATTCGGAGAAATTACGATGACTAATCCTGACGAAATGCGGGCAGGGGTCACGTGGCACAGCCCTTTTAGCGCCCTTTTCTCTTTTCTTTTCCCCGCGACGAGCCGCACCAAAAAATCCCGCCCCCTTCGCTCTGGGTTGTTTGTGTGGGCTGCTTTTTCCAAAGCCAGCCAGCGCCAGAACAATACACCAAAACGAAAAAAAAAAAAAAAGAAAAAGGAGAGAGAGATATCAACAACGAAAGCATACACGTCACACCCTTCCTTTCTTTCTTGAATTTCCGGTGCATGTCAGGCGTCCTCCCCGTCCCGGACAATGCGGACCATCTGCCCTCATCGCCCTCTCCTTCACATCTCCCAATCGCCACTGCCCGGCCACTCTGCGATTTTCAGACGGAAAGCATTTCCCGAGGCCCGATGATCATGTCGCACACGAGCCAGATGGCACCTGCGACAGCAACATCACCATCACCACCACCACCACCGCCGCCACCATCATCATCATCACCGCCGCGGCCGCGGCCGGTGTCAGATACCGACCAGCATGCTGCTGTGCGCGCTGCTGCTGCTACCAGTGCTACCACTACCACTGCTGAGGGAGCGCAGCCAGGAATGAGAAAACGCGGCGGAGCGGGTGCGAAAGAGGTGGATAAGCGGAGCTTGGATTATTTGCTTCGTAGCGGGTTGGCTGGGGGTTTGGCCGGATGTGCGGTAAGTAGATTCCTCTGTGTAGTCCATAGGTCCTTGCTTTCCTTTTTTTGTCTTTTTTTCTTTGAAGTTCTCTATGTTCTACGACTCCGAGATATTCCGTTAAGATCTTCATCGACGGCTTTTTTGCTAATTAATGTTTTAATTTTTTTTTTTTTCTGTGTTTAGGCCAAAACGGTGGTCGGCCCTCTCGACAGAGTCAAGATCCTGTTCCAGACTTCGAATCCACAGTTTGCCAAATATTCCACAAGCTGGTTCGGTGTTGTGTCGGCTATGAAATCGATCAATCAGCATGAAGGCGTCCGCGGACTGTTCAAAGGGCACTCCGCCACACTCCTGCGGATATTCCCCTACGCCGCTATCAAATTCTTAGCCTACGAACAGATCCGTGCCGTCATAATTCCCACCAAACAAAATGAAACTCCCTTCCGCCGGCTGATAAGCGGCAGCCTGGCAGGCATTTCGTCAGTTTTTTGCACATATCCATTAGAGCTTATTCGAGTACGGCTGGCGTTTGAAACGAAGCATAATTCTAGATCGTCCTTGAGGAAAATTTGTTCGCAGATTTACCATGAAAACGGCGGAGCCGCGACTTCCGCGTCCTCTTCTTCAGTTACCACGGCCGCCGCGGTGGAGGGATCCAGATCCGGCCCTGCAGCCGTCGCTCCGGCCGTCAAGCGCGCTGCGCCGCTGGGGGGCCTGTCGAACTTCTACCGCGGCTTCTCGCCAACCCTCGTCGGCATGTTCCCTTACGCGGGCATGTCCTTCCTCACCCACGACACGATCGGCGACTGGCTCCGCTCCCCGAGCCTAGCGCCCTACACCACCATCCCGGATTCAGAACGGTTCACCCGCTCCGGCCAGGAACAGCCTCGCTCCCACCGCGCCCAGCTCAAGGCCTCCGCCGAACTGTTCTCCGGAGCTCTGTCCGGCCTGGTCTCCCAGACTTCGTCGTACCCGCTGGAAGTCATCCGGCGGAGAATGCAGGTCGCGGGGGCCGTGGGAGACGGACACCGGATGAGTATCTTGGAGACCGCTGGAGTGGTGTGGATGGAGAAAGGGTTTAGGGGGTTCTTCGTGGGGTTGACGATTGGGTATATGAAGGTTATACCGATGGTGGCGACCAGCTTTTTCGTGTATGAGAGGGGGAAGTGGTGGTTGGGTATTTGATGACGTGGGCATGCATGGTTCTGTGTTTGCCATGTTTCCTTTTTTTTCCTTTTTTTTCCTTTTTTTTTTTTTTTTTAATGGCGGGGGCTTTCTTGTCTTTTGCGCATTCGTTTTTAGATTGTTTGGTGGGTGCCTTTTGCTTTTTCTGAATAATGTTGGGACCTTTGAAAGGTTCGATGGCGTTTTTTTTTTGTTTGGCATGCGTTGATACTCACTCATCAGCCATTTTGGACGGCTCCCTTTTTTGGGCTGTCCGTATTGATACACAGGCAGCGTTTCGTGCTTTGACTCTCTTTTTTCAGTGCACATATACACTGTGATACAATTATATACATGGATATAGAGCAGCATATATATTGAACAAAGTATAGTACATACAGTTTACCTGAGGCATTCCTGTGTGCTATGTGAGCTTAAAAATATACACATTAAATCACTATTTCATAATAATTCATCTAAATTGCCTAAAGGAAAACTACATGGATGCCGGTGCATGTATCAGATCCAACCCCAAAGGAGGGTTAATAAATAACTAGACAAGTGATATCAAAATCTACACAAGCACCCTACGAAGCCCCTCTGTTCCACCCAGCACCCGTCTCCCGGTGATCGGACACCGTCCCTTCCCACTCTCCCACTTACCAGCCCTACTCTTCCCCGCAGCACCCTTCTCGCCGTACTCCTTGACCCCAGCACCCTCAGTCCCATTCTCCCCGTCCGCATCCGGGTCATCGTCCCACTCACCGCCGGTACCGTTCATGAAGTCGAGCTGTCGGTCATGCTCGCCGTTCAGCCAGCGGAATATGCAGCTGTAGCAGAAGACGTAGCCGGTCTGGCACGCGGTGGGGTTGACCAGCGGGTGAAGACAGATCGGGCACGTGTTGTGGGTGTCTTGGGAGGAAGAAGTGGAGGAGTCCGGTCTGGGGATCGGGACGGTGAAGATGGGGAGGTATGAGGTGGAGGAGATCGGGGCCTGTCGGTGTTTTGACGTGGTGGGCGGTGATGTGGATGTGGATGTGGATGTGGTTGTGGAGGTGGAAGAGGTGGGGAGCGTGGTGAGCTTGGTTTGGCCGGATTGCTTCAATGCCGATGGGAGAGTGGGTTTGATCGAGGGAGGTGGTGGTGGTGGTGGCATCCCTGAGATCACTGGAGCGGGGAGATCGAGCGCCTCGGTCGCCTTTCGGGCTAGCTGGCGGGAGAAATCGCTTGCGTGCCACCATTCTAGGAATTTAAGAGCAAATATTGACGCCGGGAGGAGGAATTTTAGCGAGCCCAGCACGCGTGGATACAGGTTGCGTGGGCTGAGCATGCCGAGGCGGCTTGCCCCAGGTCGTGCGCTGGCACCGCTGAGAGGTTTCGGTTCGGTTATCGATGCGATAGCTTTATGATCCGCCGAGCTCAACCGCCTGATTCGCGTTCCGATCAGCCAGAGGAATGGAGATGAATACTTCGTGTTATCAAAGAGATAGGCGAGGTTGAACGCCAGAATCGAAAAATAGTACGCCGCGTTGATCGAAGGATAGACGTTCCTCAGGAACCATTTGTAGTAGAACATTAACCTTTGGCGGATGGTCGGATTGTGCGGCAGGTCGTCGGCCGGATTGTATCTCGGACCTCCTCCCATCGCCAGCGCCGCCTGCGGAGCAGCGTGGATGTCGTATCCTTCGTCCAATTTCCGTTTTAGATACGGCAGTCCGACCAGCACGGCTAGATTCCTCCATACATCCGAACTACGGAGCTTCAACGTATCCCGCACGGGCCCAGCGGCACCCAATTGCGCTCTTGGAACCTCGCCATTCTTAATTTCGAGAACACGCTCGCGCTTCAAGGAGTAGAAGTTCTCCGTGAACGAGCCGCCGAAGGTCTTGAGGTAATATCTCTCCACGACCAGAGAGAGCAGCGCGTAGACTTCGTCGAACGAGTTGAGGATGCGGAGAAGGTAGCGAGGATGGCGGTGTGTAGCTACAGCGAGAAGGTAGCGGAGAGAAGGCGGAAGGAGAGCAGATAGCTGCTGCTCAGAGAGAATTTCTACTCAAGCTTTGAGCGTCAGCAAAGTGCTTTTTCAGGGAGGCGGATAGGGGGGCTTTGTGTGTTTTCGGCATGCCCTGCAGCTCCCCCGGCTTCAGCCCAGCAGATTCTCCTTACCAAACAAGGACGGTTTGAAGTCGTCGAAATCATTCTGCAGAGCGGACATATACTCCATTCTTGACCAGGGAGCATCGCCAGCTCTTCTGATCTCACGGGAAAATCTGAGAAGGGACTGTAGAATCGAGGTGCCCTTTTTTGTTGCTCTTCCCCAGCTTTCGCCCGACTTCTCGCGCCGCCAGCAAAGTTGCAAAAGCCGCGGTAACTTTATTTTGGGCTTCACGAGGGCGCAGCTTACTCAGCAGCGGCAGCCACAACACACACACATGCGCCACACAGACAAAAAGTACGCAAAAAAAGAACCAGTTAAAAAAAAAGGGAAAAAATAAGAAAAAAAGGTTGAAAAAAAGCTTCAATGCAAAAAAGGTAGATTTTTTTTTAATCTCTTGCTCTGCCCAGCGCCGTGAAAGGATTCCGCCGCCCACCAAACCCGGATCTGCACAACATGTCAACTGCGCTCGGTCCTCCAACAACAAAAAGGGGTCATGGTTTAGTGGTATAACATTCCCTTAGCATGGGAGAGGTCCGGGGTTCGATTCCCCGTGACTCCACTTTTTTGACGATTGTTCGCTCGTCCGTCGGTTAAACTACCCTTTTTTTTTTTTTTTTCAAAACTGCTATTGAACAGGTGTAGGTGAGGACGTCTATTCCTTTGCCGTGTCGTGTGTAACTGTGTATCTACTTGGTTGATTGGTAGACGTAGTGCATCCCTGCAGCACGCGGCTGGTCCGTCAGCGGAAGGAGAAAATTATAGCTCATTCTGGATCCACTTGAAAAAAAGGTGCAATGGATTTGCAGATATTCATCTTCCAATTATTATCGCTACAGGAAATTGTGTACAGTACAATGTTGCAGAAAAGAAAATAAGTACTCTAAACAAATAATAAGTGGTATATACCACAAATGCAACCCCCAAAAAAGAAACCTGACAAAAACGCCTGCAATAGATATGGCCGGAGAAGAGCTTGCAATTGATCGTAGTAATACAACACATCGAAAAGTATTTTATTCCTGGACCGTTTGACTCGCCACCAGGGCATTCCAGCATCTGTTCCACAGGTTGGGATACTCGCCGGGGTCGCCTGCGTCCGCCCTCTGCTTGACATCCGGATTGGCCACCAGTAAACATGCCATCACCACTCTTGCAATGTCGGCGTCAAGGTGGACAGGTGGCTGCTCCCGTGCCATCATAGGAACCCATGACGACAGGCACTCGGCCGCTCTCTTTTGGTTCCCTCTCTCGGCATGGAGGCGGAATAGTAGCACATAAAACTCCTTTGATCGGGGAAGTTGCAAAAGTGACATCTTCCGCCAGATAGCCCAGAATTGGTCATAATTTCCATGGTGGAAGTGAAATCGGAGGAGGCTCAGAAACTGCTCAGGTCCAAACTTAACATCGAAGGCATCCATGATTTTGCGAAGACGATCCTGAACAAGGCGCACTTCGTTAAGCTCTTCCGCCGACACCGGAGTGGACTTTTCTGTTTCAACGGAACTGGGACTTAGGTTATCGTTGGTTGGGCGGACCGGAACTTGGAATCCGGACGCGGTGTAGAGCATGGAGAAGACCTCGCGACTAAGAATGTCCATACCACGCAAGCTCATATGGTTGAGAACCTTGAGTGCCAGATCTATATCAGATCGCAGGACGCGTTTCGCGACATTAGAGACATCGGCATCGTTGTCGCCAAAAGAGAGCAGTGTTTTGACCGTCTGCAGTGCTTGAGACTCAGAGATGTCATATCCTGAAGCAGCCAGCTCCTTGAAAGCATCGAATAAATCCGCTTTTGTATACTGAGGATGCTGTAGAGTGACGGCGATACGGATCAGCTCCAATTTCGCAAGAATATTACCGTCCGGATCCTCTGCGTTGTCCAAGGCCTGCTGGAACAGACGCAAAAATAATGTGGAGCCCATATCTCGGGGACCTGATCCCAATTCCCGGAGTGCATCATCCCTGGGAAGCTGAGCCAAATGCTGAAGCAATGATGTGATCTCAGGAGGCACATTGAGAGGTTTTGAAGCCTTTGCTGGCGCATTGCGAGGAGAGACCAAATGATCTTCATGGTTCAACGCCGCTTCTTGCCGAGGTACCATCCCGGGTGAAAGAACGGCCTCGATACTGATGCTTTGGACGCGACGGCTGGTATGCAAACCTCTTCTTTGTCCGGGGTCTATGCCAGAACCCGTTGCATGTGATCTCGAGTCGCGATACATGCCTCTTCCACTTGTTGCCTCTGCAGCCGCCTTTTCAGCGAATTGTTCGAATTGTTGCTCGAAAGCCCGCAGTTCGCTTGGAGATCGCGGTGGAAAGTTGCCATTCCACAGGCCTTCTAAGTCGAGCTCGGCTCTCTTTTCTTCAGTGAGCATCTGTACCACGATTCGAGCACTATCCGCGACGTTTCCGAACCCGGCAAAATCGCGCTTTTGTGCTCCCGCGGCCGGTTTCCCGTTCTCAACAGAACCAACGTTCACACATATCCACCCAGTTGTGATCCCATCGTCTTTTTCCTCAAAAGAAGATGACACGTTGCTAGATAGCTTCGCCCGGCGGGCCTTTCTTCGCAGTTTGATCTTCAATTCGTTTCGACCCAAAAGGCCGTCTGCGGTCGGTTGCAATTTGTAAGTACTCCTTAACCAACGACACAGTCGATCCGCAGCGACATTGAGATGCTTTACACTGCGAGCGGTCCCGATGATCATGATCAGGTTTGCGCCAAGAGCAGGAGGAGGATTGCGATTTCGCAGATCGAGGAGAGAGAGATCATCGAGACCAATGTCAACCGAGATGTGCTGCAGAAGATCTTCCAGCATTGGGGGAGGGTTGTCTGGCAGCGGTGGGATCAACTGCTGTTGCCCAAGCGGGTGAGAAGCGAGCTCCGCAGTCTCTTCCTTGAGATACCACGGCACATGTTCGTTGGATTGACTGGCAGCGTCTGGAGATTGCTCGCTACCGTTGTCGACGGACGGCTCGCCAGAAGATGCGCTGCGGGCTATGGACTGGCCCCGAAAGGGCTGACCGTGTAATGATGAAAAGCTGCTCTGGTGGTGTAACGGAGATCGAGGGCATGGTTTGTGGTATCGAGGCGCGGGAAAAGTGATATCAGCGATGGCCAGAAAAGACTGGATGACATGGCTGCGACAGCCGTAGCACTGGATGCCTCGAAGCATGAGGCGGTGCATCGTGACGGCCTCGCGGAGCACAATGGCGGTCGTTGGGGCGCTGCGAGGTGAAGGCGGCAGAGCGAGAGAGAGAGAGGCAGCGGCCGAAGAAAAAAGGTTTTTTTTAAATGTCCAGGTACTTACTCTTTTCGGATGGCTGGACAATGAAATGCTGACTCAGCGTTCTTGGCACAAGTTTATTTTGATTATTAATTGAAAGTGCAAACAGGGCAAACAGCTGCCGATAAGAATTTTGATAGCGAATTCGTTCGCTACAGAAACATTTTGCCCCTCACAAACCTCGCTCGGAAGTGCATCTTCAGATCGAACTCTCCGGGTGCTGGACCGTCGGGAGGGGTTTGCGGTTAGGCTGTTCCAATCTCTCTGTTGTTTCGGAGAGCTATTTTCGTCACCAGATTGACCAGGGATCGAGCTCCTCAAAATGTCGATGGACCTAGACGCTCCGGTCTCGTTTGAGCCGGTTTCATTTCAGCCGCAACAGCAGGCCGCAACGTATGTGCTCTTAAACTCCTTCAGCTGTGAAGAGTCTTGCCATGCTAACCTATGTAGAATTCTTTGCTGCAACTGCGGCGCACCTATAGACGGGACAACGGCGGCTGGTGCGCTTTGTGAGGATTGTATCAAGCTCACAATCGATATATCCGAGGGGATCCAGCGTGAGGCTACATTGCACATGTGCAAAGACTGCGAACGATGGTTACAACCGCCAAGTCAATGGATCAGTGCCGCTTTAGAATCGAGGGAGCTACTGGCTCTATGTCTTCGAAAATTGCGAGGCCTATCGAAGGTCCGAATCATCGACGCCAGCTTCTTATGGACGGAACCCCACTCGAAACGAATCAAGGTCAAGATAACAATTCAACAAGAAGTTTTCCAGGGAACAATTTTACAACAAACGTTTGAGGTTGAATACGTTGTCGCCTCTCAACAGTGCCCGGAATGCGCGAAGTCGTATACGGCTAATACCTGGCGTGCTTCCGTCCAGGTTCGACAGAAAGTGCCGCACAAGAGAACTTTCCTGCACCTGGAACAGCTCATTCTCAAACACGGTGCTCACAAAGATACGATAAATATCAAAGAAGTTAAAGACGGATTAGATTTCTTCTTTTCCCAAAGGAATCACGCAGAGAGGCTTGTTGATTTCCTATCGTCGGTTGCCCCGGTTCGGGTTAAAAAGTCCCAGCAGTTGATTTCCATGGATGTTCATACGTCAACGAAGTCTTACAAGATCTCATTTTCGGTTGAATTAATACCTATCTGCAAAGATGATCTCGTTGCGCTTCCGATAAAGCTTGCGAAGTCGTTGGGAAATATTTCACCACTGACTCTCTGTTATCGAGTCGGAACCTCTGTGAATCTTCTCGATCCAAATACCCTCCAAATTGCCGATATTCCTTCGCCCATATACTGGAGGTCGCCGTTTAAGAACCTGGCCGATGTCCAAGAACTGGTGGAATTTATCGTCATGGATATCGAGCCCATTGGTCATTCCAGTGGCCGTTTCTATCTTGCAGAGGCCACAGTAGCACGCGCTTCAGACCTGGGTGTAAATGATACTACATATTTCACTCGCACGCATCTTGGTGGCGTGCTCCACCCGGGGGACTCAGTCATGGGATATCATTTGACAGGAACCAATTTCAACGACGAAAACTTCGAGGCCTTGGAGCAAAGTGGTACATACAGCTCCACGATCCCCGATGTTGTACTAGTCAAGAAATACTACGCCAGAAAGAAGAAGCACAAGTCTCGCAACTGGCGTTTGAAGCGCTTGGACCGTGAGGTGGAGGATCATCCGTCAGCCTCGTCCAGGCAGCAAGGCCAGGATCGCTTGGAGGAAGATTTCGAGATGTTCTTGCGTGATATCGAGGAGGATACGGAGCTAAGGAGTACGTTGGCATTGTACAAGGCCCAGCAGAAACCAAGGGGCCATGCCGATCAGATGGATGGTGTCGAAATGAATGTTGATGATGACAGTGATGATGATGACGTTCCTAAGATCAATATGGATGAGTTGCTAGATGAGTTCGAGGAGCTCAATATGGAGGATGGTCAATAAGTGATTTTTATTTTCTCTTCGGGATTCCTGCAGGCGTTTGGGAATTCGAGACGCAATGTCTCTCGTTTTGGTGATCTTACCTGGGCCCGGAAAATTAACCAAAAGCAGATGTAATGAAATAATGGTATATAATCCATATATTTGAAGATCTTGCAAAAACGCTCCGCCGACATCTTGGATATCCATGTCTATTTAAAGCAAAATATGCCAACCCAATGCCAGTCATTCTTGTATTTGTCTCCCATTAAATTCAGAAAATCTTCGCAAGCACCCTCTGGATATCCTCATCTACCTTGCGCTCCTTTCTCACTCCGTCCTTCTCCCTATCCCGAACCTCATTCTGCCTAAACACTCTCCTTGGCTTGTCCAAGCTAACCTTACCCCCATCCCCCATATCTCCCTCGCCGCCAGCACGCAGCTTTTTCTCTTTCTCCTCTCTTTTCTTCCTAATCCCTTCAAAAACCTTGCCCTTCTCCACCCCAGCCAAAAACACCTTCTCCTCCTTCCTTGCCTTCGCGTCTTCAACCCTCCTCCTAGCCTCCGCCTCCTTTCTCTCCCGCTGCACCTGCTCCATCAAATCCGCCCACTTGAATCCCCGCAGGTACTTCATATTCCACACATCATCATGATACCACCCGCCCTTCTTACCGCCCACGATCGTGGCGTTGAGCGTCTCGGCGCAAATCTTCGCTGTGCGTTTGGACGCGAATTCTACCCAGCCATCTGAGTACATGCGGCGCTTGTTGCTCCGTTTCCCGGCGCTGCTAGATTGCACAGATGGAGTAAGAAAGATCTTGGTTATAGGTCCGAAACCGCGGGCTATGAGTAGGGATTTTAAAGCGAATGGTTTGAGGTATGGCGGGAGCGAGGAGAAGTAGATGACGCCGGTTTTGTTCTTTTTGGGTTTTAATTTTGGATTAGACGCCGTCGAAGGAGTTGTATCGATGTCTGTAGATGAGGTTGTAGTGGTTGCTGTTGCTGCCGGTGTGGATTTGCTGGTGGGCTCGATCGGAGATTCTGCTTCTTCGTCTTCTTGCTCTCCCTCTTCGATTTGTTCTTCTTGTTCCGGCTCATCCGACTCAGTGTCTATCCCCTCGTCTTCACTCTCCGATCCAGATCCATTGTCACTTCCCCCCCCATGTTCGGTAATAGAGAGTTTTCTTCGTTTAGACGGCCGCCGCAACCTCGATGGTGCCGTCGTAGATTTCGATACGCTGCTTCTGCCTTTTGATTCCTGGGCGGCTTCGGAATCGTAGCCGGCATCGTTATCTTCCTCGTCGGACGGAATGTCCCAAAAATCTGTCCGTTTACGCGTCGTCATTATCGTTATGTGCAAATTGGTTGTTTTTGTGTTGACCAGTTCGCCCGCTGGAGAACATGGGCTCAAAAAATGTTGACATGCGGGTGGTCCGTGCGTCACAAATCTTATCGACGACGGTGCGAGATGGGACTTCGCGACAACATCATTGTACGGAGGACTTCGCAGAGTATAAATTAATACATGCATTCCCATCTAATGCTAAGTGCCTATGTAAAGGGTATTGAAGGCTGGAAGTAAATATGTGGAACGCCCGGCCAAGTCCGTCGTCAAAAGGAAATGTAGCATCGACGGTCAGGGAGGAATGAATTAGTATGGAGGACACAAAAAGCAAGACTTCGCCATCGCGGGGAAAAAAAAAAAAAAAAAGCATATATACAAAGAGAAAACGACCAAAATCTCCAATAGTTCCATTCGATTAAAGCTCGACATCGGCTACCTTGTACGGCCTGGCGTTCTCGCCAAAGAGCAGATGAGGCTTCCTTTCTGCAAGATCGAGGATGGTTTGGGCGAAAACACTATTCGCCCATGCGAACCAGCTGCGAGTATATTGCTGGATTCGATTTACATTGACGCTCTCATGGATCAGGCCCAAAAGGCTGGAGTCTCGGACCATATTGATGGATTCCATGATCTCCGCATCTGACTGTGCCGTGCGAGCGCGGACAAGGACAGACATGGGCCAGGCGTTTTTAACGCCAACTACCATATTATATCAGCCTATGCGTGGATTATTGAATGATGCCGGAAAGGAGACTTACTGTGTGGACCGCCTATACCATGGAAGGCAGATCCTACCAAATAGTATGGGTTCCCGGACTTGGATAATATCATTCTTCTCGTATTCTGGTAGACCTTGTCGTCTTCCTTCACAAAGCCTAGCAAAGGAAGGGCAAGCAATGACGGGAGATTTGCGTCATCCATTAAAACAAAAGAGCCGTAGCCATCGACCTCAAAGGCGAATACCTCGCCATATTTTTTGTGGGTAATCACTCCATGCTCCCACACTCCTTGCTCGATCCTCTTAGAGAGGCCACGGAGTCTGTCAATGAGTTCTGCGTTTCCGCCAGTTTCCTGAAGCACATTTGCGGTTCGCTTTAGTTCCACGGCCATCATGGCGTTTGCGGGAATGAAGAATCCCATGATGGTTGCATCATCGCTGGGGCGGAAAGCACTGCGAACCAGGCCGGTCTCGTTATTCAGGGGATTTCCGATCCCGCCTAAATTCAACGTCTCCGTTCCAATATCAGTCGTTCGTTGAAAGGTATATTCATTGCGCACATAACTCCCATACTCATCGAACGTGGATTCAGACTGTGCCTGAATCACGTTCAACACCGTATCAAGTGCCTGGTACCATCTTCCCGTGAGGAAAGCACTCGATCCACTATGCTCGTAGAATTGGTTTCCTAGAGAAAGGAAATTGGCGAGGGAATCAAGCTCATATTTACATTCAAACACGACGGTCGGCTCGTAAACGGGGTGAACAGAATCTTCTTGGCCGTTATTTGTGGGCGGTAACTGACTCGCAGGCGGTGGTTGGAAAGCGTTGCAATACGGCGATTGAATCACAAACTCTGCCTGGGTGTTTATGGCCCCGAGGATGAGATTTTTGATATTGGGGTCCTTCTTCGACAGGACCTGGTATTGGGCCAGCTGGTTCGTCGAATCCCGGAGCCACTCAGCGTTTATGTCTCCCGTGACGATAAAGGACTGCGGGCCTTCCCATGCTGCAGGGTTGGCGCCCTTCTTTTTTTTCGACTTTTTCGACTTCTTCACTTCCTCGCTGCCTTTAATGTGCCATTTCACTGTTGTGTCCAGCGTGTTGGGGAATGCATTTTGGAAGATTCGGGCAAGGTCCTTGTCGACCATGCGAGAAGTTACGTCCTCGATCACTTTCTCGACATATGGTGACGAGAAGGTCCGACAGACTTCGGCGGGGCGCTGGAAGGGAAGCTTGAGTGGACCCTCACTGTATGGAGGACTGAAGAAAAGGTAGAATATATCTTTAGCACCTGGACGGGTGAAATCCGCGAAAAGAACACAAGCCAGGGCACTTACTGTCTCTCTGCGGCGTATTCTGTGTAGTCCGGGCAAGCTTCCGCGAGGTCATCTGGGTCGTCTTCCAACGATGGCTCCGTACCAGTGACAACGCGGCTACAGAGCGCGGCCGTAAGGAGAGCGACGAGTTTCAATGAAAGTTTCATGGCTGGGTGCGGGCTATCGCCTCGAGTTGACTGATACGACGGGCCGGGATGATTCGCTCGGTCATACAGTAACTATGTAACTCAACTCGAGAGTAGGCCGAAGTGATGCTCATCGTTTTCAACCAGAGCGGTGTCATAGGGTCAGATAATTATGGCGACCTTCTATACCACCGGGGACTCAGGTCACCTGCGCTCTGCGGTGGAACTGTGAAGCTTCTCCCGGCTGCTGTTATGCAGACACTGTCGATCATTCTCGGCAGTGGCTGCCCTGGTCAAAGTAGGCCCATGCGCCTACGTCTTAGACATGGCGAACCATGTTTCGGCCGTGGAGTGGTTGCGGAGTAACTACGGGGCATAAAAGTCAATCGGAAGGGTTGCCATCCAGGCTGAAAAAACGATTCTATAGCATGCTGCCACTTCTGTATTTACTTGCGACTATGCTCAGCTACGTAATACTACAGTCAACATTTCAGTCGGGGGCTGAAACATTTTATCGTAAGTAGCGCGAAGGTCTAGAATCTCCCAGATGCGCGAAGTTAATGAGGATGACCTGGATATCATTGTCGCACAGCAGATGCGCCTTGCATTACTTCCTATGCAGAGTTCGCATGTCATTTCTTGCCAAAGAACGACATGATACTTCCCTGACCAGTCTTTTGAGATCCCTTCGTCGACTTGGCAGTTGACACTGGAGGAAGCCTTTTCTTCGGCGGCTCAGTCTCGTCTTCAGAAAATGATTCCCATTCGAGCACTTCTTTTGTGACCAGATAACCATCTGCATCCTTGTACTTTTTCCTTTTTGGGACTTGACGTTTTCCTCTCCGGCGGCCATTGGTGGTTTTGACCGGTTCAGATGCTGGTTCGGGGGGTTCTGATGTCTCCGTCTTCGGTTTCTCTGCCTCAGTTGTCTCTTCCGCTACAGAAGCGGATTCTTCCGGCGCGCTTTTTGGTGCATCTGGCATTTCATCATCATCGTCATCTGGGGGTGGTCAGCTCATGCTTTACGCGGGACTAACAATCCATTTCCTACCTTCCATCATTTTCCGGAGCTTCTCCTCTCGCTCCTTTCTTGATTCACGGTCTTTGTTGCTGGTTCGCTTTCCAGAATCGAGGAACAGATCTTCGCGCTCTTCTTCAGAATCGTCGTCCATGACAACTATGACATGTAAGCAAAACAGTTGAATAGAACACTGTAGGATATTGTGCATACCGTCTTCGACGCCACTTGGATCACCCTATTCATGATTTAGTATGTAGAGACACGTATGAAATAGTGTAGATTTTGGCCACATACGGATTCCACTCCAGAAACATTGGGCGCTTCTTCTTTCTTGGCTTTGGGTTTCGCTTTAGCAAAAGCCTTGAATAAATCTGAACCCGGGGGTTTTGCCGAACTTGGTCTTTGCGAAGGCCTTGCTGAGGTCTGGGACGCTGAAGATTGCCGTGAAGTAGGCCGTGCCTGGATTTCTACCTTTGCTTCGGCTTTTATGTCCTCCTTTTGCGTCTGGGGCTTATCTTCCTGTTTTATAGGAGCTACTTTTGGGGTCTTTGGCTTCGTAGGGCTTGGTATAGATGCGGGGGGCGGTATAGGACCAGTTCTTCGCTAGAATTGGTGTTAGCATATGCTATAGGTATAAATATTAGGATCGCCCATGCCTTAACGTTCTTATTCTGTATCATACCGTACCCCGGACCATACTGTAACGGGTCTTTCGTGGATACAAGGGAAGTTATGTCGGCTAAAACGTTTAGGTCTGTAGGCGATGTAGGCTGAACGCTGTAGATGAATATAGAGTATAGAGTCTTGAATCTGCGTTTCGCATCTAATAGTATCGTTAGAATACTGATGATTCCCTTAAAATGTCCGGTTCATGTTATCCAAGAAAATGATTACCTTCTAGCTCATCTTCTCTCACCAATAAGACCGATGTTACGGGTATCTCTTCTTCGCTTGATGCATCGTCCGGAGCAACCTGGCTGCTCACAAATGGGCTGCTCTGCATAATCTCATCATCGCCATCCCTTAAAGTCCCTCGGCCTGGCCGGCCGTTTTGCTTTGCAAGCACTCCGGTTAGGAGATATGTTGCATTGACAGACTTTGGCTTTTTGGAGTTTTCATGTCTGTGAAACTCATAGAGCATTCTATTTTCAAAAGTTAGTCCAAAGATATATGTGTCTCCAGCATCTATTTAGATCGAACAAAAATACCTCTTGGCATGATTGCAGTGGACATTCAGTGCCCTGCTCAGAGCGCGATATGTCACCTTGCGGCACAGGTCAGCAGAAAGCTCAGGTCAATTTAAAGGGAAACTGAATGTTACTCACATGCTCCTGGTCACTGATAACCTTCTCCGCTAAATACCTTTTGTAGTTGGACGCCATCAGTCTATAAACTCGACAATGATCGTTTATCCTAGCTGTGACGGGGTGAAGCGCTGCCAGTGAGCATTCACGGCAGCATCCAACGCGTGTGGAATCCCCATTTAACGCGTTCTCAGTCAGCATTCTTGGCGTTCCTCAATATCAATGCCCATCTCCATCACCCACTACGCAATTCTTCACAAAGGCTCACCAGACAAGTGAAGCTCTCTCCCTCACGGTTAGCTTTGCTAGGTTAAATAGTAGTCTTAATTTCTTCTTTCCAATCGCGCCTTTCAGGAAAGTACATACGCCCCATGGAGCCGGTTTTCGATATCCCCGACTCAACAGATTGGCTCAGCACTCCTCTTTCCGGCCTCTCTCGTGTCGAATCCGCCCTCCGCTGCCAGGTCTGCAAAGACCTCTTCAAGAACCCCGTGACAACATCGTGCTGCCACACGTTCTGCTCAATATGCATACGACGATGTCTATCCGCTGACGGGAAGTGTCCCACTTGCAGAGCAGATGACCAGGCTGTGAAGCTGCGACAAAATTGGGCGGTGGACGAAGTGGTTGATTCGTTCAGACAAGTGCGAGGAGATCTTCTAGGATTTGCAAGGAATCTTTCGGCGGGACCCAACAGCGATAGTAGAGAGGCTAGGATCCCGAAAAAACGGAGAATAGAGGAGATGCAAGATGCGACTTCACAAGAGAACGGGAGGAGCCCTCCGAAAACTCGATCGCAAAGCGCGTGGCGAAATAATGGGGCATTATCTACATCTAGCACTCCAATGGTCATTGATAATAGCGAGGATGATGATTATCAGCCTGGTACTGTGCATGCTTCTGGTAGTTCGTTTGTCTTATCTAACAACTTATTATTAGATGATGGCCTCGTTGCATGCCCAATCTGCAACCGAAGAATGAAAGAAGAAGCAGTATTCCCACATCTTAACAGATGCCCTGGCCCTTCGTCACAAAAGGAGCCACAGCCCAATCGGTATGAACCGATTCCACACCATTATTTCACTCCTGGTTAACGATGATGTAGTATCTTTTCTCTTTCCAGTCCCCGCAAAACCCCGTCCTCCAACAAACCCCCAGAACGCCTCCCTACGATTAATTATTCTGTGATGAAAGACACTGACATGCGGAGAAAGTTGAGAGAACTCGGAATCCCCGAGTTCGGGCCAAGACTACTTCTCCAAAAGCGGCACACCGAATGGCTGAATCTGTGGAATGCCAACTGTGATTCCAAGAGCCCCAGATCCAAACAAGAGTTGCTCCGTGAATTGGATATTTGGGAGCAGACTCAGGGGATACGATCCAGAGATCAGACGAACTCCATCATGAAAAAGGACTTTGATGGAGCTGCCTGGTCAGCTGCACATGGAGACGATTTCAGGAAGCTTATTGAGAGCGCTCAGAAGAAACGTGAATCGCGGGTTGCTCCCGCCTCTGAATCGCTTCCAGCAAGTAAACAACTTTCGACGGAGACCGCAGATCCCCAGGATCCTCAGATTGGAGATAGCAATGCCCCGGGTAACGAGAGTCCTGATAAGATAGACCATCATACCCCTGCGGATAGCGGTCCCGACTCCCAACCTGGAATGGAGGGCGGAAGTCAGAGAATTGTCGTTGAAGACACTACCGCATGATCAAATGATCAAGGGAGCATTTCGACGGTCTCCCCCACGCCGTCAAGCCGTGCACTTACCAACGAACGGGCCATTGCACAGCATTGGGTGATCAGTCGGCATGCACCCTTGTTTCTTCACTGCTTTTCAAACCACTGTCGTTAATCGACATCTGGGAAAGCTTGTTAATGCTCTCCTCCAGTTCCGCGTTCGATATGGCAGTAGATGGTACCTTTGCCCTTTCTTCGGGTCCAAGGAGTTTTAACTTGTCCAACTCCGCCAGTTTCTCTCTGGTGGCTTTCGCTTCCTTCTCTTGACGGGCCTCTTCCTCTTGTGCCTCCATTGCTTCCAGCTCATCATCGAGTTCACCCTCATCGATCACTGGAGCGGCCTCGTTCATTATGTTGCCAACCTCGTCAACATTCGCCATCTCCTTCCGTAGCTCTTCGACCACATCTTCAACCTTCTCAACACCTCCAACCTGCTCATTCAGTCCTCGGAGGACACCTGTGCTGGCTTCCATAACTCTTATGATATCCACTTGGCCCACAGCTTGCTCGATTTTTGTATAAACTTCTTCTAACTGGTACAATGTGTCCGATCTCTGCTGCAGGTTCCGCTCCGCTAATTTTTTAGAACGGAGAGCAGATAGAGCTAAAATTCGATTTTTGTTTTTGAGAGCGTTCTGAGCGGCAAGCGTGAGTTCTCGAATTTTTGCATCTAGACTCGCTATTTGGACTGTTATATTAGAAATTAACATCTTGAGCGATGCTACGGTCTTGTCCTCGTGTGTTATGTGCAAGGTTTTATCGTTCGTCTCTCTAAATTTTATTGTCTCGAGTTGAAAATTAGCTAAAAGTCGCAGAGAATGCAACGTTGCATATGCATACCTCTCCATCATATAGGATAGATCCTCGATCTCGCGATAGGAAGATCAGGAGCACTTCAAGATCTGTTGGGGACAACTCGGCATTTGCACCTATGAGATAAGAGAACCGGGCTCGAAACAGTTCTTTGGAATAAATTCTGTCTATTCCCGATTGATGGTGAGCGGACGCCTCTTTCGTAATTCGTTTCTCAGCTTCCTGGATCATTTGTAAGCTAAAGAGAAAAGGAAAAAAGAAAATAAGAAAATTTCACTCTTTCAGCATCCTTTCTGTACCTTGAGATTGTCAACTAATACCAAATCTTGTTCCTGTAAATTCTTCGAGCTCTCAACGTGGTCGTAGTCGGTGCCAACAATCAGGCCACGAGCCTGTTTCACACCCCATCCTAATATCTGGGATATAGACGGCGCGGCCGGTAACCGAATCCAACTTTTTTTGAACGGACTGGTGGGACTATTCAAAAACTCTGGGAGTGCAATCATTTTACCTGTTCGGAGGGACTCATCCTATTCCTAGTCAAAACCCTATCCTGGGAGAATAGCAGTGATGGAAAGTGGCACATACAATCACAGCTTGCAAAGCTAGTGGTCGTCCCCATTCTCGTGTCTCCAACGCCGCACTTAGAGTGTTACTTGTGCTCAGCACAAGGGAGTTGCTCTGGTGAGATTTCGCACCACCGGTGACATTTAGCTTCCCTCCTTTGACGGGTGTTGGAATGAGCCCTGCCAGAGTGGCATCGGCTAGAGCCTTTTGCCATGCTGCTATGTTGATGGCATATCCGTCCGGGTCTTGCTGGAGAGGAAAATCGGAGTAGAGGGAACCCAGGCGCCTGATTTATTCCAGGATCAGCTATTGTTATTCTGCTCTTAATTTTATGACCAAGAAAATCCCAGGCATAATACCATACCTCTTGAAGGCTTCATTCGATAATATGAAGTTGAGCAGATCACTCATAGCTCTGGTCTTTTGTATGTGAAATTCAGACGTCCTGTTTAAGTGAAAGATTCAGCTGGCAACGCATTCTCAGCGGTCGGAGAGAAGGAGGCCGTCGGCGACGAGGCAAGGAATCCCACCCGTCAACCAATAAGCGATCCGGATCGACAGTTGAACGGCAGGCAGCTCTCTCGCTCAGCGGTGCCAGGTCATCGGCGATGCTTCCCTCGCGCGATGCATGTTTGTTGCTTTTGCACGTTGACCAGGTGTCCAGCAGTTTGCTCTGTTTGGTGTGTTTGGCCTGTTTGCATTTGGGTGACTTCGGTTTCGCAGGAAAAATAACACTCTGCCAATCACTCTATCAAAAAGCAATGAAACGTCCATGTCGTGATGGTCTATGGGTCTACTCAGTACATCTCGACGACAGGACCAGTCTGGCTGACTAGGTTGGTTAATGCGTTTTTCTTTGCTGGTTCTAGAATGGCGGAGGAGAGGCATCCACCGGAAGACCTACACAGCAGGCGACGAACTTTACGGCCAACACCCTCCAGGTCATCTTCACCAGGAAGCATCCTTTCCATCCGCCGCCTCTCAATTCCCCATATAAATACTCCACGTCGTCAAACACTACCGTCTCTTGTCCGTATCCCGCATGGATGTATCCGAAAACAGTCAACCTGGGCTTTATTCTACACAATTCCATATGTAGGAATATACTCCCCAGACTATTCGCATCGAGATGATATTTCGGCGGGGCATGCATTAATAAGGTATCCAAATCCTCTAAGAAGGAGCCTGTCCAAATATCCCGGCTAGAAGGAACTTGGAAAGCCCAATTCCCAAATTGTTACTTTCAAGGTGACCCGTAGACCCTAATCAGGCGACCTTAGAACCCATATCACTACCTTGTAATAGTGCGGCTGGCTATTTAACCGGCCTGGATGTCATCGAAAGTCCCTTTTTCAGAGAGATCCCCGGCATGGAGTAGTAGATCTCCGTCTGGAAGTTCGGGCTGTGCACTATGAGTATCTCATATGCAGACCACTCTGATCGGATGCAAAGAAGTTTCGGGGTGGAGGCAAGTATTCCCGGAGTTATGCGACCGGTAAAGACATGCTGCCAGGTTTGTGATAGAATGCTCCCATCGGCTTAGTGAACGTTGGAGCTACTTCCTAGGAGACCTGCCATGGTAGTTCATTCGCACGCACCAGGTGTCAAGGATTCGTCATGACCGCACTCATTCCTGGAGATGGGTTTCAGACGTAAAAAGAAAAACCTGCAGTCATAAACGCCGTTATTTTAGAAATGGTCGGTGAGTGGTGCCTAGGAGTTTATGGGCCCGTTTAAAAATCATCACTGGTATTAGAAGCCGGGGTTTCTTTGCGAAGCCCCGTCGTCGAAGCTCTATTTCAATATTCCGAGCCCTTCCGTCGTGTTTTCCAGATAGAAGACATCGAACAAATTGATGAGCTTGAAGCCCATGAATGTTCAACCAAGCTAAATAATTTACCCTCAGTTTCCAGAGTATCTAATTTTGCATTGTTTTCTTTGTGCTCGAGATGTTCTCATCTGACTCTCTTCCAAGGCCGAGCAGAACACGCTCGGCCGGCTTCTTTCATATCCCATATGCAACACGCTTCACTTTTCCCAGTTTCTAGCTGTTTAGTGCAGTGTAGAGCCGGTGCAATAAATGCGATTGAAGGGTGGATTTCCGGGGCTCTCCAGATCGAAGGCGATCACATGTGATTCCGTCCGCCCTCAAGACGACGGCGCAATGGAGAAGAAAGCGGAGAGAAATACGGAGTAGAACCTAAATAAATAGACATTTAATCCACGGACCTTTTCCCTGCTCCCACAGATCCCTTTCCTGATGATATCGTGGAATGGTCTTCCTGACCTCTGAAATCAAATTGACCTCCTTGATCGCGCCCTGACAAAGCCACGAGAAAGGCGCAATGGCTGTCAGTCTCCCACCAGCTCCCGCAGTCTATCTGCTCTTGGTCTCCCTGCCTTTGCTGGTTATTTCGGAGACCAATTCTTTCCTCACGGGCCATGCGCTGTTTAAAATGCTCTCCTCGGCCGCCTTCGTCGGCGCGCCGCTCCTCCACCTCTCAGCCGAATCATCGCCGTACAACACTTTCGTCACCTACGGCCTCCTCTTCTCCGTCCTCGGTGACTTCCTCCTAATACCTTCACAAAATGAGTACTACAGCCTAAGCCCCGCTCCAGCCGCGAAAAAGAACAACGGGAGCAGTCCCACTGAACCGGAAGAACCAAAAATTTCAATATCCTTTCAACTCGGCGTCGTCGCTTTTGCAGCAGCGCATATAGCCTACATCCTGGCCTTCCTCCAGAACTCACCGGAAGATATATCATGGCCATCGTTTGCCATCACGTTCGTCACCACGATGATGATCGCAAGATGGCTTGGTGTCATATACCCATCGCCGGCGAGCAGCAATGCGCTCAACCTCGTTATCCCTAAGGACATGCTGTTCCTGGTCCTGATATACGCGGCCATCATCAGCTCAATGCTGGCGGTTGCGGTCTCCACGGTCCCTTCACTGCAACACCAGCGGGTGCTGGGAGCGGCGATGTTTGTTGTCAGTGATATTTTCGTGGCGAAGGATGCGTTTGGCAAAAGGTCACGGCCCAAGAATGAGAGAAATTGGTGGCTACAGTCTGCTACGGGGTGGGGTCTCTACTTCTGGGGTCAGATGGTTTTGGCTGGGACAGTGGAAGGGATTTGAACTTGGACTTTCATTGCAGCGTAAATCCATTTGGCTCCTGAAGTCACATCATACAAACTTTCAGATAATTAAAGTATAGAGATGGGAAAAGAGTCCCTTGAATAAAAAACGTTGGCGCATAGTTTAGGATTGCCCATTCGGATGTGCCCAGCCTGAATCAATGTCTAGTAAAGTATAGTAACCAGCAGCGAAACATATTTTGGATATCTTCCGGCATTTCGAATCAGATCCCGGCTAACAACCAACGCCTTAAATCACCGACACTCATCTATGAAAAAGAAATTAGGGGAAATATCGACAAGGAAAAGAAAAGGGAAAAAAAGAAAACGCGGCATCAAAATCATGCCCTAAATTCATTCAAAATCATCATTGGGTTCAGCGGCTTCAGCTGGGCTCAGTGGCCGAAGAGGAGCTGTAGGGATGCCTTCGAGTGGATTTGTACCACCCATCAGCGATTTACGGTGGCCATGACCACGATAGTCTAGGTTCTCTCGTGTTTCTTCTGGTCCAACTTCGGTGGGGGTTTCTACACCCTCGCCATTCATCCCTCGGACTTCGAGACAACCAACCTTTATGGCCAGGCGAAGATCATCGACAACCTGTTGCATTTCAGGCAGAGGAAACGTCCAATCATCGACAGTATCGCTGTACTGGCGATTGGCTTCTTCCATAGCACTGGAGGCAAGGCGGGCCTGTCCTTGTTTGAGCCATCCTTCGGCCGCGAAAAGAGACCACATTCCTGCTTTCCGTCTCCGTGTGCCCCATCCCGTGCCGTGGGTTGCTATTTTCGAAGCATAGCAAGCCGAAACACGTTCAAATAGGAGGAGTCGCCCAATGCTTCCTAGCAGGCCCATGTCCAGGACTCGCGTCGACCATCGTGCTGCGCTCTCTGCAGCGATACCACCGCGCGATTTGAGAAGCTCTGCCCCCAGTATGACCGTTCGAAGGGTATTCTGGGGATCTGAACATCTCGTAAGATACGAATAACAAGCCGTTTCCAAAAGCTGTTCGATGGACTCAAGCCTGGATTTGCTGGTTGAAGATAAGGGGTTGAGTAAGGTTGCCACCGCACACATCTCATGGGCACCAGCATGGTAAAGCCATGCTTTATCATTGCTAAAGTCCGTCCTCAGTAAATCGTACGTAGATGCAGCCAATTTCCAGTCGCGTAGCATAAATGAATAATCCGCCATTTTTCGCAAAATAGCTTCTGGAGAATCCGGTTGGTAGAATCCTTGGTAAGAATCATAATTGCCGGATGAGCTGCCTCCAAATGGTGATCCCGATGACCTCGAACCTGATCCAAAGCCAGCCCACCGCTTAGATATCGACATGAATCGTCCACTTAGTCCTCGTCTTCGTGATGCAACTTGGTCATTCCACAGCGCAACGCGATTCTCCATATGAGGGATCACAGACTGTGCGACCAATTCACGAACGAACGATTTTATTGCAGTCACATCAGATTCGAACAGGTAGGAGGGTTCGGCTTCAACGTCAATCAGGGATTCTATTGGGGATTTAGCACTAGGATTCAATTAGGTATATCCATATCGAAATTACCTTGCTTCCCCATAGAAATGAGATCTTCCACGGGACTTAGCCATTCTGGTGTGGGAAAAATGGTGCTATCATCGTCTGTTAGGACACATTGATTGCTCCTGAGTCGCAAAAGATGGCAGTGAAGCCCAAAATGTCGCTTCATCTGATCAAACAGTGCAGTTGACTGGGCAATATCGTCATTATCTTCATCGTGGACAAGGACGTAATATCGCAAATATTCCGGGTGCACCCATGGAGGAGGCTTCTTGTCACCCTGGCTGGTCTGAGAATAGAGCTGGCGCAATGATTCAAGAGGTGCCGGAGTATGCGAACTGATCGCTATCACACAAGCGACGGCATGGGTAAAAGTTTCGTGGGGTGTTTGGGAGACGGAGGAGAGTAGCCGCCTGAGAAAAACTTTGTATAAGGGAGACGGTGGAGGGGAGCTTTTAGAGCTGGGATCACTGCCACGGACCCAACTATCCAAAGGCTGGTCTGCGTATTCCAGATGCTTCTCTAGAACTTCTTCCAGCTGCGCAGCAGCAGCCGGAACATCGCCGCCCTTCCGGCCGCCAGGATCCTGGCCACTCAACTCCGCAAATCGCACCCCAAAATCGTCCCAGGTTCGACTAGAACCGACGCCATCGCGAATGACTACTTTTCCCGTAATCCGCTCCCCGAAGGGCCGTATTAACTCGAAAAACCCGCCTTTGAATCCCTTTCGCTGGATCAGAGCATCTGTGTCTGGAGACGCACAAACTCCAATTGTCGGTGAAAATGCACGTATTATTATCGATCGCACATCGTCAGATCCACCGATCTGGGACCCTAGAGGCGTAGCAGTGCTTGAGCGCGAGAGGCGTAACGTAGAGCGGGAGAGTCTGCGGTCTGGTGAGGATGATCTAGATGTGACTTCCGACGATGCGACGGATTGGAGATCCGAGAGGGAGCGGTGGTCCAGGGAAGGTTCAGACAAGGAGTGTATTAGAGACTGCGAGTCCTGGAGACTGTCCGAATACCGGGATTTCGAGGGGAGGATGGAAGTGGCCGGGGAGAACGAGGGTGGTGGCTTGAGGGGTGGAACATCGTCTGGTGATGTCATGGACAGCTAAGGGTTTCAAACAAATTGGGAAAAACCTTTACTTCGCATGGGCGTCAGGAGAGGGAGCAGAGGGCAATAAATAGGGAATAGGTGTTGAACCAGAAGCTGTTTGTTGGACTGTGATAAAGCGTCAGGTCAGGTTGTTGTCGGTTGGTTGGTCGGATGTGTTGTCAAAAACCCGACGACGATCATGAGGGATTCGCATGACACTTCATCCTACTGTTCTTTTTCATTCACAGAATAATAATTGTGAAGATCTCTTTCCGGTCACTGTGACTCAAAATGTAACACACTGCTTTTCACATCTTGTCCGTAAATGCCTGTCCGTCTACCCCTCCCCGTCCTCATCCCGTCCCGCTTCCAAATCGCATCGATTCAGCGCAGCCGCAACAACTTTGCCTCTTTTCTAGCTACTCCCTGTATCCGCCGCGATCGCCTGAGTATACGACAATATTTCACCTTTCATTCTATGCCCACAAACGCACATAGAGCTCAATCTTGTGAACGACCAGCCAAACGGAGACGAACGTCCTACAGCTCTGCTACCACCCCTATGGCAATAGAACCCGACGTCATGGCCCCCGTTCTGCCGATAATTGAGCTTACTCAAATCGAGAAGACGCTGACACATCTTCTACTCGATGTTGTCGAGTATATCAAGCAGAAAGGTGCCAAGAATGGCGACAAATCCATTCCCCAGGACGTGGTCCTCAGATTTACGGGTGGATGGGTTAGGGATAAACTGCTGGGAGTGGATAGTAACGATATTGATGTTGGCATTAGCACGATGACAGGCTACAAGTTTGGAGTGGAACTAAAAGAGTACCTCGATAATCCCGAGCACCTGGAGAAGTATAAGAGCTTCCACTCGGATGATGCGCTCAAGAGCGTCATAGGCGGTCTTCACAAGATTGAAGCAAACCCGGAAAAATCAAAACATTTGGAAACTGTGGCTACCAAAATATTTGGGCTGGAAGTTGACCTGGTGAATTTGCGTAAAGAAACCTATTCGGATCACAGCCGGCACCCGGAAATGGAATTTGGGACTGCAGAAGAAGACGCTCTTCGCCGCGACGCTACAGTGAATGCTTTATTTTATAATCTTCATACATCGTCGGTTGAAGATTTCACCGGCAGAGGTATAGCGGATTTAAGGGCGCATCTGATCCGTACACCTCTTGAGCCATATCAGACGTTTAAAGATGATCCACTGCGTGTGCTACGATTAATCCGCTTTTCCAGTAGGCTCGGATATAAAATCGACCCGAACACAGAGGAATCCATGCAACACGATGATATCAAAGATGCTCTTAAGTTAAAAATTAGTCAGGAAAGAATTGGCGCTGAAGTTGAAAAGATGCTCAAAGGTAGGCTATTCGGGCTAGTTCGCACTCCTACCTAGGCTAATTCATTCTAGGACCTGATCCCCTCATGGCATTGCATATTATAGAGCGACTTGGACTATATGACACCATATTTGCAAATCATCAAGATGATGTTGTTGTGGACGTGTCGTCTTGGAGCCGAGCATACGAGTCGCTCATGGCTATCCTAGATGATAATTATAATGAAGTTACCATTTCACAAGAAAGTCGAGCTACTTTACGCAGCATTCTTATCCGGCATAGGGAGGATACATATCATTCCTGGATGCTGGCAGCATTATCCCCTTGGGCAGTAGTTCCTCAGAAAGAACCTCCACCTAACAAAAAGGAGCTGCCACCGAGACCGTCAATGGTGGCTCGAGACAGCCTTAGGGCTGACAATAAAACGGTTGATATATTAAAGTCTGGCGCCAAATATTACGGCATGGTTTCCGATCTTAAATCAGCGTTTTTAAATCGAGAACTTGGCAAGACCTTGCCTGATATACGCTGGAGAATAGGGAGATCAATTCGAATAATGGGTGCGGAGTGGCGGCTATGTTTCATCCAAGCTGTCCTACTAGAAATCATGCAAGGAGAAGAAGCCGGAAAAGGTGAGATTTCGTCTTGTGTTTTTTCTTTATTCAGCACTAACTGGCCCCTTAAAGTGTTCTCTGAGTATGTCGAATTCCTCTTATATATTAAGGAGCAAAATATGCTTGATGTGGATGCTCTTCGCCCACTTGCCAATGGCCACCAACTTGCATCTGCCCTTGGTGCGATGCCCGGTCCGTGGATGTCTAAAGCACTAGAAATGGTGATTGAATGGCAGCTCCGAAATCCAGAAAGAGATGATGGAGACGGTGCGATAGCTGAGGTGAAGCGACGGGCTGATGAGTTGGATTTGAGCCCACCAGTTAAGAAAAAGAAGTAATAGTTAAAAGAGTGAAAGGTGGAAAAGCTGTTCTATGAGCATCTTGTAGACCGATTAAAATTTTCCACTATGATAGAATTATACTATATCAAACAATAAAAATCATAAAATCTCGCGTAAAGAGTGGCTTTCCATTCTGTTAATTGATGTGAGGTCTGACTAGATTGGACGCCGCTGAGAAAGCTGCCTGGGTTCTAACCATGAACATCAAATCATACTTTTTTACTACAATGTACTCCTGGTGAATTGAACCCTTCAATAACATCTTGAAGCCGTATAACATGGATCGCTATCGAATCGCGGCCCGCAAATCCCTTGAAAATACTGATGACAGCGATTCTTTCTTCGTTGATGTAGAGTGTGTTGAAGAGATCAGCCTCAAGACAGTATGGGACGATATTCACGGCCATCAAGGGCCCAAAACAGACCTGAAGGTAAGTCTTTCTACAAATCCGATATAAAATCCGCTGGCTCTAATGTGCTCATATAGATTTGCGAAGATTTATTGGTGGCGCAGACAGTTTCGCTGCATCTCCAACAGGAAGATGTTTTGTCTGATGACGACAGAGAAGCAGCAAATGCTCTCATAGTGTGGGTTACCGCCGTCATTCCACCCTCTCAGGTATTTGAAGGAGTATGGGAAGAATTCCAATTATCAAGTGGTATATGATATTGTGCATGCTTGAATACTGTGATGCTGGCTGCTGATCTGAAGCTAGATGAAGCGAGGCAACAGCTCTCCCAAAAGTTCAAAATCGCCCGCACAAAGGCAACTCTGGGATTGATTGCCCTTGAAAGGCTTTGCATATTGATCCCTTTGGAAGACACCGAGGACCCGGTTAATGTCATTGCCACTCTAGCGGCTTTTACGAACCCGCATGATCCCTGGACGACGATCGCCGCGGCTTCAATCTCGTGGTCGTTATTGGGCGAGTACGGGTCAGCTCACCCAGAGGACAGGTCGCTGGTGGCTCTCTCTGGGGATATTCTTGAACGATTTGTGAAGCCTTCATTCTCAAAGACCAAAACTCCTGCGATTACTTCCGCTGGTCGAAAAGATTTGCATCCGGTCAAGCAGCCATATTTTGACCCAAGTACCTTTGATAAAGCGGCAAAACCATGGAAGTACAAGGATGTTTCTGCCATAACGGTGCTTAACTGGGTTGTCCAGCAATATAAAGTATATCACCTGAGCAATATGTGTTTCTTCCTATCTGCTAATTCATTGATAGCCGTCTGACTGTTCAACGATTGAAGCCCACTTCCCCTTACTTATACCGGCCATTTTATCTCTCATAGACGATGAGAGCTTGCCATACAAAGCACAGGGCTGCAAGATACTTTATCGACTCTTATCTCCACTTGCGGAAGCAAAATCTGACATTTTAAAACGCACCAACCTCGACTCCGTCTTTGGCGACGCCATTACACCTTGTCTTCTGTACCTCCCTACTTTAACCCCAGAAGACCAATCCATTTACCTTCTCCAAGCCGCTTATCCAGCAATATTCTCCATCATCCGAACCCGATTCCCTTCTTCTCCTCCCTCAAAACAGCTCTATCATCCCGCCCCTTCTCAGCGTAAACGTGAAGAGCAAGAATCCCAATCTCGCACCAATGCTCTCACGCGCGTTTTGCGACAGAGTATCATCTCCTCATACCACCATATCAGCTCCCCTCACCCATCAGAAGATACATATATCTCCTCCTTTCCTCATCCGCAAATTTCCACCCTCTTACTTAACCAGTTAACGATCGCGATGAGCGAACTAGGCGTCGATACTGTCAAGCATCTGCAGGAAATCATCCCGATACTTACGTCAACGTTAACGAATCCATTCGGAACAGCTTATCTACCTTTGTTGGTTGCTGCTACAGAATGTATGCAGCAGCTTATTCTCTCTGCTTGGCCAAGGGTATGGAGATGGAGGGCAGAGCTTCTTGCTGGTGTATGTGGCTGTTGGCTGCATGTCGAAGAAGATTGGGAGGATATAAAGAAGAGTGATGATGAACAGGAACATAAAAAGTCCCAAGGCCCGCTGGAGTTGAAGGAAACTTTAAAAAAATGCGTTCAGGTCTTGAAAGCTGTATTGGAAGAGGCTGGGGATGATGACGAGACGAGTATGGATACCGACGCTGAATTTAAAGAGCTAGCAGACGGTGATATCAGGTTGCGGGAGCTCTTCGAGTGATGTTAATATCAACAAATATTCTCCATCTGGATGTTCTCTGAAGGGAAATGATACTATGTATCCTAACAGGTTTGTCCGTCTTGGAAAAAGCAAGATAGCTCTGCCAAATCAATGAGCATTCACAATCATAAAATGGACTGGGTATCATGAAAATCAAACCATCCCCTCCCCAAATACTGCGCCTAGAACAAAAATGCCATAAGTTGGTATGTTAAACTATAGATCAATCCCCTGCTTGAATAAACTTTTTCCCCTTAGCCACTGCCTATACCTCTTGTATCTCTTCTTGCCGTAATCCTCCCTTATAACCGTCAGACCTTCCTCTCCCACATTTAAGAACTCTATATAATCTGCCAGATTATCCTCGGCCGACGCATCAAGAGCCGGATCTTGCAGTGAAACTTTATTCGCGTATTCGACTAAATCAAAGTCTTTATTATTCGTAGCCTCTTTGATTGGTGACTCGGACGTCACAACCAAGGGAACTTTGAGGGGATGGTTTATGTATCGTTCGTATTCTTCTGCTTCGGATGCGGAAATGGTTGGATTTAGTGATTCCGTAACAAGCTGCCCGAGACTGTATTGGTTCGATTGTGACTTGGGTGTAAGCAGGTCTGAGTTGCTAGTCATCAGGGGCGGCGGGAGGTGTTGCGGTTTGAGAATACTGCTTTGACTGGACGATCTGTTTTCTGAAGCTGCGGATTGCTGGAGCCAAAGACGAAGGGGTTCCGATGGAGGCAGGCGTCCCTTACTTGAGTTGATAGAACGAGAGTCTCCGTTTAGAGTCTCGAAGGGTTCCTGAATGACGAGAACCTTTTTTCGCGGGGTCTTCTTTTCACGAGGTTCTGTTTCATGGTCTGCTCGGACGACGAAGGGGCTTAGATCATATTGGCCTTGCTGGGTAGATCGGAATGGAAGGTTGTGAAGGGTAGACTTCATTTTGAATGCAAACACCTTTGAGAATGAGGACACTGCTAAGGGTCTATAATATTCCAGCCAGTAATCATCGAAGGCCCGGACAGGAGCCTTAGATATTCCTTTGGGCCATACAGCTAGGGGCATTTGCCGTTCCTTCAAGAAGGCTGGTGTGTACCAATTGACGTAATTGTGTCTGTTAGCCTCCGCCCATGACCGCGGATCCGAGTGATGGAGGTAATAATCAGTCTCTAGATCCCAGAGCATCGGCTGATCCTGAGAAAACACGTAATTTCCTAGAAACAGGTTATAGGCCTCCTGCCTTTGAGCATCAAGGAACGAGTTGTTATAGAAGCGCTTAAAGCTTTCAACCATGTCTCTTGAGTGGCCGGCCCACTGATTGAGTTTTCGGTACGTCGCCATCGTGTTGACGAGATGGGAACCCCCGTATTGCACGGCGATGGTATCGCCATGAGCATGCCACATGTTCGTGAACATATTGATGGCATCTGTGTCGTAATCAACGGTGGTCCGGTCAATAATCCCTAAAGCATACAACTGATGTCCCAGCGCCCGTTTGGCAATAACAAACTGGGCTGCATTAGTTCGATCGAGACAGTCAATGCAATTGGTCCGGGCAACGCCATTCTGCATTTTCAAACCAGCCTCACCATTCTCGCCGTTCTGGAAAAATCCGGTTCGCGGGATGATATCCTGGGCAATATCTTCTAGCGTTCCAATAACGTCTTGGTCACGGCTTTTAGAGGCACGGCTCATATCCCATGCTTTGTAGATAATCTTTTTGTCTTCGGGAAGGAACTGATTGAGATAGTTAATTGCATTGGTGTATTCTACCAGCAGTTTCGATTCTCTAGGCATCCGTTCCCGCGATTTTATGAGATTTAAGACGTAAACAGGCGTACCATACCGCTCGAATAGATTGTTAAAATGGAGGGCAGCAGCAGAATAAAACGGATCGACAAGGTTGATCTCAATGTCTGGCTTTGGACTAACTCCGGTGTTGTCCTGGGTCCAGTAAAGAGGGATACTTCCACGATGTTGGACATAGGACGTATAATGTGGGTTGCAATAAAGCTTTGGCCCAGGAGCATGAAATGAAGTAGTTAGCATTTCGGCGACTATTTGTTCTGTTTCCACGTCGTTGGCTACATAGCCAAGATCGTTGGCGCCGCGCTTGAGAAATCGCGCTCCAGCGAAGAATCTGGATCGCCGGGCGATGAGTGTGATAAATACTAGTCTGCCGTAGACAGACATCGATGTTTGTTCCACGTAGCCATGGATAATGGGCAGACACCAGTCGTACGCATTTTTCAATGAGCCAACAACCGGCATCAAGAGGTAGTGGTTCCACACAAACATGGAGTTGAGATTATGGCTGTTGGCGCCCGGCTGACCCTTCTCGAGAGCTTCTCTTTCGGATGCGATATTCCGCTGCAACGTTTGCGTAATGTTGTAAGAGTAGCTGAAGTAGAAAGAACGCGTCAGGTCAACATTATTCATGATGTTGATGAACCTTGTCTCCTCTGCATGCTTTTCGGATTTTGTTTTGCTGGAGCTGGAAGAGCTGAGCGGAACCAACTCAGTATCATCAATCTGGTAAATATAATGTCCGCCAATCATGGCAACTTGACTGCGTTTCGTCACAAGCAGCATGTAATACGTTCCCGTGAATTTTATAAACCCAAGAAGCCCCCACGCGCTGCAACGTAGCTTCAAACCCCCAGAGCTCTTATTTCCATCATCCACAGCGTCCAGCAGCTGGTTCATCTCTCTTTTGGTATACACAGTATCGTCCTCTGAAATAGTGAGGTCGTCTGATTCAGACGTGCGATCAATTTTCAAGATCCGGAATCGTTTATCGATGAGATCCATTCCAACCATATAGTATCGCGTCGATGTCTCGTATAGGGAAAATTTGTGCATCCTCGAAATCCCATCGTCGCATGGCCGCTCATCGCCACCCTCTCGGCTTCGGAGCGTCGCGGCATTGGGCGAAGATGACCGCTCAAACGACTTTGCAACATTCGGTTCTTCATCCCCACCGTCTCCATCTCCGTCGAATATGGGCATGTCTGTGGAATTTCGCCGCTGGAACTGGAGCTGCGGGAACGCGGGCGGGGTATCGTCGGCTTCATTGGCTTCCCGTTGGGGCCGTGGTACGTCTTGCTGCGAGCCGTTCGGGCCGTCGTGGCCTGTCTTCTCGCTTTTCCCATTCAGAATGGCATTATCGCATGAACTCCTTTTGATCTCGGTGTCTTCGGCGTGCTGCGGCTGTCCACCTGACTGCTCGTCTAGCGCGACGGTCTCGGATGAGGCATTGGCTGAAAGAGCCACGTCGTCAAAGCTCTCCATGTGATGCAGCTGGCATGTGTTATCTGGTGATTGCAAAGTATTGATCTGTAGGTATCCGGCCGTCTCGTCTTTAGCCCCGGTCTCTGCAGCCAGTTTCTCAAAGCATTTCACCTGGTACCTTTGGCGTCGAGGCGTGACATCATGCCATGCCGTGTAACATCGCTTAGTCAGCATCAGCAAAGCTTCGCCTTGCGCGGTACGGATCACAGGAGTACAAAGTACGGGGTACGGAGTGTACAATATGCACAATTGGCTGCGACAAAATTTTTTTTGATTTTTGCAAAACTTCATATTTTTTTGAGCCCTACAAGTCACCTTACCAAACCAATACCTTCAGCCTTTAATTCTTCTCTAAGATTCAAGCAATCCCACTAATGTTGTCAGTCTGCACCTGGAGTGATAGCCTTTTTCAGTCAAAGAGGTTTCCTCAAGCCGAACAGGGACTAATGCTGGGGATTTCTGCGTGTGGGTGGATGAGTGGATCTGAGAATGTGCATTTTGAGGTCCTACATGCAAAAATCAGTCCATTTGATCGCATGAATAGATGTGACGTGGGGGCACGAGTTGTTTTAGTCTTGGAGATGTCAACATTTCATCCATCCATTGCGGATATTCCGCCGGCGATTCGACACCAGTGTATATAGAATGAAAAGAACAGGTTGTGATGTCAAATCGGATAGGGTAATGTCTTTTCTTCGGAGCAATTCCATCTTCCCAAAGACGGAAGGCCCCGCATATAATTAATAAGTTCGGGGAATGTTCTCCATAAGTGTTCCAGAATCCAGCAGAATATGAGCAGCCATCTCCTATAATGGCCTTTTCAAAGGATGGGCCTCCGTATTAAAAACATATTTATCCAAACTAACGAGGTCCGGCTCGCTGAAAAGAAGATAGAAGTATTTCAGTGTTTCCGCGGTCCAAAATGACTCCATTTCGTTCAAAACCTCCGGCTTCGATACTGTGACGTCGCTGAGGGATCCATGGGCAATTCTTGTTCGTGTATGCTTTTCGATGGCAGTGAACATGTTCCAGCCTTTATCCTGAAGGCTGGGATCACCAGTGATGCGATACAAGAGAAAGATAGATTCTATGGCCTCAGGCCTATATTCACAGGCCAGTCAGATGTTGATGCAGCAGATTTTCATGATACATGACGTACCTTAGATGATACTGCGCATTATCGATCTTAAGGAATCCCGGAATCAGTCCCTGCTTTTGGGCTTTCTTCTCGAGTTCACCTATAGTCATTCTCTCATCGTCCTCGCTGCGAAACCAGAGACGAGGACTCCACTTGCAGCCAGGGTCCTCGTTTTCATCGCAAGCGACCGCTGTGAAGATTTCAGGCATGACACCACTGGGCATACTTCGGTAGGCCCAGATACAGCCTTCGGTGAGCTTCTTTCCAATCTCTAGATCATTTGGAATATCAAAAATTTTTGAAGCTAAAGCCACCATACCCCCGGCAAAGCATGTAAGATGTTGGCCTTCTGGTTTTAGGTGGACTATCGATTTACCAACAGCATATGCAGCCCCTGAGATTAGGATATCTTCACCTGCGGCAGTTCTAGGGCGGAAAAACAGGCGCTTTCTTGCAACTTCCATGGCGACTTCGTACATTTCTTTATACTGTGACGACTGCCCGCCCAGCATTAGATACTCCTGCAGAGGTTAGTCAAATGGTGATAGCCAGCTGGTGCAGAAGGTTTACCTTTGGCAAATACTCATAGAGAGAATCAGACATGGCGCCAAAGGTGAATCGACGGTCGGCTGTAAACCTTGGGGTGAGTGCATCAATACCAAGTGGCCACATTCCCGGAAGCCGAGTGGAATTTTGATTCTCTTGCAGCACATTGGTAATACGCTGGACCGCATCGTAATACTTTGGATCTTCAGTTAACTGCGATAATCGGGTGAATTCCACAGAGAGCGAGCCGAGTTCTGCTAATATATTCGCATGGCTGGCTTCCTGCGGTGTACCGTCCCTAGCGCCCTGCCAATCCCAGCGAAGTACGGGCATCCGATTCGGGGAATCAAATGCAAGGTACAGCAAATCCGCCACTTCAACCGCTTTCTGAAGGAGGGCTGGATATGCGCCCTCTGACAGATCGTAGGCGGCAAGGAGCCCACCAAGGTAACGAATTGTGGTCTCAAAAACGTTCAGGAGAGGTTCTTCGCAGTACGAAAAATCAATCCGTTGAACTGCAGTGACGGCGTCCTCGAATTCTGCCTTCAATCCCATGATCCAAAGAGTGTCCAAACTATCCACCAGCGTTGCGCCCCAGCCGCCAAACGTGTTCCTCACATTGCCCTTTACTGGACCCACCTCGTCATAACCCCAAGCTCTTTCTTTATATCCTTTCCACGAATGCAAGAAGGCGTTCTTTACGGCATCCCGCCGTTGCTCCCGGAGCGTCTTCGTCTTTTCATCCTCTCCGCCGAAATTGAACTGAATCGGCGGGATTTGCTTCGGACTCCCCGTGGGGAGAGAGATCATCGACGTCACGGGATACTCGGTGGCATAATCTTTCCACCAATTGCGAAGCGGGCGCTTCGTCTCCGAGGGTTCTCTATTTGTGCCGGAGGAATTGAGGTGAAGGAGGCTGAACAGGAAGCAAAACGAGATTATTAAGGCTAAAGTAAATCTTCGAACGAGGACCATAGCGAGCGATCAGACAAGCAACAAAAAGGAAAAGAAAAAGAAAAAGCAAAACAAAGCAAAACACGAAAAACTGATTTGATTACTCCGTAATTGAACCTTTCCATCCTCCAAGTTCAGGAGCAAAAAGGAAGGCGCAAAAGCCCCTTCTTTCGCCATCTTCTGCATAAGTAGCTTTTTTGACTTCGAATTCCATACTACGGAGCACGGAGTACGGAGTAGCTGCATATCAATCAGGGGCAGCGAATCCGCTTCCTCTCTGGCGTCGTCATCGTCACCGCCGGTCCGGACCAATTGCGGCTTCGGGGATCAGCTCCGGCGCGTCTTGGCGCGTTGCTTGTTTGCTTTGTTTGTAGCGGTGCGGCTGGAACCCGTGGCTTGGCGCGTTTCGTGCGGCCGTGCAGCTCCACATCTGCCGTTTGCTGAGTGGCGGTGCGCGCTCGGAGGAATTCAACCGGCAGCTTGGGCGATAATATTGCAGCACTCCGTAAACCGCCAAGGATGATTCTTGAAATGGAGGTAGAGATATTTGTGACTAAAAGGAAAGCAAGGCACACAAATCGTAGAAGGGGTCCGTCTCAAGATGACGATGGCGTAAACACATCATGTACGGTGTTCTCCGTACTCCAAATTTAACAACAGACATACCACGGACCTCCTGTAGGTATTATTTCATCCAAAGCTGGTCAAGAAGCTTTGCTCAATTTCACGATAAAATCCTCAAATCCTTGCTCATAAGCTCCACATCCTCCAAATGTCACACCTCTCGAGTCATGTATGTCTGTATGTACGGTACATACAAGATGTTTCTCTCAGATATCCAGACTAGTCTCATTTCTCTGGTTGTCGGGATTGATATTTAGGATCAGATATGTGCTAAGACCCCACATAAGAAACCCAGGGAGTGATTTTAGATTGACGATGAGTGAAATTTTGAAATGGAGAGTCGCTGACTTGATATGGAGTCTGAGCGGATAATCCCGCGGTCGGGCTCTGATATCACGTGATTTGATCGTAACTAATGCTTCCGAGGTTCGGCATCTAAACATTTTTCCCAGCAAACACGGCAAGCCGAGACAGCATTTAATGACAATGACCGGCTCTCGCCTGGTCGAAAACCTAGGTGATTTCACTGGAGTGCCGGAGGCTAATCGATGTTGCCCAAAATGACATAATTTCAGTGATACCTCGACCGCTTTATTGAATAAGACAATCACTTACCATGGACGCGATTCGAGTGACAGAATTCGTCTCCTCAGTATCTTCCCTGCGACCCCAAGCTACCCCTTTTCCTCCCCAACCCCGGCCCGGAGAAGTCCTTGTCGCAATCCACTGCGCAGCACTGAATCATGTTGACCTCCTCTATGCTCAAGGAAAACATCAAAACAACAAGTCATTGATTCGCCCGCCGTTCACCCTGGGGCTCGAATTTTCTGGGACAGTTTTCGCTGTCGGTAGCACGGACACTACTCATGAGCCGCAGTTTAAACCAGGAGACAAGGTCTTTGGTGCAGGGTTGGGTGCATATGCGGAATGGATTGTTGTTCCAGCACGAAGTCTCCACCATATCCCGCACAACTGGACATTTGAGGACGCTGCCGGGCTTGCAGCAACAGCAAATGTCGCGTATGGTGCTGTTGCAATCCGAGGCGGAGTCAAAGAGGGTGATTGGGTTATGGTCCAGGGAGCCGCCGGGGGAATAGGTGTATATGCCTGCCAAATCGCCAAGGCTTTAGGGGCCAAAGTCATCGCAGGTGTTAGGGACACTCGAAATTCTGAAAAGGTCGGCATTCTGAGGACAGTAGGTTGCGTCGACGGCATTGTCGCGACTGGCTCTGGGCCAGGCTGGGAGAAGGAAGCGAAGGATATAACATGTGGTCATGGAATAGATGTCGTAATTGACAGCGTCGGTCTTGTTAAAGAGAGCATCCGCTGCTTGAGACCGGTGGGCGGAAAGATCGTTCTGGTTGGTTTTGCTGGTCGAGGAGGTGTCATGGAACAACTCACGGCCAACAGAATATTGCTGAAACAAGCTGTCATAATTGGCTATGTAAGTGATAATATCATATCGTCTAGACAACCCGTCAATGCCGTTCCCGAGGATGCTGACCACCTTCGCTTCCCGATTTCTAGCGGTATGGAGACACAGATCGAAAGAATCCCAAAGAATCAGAACAAGTGTGGAGAGGCCTGATGGAAATGGTTGGTTCGGGTGCGCTCAAGCCGGTTGTCTATCAAAAGACGTACCATGGTCTCGATAAAGTCAAGGTTGCCATGGAAGATCTACAGGCAAGAAAGATATATGGCAAAGCAATCATCTATGTCAAAAAGCAGGATAAGCCCTCTTTATAGAATGAATTACAGCCGGCCAAATGGGATAAACTGCACTCTCGGACACTTAAAACAGAGAGGGGTATATACATCTGATCCCTATAGGTGTGAGTTTTCGAGACACAACCCTAACATCATCCGTTTGGCAGAAAGTGAAGGGGTTCTTCAGATGGAACCATCTGGTCTGGAGTACTCTAGAGTAATGAGGGAATCTGAATATTCCTCTGCTGGTTACACTTTGCATGTTAACAACAAAAACCTGTCAAATCCAAACACCATATAGTAGAGGTCCAGTTAAATGATGCATGAAGAGATCACCACTGGAAAAACTGTCTCAAAGTTACTGTGAGCGAGAAAAAAAAGTTGCTTGTGAGAAGAAGCTGCTCTGCAGAATGAATTGTTAAACCACAACATGAGACTGTTGAGCCACAAAAATGGACACTAACCTATCTCCTGAAAGATGCGTTAGAAGGTGTATGGAGATAAGTCGATGAAAATCAAAATGAAGACAGAAAGTCTAATAATATTAATAATAAAGATAGTTAGTTAACAGTAGCAAAGACAATTAAAAACTTCAAAGATAATGACCAGGAAACAGAGGTGAGATTTTAACCCCAAGTCCCAACTGCAGGCAGCGCGCTTCCAACAAGGATGATAATCCGCTTCAATCCCCTTAAAAAGAAAAAAAAGAAAAAAAGGAACCAATGCGGGACGTGTGTCCTAGTAGCTTATAAGAGGCGGTTTCTGTCGGCGCTCCCTGAGCTAGGATTGGTGGTATGTAATATGGCATGCAGGTTCAGCCAGTGTCAGGGGTTAACTCCACGTGTCTTGTTTGACGATGGATTGTCTGGATTTCACTGTTTCTCTGAACTTGCCTCCAGCTCTGCAGATGTGCGAGCATGTACAGAGTACAGCTGCAAGATGACTAGGGATAATCAATATGGAATTACCATTCTCCATGACCCTGCAACCCATGCTGCTGCCGGAGGGAGAGCTGTTGGTTCTGATGGGATTGTTTTTGAGTAAAATTACTCCCCACCAAATTATGCGGAAGAGTATATTTACAAGAACGCATAGCTAACTAGAATCATAGTTTGGTTGCCATCCATGGTCTCAATGGTGATCCCATCAAAACGTGGACTCACGGAGAAACTGGGGTCATGTGGTTGAAGGATCTGCTGCCAGAAGCAATCCCTAACATTCGCATTATGACCTTTGGATTTAATGCGTGTTTCAATAGCTTTACTGCCCGGCTAGATTTACATGCTATATCAACTAAATTACTCACTGAGTTGGTTGATGTTAGGACAACAGAAGATGTACGTGACCTTTTTCTCCTTCATTGCGCTATTCTGACCTGATCACAAGGAGAAATCCAGGTCTCTTGTCTTTGTTTGCCACAGTTTAGGAGGAATTGTAGCAAAGAAGGTGATTGCTCCAATTCAATGATTTGCAAAGAGCGTGCTAAGTCACTGCACAGGCGTTATTAATTGGCTGCTCTGAGGAGCAAGAGCGAGTGCAGCAATCAGTTCATACCATCTTATTTCATGGTGAATAATATCCAACTGGCCACCACCTTCTTGGACATTGTTTAACTCAGCAATAGGCACGCCTCAATATGGAAACGGTGCAGTCATGGGGAAGCTTTTGGCGAACATAGCCTTCACCTGCTCACCAATGAAAGCACCTCGCGCTCTTATAGGGATGTTGCGGAAGGAGCCTGAGGCCATACTAGAAATCACTGGTGATTTCATTAAAAGGAGGAAGAAAGTTCATCTCATGTCTTTCTATGAGTTGGAATTGACCTCTATTGGACCATTTTTTCGAAAAATGGTACCCGACGCTTTTCCGGTATTTGAACAAGCCATCTCAACTAATCTTTCTCTGTAGATTGTCCGGCAACAGTTTGCAATCTCCAGGGTCCCTCATGAAATTACTATTCCCCAATTTTCTGACCATCGCAACCTTGTTAGATTCCGGTCTCCCCAAGACCGTTGTTTCCTCACCGTAGCTTCGAGGCTGAAAAATATTGCCGAGGAGTTACGCCCCAGGTGTACAGAGCAGACGCCATCAGGTCCAGAGTCAGGTGATATATTGACCTCAGAAAGGTACTTACTTTCTGCAATTAAGCGTAGCTAATTGCCAAACAGATTTCGCCATTCTATTCGACATTAATGCTCAGCCATGTCCGTCCTTCCGTGGCAGAGATGACGTATTTAGATTGCTGAGTGCTTACTTCCATGGCGATCACGACCATGCTCAAAGGAGACGAACGTTTGCATTATGCGGCCTCGGTAAGATCTTCTTTAAATTAGGCATTGCACTTTGGCTAAGTCTATCTAGGAGGTTCAGGTAAGACACAGACGGCCTTGCACTACGTTCTACAGAGTTTGTCGAAATATAAAACAGGTATTGCATTTATAAATGCGTCATCGTCTGCCTCACTTGAAGCCGATTTTGGCCGCTTACATGATCTTCTCGAGCTTGGGGAATCTGACGACAAGATTGGGTCTGTCAGAAGGTGGCTGGCGAGACCCAGAAACTCTCATTGGCTTTTGATTTTCGATAACGCCGACAATCTAGAGTCGGTACGGATCCAGAGGTGCTTCCCAGCTGTGAACTGGGGTCATATCATTATTACTACTCGCGATCAGGGGGCCATCGGTAGCATAACTGAAGAAGGACATGTTTTGCGTCCGCTGATGACCGAGGATGCGATACAGTTGTTACTCGACAAGTCGGGCATTCACCACCCTACTCAGAGTGACACTGAAGATGCCAGGGTGATTGCAGAGTTCCTTGGATCACTTCCCCTTGCTTTGGTACAAGCTGGCACATATATACGTTCAAGGCATCGCAGTCTTAGAGAGTATTGTAGACTTTATATGACGAGCCGGAATGACCTGCTACGTTTTACATCGCATCCTGGCGATGCCGAGATGCCAGTCTTGACGGCGTGGGAAATTAACTTCAAGCAAGTAGAACGAGAATCATCCAAAGCTTTCCATCTCCTTCTTCTCTTCTCATTTTTGGAGCCGTGGTCTATTCCTGAGATGCTCCTACGACGAGGGTCATCTCCTCAGAAGCGTTGGGGTACGAATGGCGAGGTGGAAGAGATTCGAGCAGAGGAAGAAGGCGTGGACGTAAACCTGACGAGGTTCATACAGGACGATTTCGAATTTGACACGGCTGTGGAAAAGCTGCTTTCTTTCTCGCTGATATCTTGCGGTAGGGGGTCAGACGGACTGAGAACCTTTTCTATACATCCTTTGGTTCAGTACTGTGCCGTACAGCGCTTATCGCCATCAGAGACGAGAAGGTGGCGATGGCAAGCACTTTTGCTGGTTTGTCACGCATTTCCACGGAGTCGATACATTGAACCTCTGTATGTATTTAGGGTCGCCTATCGAAGTTCGAGGACTGACACAGACTATACAGAAACGGACCAATTGGCAGGACTATATTCCCTCATTTAAGCCGGGTTCTTTCTGAATATGACAGCATGGCTCTCGAGGACGGAGAGCCGACTTCCTTTCGGCACGAGCTTGCAGCATGTCTCCTTGCCGCATCACGATTCTCAAACGCGAAATGGAAGGTTGAAGCAATTAGTCGCACGAAGAAGCTTCTAGAAGGGGACGACGATCCCTTCCTCAATGCCTGGCTTGCGTATAGAGAAAGTTCGGTGATGAGAATGTCAGGAATGACAGAAGAGTCCGAGAGAGTCTTGCACAGCTTCCTGCGGGATACAGCCACGCCTCTCGCGGAAGACTCAAAACTGACTCAGAGATTTAATGCTCAACGAGGGGACCTTATCATTTCATTTTCTAAGAATCTTATCCGCCAGAGCAAACTTGCTGAAGCGAAGTCAGAATTAACTGAGTGGAAACCACTAAGCACGGAAATATCTACCCTTGAGAAGATAACATCGAGAGCGCGTAACATAACCCTGGGTAAGATTCTTCGTTTCCAGGGAGAGTTCAAGGAGGCACTTGAACAGCTCGACAGCGTTCTTCAAAGCGGTTTGCTCGATGATTACTTTAAGGGCACAGGCTGGTATCGAGTTCTCCTTTCCGAAGTTGCAGGTCTACATTGCGAATTGGGCCAGCCTGTCGAGGCTGAAAAACTTTTGCTACAGGAATTGGCCTCAATGAGGGAAAAGGGAACTCAAAACATTGCCACGGGACAACGGTTACAGATGTCACTTGCAGAGACTTTCCTGCAGCGAAATATGTATGCTGAAGCAGAGACACTCTTGTATGACCTCAGACGTGCATTCTTGTCCCCTGACAATCTGGATTATAATGCTAAATTCAATGGTTTCCGTGTCTGGGTCTCACTCGCGAGGGTTTCCCATAAACAATCTCACTGGGAGGACGCCCTGACACGTTGGAAGCATGCCTTGTCAGCTTTGGAGGGCCTCAAGCTGGACGAAACGTTTAATGCCGGCCTTGTACAATGCTCACTCGCTCACTTGATGATGGTGACTGGCCATGAAACGGAGGCCACACACATGTTGCAGAGGGCGAGGTCCAATATGAAGTCCGAGCCCCGTTTATTTTGGGTTCCGTTGTTCAATTCCCAATGGCATGACTTCATAATCGAAAGCCTACAAGATTTAAAAGTCGATTGCGGAGGTGCCAATGTCAACCACCTGAGTATAATTCATATCACCAAAATGAAAGGCAAAGGCAGTACATGTGATTTCAACTCGGACGTCCCTTCGTGCGCATAGCCTGAGAACAGGACTTCCAGGGCAGATTGGGCTTTAAACCCCCACGGGGGACTTGCAATGTATTCGCAAGTGAATAGAGATTGATGATCATCTGATAATAGACGATCTGTTTATTAAATATTTCTTTTGGGTGTGGGAGTGTGGTGTGTTTTGCTTTGTATTTAGCTAGGACAAATTAATTTCTTAAAATGGTGTTTGTGGCAACTGCTTGTAGGACAGCATATCCTCAACTTGTAACATAGCGTCACAAAGTCAACCATACATATTTCGCAGTAATGAGACCAGGCCGTTAAACCATGGATCTTGAGAGCTTGTTGCTTGCCTTCAGTGCTGAGTTTGCTGACTGGGAAGCTCATCGCTGATATTGTAGAAAGCCAAGGTTGCCAGGAACTCAGAAAAGCAGGTCTGTAATAACATAGGGGGGTACTTGGGAAGACTGATAAGGTGTGCGGAATTTTAGCTCTGTACGGAGAAGGTCGCAGGCTGTTCAATTTATGTGCCTTGCCAGATTGGCAATTTATGCAGGATAGAGAGTACTCCGTACGTACTTGTGGGCTATGAGTTATATGGGAGCGTTTTCGTGTGTTACAGGGCAGTTAAGTATGCCAAGCCTCCAATACTTAACCGCTGTAAAGTTTAAATCAAGCATTCTCACCATCCTGAAAGAAATCTCTTTGAGGAGGTTATTTGGGGGTTGTGGTGCTATATAACACTTGTAACACACCCCCCTGATAACTTTCAGCAGCTTGGCTAGATTTGAGAAAATCCAACTGTTTACATCCTCCGAGAGATCTGTACTGATGTGATATTGGTTAGTTAGTTACATCCTAAATGCATTATCTAAGAATTTTTACAAGCATGTTGAACGGACCGGGCTCTTTGATCTCCTTCTGCCTCGGCCCTCCCCCACTATTATATCTCACTTGTGGAAGTGTTTTACTGTCTTTCAAGTATGGATAACACGCCACCAACCAGATGGAAACTTCCCGTCACAAAAATCAGGGCTTCTTGTTCAGCACAATTTCTTCCACTGATACTTCTCACATAATCAATGGCATCTTCAATTGAGGGCAAACTGGCTACTTCAGTGCAGGGATCCAGACCTTGCCAAGTAGTTGCTAATTGTTTCTGTAGAGTGAGTGTTTGAAGTGTATCCGGATCAACGTTTTTGTTGACAAACTCTGGGGGGCACAGCTGATCAGTTTTTGCATTTTACTGTATGACTGGCTATTTAGCACATACCAATATTGTAGGACCGGCCTTTGTGTGTGATATTGGTGCAAAACAAAGCATACTGGAATGTCACAGAAAATTCATTGTATAAAATACGATGAACAGTTTTAAGAAGTGAGACAGCGTCTCTTGATGACTGTTGATTGAAAATAAGCACACAAGGTAATTCCCTGAAATTCCAAATGTGAGATCAACAGGCATTTAAAACTATAGCAGACTGACACATGGAAGCAACTGACCTTGCCTGAGAAACCCGTCCAAACCAGGAGCAGGCTAGTTCAAGACTCTCCTTTGTATGTGCACCATCAAGATACCAGGATTGTTGCCTGTTTGTGAGAGTTTCGCATCTTCCTCTCCACACCAAATTTTCCAGACCTTGAATAAATTGGTCGGGAAGTGTGTCAGGTATGCAGTTTGTGGCAATCCCAAGCTTTTTCAACACAATGCTTGCTAATATGATTGCTAGAGAAGCATTCTTCTTTTGGAAATGTTCTGCTGGTTTGATGTTAATATTGTCGAGCACAGAAAAGTTTCGAACCATGTTGAGGTTAACCCCCTTTTCTATTGCTCTTTTCTTCAATACCTCCATCGCATGAGGCAGCTGCGGTACTGTATACGCTGGACATCCTCTTTTAAATATCCCCGCTTTGTGCCACGCTATTTCTTCGATCGTATCACCTAGCACAGCCACATGGTCAATGCCGAGCGTGGTGATACCAGTAGCAACAGGCTTCTCGATAATATTGGTCGAATCGAATTCACCACCCACTCCGACTTCGTATATAGCAGTGTCAACTCCCTCGCTTAAGAAAACATGGAATGACATTAACGTTAGAAATCGGAAATACGGCGGTTTGGGCACTGGATCGAGACCGTCATTGTGGCCTGACGTTTCAAGAGCGTCCCAGGTTTCAAAAAAGTACTTTGCGAACTTTTCCTCAGATATGGGCTCAGAGTTGATTTGTATCCTCTCACGCACAGTTATTAGATGAGGAGAGGTGTAAAGTCCTATTTTTCGCGGCACCCCACACGATTGGCGATACTTTTGAAGAATGGAGTTGACATAGGCACAAGCCGTACCTTTGCCTTTCGTGCCACCGACATGAACAATATTGAGTCGGTCGAGATCGCTAATCTGATATATCATAATCTCAGCTTTGTCGAAGTGGCCCGTTGCTTTGAAGCACCTACAGAGTAGCCCAGACATTGCACCCATTTTCTCATCTGATCTACAGCCGAGGCATTTATACTGTGGTTTAGTCGTTTGCGTTCTCTCAAAAGTGCGAAGCCTGTCTGAGTCGAATTTAACTTGCGAATTGCATCCTGGATTTTGTGAGTCGACAACGTCGGAAGAGATTGTGAGGCTGAAAAGGCATACAAAGTAATTTCGCATTTTTCCTATCGTCTCCGTCTCCATTACTTGATCTACACCAAGAGTGCTTGCTGGCGACAGGTAAGAAGGGTGATCTGATGTCGAAAAGGCTGACAATTCATCGTGGAAAACGAAATCGTTCAAGTGGCGACCTCCTTTCGGTCACCCCTTAATTGGGCGCCGGTGCGATCCGTTCCGCACTGGGCCATATCATGCAATGAGCAAGGATCCGGGTGGCAGCTTGATAATTTAACGTTTACGCTCCCCTGGTCTGGCGCTTATAGCCGTGACGTGATTGGTTTGAAATCATGTCTTCGGTTTGAAATGTTTAGTCGTTCCCGAGCCTGAACTCGGGTTCTTAAACAGAAACAATGACTCGCGGAGATGAGACGCAGTCTTTTCCAGATGCACTGCGAGTTCAGACGAATCTCGAATCTTATATAAAAAGACAACATAAGATGGGCGCAGGTGTTGGGTACGGCATTACAATCCTGTACGAACCGGCTTGCTCTGACGATGTTCTCTATGAGTAAGGCCTCATTCATTCCATGGCCAGCGAGGTCGTTGACACGTCTTCAGTCTTGTTGCTATCCATGGGCTCAACGGGGATGCATTTGGAACCTGGACGCACAAGGAGAGCCGGGTGATGTGGCTGCGTGACTTACTACCCAAGGAATTACCCAACGTCCGAGTCATGACTTATGGTTATAACGCAAGGTTTCACAACTTCGCCGGGCATCAGGATCTCAGAAATATAGCCATGAAGCTTCTATCTGAACTGGTAGACTCGCGAAAGACAGCCAAGGTGAGAGTTCCCCCCACTGGCCTTGGGCGCTTGCTGAATATTCGGTAGGAAATCAACAGGCCTCTAGTCTTCGTCTGCCACAGCCTAGGCGGAATAGTTGTTAAAAAGGTTTCGAGATTCGCTTTACGAAATCGAATACTTTCTAAATTGTCATAGGCCCTTCTCATTCGCTGCCCGGAAGAACAGTCCAACATCCAAGATGCAGCCTACGGAATCATTTTTTTGGGTTTGTGCTCCGTATATCGGCTCCTGTCACTAGCAGACTAATGACGTAGCAACCCCTCACGGCGGCACTACCATTGCAGATACCGGGAAAATTATTGCAAACATCATTCACGTCTGCTCTCCATTTCGGCCAGCTCGTGGATTACTGGGCTCGATTCGGAAAGATTCAAAGGTACTCTTCGAAATTACTGAAGACTTTGTGGAGCGGGCGAGAACACTACAAATTGTATCCTTCTTTGAGATGGAGATGACCGGTTTTGGCATCTTCAAACGCCTTGTACGTTACTACTACTATTGCTGCTCACTGAAGAAAACTGACCACATATCCAGGTTGTCGAACAACGATCGGCGCTCCTCAATGTTCCGAACGAGATCCCAATTGGACAATTTGCAGATCATCGCAGTATTGCACGGTTTTCTTCTGTGGACGACCGCAACTACAGGCCTGTAATCACGCGCCTTCTTAAATTCAGACAGGATATCACCCAAAAACCTGCTAGATTCTCTCACTCTTCTGAAGATGCTCAATGTAATGTCGAAACTCTTTCCTGAGCGCAGCATTTAGTAACATTGCCTACAGCCCCGAAGTCCGATTTCGATTCCGATCCCATATTTGAGGTTCCGTTTGATAGATGCGTCTCGTTTCGGGGAAGACAACAGCTTCTTGAATCCATGGAAAAATATTTCAGCCAACGTAGCTCGAATCAACCGTTGGTATATGCTCTAACAGGACTAGGTACTCCAAGCCTTTTGCCTTCTTCAAGTCCACACTACTAATTGCATCACAGGTGGATCTGGCAAAACTCATAGTGCCTTACAGTACGCTCTTAGAAACCGATTCAAGTATAAGAATGGCGTGGTCTACTTCAACGCGAGTTCAAATACCACGTTACTTGCCGACTTCCACCGTATCTACGACCTCTTAAACTTAGGCAATACCTCAAACAAGGTAGATTTTCTCAGGCAGTGGTTCTCAAAACCCAAGAACTCCAGCTGGCTTATGATCTTTGATGGTGCTGATGATTTGGTTTCTGTTCCCCTTTCGAGATATTTCCCCAGCTGCTCTTGGGGTCATATCATAATTACAAGCCGAGATCAAGCTGCTGTTGGTCTTGTAGCCCCCGCTGGACACTCTGTGGAACCTCTAGATGAACAGGCCGCTGTTGGGCTACTACTGGAAAAAGCTGCAATTGGTAGCCCGACAGGGGATGATCTCAAGCAGGCGACTGCAGTGGTAAGGAGTCTAGGACACCTTCCTCTAGCCATTGAACAAGCAGGTGCATTTGTTCGAAGACGCCAGAAGTCACTGAAAGACTATCACCGCCTCTTTCAGGACAAGCAATACGAGATTTTGAATGTTACCCCTGGGATTAGTGGCTACGAGAAAACCGTGGCCACTGTTTGGGAACTAAGTTTTCGTCAGCTCGAGAGAGATGCTCCAAAAGCTTCCAATCTTCTTATGCTTTTCTCATTTCTTGAAGGGAATAATATATCCGATACCATGCTCCACAGAGGATGTTCAACTAAGAGGATATGGGGCCGTAATGGTGAGACTGCCCAGCTTACCCCTAAAGATGCAGGGCTTAATCAAGAATTAATCACTCTACTTGGTGATGAGATGCAATTTGATAGCGCCATCTCACAACTCCTTGCGTCTTCTTTGATCCAAAGAAATGACACTGGAGAAAGAAAGGCATTTTCGGTCCACCCGCTTGTTCAAAATTGTGCATCTCATAGAGTATCGCCTAGAGAGCGTCAAAAATGGCAGGTCCAGGCTATATTGCTGGTGGCCCATGCATTTCCATTTAGTGTATACGTGGATGAGAAGTACGTGATTATTTTTAGTCCCTGAACCCTTGCTGACCTTTCTCTAGTTTTGGGGTCATTGGACGTGGGATGTTCGTGCATATTCCTCGCATCCTAAAGGAGTTTGATCAACTCATGCCAGATGGTTGTGATCAATACTCAATAGTTAAACGAGCTGTCACTGTGTTGTTACTGTCCGCTGCGAAATTTCACTTCAATCCATGGAAGAATGAATGCATCCGCAGAACCAAAGATCTTCTGGAAGATGAGCATGATTGTTATCTGAAAGCGTGGGCTACTTTTACAGAAAGCAAAATTCTACGCATGCAGGGCAAAACTACGGAATCTTATAAGGCCTTGGAAGAACACATCCACAACACGGCATTGCCAGGACTAGATGAAGACTTAATTTCTGATGTGAGGTACAATGCGACAAAAGGTGATCTTGTGGTCTCTTTTGCGGAAACTCTCATAAAGGATGGGGATCTCCTACGCGCAAAAGAGGAGCTGACTCACTGGCGGCCACTAAATCCAGACACCCCATCGACAATGGAGCGGTTAGTTTTACAAAACCGCGATGTAATGCTGGGGAGGATTCTTCGAAACCAGGGTCGATTTGTCGAAGCATTATCGTACTTGGAGAAGCTTCTTCAAAACCTCTCTGCCGAAGATTACCTCGTGAGCACAGGTTGGCAGATGAATTTAGTCACGAATGTTACTGACTTGTACTGTGAAGTGGGGAGGCCTAAAGACGCAGAAGCAGTGCTAGATAAAGTCCTGGGGATAAGTTATAGTCAGGGCTGGTATAATATCAGCACGGGAAGGCGACTGCGGCTTGCTCTTATAGAGAGCTTCATTCGACGTGGCTTGTTTACAGAAGCTGAGAAGTACCTGCATGAGCTAATTCCGATTGTTGAAGCAATCCGTGAGCCAGACATCAACCAGAGTACAGAACACTTCCGTGTTTGGGCCGGGCTAGCACGGATATCACATCTTCAAGGCCAGTGGAATGAAGCCCTTGACCGATGGAACCATACACTTGCAATTGTGGAGCGGTCTGGCTGGACTCAGGGATTCAACCACGGTATTGTTCTGTATTCCATTGCTCAGGTACTCGCACGGGTTGGTGACATTACTGGATGCCAAACTACCCTCACTAAAGCGGAAAAGAGCCTGGCTGTGGAAGAAAGGAAGTACTGGATTGTAGGCCTCGGTTCATACTGGTATGACTACATCGTGACTGCACTTGGGAGTGAGGGGAGCAGCCCTGTGGTTAATTTGGAGAAGTGACACCACAAGTTGTTGTCAGAGCGGCGATATGTCCTATCTGTTTTCATGTAATTCACCAGCCAACAATTTCCTCTATTAGTTTAAACCCTCTATCTTTCAAAAATAACAAAACAATTAACAAAGAAGCTATGGAGTTTGCATAATTAACTGCTTGGTCTACAAAATTTGCAATGATGGGAAATCTTTTTTTTGGCCTGTCTGTAGGTCCCAAATTATGGGCGTGGGGCGAAGCCGTTTGTCACTGAAAATAATGAGATGTCAAAGGTTAGCAAGAAAACAGATATTCCTCTCCCTGACACTGAACTCATGTTAAGGAAACCACTGAATCACAGATCTTCCTGAGCCCTTGCTGTTTAGGCAATTCCTCAGCCTTATACAGGTCCAGTGCCTGATCTCGTGTGCACTTCCAAAGGTCCCCTGGAATGGCGCCCTTCATTCTTAAGAAAAGGTTGTGTTTTGTGATCAAACCTGTATCTGGCCGGGCGAATTCCATTGGATTAATGATACGGACGCGTCGAAACATCCGAATATCGGGTTCATCGTTCTCCCGATGTTTCCTCTTTCCGGGCTGGTTCATTTTCCCGGGGTCCAGGGGCACATGCTCATCGGGATGAATATCCTTCCACGTGGGTGTTTGCACCGCTCGGCTCGGTTCCTTAACCCGACAAAATACGGTTCCACAAGTAATGCTACGGCACGTCAGCAACCTTGAATGAAAAAGTAGCAAGAAATAATCCCATTAATAATTTTTGATACTATCAGTTTGGAAAGAGTAGGCTACAATATCGACTATCTATCCGAGATGGTAAAGGACGCTTTCACTTACCATTCTACCTCCTTATCCGTTGGGCCCTGGAATTCCGCTCCACATCTTGGGCAAGATGCTCGCACCCGTTTTTCTTTAAAGAGCATACACATGGCTACACGCTGTCCCGGATAAAAGCATGTTTCCCAAGGTTTAGAAATGTCAATCAAATTCCGAGTACCGGACTCCTCTATGAGGAATTCACCTCTGTCAATCATTCCCGGTCCGCAGCCAGACGCTTTGAAGTTCACCTTGAGGATTGAAATCAAGGCTTCGGCAGACCGGACAAATTCCAGGTGAAAGGGACTCTCTTTGTTGAACGCATCAATCATGTAGACAGGCTGCTGGCGTTGGACCTGAGTCGGAATATGTAGTAGAAAGCGTTGTATATCATGAATCATTTGGAACACTCGTAAGTTTGTCTGGAGAACCTTTTCGCTTGTTTCAAGCAGGCGTCGCCCCTGCTGGACGCTTTGGGCGATGCTATTGGCGATAATGGCGAGCTTGGTCGTCCCTTGATTTGATAACACTTGTATCTTCCCCGCCAGGGTCTCGTATTGGCGCTGCTCAGCGCGAGCGTGCATGGTGGTGGCGTTCATTTGGACGGTCAACAGCAAGACCTCAATGGAGCTGGTGTGGGCTGCGATCTCAGCCCGGAAGTTTTGTATATCAACTTTACGGCAAACAGCCCACTTTATCCTACTCCACCCATCCTTGAGCTTTGAACTTGTTCCACCGCCTTGCAGATGTGGTTGGTATTTCTCGACCTTCTTCCAGAAGGAATCAATCGTTCTCTGACATTGCGCGGCGGCCTGTTGCAATGCGAGTTTCTCACCGTGCTGAGATCCGTCAAGATCGATGCGCTTGACGCGCAGGAGCGCCGTCTCGAGGGAGTAGAGCTCATTAAGAAGCTCGCGGTATGTTGATCCTGAGTTGGACGACTCACGGAGAGCATCAATGACAGTTCCGACAAGTCTGAGAGCCGCGAGGAAATCACCAACAGAAAACCCGAACCCCACAGACATCTTGTTGCAAAATATGTTGTGGGAGTGGTCAGATATCATGGAGAGCCCAATTCAGGCCATATTTGTGAAGGACAAGGCTTTAAACATTCAGAGACGCACTTCAAAATGTGGCTGTGCTCTAGTTATTAATGGCCGGCGATGCAGCTGGTCAGTCAAGCTCTTCGCATGCCCTCCTTGCCGTAGATTTGCTTGAACATGAGTTACTGAAAGAGTACTGAGTACAGAGTATGGGGGTCGAAAATCCACCATGTTCTGTTTATCATGCGGCCCAGTGCAGGGCCAGTTGATATTTGTTCAATCCAGGAAGAGTTTTTTCTAGATAGTAAACCAATACCAAATACTAATTCTAATTGATTTTTTTTGTCTTTTTTTTTTTCTTTTTTTAATGCTTCAACAATAGTTCTTTCTGGCATCATATCAAAAGGAATGAGAAGAATTTCAACTGCGGTAAACGCGATCAAACTGATATGATCAGAGTTGCTAGATAATTTGAAAGAATTTTAACAGTAGAGCAATTCCTCAACATCCTTAGAGTAGTTAATCAGTTAACTAGGAACTACTAGCTAGGTCAAAAGCTTGCGCCCTCCCCTTACTACCCACAGGTTACAACTCTGGACTGAGGATGTGTGTAGCATTTTGGGAAAACTCAGGGTCTCTCTTGATTAGAAGAGGTATTTCAAAACGCTCTCAAGCAGAATAAAGCAGCCTGATATGTTTTGCTGCCTAACAACCGTCGAGACAACAGCTTGGCCTGTTGAATCGCATGGAATCTGATCGAACCTTATTGGCATAAGTAACTGTTCACACGCGCCGAATCAACCAAACTTGTCAAGCAACAAGAATCATTCACAGTGTCTATTTGAAATGACAGGGAACTTTCGACATTTCAGTATGCAAGAATTCAATTGACATTGGGGCCTTTGCTATTTTTCTCCTCATTTTCAGTTTTCTCTTTCTTTTCTCTGGGTTGCGATGCTCGGGTCCCCACCTCCACGGGCGTGAGAGAGCATCACATTGCGCAGAGCTCCTCAGGCCGAGGAGACATAGCTTAACTGCGATTCCTCTATACCAATTATTAATTCGTCGAGGCTGTTTTCTATGGGCTGCTTTTCCCCGGTCCACTGCCTATTTTCATCTTGATACCCTAAATGTCTCTGTTTCGCTCCCCAGTTGACATATCGTCATCCGACGAGGATAGTGTATCCGACAAAGATGAGTATAATCATGATCGAAATGAACACCAGCTGCCCCATAATGAAGATGCCACCGGAGATCGGTATGAGAGGCGCGAACGTCAACCCTCGTTCGACGAAGCCATCACGGGTTCATTTGAAGGGGTCTTGGAGCATAGAGATCCAGAGCATGAAATTGCTGGATTAGATGCCGAGGGACACGCGACCATGATGACGACCGCTCTGCTGGAGTATTATTGTCTCTCCAAAGCGACAGAAATTCTCAATGCCCAAGCGGGGAGTCATGAGCGATTCACGCGCGAATCACCTGAGGTTCAGCTCCTGGGGCGACGTCTTTATGCCCACAAATCTCGGTTCCTGTCAGCCAATGGAGTCCTGGCAGCTGGTGTTGACGGAGATGATTGGGAGACGACCAGGAAATACTACAGGGAAAGTTTGGATGTCCTTGGGTTGTCCGCATTGGAAGGAATGGATTTGAACGCGAGAGATTCTCTACCATCTTGCACAGGGAAGAAAAGTGAAAGTCGAGTAGTGCTGGGTCGCGGAACCACGGAAAGATCGCCGCAGGATCGCGACGATCTAGGAGCAAACAAGCTGCCCCTGGGATCAGAGAACAGACCTCCTGCTCAGAGACTACTGACTAGCGGTACCGAACTCACGCTTGGGGATCGTCTACCAACTCCATTGAATTTTATGCAGACGCCACCCGTCCACCCAATGAGTCATATTCCATTCGTGAACCTACCGGGCGTCTACCAGTCATATAACCCGAGCATTTTGATGTCTCGATACGCAGCAGAGTTTGAAGAAGAATCTTTGATAGGAAAAGGTTCTTATGGTGTTGTGTACAAAGCGAAGAACTATGTCGATGGCCAGTTTTATGCGGTTAAGAAAATCCCCCTGAGCTCGAAGCGAGTAAAGCAGTTGCAAGATCGCGGAATACAGGAATTGGATCATATTTTGAGGGAGATTAGGACACTTGCTCGGTTAGATCATGGGAATGTTGTGCGGTATTTTGGTGCCTGGGCTGAATACAGTGCTGCGGTGCAATTGCCTTCAGAACCAGCCAGACCGCTGAATAGACCTTTAGGCCTTTTAAGTCAGGGCACAATGGGTGAAGATGAGTCAAGCCACGGGGTCGTGTTCGAAGATTCTAGCCACGGCATCGTTTTCGAAGCCTCTTCTAGGGACGAGCGTGCTTTTGAAGAAGCTGTCTCACTGTCAAGTTCTCCAGAAGTTCAGCGAGGGGTTAGAGACACAGCCGATTCTCGAAAGCCTCGGAGAAGCTTTGTTGAAAGTTATAATGGGGAGGATGACGGCCAAGTGGATGAAGATGAGGTGGAATCAATTGGGAGACGGTTTAGCTATGACGCGAAAGCTCAAGCAACGATTTCAACGAGCGAATTGGAAACTGATATATTCACTGATGGAGCAGGAGAGAACATGTCTATTCAAGTGGACCGCAAAGCCGTCGGTGGCAAGGTGTCCCCGATCACTTTGCACATACAAATGTCTTTACACCCACTGAGCTTAGCAAAGTATCTTCGTACGCAAAGCGATGAGTCTGCAGGTGATTCACCACGCCATTGTTACCGTCTCATGCCTTCGATTCGTATTCTTCTAGGAATCCTATCGGGTGTGGAATATCTTCATGCCCAAGGAATTGTCCACCGCGACCTCAAACCGGCAAATGTCTTCCTTTCCCTTCCCTCAAGCCAAGATGTAACGCCTTGTCTGCCATGTGAAAGGGACGGCAAATGTGCAACTCACTATACTATTCCACGAATCGGCGATTTCGGCTTGGTTGCGGATATATCTCCGTGCAATGACGGGGAAAGCAACCGGACAAGTATTCACACGAGCCCCGGCCCTGTTGGCACCGAATTCTACCGCCCACCGGCATGTCAGTGTAAGCACGGCACCCAGGGTTGCAGACGCAACCATTTCCACGCCAGCCCTCCCGAAAACAGTGACAGCCCACCTTGCTGTTGCCCGGCCAAGGTTGCTGGCAAACTTCAAATTGACGAGTCCCTGGATGTTTATGCGCTCGGGGTTATACTCTTTGAGCTATTATACAAATTCGACACCCGTATGGAAAGACAAATGGTGCTGTCAGATTTAACCTGCTCCCCAAACGGCTTTGGTTGGGCGAAACGTGCCTCGCGCACCAACATGCCCGAGACGGGGGTGGAGCCGATTTTACCGAGCGATTTTATGGCCAAGGTTGATTGTTCTGGAACAACCGTCGGTTGTGAGGACAATGCAGTGGCGATTCCCGAGAAACTTGCGCAATGTATTACCGGAATGGTGGAGCTGGACCATCGTAGGAGATGGACGTGTAAGGACGTCCAGTCGTGCTTGGAAGAAATTCTGTCCTTGACGGAGGATAACTCGGGGGGATGAAATATTACACACAGACGGACCTACAGATGCAAACACCGGACATATGGATTTAATAGCGAACATGGACACTGTCCCTGTGATCATGTCGTGATGATTTTTATGCGTTTACGAAGAACTCCCAATCATGAAATAGATAGTCGACATTAATAACCTGAACAGAAATTGATTGTAAAGTACATGCCACTGTAAATTGAAAAACCCAACATTCCAGTTAAAAATCTAGTTTTGGACTTAGGTGTAATAAGGGGATATAGCTAATGACCAATTTTGACCCTTTCCGATCCTGGTGGTCGGGCCTCAGGGAACCCATAATCCTTCATCGCGACCCTCATCCGATATCTTTTTCGCCTCCGTGTATTCATCTTAGGCACGATTTAAAAAAAAAAAAAGGTCTTTCATTGGTTTATTGAGTATACCCCATACGGCACCTGCTAACCAAAATACCGCCCAAAATTGCAAACTACTAATAGAAATTTATGGTATATTGGCCAATCTCTCTGTGAGGCCAATCATCTGCATTGGCCACTGCAGTAAGGGTCGCCAAGAAACGTTTAAAGACCGATATATGGCTTCGAAAAGGTGTCCGCTCCAGCCTTGTGACCACCAGCACGCGTCGAGCCGACCCAGTATAACGCAGTAGTGTGCGAGAATCACCAGGGCCATCGGCCGCCTGTTTTTCAAGTGCGTCAGGTAAGCCTCTGGTAGAACAATCGGCCAGCGAAATACCGTCTCCCAGCTCGATGGAGACCTTTCAAATGAAATTCGGAGTTCTCGGATGGCGTGATTGTATGCGGCTTTTTCCTCGGCACTGATTTGGGTGACATTTTCGCCGTTGCAGTCGTGCAAATAATCGAGAGCATTAATTACATCCCTTGATATAGGCTGGGAGCACGTCGGGTCTGACGGTCGGTGGACCAGTGGCCCGAGTTTGCCCTTGCGGATGATATCCCAGAATGCGGTCAAGACGCCTTCGACGCCGCGGAAGAGGAAGAAGTCCTGTAGTACCTGCTCGACCGGCTCGCCGGCACGGATGTTTCCTGCCGATTTGGAGAATGCAAATGCCAAGGCGGCGATTAAGCTGGAGAAGGCGAACACCGCCTGGCAGTTTGAGGGTGTAATGTTACTGAGTTGTGGTCGGAACGAGGACAGGGCTAGATTCTGATGCCGGGTGGCCAGTTCTAGGTACTTTCTGCGGTCATCGCTTTCTTCCGCACAGTATTCGAAAAGATGTAAAGCTGCTATTGCCAGAAGGCCGTGCATGAGAAAAGGGTGCGACAAGGCTTCCTTGGGAATGTAGTTTTTCCATATCTCCTTGTGCTCATTATTATAGGATAACGTGCGATATGTCTGAGTTGTGTAGTGATGTAGCAGCTCGAGGTCATGAAGATGCAGGTCAGAGGTAAGATCGGTCGTGGGCCCGACGAAGGAGCTGAAGATGTCAAGCTGGTCAGCGCCGGACGGAGTGGTATTGAAAGCATTCGGAGGAGTAGGCGGGAGATAGGCTGGGGTGGCCCCTGTGTGCAGGTTGTTCACGGGGTTCACTCGACCTGCTGTCGCAATAAGAGCACCGGGGGGAGGAAGGACAGCGCGGGCTTGTGACAATGGCCCATGCTTTGCAGCACTGGACGACTTGACCGGAACTGCAGCGAACTGGCATTCGATATTGTGCTTCTTGCAATTCCCGCATGGCGGAGGAGCCTCGTCACACTGTGCAACACACAATAGCAAGTTAGCTCCAAAATGCGCAAAAGAGCGAGAGATCCAAAAAGCAAATGAAGAGCACACTTAGCGATTTATCATGGACAAACGACTGGAAACCGCGCTTCGGCCGTCATACCTTGATTTTCCTTCTTTTGCACTGCAAACATCCCAGGCGGGACTTGCGATGGCTCCGCCTTGGGCCCATTACTGAGGAATTGGACGGTTGGCCACTCCCTTTCGCCGATAGGCGCGCGCACAGATCGGGATTTTTCAGAGCAGGGAGCCGTGACGGCCCGGCCGGTTACATGGCACTGGCTTGATCGTAGAACTTATGGGATGGCATGCCCCGTTCATTCACGGCCGGTTCAACATCTCGCTACGGAGCAGTTCTCGGGGGGGAAAAAAAAAAAGGCTCCTTCGGGAAGTTCACGGGTCTCAAACGGCTGTCCGGCAAAGAGGTGCTGCTCTGTCGCAGCATCACGCTTGACTCGAGTCTCTCTTTTTCCAGCCCTAGGCGACTTCGAGATGGGCCAGCCTCGTCCGCCCCAACCAATCGGCGGCAATCTACGGCGGACTGGGGCGACCTGAACCGCCAAGCACAGTCTAACCCTATCTAGGCCTAGCGCCACCCTGCACCCTGCGTAACTCTCGCCAGGTATTTCCTGCCGCCCTGACACTGGACGCCCTTGCATCTTGGATCGGAGCAAAAGCACTACAACGCTGTGCTACAGAATGGCTTGGGGGCTCTGTCGCACAGTCTGGAAGTTACGAGATCAGAGATGACATCCTGGCTCTCTTCCTCGTGTGTGGATTGCTCCATCACGCGCAATTCCATGTGAAGTTTCCCCGAGGCTATTTCGATCCAGTCTCTGCCGTTGGGCCACGATCATCGGTGTTTGGAGAATGGAACACCGCTGAAAGTCCCTTCGCAATTCCGTCTTTTCCTTTTGAAGTACCGGAACCCTTAAGGACAGCTCCGTCAAAAAGACCGACGAGGCTTGAGAGAACCCAAAAAGCCAACTTGTTGGGATCTAATATTGGTTTTGAGCATTGTACTATACTTCAAATACCTCAGAGGGACCTCTTTTGACCTCTTTCTTTCTATGATACGGTGTCTTTGGAGTGCGTTGTTGTAAGATAGCTGCATTCTTTGACCTTGATGGCTTTGTCAGCTCCAAGCCATGCCGGACCATACTCCTTTAACTTTCCTTCTGAGATATATTCTTGGGTTAATAGTTGGCTGATAACTCGCTTTGGTATTCCCTTTTTGGCATGGATAGTGTTCCATGGAACACTTCATTTAATATGTTACTGTGGCAATTCACTCCAAACAAAGACTTGGTGAGATAAAGATCAACTTTATAATCTGTCTCAATATTCTTCTCACATAACCATTTATATATCGAAAGGGCACTTAGGATGTGGCAGGATCCATCCACTCCTTTCGGTATCACCCAGCGACACTGCAGTCCTGTGTTTTGCTCGAATCTGTCCTGCTAGGGTCTTGCTCTATGTTACTCTCCTATCTGCACAAAGCTTGGCATTCAATGTTTGAAGTGAAACTAGAGTCCTGATATGCACCTGCGCGGCAGTACAGGTGGCTGTGTTCCCAGGCGAAATAAACTTCTGGCGGTGGTCCCCTCCTGGCTAGACAACAATCTATACAGGCAATCTAGATTCAAATCGTCAACGAAGCTAAGATTCCATACTTACCTCTACTCTAGGTATGGCCCTGTTGTTACGAGGCTACCAGTCCATATCTCTTGTCTGCGAGTATGAGCCATACCTTTGCATTTTAGAGGCCTTATCATTCGACAACGTTTTCAGTTCTCATCCGAACCGCGTGAAGCCCCTGACAAATTTTTGGTTCATTTTGAAATTCGGCTTGTTATGTCATTATTTGGAGGTTGCAGGTATGGAATGTCCTGAACACCTACCTTTAGTAGTTTTATGTCATTTGTGCCATGCTATCAAAGTCTGCGGCACTTAATGGAGAATTGGCAGATCCTCGGCCTTCGGAAATTCAGTTGCCAGCCTGTTGTTCTTGTTGGCGCTCTGCTGCCATTAAGAGCTGAGATCTGCCAGTATTTCTACTCGACCTTTATATATAACCTTTGGTACTCTTCATTGGCATGGTTCAACTCTCCTTGAAAGACTTGCAGCGCTTTTGTGCGGCTGTTATAGGCTTCTATAGTTGGTTCTGATAATCGGGATACAATTGGATAGTCTCTTTTGGGATAACACTTGGTAAAATGATCCCTTCTGCATTTATTCTTTGGGTTCTTCTGTGGAGACTGGCTATATCTGCTGCAATTTCTCCTCTCCTTGCCCCTACCAAAGACAAAGAGAGTGCAGAAAGGCTGCTTGAGCTCCAGGCCAAGGCAAGAGAGAACCTTGAAAAGGCACTGGAGGAGCGCGCACTCAAAACTAGTGGCGATGACGGAGGTCATGGATGTACCCTTGAGACATTGAAGATCCGTAAGGAATGGTGAGCCTCTTATTGCAAACATTTGAAGCAATGCTTAATTTTCATAGGCGCACCCTATCTGAACAAGAGCGGAGAAATTATATCGATGCTGTTTACTGTGTACAAAAGAAACCTTCCCTTTTGGATGAAAGAATTGTCCCCGCAGCCAAAGGCCTTTTCGATACGTTTACCACTCTTCATATCAATCAAACACATACCATCCATAACAATGTGAGTATTCTTATGCCTTTCCGCTTTTGGATCACGAATCCTCGCTAAAATAGACTAGTTTTCCTTCTTACACTGGCATCGTTACTTCACGTTTATTTACGAGAAAGTTCTCAGGGAAGAATGTGGATATGAAGGGGAGCATCCGTAAGACTATCTCCCCTTTCCAAAAAAAGAAAAAAAAGAAAAAAAAAAGAACAACCTATCCAACAATCCTGTTTGTTAACCATGAGAAGATACTGGGAATGGGGATACGACGTATATGAACCGGATAGCTCCCCGATTCTCGATGGCTCAGATTACAGCCTTGGGAGCAACGGTGCTGCTGTTGAACGCAATGAGACATGGGTTTTATGGCCTCCCCCGCCATTCGAACCATCAAGGGAGTACAACAGCGAGTTCCCAGCAGGAACTGGTGGAGGATGCGTGCATACCGGTCCATTTTCCGACATGACCGTCAATTTTGGTCCGATTTCGCAAGCATCTTATCGGCGTCTTGAGGGGAAGTTTGAATATCGACCTCACTGTCTGAGGCGCGATTTAAACCCATATATCGGGCAGCACTATCTTGCATTTAATTGGTCCGTCTGGGTTATTGAGGAGAGCACCGACGTGATGGGATTCCAAGCACGTATTACAGGGGATAGGAGGCAGGGTCATTCCAACTACCAGCTCAACAAATTTGGAGCCCATGGCGGTGGGCATTATTTCGGCGGTGGAATGAATGGAGCATGTAAGTGATTTTCAGACGTTGATCAGAAGTTCTTCTTCCACATACTCCAACCATTTTTGATATACTGTACGTCTGGCTGATTAGCTACGGGCAGTCTCGGACCTTTACGCTAGTCCACAGGACCCTTTATTCTTCCCACACCACGCCCAAGTAGATCGTATATGGGCAATTTGGCAATGGCTGGATATCGAGGCGAGGAAAGATACCCTTTACGGTACCCTAACTTATGAGAACCTTCCCCCATCTCGCAAGGGAACTCTAGACGATCTGATCGATTTGACGCCTATCACTGACCCAGTACAGATCCGCGACACGGTAGATGTAATTGACGGGCCATTCTGTTATTTCTATGAGTGAGTAGCTCTTACGGGTTGGGGCCTATTCCCCAATAAGTACGGAGTAGTCCTATTTACTCCACAGCTGCCAGGGACCTTTTGGGTCTCAATGAATACTGGTATGGACGGACATAGATCGTCGAACAAATGAATTGCCAGCAAGATGTATAAATGTGTTATCTCATAGCATAAAGGATTGTGATTTAAGAGCAACAGGTGCTCCGTGTTGGCGTTGTTCTTCAGCTGTCTATTACTGAAGGTCGTCGGCAATTTCGGTGCCATACGCCCGGATGACGACATATCACGTGATTAACACGGAGCGCCCGCGCGTCCGCTGCCTGACATAAGCAGTTTAATTGGCAAACACGCCAAATGCGTCACGTCAGGAGCACTCGGGGAAACGCGACTTAACACGAAAATCATCTTCCATGATTTACCATCGTCTACTCCGTAAATTGCTTTCAATTCACATTGATTGCCATCCCAGTTTGCCAATGTGATCATGCCTGAAGCTATTCTGAAGCCGCAAAAGCGAATTCTGGGCGATTCCACCAAGACTCACGAGAATTTGCAACCCGTATCTCCTAACGCGACGAAGAAGCGGAAACTTGAAGCCGATCAGCCCAGTATCATTACAAGGCCTCGATTGCAGGATGGATTCCGAAAGGCTGCTACTCCAGCTTCCAGCCAGTCCCAGCATAAAAGCAAGTTCGTTGAGGAAGTTCTGGAGAAATTGACGCAGGACATCAGCGGGCTTAAAGAGTCCAATGCAGAGAAAGATCAACAGTGGGAGCGGCCTAGCCTTGATGATTTCGATCCTACGAGGGACTCTCTCTGCTTTCAGCAGATTGAGGCCGAAGAGGGTCCGTTTTCAGGTGACCAAACCGCGGTGAGATTATTCGGCGTTACAGAGGTACGGTCCATTAAGATAAACCTAGCGAGCCGACGTCAATGAAGCTGACATTCTTCTTACTCAGGCCGGACATTCTGTTCTTTTACATGTTACTGATTTTAAACACTATCTATATGTTGCTGCGCCTGTTTCCTTTACCAAATCGGACTGCGAACCGTTCGGCGCCTATCTCGAGAACCACGTTGGGAATCACCAGACTGTGATACACAACGTCCAAATGGTGATGAAGGAAAACCTCTTTGGCTTCCAGGGTAATCAGCAACATCCTTACTTGAGGATTACTGTCACAGATCCGAAATACATCAATAGGGTTCGTTCAACCATTGAGAGCGGAAACGCAAATTACAGAGGGCTCTGGAAAGTCGGCGGCACGGATGGCATTCTTACGTTTGATAACATCCAGTATATCCTGCGCTTTATGATTGACACTGGTGTAAGTAAAGCAATGCTATTTGACGTGCCTTTTGTCTTCTAACCTAGTGACTATAACAGATTTCTGGCATGTCGTGGGTTGAAGTGCCTCCTTCCAAGTATCGAATCGTCCCCGAACATCAACGATACTCGAACTGCCAAATCGAGGCTGTCGTTCACTATCGTGACTTAATAGCTCATCCCCATGACGGTGAATGGGCAAAAATGGCACCTCTTCGAATTCTATCCTTTGACATTGAATGCGCGGGTAGAAAGGGGATCTTTCCTGAAGCCCATGAAGACCCAGTTATTCAAATCGCCAATGTTGTTACCAGATATGGCGAATCTAAACCTTTTGTTCGAAACGTATTCGTCTTGAATGGCTGCAGCTTGATCGTGAACACACAAATATTAGACTTTAAGACGGAGCAGGAGATGTTGATGGCCTGGAGAGACTTTCTAGAGAAGGTGGATCCCGATGTGATCATCGGGTACAACATCGCAAACTTCGATTTTCCCTACTTACTTGACCGTGCGAGACACCTTAACTGTGACGATTTTCCGTACTGGTCGAGACTCAAAAACGTAGTTTCACAGTCGAAGGACACCAACTTCTCCAGCAAACAGATGGGTAATAGGGATACAAAAGCTACCAATACCAACGGACGAATCCAACTTGACCTTTTGCAGTTGATCCAACGTGATCATCAGCTTCGAAACTATACTCTAAACTCTGTCTGTTCCCACTTCCTAGGAGAGCAGAAGGAAGATGTACATCACACCATGATTACCGAGCTGTACAATGGTACGCCTGATTCTCGACGACGTCTGGCTGTTTATTGTTTGAAGGATGCCTATCTCCCTCAGCGGCTAATGGACAAATTGATGTGTCTCGTGAATTATACTGAAATGGCCAGAGTTACTGGTGTTCCTTTTAATTTTCTTCTATCTCGCGGACAGCAAGTCAAATTCATTTCTCAGCTCTTTAGGAAGGCTTTAGAGCAGGACTTGGTGATCCCGAACCTCAAGAACGAGAATGGTGAAGAACAATACAAAGGCGCAACAGTCATCGAGCCGGTCAAGGACTACTACGACGTCCCGATCGCCACGCTTGATTTTGCATCTCTATACCCTAGCATCATTCAGGCACATAACCTCTGTTATACCACCCTTCTTAACAAGACTAGCGTTGAAAAACTCAAGTTGAAGAAAGACGAAGATTATATTGTGACGCCAAATGGTGACATGTTTTGCACGTCCAAGGTCCGAAAAGGGCTTTTGAGTCAAATTCTACAGGAGTTATTATCCGCGAGAAAACGAGCGAAGAAAGAACTCGCCGTTGAAACTGACCCATTCAAGAAGGCCGTTTTGAACGGGCGACAACTGGCTTTGAAGATTAGTGCCAACAGTGTGTACGGTATCACCGGTGCAAGCAACGGGAAATTACCCTGTTTGGCTATTGCCAGTAGCACAACAAGTTATGGTAGACAAATGATCATGAAGACGAAAGATGAAGTCGAGGCCCGATTTACGATGGCAAACGGGTATCCTTATGATGCTAAGGTCATATATGGGGACACAGACTCTGTTATGGTTAAATTTGGGGTGAAGGATATCGCTGAGGCTATGAAGTTGGGACAAGAGGCTGCGGACTTCGTTTCGGCAAAGTTCTTGGAGCCGATCAAACTCGAATTCGAGAAGGTTTATTTCCCTTATTTACTTATTAACAAAAAGCGCTACGCCGGCCTCTTTTGGACGAATCCGAACAAATTTGATAAGATGGATAGCAAAGGTATTGAAACTGTCCGACGAGATAATTGTCGCTTGGTCCAGACGGTCATTGAGACTGTCCTGAAGAAGATTCTCATTGACAGAGATGTAAACGGGGCAGAAAAGTATGGTTAGCGGCTTCCATTGCAGATGGCTTACGTGCTAACGAATCTGACAGTTACGTCAAGGACACCATTGCCGATTTACTTCAAAATAAAGTCGATATGTCCAAGCTTGTCATTACGAAAGCTCTCTCGAAGTCAGATTACTCGGCAAAACAAGCTCATGTGGAGTTAGCAGAGCGAATGAGAAAACGTGATGTAGGATCAGCTCCTACGCTTGGTGACCGTGTTGCGTACGTTATCGTCAAAGGCGCTACTGGCTCAAAGAACTATGAGAAGTCCGAAGATCCCATCTACGTCCTCGAAAACAATATCCCCATTGATACAAAGTACTACCTTGATAACCAGCTCGCAAAACCGCTCGCTAGAATTTTCGATCCCATTCTCGGTGAAAGAAGATCTGCGCAATTACTAACAGGGGAGCATACGCGCTCTATTTCCGTAGCGGCACCTACTCTTGGTGGATTAATGAAATTTGCGAAAAAGACCCAAACGTGCATGGGATGCAAGAAACCACTCGTCGATAAAGATGAGAAAGAGGGGGCTGTTTGCGAGAATTGCCGGCCCCGCCTAGGCGAGCTGTACTCCAAAACCCTGAACAAGGTATCGGATCTAGAAATCCGTTTTGGGCGATTATGGACACAGTGTCAGAGGTGTCAGGGGAGTCTACACTGCGAGGTTATCTGCTCGAGTCGAGACTGTCCTATATTCTACATGAGGATGAAGGCGAAGAAAGACGTGGAGGATGCAGAGAGGGAACTGGCGAGGTTCGACCACGACCCCGGTGCATGGTAGGGCGTGCCAAGAGAAATTCCTCGACGATGTCATATTTTTCGACTGGGATGTGTAATGGATCTGGGATGAGAATCGATGTCTGTTGATCCCTGAATGAGCTTTTTCTTTTTTTTTTTTTTTGTTATGACCTACTACATGTATGTGTATGATGGAATTTACTAGAGTTGTATTCTATATTGATCAATTATAGGTCATAAAGAGAAATAATTTAATCATAGTCCGGATGAGCAATGACAATATTACTTTATTGAGTTCTTGAGCCTTCAGTTCCAGCGTAGCCCGTTGCCTGAGCCTCTCATTAAGACGCCGCACGTTATCTGTGGTATTGAAGCTTGTGTGACTGGTGAGGTTGCCGTTGGGGGTCGATTGCGCACCATGTGGAATTTCCAAAGCCATCCGAGAAGATTCCATCGACCTGTCGAGCTGGAGATCCAAAGGTTTGGTGACTCGACCGACAGAGACTATGACTTATAAGCTTGTAGATGACTGTCTTGTTTGTTCCACGTCTTTACGTGCTATGTGTGAGTCACCACCGCGCACCAGAATTTCGAGTCATCTTTGGTTGCTTTTTCCCGCTGGCATCTCTGCAGAATGCAACGCAAAGCTTATCGCAGTTAAGCTCCCGCAAGCACCAAAATTAGGTTGAGAATTGCGGCTGATCATTCTGCGGCGCCAAGCGAACCTGGTGAACGAGCCACACCTAAAGCTGCGGCCAATCAAAGGAAGCTAAAGCCAACGTCTCGGCTTTGTTGACCTTCGCCTTCTCTGCGCCAAACCTTTCAAAAGCGCGTCCTCAAGCATCACAACAACAAAAAACAGGGTTTCTTCAAGAAAAGGTTGATTCCCCATATTGAAAGCTGTGTTTTGAATGTTCAATAATATATTTTCTACGCGAATACGAACGCAAGTTGATTCTGGGTCGGGAAATATGCCGTTGGCTGGTATTTCGAGAAAAAGTCACACATTTCAGTGGCCGGATGTGAGCAACAAGAAAGTCAACAAGTCAAGTGCGTCATGGAAATATGTTTTGCTCATTAATGTTTTTCCCTTCTCTAGATATTATCGCGCCATGACTTGAATCTACGCACCCACATTCAAGTGTGTGCCATGGTAAAGAAACGCGTCTCTTCCAATCCTGACTCAGTCAAAGTCATCTCTTCCATTATCCAAGCTACGCAGCAGCTCATGCAGGATTTGGAGAATATTCGAGATCAACTCGTGAGTCTCTTTATCATTTAGGATTGTTACTGAATGCTAATTTTAAATCCTAAGCCGCTCCGGGGTACCGGCATAATCGAAGGTACCAGACAGGGCAGCCAAGATGCTCGCCACACGGCGTCGAGAAACGCCGGAGATGTAGCTGCGCATGATGCGCCTGTCCCTGACAAAAAGTCATCCGTTGGTTCGGATCAACAGCCAGAGAGACCAAGCGACAAGAAGCGATCTTATGGCGAAGAAGAAGACGAAAACAGTCATCAGCAGCCCGGAGAGGCAAACTCCAATAAGAAGTTCAAGCGCCTTTGCGACACAGCGAAATTACATGGTGACTCTGAGAGTAGCGCTGCTGAAGTAACTCCGTATATCCCAACGATTGACGTTGAGGATATATCCGAGGAGGTGGAGGCACGTCTGAGGCTAAAAGAAGAAGCACGACGAAACCGAGCTGGAAAGAAAGAAAAGAAACGGAAAAGAGATAGTCATGGCTCGGCGACTGACAGCCACTCTGGTCCCAGCCACTCGGCCCTGAAACGAAAGAAGCTCAATCCCCAGGACGGTCTTCACACAGCACAAACCAGTACTGATAACCCATATGGCTCAAGTAAAAAGGCGAGGCTTAGATGACTACTATATTGAACGAGATGTCGTCGGAAAGAGAGCCAGAAGGTAGTGTCGGGAAGTAGCGAAGCCAGCGTGGATCCTGCTGATTTCGTGTTATACGTATCGGACGCAGTTTGGTCCTGGCAGCTTTTGGTTGGATATTGATATACAAAGTTAACGGTAAGAGACAACATTTTTGTTGGGTTATGCTGTTTCCCCCCAGAGTTTTGGCGAGGCAATTTTGGCCTCCGCAGCTTTTCGGCAGCTGTCCTTACCTTCCCCCAGTTTAGCAGAGCGGTTGAGCAGGAACGAACTCTCGCGACGGTCGACGCATCTTACGAGTTTGCAGGAAGTAAATTCTGCCTTGGCCACTCAATAAAGTTTGAATATACCATGGATTTGTGAGCAATTGCATGGCAGTTTCGGTGCTTACTGTTATTGTCTGGACGCTTTCCCTCTCGGCAATTATAGAGTCACTCAGCGACGTCAAGCCGGGAAATCCCTTGCTGGGTATCCGCGGGTAAGCTAAACTTTCGTTACGACTAGGTTCATTCTTGTTTTGAGAAAGGAAGGGAGCTGGTTGCCTCGGTGACTTTATCAACATTCGTGCACACTGTATCATGACTCCCATCCTTCCTCATATCTTGGAACGTCTCTGACTGGAATGCACTGGGTCATTGTCTGACTCAATGCTCTGACTCAATGCTCTGACTCAATGCTCTGACTCAATGCTCTTATTTCCCTTCCTGCTGAATAGTCGAATGATTGCAGTCAGTGACTCACCCACCAAAGCCGGACGACTATAAATACCCCCTTTACCCCCTGCTGATCTTGATCTTTTCCTTCTCATTTTCTTTCCTTTCTTTCTCAAAGCTATCAGTTTGTGACGAAAACCACCCGCTTGAACCTTCAAGCAACCTGTTTTACTGTTGCTAATCTGCTATCTTGTTAACTGCCTTTTCCTTTTTTTTCTTTTTTTTTGATTTTACGTATTCCTGCCTTTGAACCTGCGCTGAGAGAATAAGAAATATGTGCAAGAGGTACAGACCAACTATTCCTTGAGAATGGATATGCGCCAAATTCGCTTGACTCGGGCCCTAAATAAAAAGTATGTTCTCTCTCCCCCTCTTATGGCTGTCTTTAAACCTGCGCTGAAGCTCGAATAAAGCCCGATCTCTTTCTTCCCGTTATACCTGTCTTTAAGCTTGCGCTGAAGCTCGAGGCATAAGGCACGGTCTTACCAAAAAAAAACTCCACATCCACTATACCTGCTTTTATATCTGCGCTGGATGCTCGGGTTATAAGGCACGGTCTTACAAAAAAAAACTCCACATCCACTATACCTGCTTTTATATCTGCGCTGGATGCCCGGGTTATAAGGCACGGTCTTACAAAAAACAACTCCACATCCACTGTGCCTGCTTTTATACCTGTGCCGAAGCCTGGGTTATAAGGTATGGTCTTTTTCTCTCTTACCTGTCTTTAAACCTGTGCTGATGCCCAGGTCATAAGGCATGGTCTTTTTACCAAGAAAAAAAAAGCTTCCACATCTGTACCTGCTTTTATACCTGCGCTTGAAGCTCAGGTTATGAAGCACGGTCTTAAAAAAAAAAAAAAAAAAAAAAAAAAAAAAAAAAATCCACATCCACTATACCTGCCTTTAAACCTGTGCTGAAGCCCGGGTCATAAGGCATGGTTCTTTTACCAAGAAAAAACATCCACTATACCTGCTTTTATACCTGCGCTTGAAGCTCGAGGCATAAGGCACGGTCTTACAAAAAAAAACTCCACATCCACTATACCTGCTTTATACCTGCGCTTGAAGCCTGGGTTATAAGGCATGGTCAATTTCCACATCCACCGTGCCTGCTTTTATACCTGTGCTGAAGCCCGGGTCATAAGGCATGGTCTTCCACCAAAAAAAAAAAAAAAAAAATCCACGTCCACTATGCCTGCCTTTAAGCCTGTGCTGAAGCTCAGGACATAAGGCATGGCTATTCTTTTTTATCCCGTGCCTTCTTTTATACCTGCGCAGAGGCTTGCGACATAAGGTATCCGCTTCTACACTCGTCCGAGAGACGATTTCTACCAATAAGCTTGCGCCGCTGCTCGAAACATATACGATATGAAACGTTTCCAAAAATCCTCCTTTTGTTTGTTTTTTCTCTTCCATGGAAGTCCTCGTGAGTATAACAATGCATTCCCTCTCCCATTCCTAGTATGTTCCTAGCCTGCTAATTCTCGATCCAGACCTACTTACGTCCTAAACTATACCCATCTACACAAGCGTTATAGCGAACCAATCTCTGTAAGTGGCCACTATCTCCCATTGCAAACATCACACTAATATGGTTGCGCAGGATGATCTTGCCGATGGATATGCATCTCTGTACCCTCTTCCTCCTGAGGTCCTTTCTCGAGTTGGATATGATTTTGAGATTAACGGTTAGATGGATATGTATTATTACAATGAGTATGCATTAAAATGAAAAAAATATTTAAAACATCAATTAGCTTCCCTTGACTTGCTCTGGAGGTAACATCTTATAACTCATAGCTCAGCAGTTGGTCAATATTGCCTTGAACGCAATAACTATACAGGTTAATGCCCCAGGAGTTGTGCTTCGATCGAGTTCCAATGTAAGCCTTTGTTACCTTGATCTCCCGTCGCCTTTCACCTCAAACGGACTACTTTGATCGTTTGAAAGTAGTCCGTTTGAGGTGAAAGGCGACGGTTCACGTGATGAGCGGTGACTCGGATGAACAAATTATCCGTGTAGCTGACTTTCGGCCAATCAGCATCACGGAAAGCAAAATTTCTTGACTGAATTGCGTCGACAAGAGAGCACCAAGAGCAAAAATTCAAAGCAGCTGTCTGTCTCTACCAATCACTTTTCCTCTAAACCGGCACCGGGAGGCACAATTGCATACACCGCTCCACACAATGTCTACGTCTAGCACAAGCGACAGCACCAAACCACTCCCCCACTCCGAGGACTACCTCCTTTTCAAGCGCTATGCCTCTATCACCTTTGTTGTCGCGGCGCCGATACTCATCGCCCTCCCTCCGCGAAAGCTAGATCTATACAGCGTTTCCCTGGCCTCCGCGTTCTTCTTCTCTGCAAACTACTTGACGGCCGACCAGACCGGTAAAAGCATCATGCAGCGCCTCGGAGCACGTTTCGAGGGCCAGAAGCCACCTAGCATCTTCAGAGACCTGCCCACTGAGAGGGCGGAGGAGGTGAGGGAGCAGATACGCCGTGCGAGAGAGGCTGCGAGACAGCAGGAGTTTCAGCGGCAGCAGGCGCAGAAGGGCGCGGAGAAGGAGGATGGTGGGCCCGTGCTGGCTGAGTTGGGGAAGAAGATATGGATGGGTGAGGAGACGGAGGGATGGAAGGAGAAGCGGATGGAGGAGGAGAGAAAGGCGCTGGAGGAAGGAAAAGGGTACGGCGATTTGATCATGGATCATATCCGGGATGCCATTGGGGTGAACAAATATACCAGTGACAGCGAAAGAACGGATGAGAAGAATGCAGAACCGTGAAAGAAAAAGAAAAATCAAAGGAATTGAAAGCAGCTACGCCGTGCTTTCACAAGTCCACTCTGGTGCTCAGGGGGAAACGTGAAGGCACTCCAGTTCGACTGTTGGGTTATGTGGCCCGTCGGAGCCTACACAGTCGCTGGCATGGAAATCTGGCATTGGGCAAGTTCAGCATCACGTCCCACGCAACCCACCCGGGCGCACCCGTCGCAGACTTTGAGTGAAATCATCAAAACCAAAACGACGGGAAGAGCCCATTTTGGCCATCTGCAACTGCACAGAACAACTTCTAGGCCTAAATACAACCATGGCATCCAAAGCAATATCTATTCAGACTTATCTTTGCACCAATTCATGCGAGCAAGATTACGCATCTACAACGAAGGTATTCTCTCAGTCGGATTAGCAGTATTTCGTTATATATTTTTTTTTTTTTTTTTTTTTTTTTTTCACACTTCATGTATGTATATCCTAGACGCTTTTCTCTGAGACTTCGTTTCTCGTTGGTTTGAAAGCAACATACCCGCCTTCTTCCGTTATCATGGCACATGTGGGTTTTCGAGTCATATCAACAGAGGTATGAGATAGCAGAGGCTTGTCAGGCCCCCTGGCCGCACTGGGTGACACTTCCGACCTTTTTGGCGCCGATAGGGTTTAATCCGAGTGAAACAGTCCGGGAGAAACGCGGCGGGCGGTTGAAGATCCCGCGCTTAATAGTCCAACGGGAGCGGATGCTATGGCGCTTGCTTCGGGAAATCCCCGCCTTGGCACAGGGATACGGCCCACCAAGAGCTGCACCCGGCCGTCGATCGATGCGGTATCAAGCCCCGGCGACACGATCAAAATTGAGGACAGTGGTTCTGAGTGCTCAGGACTCCTCTGAAGCTAATTACTATCTCGAGTATTTTGAATCGACAAACGCAATTACCTTGAAAAAAAAGAAAATCCTAGATAGAGCTGATAAAAAGTCCTGGGTTTGCTCCCTAGCATAGGGCCTGATATATGAGGACACCCAGAGCATTAAATTCAGGCCCATATTTTCTTGTGATGTTGCATTCTGAAGTTAATAGCTTCGTGTAAAAAAGGAAAATTCCTCCACACCAATTGCTCGCCGAAAGAACTTACGGGAAGGCACGCTGTGGTCTCTCACCAGGCGATTTTATCCAAATCCATTGGCTTAATTTCCTGCTTGGGGGCAGCATGAAATTTAGCAGTCCCATCGGCATAGTGACCACACGTCTCAATCACCCCTCCGGAGGCCTCATCCACGACCTGTGCTAGGTTGCCCGAATGGCGAATATTGCAACGCGATGTGACCGACTCGATGTGCGCTATAAGCGCTGGTGTGGAATTGAAGGGACGGAGACAGCCAGCACAACTAAAACATTTCTTGTTAGACAGGGCAATTCATTGCAAAAAAGGAGTGGAATTGGTATCTTGATTGGGACATACTAGACAACTCCACCATCATGGATACCAGAGTCCAAATGCTTGGAAAGTTCGTCGCCAGTTTTGAACACCTTATCGCAAGGGCAGATATACGCTCCGAGAACGCTGTTATAGTACCGTTTTGTGTCCCAGATGACGAAGTGCTGAGGCATCTTCTTTTCACTTTCGACGAGTTCTGGTGGGCGATCTCCCCAGTCCTCCTCGATTCCTCCCACTTCGCTCGATGCAGGCTCAGTTTGGCCTTTCTCAGTCGATTCAATATCGGAGAAGGCCATAAGATCTTTAAGGCTGTCGTTTTTCTGCTGAAAACTCATCGGCCAGTGCTTGATGCTACGAGCCACTCCGCTCACCTCAGAAACCATGTCGTCAAAGGCGTCGGGGCCTTCTCCAACGGCCAAATGGGGCAGCGCCTCCACCTTTGCTTTCCCTTTTCCGAGAGGCGGAAATTCAGAGGGATCCATGGTGATTTCAACACCGCCATCTACACTTTCGATAGTCGAACCGGCGGCAGCTCCACGCCCTGCACCGGAAAGCCCTTTGCTATCGCCCGCTTTACCCTCCAAGGCTACTCTGGTAGCGAGCTTCTGGGCTCGCTGAGCTTTGTATTGATCCTTGGTGATTCCAGGGCATCTGTCGTTTTCGATGTGCATCATCAAGGCATGTGCGCGACTGAACTTGGTATGGCAACCAACACATTCTAGAGCCTGGTCTGTGGGGTGAATCTATCATTCCAGATATCAGCTAGATAAACAATATATTAAACAGGCGGCCCAAAGCAAGGCATGAGCATCTAGTCAGCAGAAGACACGTTACCTGGCGCAAGTGGGCATCGCGTCCTCCTTCACTCTTGAACTCGTCTCCACAGATAGGACATGCGATATGCCTGTTGCTATCGAGCTTGTGGATAAAAAAACTTTCCTCGTCTTCGAAGTCTTCATCGCATCGGGCACAGTAGTCGTGCTCGGGGGTATGCTTCTTGTGCTTGATAAGCTCCCTTTCGGTAGGGAAATACCGGTAGCAGCCCTTGAAGGTGCAGAAGATCCGGCGGGCAACTTGATTCGTAGGTTCAACCATGTTAGGCAGGGATAGGCTGAATGGATGTAGAGTGAGAACTGTTGGTGAAAGTGAGATGAAGGTTTCATGAAAAATGAAGTTATCGGTTCAGTGTGGGTGAGAAAGTTATAGGGTTGATTAGTCGTCAGATGTCATGAGCGTGAAAAGGGTAAAGGAGTGGAGGGCCAGTGTAGCAGCTGGTGACACATGGTAGCATGGGCTTCTGCTCTGGAGTAAAATGGGACAGATAGTATGGTGGTCTAATGTGAACCCGACATTCACAAGATGGCTAGCTCACTCATAGATATCATACTAGCAGAACAGATAGTGATAAATTTCTCAACGACTGAAGATATAAATCTCAAAATAGAATGCAGGTTACTTGATCCACGTTTTTCAATATTCCATTGAGAAGTAGACAAGAAAATCCAAATATGGGTAAATATGGTTGATTGCCCACATATAAAATAACCATATCTCATTGTATCAAAACCTAGAGTACGGAAGCCTGAAAAATCGATCAGCATTTCAACGCCGCTTCTACTCAAGGAAAAGTTAATGTTTTTATAGATTATACTTACCATTTCCCTCTCATTGTAATGATAGCCCAATTGTTCCCATCTTCATCCGTTTCCTTCTCCACATTCGTCGAAAAAGAGATCGCACTCATAATACCATCGCCAAACTTCTCATTCAAGATCGCCTTGTAGGCGTATCCGTAATTCTGCACGATCTCATACAGTCTGTAGATCAAGGGCTCACGCGGAGGCATCTCCACCGAGCGCCCTCGATCCGGAAAGCCGCCCATCTGCATTTCTAACGCGGTGGCCGGCAAGCGCAGGAGCTCAGCGAGCTTGATGATGTCCTCCTTGGACGCCTTGGCCTGCCCGTAGAATATTGCTGCTGTGGCTACTTCATTGCGACCTATGTGCTGGGCAATCTGCTCGAAGCTGAGGTTTGCCTTTGCTTTGGCGTCAAAGAGGAGGGAGGCAGATTGGGGCAGGTAAGGGTGCTGGCTGGTCTACAACGGGGTTAACATGGAGCTGTATAAGAGATACAAACGGAGCCCGATGAATAGACATACATCTAGACTCGCGAGATCCGACATGGCTGGCTCTGACAGTGCAGTTTGTATAAAAGCTTCGTTTGCTTGGATGAACGTGAACGAATGCACTCAGTCTTGTCCAGGATGGAGATGATGGGCGGATTTGAGGGCAATTGAGGGGGAAACGGCCTTGGAAGTAGCTCTGAACCCCGGGTACTCACATCACTTGTACCCATCGCGGCCAGCTCCGTTTAAATTCGTAAAATTACCGGGCACAATACCCCGTACTGTGTTAACTCCGCACGCTGGAACTGCAGCATGCCCGATGACATAATGCGGGGTACACCAGCCAATCGTGAGGGGAAGTCAGTGGTGAAATTCCACAAACGGCTATTTTGGGCTGCTGAGTACGGAGTAGTTTGTTAATCAATGCCAAGAGCGATCAGCGCCACGTTCCAAACACCACGCTAGAGGGTCACCCGGTACTCCGTATATGGCCGTGAATTAACTTGTATGGCCTTCTTTCAGTCATGAAATATCAACGCCCAAAGCCAGTACTTCACGAGAAGTTGTGATACTGATTTGTCGGTTCGTAGCGGGAGGGGGGATTGTAGGATTCGGGTTCAAAAGCACATGCCGGGATAGAAAGGCTACGGTCGGAAGAGGCTACACGTCGGCCAAGAGGCACCCGTTTAGGAACACCGCACAGACAACTCGAACGTTACCGACTTGTTCCTGTGTAGCCTTTCCTCTTCGACCCTTGGACATACCTCATGTATCGACGTGTAAGAATGAAACATATAATGAACACTGGAAGGAGTGTACACAATCTCTGAATTGGCGGGATAGCACGTTGTTTTCAACCGTCAGACCCTACAGGAATGATGGTCGACGCCCTATTGCCGCTACCATCACAGACCAGGGCAGGTCCATTGGTCTTATCGCCGACGTTGTCGAACAAGCTCAACAAGAATGGAGCTTCCGCTACTGCTTCTTGCTTCACCCTGCTTATCCCCATTGACTATCCATTTTCTTCTCTCCCGTTTAAGCGCATAGGGTATTCTTATTGTTATCTTCAGGGCATTATTCACCGAGCGTAAAGCATTGTGTTGCCGTGTTGTCAAGCTTGGAAAGTCTAATGTCAACAAAGGGGACCTTGGGCCCCTATGACGACATACGTTCCAACATTTTGGGCCTTTTTGGTGTTCGTCAGCAAAAGAAACAGACAGCAGCTCAACGTGCTCTCCAGATCCTTTGTAAATTTCAACATGGTGTTTTGACATGATGTCTGTGATGACCAGCTTTTATCAATGAGTAAGAGACTGATCACGTCGTTTCCTACGCGATTCTGCGCCAGACGACATACCACTATTTTCCCTGGATGTACTACTTACCGCCTCATAGAGAGGTGTGCATACAGATCACCGGTTCTCCCAGTGCTAGTAAAACGAACACCAAGTCTGGGGATGGCGACTTCATCTGCGGCCTCCACCCATGGCATCCCACTAGCATGCGCAACCTGCTCCGTCGGTCGCCCTGAAACCGATAGTTTACACCGACGGCTCGAAGCAATTGCGTCGGCGGGATTCTCAGCGATTGAGCTCTCGTTTCCAGATCTGCAAGCATTTGCATCGCAGCTTCTGAAATATGAAGTGAAGGAGGACAACTATGATGAATTGTGCCAAGCTGCGAGAGAGGTGAAGGGATTGTGCGAGGCACATGGATTGAAGTTAATGATGTTGCAGCCATTTAGTAATTTTGAAGGGTGGAAGAAAGGGTCGAAGGAGTGGGAGCAGTCTTGGGAGAAGGTGAAAGGCTGGGTGAGGATTATGCAGGCTTGTGGGACGGATATGTTGCAGGTAAGAGTGGCAAAAACAGCCTTACGTTTCTCAGCGGATATATAATATGACCTGACTTGAGTAGGTCGGCTCCACAGACGCGCCGGAAGACAAGATTTCCACAGAGCACGGAGATATAATTCGTGACATCCGTGAACTGTGCGACTTTCTCCAAGAGCACGGCATGAGAGTTGCCTATGAGAACCAATGCTGGTCCACCCACGCTTCAACTTGGAAAGAAGCATGGCACATTGTACAGCAGGTTGATCGACCGAACATCGGTCTTTGCCTCGATACGTTCCAGATCGCAGGAAGTGAATGGGCAAATCCATGCAGTATATCAGGATGCACAGAGACAGAAATCACCGTAGCGCAGATGGAAGACGTCGACGAAGGCTGGAGCGAGACACTTGAAGAGCTATCCAAGACGGTCCCCAAGGAGAAGATCTATCTGCTCCAGATATCAGATGCGTATCGGCCTAAGCAGCGGTTTGAAGGACGGGAAGTGGAAGGGATGCGACCCCGGGCCAGATGGAGCCATGGGTACCGGCCGCTGCCGTACGAGGGAGGGTATCTGCCGGTGGAGGACGTGGCGAGGGCGGTGCTGAGGACGGGCTTCCGCGGCGTCTTCTCCGTCGAAGTGTGCGACGCGACGGAAAGCCAGCGCGACCCGTTCGCGTTCGCCAAGAAAGCACGTGATAATGTAGTCAGATTAATAAGCAATACCTGGGAGGCATAGCGACCAATAACGCAAGGGAGGTGGCTACGGTAGACGAGAGGAGCAGGGCTGGCAACTTCTCTCCCTTGAAGAAGTTTTTGCTGCGCTGGTCGGCACCGTGATGTCGCTTCACGGGCAGCGGGCATGTCGACAAGTAATGGACCGTGCGGATTGTCGGCCCGACGGGCAGGGAGAGACTTGTTCAAGGATCTTACGACCGTGAGAAGAACTGCACAAGGCGTTCGAGGTTCGATGGAAAACGGGGAAAATTGAAATGCGTGCCTCTTCGAAGATGCCAGCGGTTAACTTAAGGAGTGGGGATGGGTCCTTTTTTTCTTTTTTGCATGCTATAACTACATCAAGATATTCGAGGGAGAATATACAATGTTGCAAATCGTGAAAAGCAGGGCTGTCATCGTCATCAGAGCGTCGTTAATTTATTGAACAGGAGGGTATCCATGGCTGTCAAAAAAAAGGTACAATATCAATGCATCACGGTTCATACGGTGGCGGAGGACCATCCTTTTCTGAAACCCGAGCATCATTTTTATATTCGGTATTATCATTGTCGACGAGTTCTGTTATGTCGGAAAAGCCATCGGAAGTCGGCGTTGGTGGAGTAAACTCCCTTTCGCTTCGCATCCGAACATCAGCGTCTTCCTGGGCATGGAGTGACGTGTACGACGGCGGCGCAATTTCCTTCTGCGTCTCGATATGTAGCGTCAAAGGGGATCTAGACTCCGACACAGGAGCCGAAGTGGTTGGCGCAGTTGCCTTGAGGCGTCATCAGTGATATTCGCGTCAATCCCGCCAGTATGAAATATTGGCTTACCACAGCTTGGTGAGGAGGATCGCCTGAATTGACTTGTCCTTCTTGCTCCCCGGCCTCTGCATCACGCTCTTCCCGAGCATTCCATTCCTCCAGAGATGTAGCAATCACTTCGTGCTCTCTGCTCGTCCTTCCAACCAGGTCGCCATTATTCCAAATCCCGTATCTGAGTACCATTCCAGAAAGGTTGGTCTTGGACATCTTACAGTCCTTCACGTCGCAGTTCTTAAGCACGACCCTGTCGGCCGTACTGTCCCACAAAGACACCCTATCCAGAACACTGTCCTGTACACGACTGCCTCCCCCCAGACTGCACTTCTTTACTTCACTCCTCGACACGGCGGTTTGACCACCCACTCGGGAGTCTTGAAAAGAAGAACGCTCAACGGTCTGCGCGCCCACGAACTCGGATCTCGAAGCCGTCGAGCGGTCCATGCGCCCTACATGCGACGCGCGGCTATCTCGAAGCCGAGAGCGTTCGATGTAGCTATCCGAAATAGTGCAGCGGGATAGATCGCAGCGTTCGATATAACTGCCTCTGCCATTTTCGGAGAGGACGTGTACGTCGTTGAGTTTGGAGTGGCGGATGTGCGTGGATGAAGAGAGATTGGTAAAGGAGCAGGACTTGACGTCCGAGCGTTCAATGGAGGGATAGTAGTCCCATTTATCTGGAGTGACCGTAAGACCGCTCACGTTAGACCGGCGGGCTTTCGGCACGCTGGACATCGCTGGATTCCGTCAGAAGAGCGGATATATGAGCATGTAACAAAACTATGATGCGAGAGTACTCCGTAAATCGATCAAGATCCAGCTCCCCTCCGAAGTGACCATCACCTCATGAGTCACGGGGGAAATTGTTCGTGTTCGAATCCTTGAAATTTGCCGGTACCAAACTCGCGAGCCAGCCCTCGATGAATACTTCAACGGCTACTTTGCCGCCTGTCATACGTATTTTATCGGGCAGATCGACTTTCAAATCCCACTGACGCGGATATCAGCTTCCCGCAGGCTACCGCTTAACTGGGGGGGTTGTGATGGAGTTGGTGAAGAATTGACTACCGTTCAACAACCCAATACAGGGCCAAGGACCCCTGTCTACCGATCGGGATCCTTGTTTCATGCCGGCCCTATGCGGCGCACGGGGTCACTCGTGAGTTCTATCCGCTAGGCGACGGCTCGGGTCGCAAGTCAATGAATCTCAACAACAACGGAAGGCCTTTTACCTAAACCATTGCACTCAGGTCCTGACAGATTGGTGCTCACCGAACAGGGGCGTTACATATTTTTTGACCATACTGACTCGTCTAGCGGTCTTCGTCTCGGGGAGATTCTCAACAATCAGTACCACCAGACTGTAGTTAACAAGGTTTCAGCACGGCGCGCCAGATGATTTGCCTGGCTTGCTGGGAAGTTTTGCAACCACTGAATGCCCAAATTTTACCGGCTCTTGTCTTTTCTATCAATCATTGAATCCAGCCTTCTCCCACCCAAGCAACCTGGCACGACCTCCTCTTAGAATGCCACGGGAGCTTTGAACTTGAAGCATCATGGATCGCTGATGCGACAAAAGCCGAAATGGACTTCCTTGAATCCTCCTCTTTTGCGAACACTCCAGGCCACAAATGCCTTCCAACTCCGGCAGAGGCCATTTGTTCGTTTACTAAATTGCCGCACCACGCCTCGGCTCGCAGCAGTCAAAGTTGAGCATCTTAGCCTTATTGTCAAGCTTGGTCCCTGTGTATGTTGCGAAAAGCATTTGCATAACAACACAAGACCACTCACTTAACCACTCAGACCTCAAACGCTTCCAGAAAATCCGATAGAACTCTGGCGCCATTCACAGACAATGGAGCCTCTAGGAAAATGGCAAAGAAGAGCCATCTGCATTCTAGTTTATCAATATTGAGAACCTGCGCTTTGACGACAAAACGGAAGAGCTTTATATCGGGCCCGTCCACGAAACTGGCAAGGGGGCCATGGAGTTCGACAACATAACTATTTACTGGGACTATGCGTACCACTGCATGGAGGTCGTCGCCCTGACGGAAAGTCGTACCTCGCGGAGAAGGATCCATTCATCAACCCAACTCTCTGCAGCTACGCTCTATGTTCCTCCCGATAATCCGATCCCGGGTCCAGAATGGGTCGTTTTACCTGGCCTAACTGCGACTTTCAGACCGTACAGCATCCCCTAGTGAACGAGAGCTTTGCGATCCTCGCCGTGGTTGATTTCGAACTGTGTGGATAGCTGCGTCTCTGGAGGTTGTGGCACAGTCCTCTTTCATGGCATACGTGGACACCTGGGAATGCCCGGGCCCGGCTTGACAGATCCGGACGCGGCCAGGCGTTTGGCCGGCGAGGGGACTGGTTTCCCGCAGTACAAACAGATGATCAGGTTATCCATAAACCTTCATTGAGCATGTTTAGCGATCGAGCAGCGATGAAGAGTGGGCAAACTGTAACGTACACCTACCCTGATGCGAAGCCTAGCGGCGTTGCATGGTAGTCTTTCGACTGGCTCTGTGAGTAGCGATGCCTTGCGGGGTTCGAGAGCCGCGGACGGTCTGGTCAACTGCATCCTGAGCCACAATTGATTTTGTTGGATTACATACACACACGTCTGTAGCATCTCAGGCTTTAGCTATCGCAGGCATCCGCAGGAGAAGATACATGTATCATGCATGCATACAAAGTGCATATTTACATACATACGGCGTACTTTATGGAGTGATACGAATTCCAAGGACCTAAAGGAGTGAATGCATACGATGAGGCTGAGGAAACACCCCCTTGAAATCATGTCTATAACCCCTCCACAACACTATTTACAAGTACTCCGTACTTAATTTCTACGAGGCACAAACAATTAGGGGGAGGAGGAAATAAGAAAATGAAAAAAGAAAAGGGTAATACCAACAGTTTCGTATGTGCACAGAGATATGTATTCACTAGGGACAGTAGAATCTTGAAAAAAAAAAAAAAAAGGAATGCTAGAGGATCGCTCCTCGTAAATACAAATCCTATATTCATATGATATATCCACAAAAAATAATCTTTCCAAGCTCCTTTGGGGGGCCCCCCAAAAACACACCCGCTGTGAAAGATTAATAAAAACGAGAGACTAGATCCAAACCCAAGTATACCATATCCCCACCGAAAGGAAAGAGTGATGAGCGTGATATATCCCCTTCGACGGGATTCAAAGAAACCCGATATTATCCAGCATGTGAAGGGACTGTCGTGCTTCCGGAACCAGTATAGTACAAAAAGGCAGAGCGGAAAATAGAACGAGCACACCGAGCAAAGCCCGTTGGTCGCTGACACAGCAGCGCCGGACGTTGAGGAACAAGGAAGAAAAGAGCGGACAGTGGGGACATCAGTGGTTGTCGAATGCTTCGCGTTGTCGGGGGGTGGTAAAGTGGTTGCTAAATTCCGGAGTCCGACCAGGGGCCTTTGTCAAAAAGGCCAAGATCGGTGTTGATAGATATATTCGAATTCAAAGGCTCGGTTGACAAAAAGATTCGTATATATATCGTGCCGGAAAATCGAAACCACTTCAACGAAGACAATCAAACATGGCCCGGTGTGGCCAATAATCCTCCTCCTTCTTCATCGTCCCCAACCCCTGGGCTGAAAGTGTCCGGTGTGGAACGAATCTACATAACAATGCACTGGCCTCCGGAGCCGCGAGCGAACATGGGGCCTATTACCTGTTAGCTTTCGAGGTCAAGCAAACGGAGCAGCACCCGCTTGAGGGGGTTATTGAGGAGGAAAGATGTTAAAGAACGTAACGGAAGGGAGGAGCACGAACCAGTGGTCTCTGGAGCCTTGGGGGCGACGTAGTTCTCCATTTTGATATCGGGAAAAAGGATTGAAGTCTCTGAAAAGAGTTGAAGAAGTATAGCTTTCGTGGTTATCAACGTAGACTTGTCGATCTTGACGATGGAGAGCAAAGGCCATTCATGAAGGATCACGACACGGTATTTATAATTGATCAGTCTTCTCCTCAGTTCTCCGGATGAGGGAATGCTATGCAGAGGATATTCTTCAAGCGGAAACGTGGATGCTGCAGTATGAGTGATTTCGGGGCACGGGTAAGTGAGGCAAATTCTTCACACAAGGAGTGTAAAAAGCTAGTAGAGGCAAGAGAGGCGCAAAATAGTATAAAGTATAAGATAATTAGAAGCTGCTTAAGGCATCGTTCCAGACAATCCTTTATTGCAGAAAGAAAGATATGCAAGCGGAAAGGAAAGTTAATGATGAAAGGAGAGGCAGAACAATATGATGAACAAAAGCGGATGATCAATCACAGTGAAGCGTGGTCATGAATGAGACATTTAAATACTCATACATGGACGGTGCAGAACTCCATTTAGGGTTCTTGGTATTGTTCTGATGAAGATACTTCCAGTGAACATTTGGCATGGAAATTGCCGGGGCCCTCTCGTATCGCCCAGCTGGGTCAAGCAACACAGCTGGATGGTGCCCAAGATTGGAAAGCCTGGGCGGTTAAGCATGTCTCTGCTCTGTAGTAGGGGACGCATAAAATAGTGGATACTGCATTTTTATTTTTTTTAGCAAAGCATCATGTGCTCCTCCACACTCTGAAAACAAGAATTCCATGCCTTGCAGATTGGGAGAGACCCTCCGCCCAATCCAGATCCAGCACCAAAAAGGGAAGGAAAAAAAGAAAACGGTATATCCCTGTTGACGAATGAGGATTGCAAACTGCACAATCCGAGCAGTTCCGAGAGAGAAACGATCGATGGGGCTCACCATGGAATGGGGACAGCATGATGAACAGCTGATCCTGCACAGGCTGGGGGGGGAGGCTTTCACTCATATCCATGCGCCTCGGTATGCGGCTTAATTACTACGTTAGGGGCGAGTGTATCCAGAGGCAACCAAGAATCTAGGCCCGAAAAGCAGCCATCCTTTGTTCTAATCAGATGTCTTGTCGCAAGGAAAGGATGTGTTCTCTTTCTCCATAGGCCGCAGTGCTTGGCTATCTGTCCCCATTCATGATGACGAAGGCGAATACGGGAAAGAAAACACAGCGGCAACACAGCAAGAGAGGGGGGAGGGGGGAGGGGGAGGGAATGTAATCATTTAGACACCCTCCCTCCACTTGGGTGATTCGGGTCAAGATCCCTGAATTCGGCAGCATAGACTGGGTATCACTGAGCGCCGCCTTTCCATCCTCATTCGCCCTGGGGATAGGGGTGGGTTAGAGGCAAAATAGCAAGAGTGGGAATCAAGGGCCGGCAGCCACGCCATTCTTCGAGCCAGGAACGACGGGCGGGGGCAGTTTCATGGATCTGATTGGGAACGGATGGGCTGTGAGGATCCCAGGGGAGGCGATGGTCAGGAGAAGCTCAGACTTCCAACACGCACAACGCAAAGAAACGTAAAACAAGGAAGAGAGACCTTTGTTTCCCAGCTCCGAGGTGAGGATTCCCGGACGATGACGTTGGGGGCTCCATGTCAAGACGCCAGTGAAGGCGCATCGTAGACGCCAATCAGCGCACATCCCAGCATCCCGGGACCAATGCAGACTGAGTTGAGCAACAGCAGCAGCAGTATGTAGCAGCGGCAGGGAGTTGACATGGACTGAGTTAGAGCTGAACTGCGGTGAGGTGAGGTGAGGTGTCGATTGACTTTCTCTCATTTTCCACTCTCGGCCGGTGCTGGACGACGCGGTGAAGTCGGGCAAAAAAAACAAAAACAAAAAAAAAATACAAAAAAAAAGAAGTCCAACCGCCGAGGCCACGCTATACCCGATGCGGTAATGACACGTGCAGGGATCCACCGCCAACGCCTGTTTCGCCCGCCAATCAGAGCGCGTCTTCGCCAACATCAGGTCACGTGCTTCTCCTTGCTATTGTTCTCTGCAGGACAATAGTAAGCCGGGATTTGCACGCTTTTTTGGTGGACAGGCAGCGATCAAGGCCGAAGCGAAGGCCAAAGAAGGCGAAAGGACGAACTGCGGCTGGGATCTGGCTGGCTCGCTGAGACCGACATGGCTGAGTGATTAAATCTCGGCTGTCCCAGTGGCTCGCTTTCAGCAGGTTTGGCCGGGCCACAGGAATGTACAATCTTGGTCCCCGGTCAGTGAATATCCAACAACCTCTGAGAACAATATCAACCCAAAGAATATCCCTTTTTTTTTTTTTTTTGTTTTTAATTATTCTTCTTTACAAATGCTGCTTCTGCATTCGTCCAGAGATACGACAAGTTAGATCAGTGCACAAATAAAGAAACCCAAAAAAAAAAAAAAAAAAAAAAAGGAAAGAAAAAGGAAAAAAGTATATGACATCAAATAACAAGGCCATGCACATCCAAGGTCAAAGCAGCTCTGTAACACACAATCAGCGTCCCACAGCCACGCAGACCCGGTTGTATAGCTAGTGTCGGCCAAAGAAGTCTCAGCAGCATCCCAAAGCATCAACGGTGGGCATTGGCACCAAAAAAGGAAACTCAAAACTTCTAACCGAGAGATGGAGACAGCCACTCATGAGCTGCAAACTACTCATGTGTAGATCTCCTCCGTGAGCTTGTTGAGCCCAATCCCCTCCTTCGCAATGTCCTCTTCAATCAAAAACATCAGCGGCATCTCCACCAACGTCCCCTTCACCTTGCTCAGCTCCTCCTTAACCGCCCGCACCCCCTCGGGGAATTCATCCCTGATAACGTGGCCACACTCGTATTTGACGGGAGGTGCAGGGGTGAGCCCCTCTCCTGGAGCAGGGGGCCCTCCCTGACATTCTGGCTGCCCTTCCTTCTGCTTCTTGACCTCTTCCTTGCGGAAGTAGTACTCGTAGAACTCCTTATAGTCGTTCCAGTTGCGCACGGTGTCGTCGGGCACCGCGTGGAACACTTTTCGGTACACCTCCGTGTTCTGTCTGGCCCGAGAGTTCCACAGGCTCTGGAACGTGTCCGATAGGGGGTCCGCGACCACGCGGTCTTCGGGAGAACCGAGGTCATACTGGTTTGGAACTCCCACCGGCTCGAAGTTGGCATCAGGACGCTGATAATCTTGTGCAGGAATGAGGCCGAGGTGCTTCCGGCACAGCTGTCGTCGAAGTGTTGAGGCAAATCGGCTCACCAGGTACGGCTGGCCGTTCATCGACGACTCTATCGGGGATGGGTCCTGAATGATCACAGCAATCTCAGAGTCGTGCGAGCCCAGCTGGGAACGATCGTTGATGTTTGCACTTCCACAGATCACCGTTCGGTCATCCGCAATCAACACCTACAACGGGGGGTTAGCACTGCTGCCGCATACCACGGAGTGAACGTTGGACTACTCACCTTGGAGTGGACGTAGAGCTCCTCCGAAACAAATGCATCAATCTCTGCCAAGGCATCGTTATGTTCCCAAGGCACGTTCCGGATATCCTCTCCTCCTAACATATAACACGAAGCAACACTGTTCCATCGCCCAGACGCGGAGCTGCCATGCGTCACCTGCTGAGCGGCTTGCTGGTACTGGCCATACGCTGATGTGGTGTCAAATGCCGGCTTCGACCCAGTCACGCCAGCGTCATACTGGTGTCGAGCAGTTTCGTAGCTAACCCCGCTCTGTTTCTCAGCAGTCTGCATCACGCCACTAGCGTTGATGCGATCGTAATTCCTCAAGTTGTAGAAGCGGATGTACTCCATGGGGTTGACGCCCTCTTTGGCGATCATCTCCATGATGCTGTTGCCGCCGCGGTTGATCGAGTCGTACTGGAACTCCATAATTGCCCGAGTGCCCAAGCTGCCCTCGTCACGAAGATCACCAGGGAAGCCGGGGACGGCGGGGATCACGACAACGATATGATACTTCTGCTTCGCCCTTGCTGCACGCAGGATACGTTCGACAATGGCTGCGCCGATCTTGTTCTTGACCGGGGCCTGCGAGTCACCGGTCGCCGTGATGAAGAACTGATTCTCGATGTAGACAAAGTGCTCACTCTCTCGGATGATGGTACAATAGGCCTCTGCGATCGAGGTCTCGGTTTGTTGGGTGCCATGGCTCCACTTGGAGCAGCTGCGGACGATCTGGCATCCCATACGCACTCCGGACTGGCCTTGGCCTGGCTGTCCGCTGAAATAACGATCCTGGTAACGATGAACTTGGCCCGCCAACTGGGTGCGGAGGACGTTTCCAAAGTTTGTAACATCGGTCCGCAAGCTGCTGAAACCACGGCTACCTTCCTCTTGGGAGCTTGAGCCGTCGAAAATGCCCCGAGTCTGGGAGTGCGATGGCCCTTGGCCCGGTGGAGGGGGGAAGTAAGGGGCCTGGGTCGCACCTGAAGTCTGGGTTGGACCAGAGTGTGAGGGAGTCTGCGACGCGCTCCACTGCGGCTGGTAGCCGCCGCTGGATTGCGTTTGCTGCGGGGGTGAACCACCAGGTGGTGGAGGCGGGTACTGTTGTCCCGGCTGTTGGTAGGGCTGGGCGCCAGTGCCAGTATGAGGCTGGCTTTGTCCTTGACCATAGCTTGGAGGAATAGGCTGACTCTGAAATTGTTGTTGCTGCTGCTGCTGCTGGCCCCCTTGATGATGACCCTGATGCTGCTGGGGACCGGTCGAGGACAGAGGACGCTTGTAAAGTACCAGTTTCGAGTATCTGGTATCCTTTCGGACAGCATACTTTTCATCATAAATAAAATTCCAGCGGTCCACGAAATGCTTTCGCAAGTCTTCGACGACCGGCCCGTGCAAGCTGACAGCAACGTCAGACCAGCCCATCCGCGGGCTCGTCTTTCTGTCTAGCTCGTTCTTCTCCCAATGAACAACATCCTGAAAGTCTAGAATACGAGCGTTGTTATAATCTTGGCCGGAGAACACGGTCTCTTTGATGTCGTTGGGGTGGACGTCGGAGATTGAATGATGATATGTGTCCCAGCGACCGAAGCAGAGATCCAAGCCTCCCATAAATGCCACTTTGCCATCGACAATGCAAAGCTTCTCGTGGTGGGCCCAGTAAAGAATGACGTTATCGCTCATTCCATAGATTCCTTTCAAGGCGTCGCCGGAGAGCTTTGCGATTCCGGCTGGGTTAAGGGTTAAATTCTGGAGAGAAGATATCACTCCGCTGTGAAGAGTCTGCCTATCGGGGAGGTGGTCTGGGTGCCGGAACACCGCGATGTTGGGATGCAAGTCCTCTAGATGGTGTTTTGTGTGGGATGATGACACTAGATTGGTCGTCGTCGAATTAGCCAACTTTTTACTCCACCGCTGGTACTTATGCACTTACACGAAAGAGCCTGCGTCACCTCCTTATACACAATAACGTTGACTTTTACACCCCTCTGAGCAGCAGCCTGAAGCATGCGGTCCACACGATACTGCTCGTTCTTTGAAGGTGGGCGTCTTAGGTACAGCTCAGGAGACAGCCACCCTATTCGTTGGTCAGTCAATAAACAAAATATCACCTCCCCCCCCCCAAACCAAGCAACAAAAAGCTCTTAAACATCGGAGGAAAAACTCACAGTCCAAAATCCAGATCGACTCTTTGGCCGTCTCCAAAGCCCTCGAAACTGCCCACATGTACGTGCACCCGTCAACGTACCACTTTGCGTCATTGTGGTCCCGCTCCGGTGCAAAGCTGCCATATCGGGCCTTTTCACCGGCCTGTGTACCCGTCCCGTATGTAGCGTACGCCTGGGGGTCAATACTCGAGCCGAGCTTCTGTGCCAGATCGGACCCGATACCTTGAACCTTGCCGAGGAGCCCGGAGACGAGATCGGATTTCGGCGGCTTCGCGCCTTGAGAGGATTGAGGATTCGGAGATTGGGTCGGGGCATACCCCCCTGGCTGCTGGTGTGGTGGTGGTGGCCCTTGGGAAGAAGGTTGGCCGTAACCCTGGGGAGGAGGATGGCTCTAAACTTTATGATCAGGACATATTGTTTTCTGCAATCAGAACAAACAAAAAAAAAAAAAAAAGAGCAAGAACACAAGTTGTCGTACAGGATATCCTCCCTGGGTGTTGTAATGAGACTGCTGCTGCTGCTGATGCTGCTGCTGTTGTCCTTGCGTGTGAGCATTGTACTTATCGCGAAACTTGTTGAATGTATCCCCGAGCAGACCTCGAGTACTGCTTGATTTCTGGCCCGGATAGTCTCCATAGGCCATATGATCTTCGTTGCCCGCCATGATTATTGCTTCAAAAGAAAAGGAAAATATGATATGGATGTTCAATCGATCAGGTCAACGATACGCTCAGCTGAAAGGGGAGGGGAAGAAATAAGACGGATTGTTGTCGAACAAGGGGGATGTGCGGGGAGCAAAACACGAGCTGATTCTGAGCGAAAGAGGGGTTCAAACCAAGCAACGAATATCCCTCAATGCCATTCTAAATGTGCTCCAAAAAAAAAAAAAAGGAAAAAAGAAAAATTGCAAAAGAAGAATCTTCCTGGCTTCTCTGCCACGGGAAAGGGTGAATTGATCTGTTTTTACATATGAGAAAGCTACCTCAATACGTGTGCAATGGCTGCCGAAGGGGGCGCATTGGAAGGGAACTCCGAACGGAGGGGCGACGGGCTCTGTGGCTGAACGCACTGAATTGTGGCGCAGCAATGGCGGTGATTGGCCATATTAAGGTTTGTGCCGAAGCTTCTTTTCAGCCCCTTCAGCTGGCCTGGGAACACATTTGACGGAGCGTCGGCGCAGCATCCATGCCGGTTCTGCGATCGCCTGCTTGGCGTTGAACGGTGGATGCTTGCCCTCTCTTACCCCCCCCCCACCCGAGTTCTCCGCTCACAGTACGAGCACAGAGCACATGTGCGACGACTTGCATCAGAAAAGGGAATAAGGACTGTCCATCCGAAAGCACGAGGGTCAAAAAGCCACATTCTAGGATCGATGCTGTTTGTATGCGGGTGATATCTACATTATGGGGGTTTCGAATTTCCAGAATCAAAAAAAATAAAAATAAAAGTAAAAATACAAAAAATAAAAAGGGAAAAACAAGGGGACGTCGTTCTTTTTTTCCTCAGAAATGCCACTAGAGAATCCATGATGTTTGCGCTGTCACTGCGGAACCGATTTGACAACTTTTCAGTGGCCGCATGGAAGGTGGTTCGAAAAATCCTAGCGCCAGACGATTGCCGGAGAATCGTCATGCGCAAGCCACTGTGTGGTCCACAGTTGGATCATGGTATGATCCTGATCGAAATTCTCTCGCTTTCCTTCTTTTATTTCACTCCACCTTCATTAAGACATTAATCGTGATTCCAGTTCATTACTTCGCCGAGCGAACCCATCCCAAGACTTCGCCTAGTACTTCAATCGAGCATTATCACACCGTGACAGAATCCAGATTGGGTTTCGAACGATGAGGCTGACAATCCAAAAACCACCAACACCCCCCGCGGGTGTGTCCAATTCCCAATATAAACAAGGACACCTAAACATCTATTGACATTGGAGAGAGCTGTGTTAGCATTAATGTCCAACATTTGGAGACCAATGCTTGAATAAAATATATATTTTTTTTTTTTAAAAAAAAAAAAGGAACTACAGACGAAAAGCAACGAGAATGGCCAACAACAGACCTACCATTAGAGGGGTATCTCCTTCTTTTTCAGGCCATTTTTGAAACTCCAAAAGAACGCATACAACACCTAAACCCATTTCGTTGTCGTCGTCTTCTCCCCCAAAGCCCCTCGCTTGACTCCTTGGTATTTATGAGCGGAACGGCGGTATCTGGAAAGACGAAACCGACATGTCGTTTCCATTCGACAACGAGAATGTGACATTAGGACTGGGTCCATCTCGGCCAGTCAGGAGCCAGTCCAGTCGGCTGAGCTTCTGATATAACAACGAAGGAAAGTACAGGAAGAGAGCCCAGACCATGAGCGATAGGACGACCAGGATGAAGGAGTTGAAGATGAGTTTCTCGCCGGGCGTCATGACATAGACGCCGAGTGTGACCTCATAGCGGTAATATTCTAGACGAAGCCGGTCGATTCCCCGTTTTAGGAGATTAGGGCGGAGGTAGGTGGCGACAGCGGCTCCTACAGTGTGTCCGGAAGGCGAAGGGGATACCTTTGCAGCAGCCATCGACGAATAGTGCGTGAAGAGGTCATCGACAAAGGCTGGAGGTTGAGGCTTGACATGGGTGGAGGTGGTGGAAACACACAACGATTGCACTTCCGTTGCCATGTTGGGCGCGGCCTGGAGGGAGGGGTCTGTACGCGGTGTTCTCTATAGCAGAAGGTGCAATGAGGCCTGTCTATGCTCGCCAAGTGCGACACGTGCGGGAACCTTGCCGTGGACTTTTGTACGAGGAAAGCTACCCGTCAGGTCGATTGCGAAACGACACAAAGAGAGGACGAGTCGCCTATAGAGTGGTCTATAGGAAACAGGCGGAACGGGTGGTGGGGTTCCCAGGGATTGACCTTGCGCACCCCTGGTGTTCAAATCGACACGCTCGACAGCAACGAGGTTGACGTCAAAAATGCCCTTTTGAATTCTGGAGGAGCGACGGCCTGATGGGACTTGCCGCGCGGCGGAATTGACCGGAGATAGGTAAACCCCAGAGAGGGTTCTTGGGGGGGCTCTCAGATTAGGATTAGTATTACTTGAACGTCTAAAGACCAACGAGCTGTGCAGGGGGGACGCTGGTTGAGAATGCAGAGCTGTTTAAAGAAATAACAACTATAGATGGGATATCCGATGAAGAAAAGGAAAAAAAAAATTTCTTTTATAAATAGAAAAAAAAAAAAAAAAAAAAAAAAAAAGGAGGAAAAAAGAGAATATGGATGCAAAGTGCAAAGGTTATCAACGCTGGATCTCGGGTATTTCGATACTACAGTAGACTAGAATTAATTAACCATGGGTACGGGTGATGTGGCAGAGCTCATTCGACCCGGGGTCTGGCATGGAGACATTTCTTTCCTCGCAGAAGGACTTTTTGAGGCCATTCGGGGAGAAGCAGAGCTGCACAAGAAAAGGCCGCCCTTAGATGGAGCTGGTGAGACGGTTCAGCCCAGCATCCGGATCTCCCGGGTGATATATAAGCATGCTGGCCGGTGCTGATTGGCCAATTCTAAGTGTTTTGGACATCATCACAAAGCTTCGGAGATAGATCGCGAAAGCCGCCAGGGTCTACGGCGTACACATGGGGGCAGTGGGTATCTCGATCAGGCACTCGCTTGGATTTGAGATTACCATCCTTGTCTTTTCCTTCTTCTTTTTTTTTTTTTAATTCTTTAATTTTTTTTGCTTTGGATGGCTTTCGGTGGAGGCTTAATTTTGCAAAATTAACCAAAAGAGACTCCTTTCAATGGAAGTGTCTGGTTTTGCATCATCGACAATGCCACAGGGCTGGCCGCCAAGCGCCGCCGCAACGTGCCATTGGTGGTTTTGTGAGTCTGTGGCGGCTCGTTGTGCTGTTACAGTACGTGACGGCGACGACGGTGACGCATGAAGCCAAGAACGTCAATATAAGGTACTTCTTCGCCGGGTGAGGACGATTGACGGCTCCGACGAAAGGTGAGCGGAGCACCTTATTTCAACTATGGATGTTTCCTTGCTTCCTGTCGTTCGTCCAGCGGAGTGCTTGTTGAATTGAGAATTTTTTTTCCTTATTTTTTGACATTCATATCCAACCATGAAAAATCCGTGTTCTAGGTCTAGAAAATGCACAAACACGGAGTACCGGGTACGAAGAGTGTACCTATGTTACGGTACAGCGTCACCATCTGCGTATCGAACGCTGCTTTTTCCTTTGTGGAGCCCAGAGCCAGCCGGTGCAGCATTCTGGACGGGCAGCTTGCCGTAATTCCTGGCACCAGGATCGATCCAGATGTTCTTCAGAGCAAGGAGCCACCATTCATGCTTTTCCCTCCAATCTCCCGTTAATCTTCGTGCTAAATAAGCCATGGCTAATATGTAACCTGCCTTTGCATATCCGATTCCTCAGAACGGAGATGACAAGTTGCCAACGCGTGCCAGACCGTTCGTTGGACTCCGTCTTCCGTTTTCCGTACTCCGTATACGGGAGTACATGTTACGGACGGCGGAGTGGGCCAAGGTCCCATAAATTTTGATCGACAGTGACTAGTTATAGACGCAAATGTCGGCTGGACTTCAAATCGCGCCGGGAACACGGAAGAGGGGACATATTCCGAGAGTGTCCCAGCACCAAGTTGTTGTTTGGGGAAGTTATACAGATTCCATACAGAGTACAGAGTATAAAACTGTCCAAGAAGTGGTGGTGAAGGCCTTTGTCTGGAATGCGGAGCGAAAAGTACATATCAGTTATCCAGTGTCAATAAAATAACTCCTGTGACTCAGTGGTTACTGTGACGATGCACACAATCCCTGCTGTTGCAGTCTGGACAGTCGTGAGGTCGCTGCAGGGAGGAGGCTCGGAAGACGTGTGAACGGGTGAACTGCAGTTCACTTTCTTTTTCCCCGGGAGGAAAACCGGCCCGTGCTTACACATCACCAGCCTTCGGGAGATCAACACTCCCCCATCGCAAACGACGCGTCAAATCCGGACCACCTCGACGATTTGCGTGGCGAACCGTGACGAGGATAAGGATAACCACTACAGGTTCAAATCCAGGAATAACATAGTTAACTGCGCAGAGTTGCTGCGAAATTGGTCTTGCTTGTCCAAGCAGTTCAACTGGTTCCAGGGAGACTACATCCCTACCAACTGCGGGGAATTAACAGACAGACAGGCATTTTTGCCAAGTTACGACGGAGAACGTGCATAGTTCCCGCAAAAGAACGTGGCAATGGAGGACCACGAAGACCCTCTTGTCAAGGCTTTACCTCCTGCCACTGACTATCTTAGCTATCTCACAATTCTTGAATACCAGCTGACTCCCGCCCGCCTCCCCACGCTTCATCGCCTCCTTCAGGATGAAACGCTGACAACAAACATTGGCTGGGATCTCGTGCAATTGTTACTCCCATTGCTACCGGCATCAGAAGAATGCCTCCAGGATGTTTCTAGATTGGGAAATCCACGAGAAGTCATCCTTCGCGTTTCAGACGCCCTGATGACGCTGCACCCTTCGGATGATGAAGGAATCAGCGATCACGAGGAACAAGGTGTACCGCAGGACAGCCCGGCAACATCCCTGCATGCCGCGGAGAAACGGATTCCACTGCATATTTTGCAGTTCAACAGCCTCGTCTCCATGCTCGCCACTCTGCACTCCAGGATAAAAACCAAATATCCAAGTCGGTTTATTGCTACCTCTCTTCATGCTGCCCTGGAAGCATATACGGAGTATCCCACGGTTGAAACCACCGCAGCGATACTCGAATTTTTAAGGGATATATCCGGTAACAAGAGGCCGGCGCTTCCCCCACGAAATGCAGGCGAGCAGGTAGTTCCTCGCGTTACCAGCGGGTCAGCACCAGACCCCGAAGCGGAACCGCAGTCGGATAATGCTCTATCACAAGAGAGAATTTTGACGCAAAGGCTGGTGCAGTTCGGACTTATAGAAGTGCTGAAAGCGTACCTTCTATCTTGCACAGATGAACAGCCACCAGGGATGCAATGGGCCTTGCGGGTACAAGAGAGACTCGACCCGGGTGCTGTAACCCCAGGTCTCAGCTTAATAGAGCATTTTAACCAGGCAGAATATGCTAAGGAAAGAGATTCAACCATGGGTAAAATAATTGTAAGGCTTTTCTTCGATTTTTACCTAATTCATTGCTCTTTCCTGACATAATCCGTAGGCACTATCCAGAGACTTTGGGTTGGACACAAAGACCTTACTTCAGGTTGTTCTCAATCCGGTCGAGGACCATGATGCGCCTCTGGATTTTGAGGCTATGCCAAAATCCCCTGAGGACATTCCATTGGAACGACATGGTTGTCTCATCCTGCTTTCGGCACGGTGTGCGACTGCCGCTCTCTTCGGGTCAACAGAGCCCAAGATAGATATACCCATGTACCCGGATATCTCTATAATTTTTGCAAATTTCCTAGGGAATAACGAGAAGGCAGCTGCGGAAGAACAGATTGCAATTCCAGGTCCAGGTCCACTGCTCGATTCTCTCCTGGCTCTCGCCCTGACATCCAGTCACTGCGGCCCAGACAGCGCCCCTCAAGCCGAATCTGACTTTAGTCAACTCATTTTGGCTATGGTGGCGTGTGTACGCGCCCCACCGATGCGCCCAATCAGCCGCATCGAAAAGATACCTTCTGAAATTTTCCGTGCGAACTCCAACGCCCAAAGCAGGTATAACCTCATTCTACAAATATTCCACGATGAAGGCCTTAAATACGCAAAGGAATCCGCCCTAAACTGGCTGAAACAAGAACTCCTCGACCCCCCGGCCGGCCCAGATGCATCTAGCCCCTTTACAGACGTGGAATCATTCGCTACTCTCTTCAAATCTCTCTACAGTCCGCCTCCAGACGATTTCTCCAATCTACGTTCTTCGTCGACGCAGGTTATATTGATCGAGTGGATAAAGTTCACGAGCCAGGAGGCTACTTTTTACATTTTGGCTCTTAATTTCTACTATTTCCTGTGCAGATCAGAGGCGTTGCGCGAGAAGCTTCAGCTCCAAACGTTGGTTCCAGTATTCACCGAGAACTTTCTTCTCCCGGTGAAGAAGTTTGCACAAAGTATCCGTGATGATGCAGGGGTTAGCGAGACGGTTGAACGGGAACTGGACGAGAGTATACGACTGATGGGAAAATCCGCAGCCGATGTGGTCTTACATGTTATCGGGGAAATTGAGAAAGTGGGCTGGAAGGATTGAGAGTAGAATCACAACGATCGATAGTTGCCTTTTTTTTTTTTTTTTTTGGGTTGACGGAGATAACCAACTGACACAATTAGATTGAACCTAAGCTGGCCTGGGTAATTTTTAAACTAAGCAATGCTATCTATACCTCAGGGTATAATCGATAAATCTGCGTCGTAAATATTATTGGTTTTTGTTTTGCTTTCGTTTTGATAGAAGCCGTGTCGTGATACTCTCACTGTCTTGCCGTTGTCACCATTTCGACCCTTCCGTAGCGACGATCGAAAATTTCAGACTCTGGACCCCAAATCCATGGCAAGGCGCATACAGAGTAGACAATACAGCATGCAAACTTTACACACGGAATATATTCCGATCACCACGCCGAATCTTTTACCTCCAGCTCAAGTATCCCCACCGTCCAAAGCGCGACCTCATCAGATAAACCATGATGGAGGGATATTTAAACAATTCATCTTGGGGTCTTCTTTTAGAGAAATGCGAGAGAGGTGTGACCAGAAAAAAAAGTAAATAAATAAAAATAAAAAAGCTCCTGGCGATTATCAGACCTGCGTTTCTCCCCGATGAACGCGAATCTCCGGTCTCTGCCTCACCCTCAGCCTCCCCGTCTGCGGATCGATGAACATGGACGACGCTCTAGCTCCGGTCGACCGCATGTTCCCGTTCTCCAGCCCGCGCCGGAAGCGCTCTACGTACGGATTGTGCTCTAGCGGTTCGGAATCGAAGAACTCCACCAGCTCCTTTCTAAGCGGCCACGGTAGACCGAAGATGATGGCTCGAAATTGATCGGCTTCCCTACCCGCGGGGCTATGCTGGAATTCTGGGGGCACGTTGGTGTGGTCGTCGAATCGGAGTGAGGAGATGAGGACGGCTTCGAGGCAACGAAGGTCATCGACGGTGACGAAGTCGATGCCGCGCCGTTCGACAATGTTCTTAAGCATGCCAAGGCAAATGAATTCCTGATGGGCGCGGTGGGAGCGTTGTTGGCGGGTCATGGCGTTGTCTTCATCGGGAGGCTGTGTCCTGCTAGCAGCCATCGTGGCCAGCCCTTTGCCCGGGCAAAAACGGGCCAGCTCTGTGTGTATGATCGATTCGGCGTCTATATCACGATCAATGGCTTCAGAGGAAACTTCATCGTGGAGCTATCGATCTCTGTATCTCGATAACTCGCGGGCTGGAACCCTGAGGTCATTTCATGCACTGATAGCAGGCGTTGTCAATGCTTGAGCTGAGCTGAAAAAGCGTGACGTCAAGACCAGCCGCTTTGAGTTCGCGTTCTAGCCGCTTTTTTTTTTAAAGATGCGGCTTGCCCAAGCTCCAGAACTTGCACACTCCAAGGTTCGGGGAACAATTTCAAATCACGTACCGCGGGCTTTGCATTTGCCATAACCAAGAGCAATTGATTCAGGGGTCCGTTGTTCTAGCCCAACTGTTGATGTTGACAGAGAACGCAATCTGTACGTTATTCCTCCAAGACAGGAAGCAGATATACTTAGGAGTGTATTTATAGCAATCAGGCAGTGATGTTTCTGGCCCTGAAAGCTTGAACGTAAACTGATAGATGATCTAGACGGCTGCTCCCCTGAAGGTAAGCTATATAGATTGATGGCTTCACAGAAGCATCGATGAAGAAATGTCCTTCTTCCACTGAAACCAAAGACTAGAAATGACAAGGCACGACAAGGATGACACGAAGAGACACACAACACGGACATTTTACGCTTTACTACACCCATCCTCGTTTGTAGGATCTGCTACTCAAGATAGAGCCTATTCCCTCCTGTCCAGACTTCCATTTCTTCCCTGCGCCCATGTTCTGGATCGAAGTTGGCTGTAGGCTTAGCTATCTCTGGGGAGGGCGGTGCAATATCTCTTCAATCACAGACCCTCCTGGAATTAAACTGTATTCTTCCTCATCAAATTAGGACCCAAAGTGCCACCAGGGAAATTTCTCTGTATGCCGAATTACAGCAGACGGTAATTCCTGAAGCAATGACTGATGGAACACGTATGTGTCAATTTGGTCCATTGATCCCGTACAACTAACAAAAACAAGGTAAGACAATGGGCTTCGCCCGACCCCGAACAAACAGCAGGAAAGGGCATGGGTAAGTTGCGCTGTTTTGCTGAATGGATTGCGCTTTTTTAGTAAACCCATCCAGTGGCGGAATGTTTTTCAAGCATTGTTGGGGATTCAACGGCTATCGCCCAAGGTCGAGTTATGTGGTCAAGGAGGCGAAAAGCTAGAAAATGATCGAAAAGAGGCGATATTTACATATGTACTCCATATTCCGTAACGTTAGACCCAACATATTCTATAAGATCTGCAAATCTCTGGAGAACTATCCCAGTATGGAGGACGGAGAATTTACCAGTTGGAAAGCGGTCCACCTCAGGCAAAATAGGGCGCGGGACGGGACAGAAAAGAAGATCCTCCAGCACCTCAAGCTGCCGGGCCTGGGGCTGTGGCTCCGGCTCCTGAATCCAACCGCGTCACTCCAATTTCAACCCTCTGGCTTGTTGAGCAAGCGAGTCAGCTTGCTCATCGTCTCTCCCTAGGAAAACAAACGCCTGTTTTGGGGGCACCGTTCCTCGCCTGCAAGCTTAAGAGTCCAGAGTGACGACGGATGCGGAGGCAGTCCAAACTGGGGTTGTCACTACGACGGCCCCTTTGATAGGGAAGAAACATGTGTGCAATCTTATGATTTAAGGCCCACAGCACTATGAGCTGAGGCTCTGCTGCCATGCAATTCAAGATTGTACGTATCTTAAAGCATTCGGGGACGGGACCCTGATGGCCATGCACTCCCGAAATCTCTCAGCCTTATTTCGACGACAATCACGAGGTCATGAATCATTGCATTCTAGTGTGATAAGGATTCTAGAGTTTTATATGTACTAGAGGATATTGAAACCGAACATCTTTTTCGCCGCCAACGCGTGAACAGCCCTGACTTGTCTCATCTGAGAAACGTACGGTATGCCAGTACAAAGCACACGCAACCTTCGACCATACAAGCAAGACGAACCGATCTTCTATAATACCACATCAGCATACCGTAGCGGCTGACTACAGCTCTGCACAACTTCTCTTACTGCCCCTTTAGGCATAAGGATGGCTCTCCCTCATAACTTAGCTTGATACTCGGGGTACGGCAAAGGGGCGTAAAAACATCCCCACAACGAAGCTTCCGCATATTGGAATGCTCGAGATCGGATAGAGGAGAAAAGGCGCTGCGAACGGTAGATCCGCAGAGGGTCAATCTCAATGGTGTGCTACATTCAGTAGGGCAATTTCCGAGCTAATGTTGACTTTGGACGCCCCTGATGTAGCAACTTGTACCTCATGAAGCTGAGTTTCATGATGTGAAACGAACTTCTGCACCCCTGGTCGGCAATCGTGCAAGAACCATCGCGCATTTTGAACATCAGGTCTTAAAAAAAAGTGAGAATCGATCCGGGACGATGTTATTGGGTTTCGAGACGCCGTAGGACTCTCGACTGAACGACGTTACCACGTGCGAAGAGCTAGTGGATAGAATTTCTCGAAGATCTCTGTCATCTACTATCCTGAAGTGATCCCCTATCGTCTAACAGGTGCAGCAAGTCCGGTAGTGGTGTGGAGCTGCTGAAACTCGTGAGCAGAGAAGAACCCCATACTCCGTAGAAATGAGAAACACAGCAGGGCCGCCGTTTAGTCGCCCGGCAAGAAGCAGACCCAGAACGTGCTGCCGGCTCAAGTCACTCATTCTCTTTGCCCTTATGTGTTTCAACTCCAGAAAGCGGGAGGTCAAACCGCGGTATCATCACGTGATGTGTGGCTGAATTTAGGTTTGGCTTGGTTACGTAGCAAAGACCCAGCAAGTGAGGCTGTAACAGGATCTTCATTGACTACCCCCCATGTCATCTCCTTCAGCTGTGCTGCTTTGTCCGATCGCTGTTGTTATATCACTCCCTTGCTTCCCGCCTGCCGTCCTTCCTTCGTTTTAACAATCCAAGTCGCTCACTTCACCCCCGCCCCGTCGCCCGCCGTCGCCATGGCCGCGAACGAGTACTACAACACCGGCTATGCAAGTCAGCAACCGTCCTGGAACCATGGACAAAGCCCGAGTTCCGCCCAACCTTATGCCAACACTTACGGCCCACAGCAGAGTCAGTATGATATGAATTCAGACCATGATCTTTCAGGTGGTGGGGGAAAATACAATTCCAACGATTACGCAGATGATATCCCGCTGAAACCGAACGCTGCTTCGCAGCCCGGAAGGCCTGAGTGGTCGGACGTCGAGACTCATTATTCACCTGCTCAGTACGCGAACGCCTCTCCTGTACCAGATGCCCCGATCGGCGATCCAAAGCGCAGAAGACGGAGTCGCTTTAAAAAGATACCATGGGTTGTCTACATCACTTCCATCATTCAAGTCGCCGTCTTCATCGCAGAGATCGCGAAATATGGTAAGCGCTTTCCACACTTTGTCCCTGCGCTTCTCTACGGCTTGCTGACACAGGCTTGCACATCAGCTCAACTTACCGGATCTCCCATCATGATTCGCCCGCAGTTTAACCCCATGATCGGACCTTCGCCGTATGTCCAGATAAATATGGGTGCGAGATTCGTGGCCTGCATGCGGAATGTGAAAGGCGTTCAGGATGCTACAGAGCCGATAAACTGGCCCTGCCCCCAATCTACAAGTTCCGATCCGGAGAGCCCAGACAACAAGTGTACGCTCTCTGAACTCTGTGGACTTGGGGGTGTGCCAAACCCAAGAACTGGCGGGTCTATCGACGACAAGGACGAACCCAATCAGTGGTTTCGATTTATTATCCCGATATTCCTTCACGCCGGTCTTATTCACATCGGCGTCAATCTCCTGGCGCAGTTGGTTATCGGAGCAGATATGGAAAGGAGTATCGGCTGGTGGAGGTTCGCCATTATCTATTACGCTAGTGGGATATTCGGCTTCGTGTTTGGTGGTAATTTCGCTGCGCCCGGCATCGCCTCAACTGGAGCGTCAGGTTCCCTGTTTGGGATCCTGGCATTATGCGTTCTGGACCTCCTTTACAAGTGGAATAGCATCAGGAGGCCGATGACGTATCTTTTGATGATGATTCTTGCCGTGGCTATCTCCTTCGTTTTGGGATTACTGCCAGGTTTGGACAACTTCTCCCATATCGGCGGATTCCTAATGGGCTTGGCGCTTGGTATTTGTTTGATGCGCTCTCCTGATACCTTACGCGAACGAATTGGTTCCACCACACCGTATATGTCTGTGGACGGATCTCCGGCTGAGAGCGCCAAGAAATTTATCAAAGAACCAGTTGGCTTTTTCAAAGGCCGCAAGCCCCTCTGGTGGGCATGGTGGCTCTTGCGAGCCGGTGCTCTGGTCGGCATCCTGATTGCCTTCATCCTCCTTCTCAACAACTTCTACAAATACCGGTCAGAGTGCTCTTGGTGCAAGTATCTTTCATGCCTGGTTAGTATTGTTCTCCATGGTAAACACAAACATACACTGACCCACCATCAAATATAGCCGATCAAGAATTGGTGTGACGTGGGGAACATTGGAACCACAACCACAAGCCCTAACAATCGTCGTGGCTTACTTGTGTCTGCGTAACCGCGATTGGATGACTAGCTCTTACATCCAAGTGCTGGCGACTTGTCCTACCCGACAGACCAATGAATATCGATAGCCTCCCTTCCTCCTCCCATTGATGACGTGATGCCCGATTGTACTTGTTTCACATTTTCTTGTTAATACATATATATTGGGGATTCTCGTATGTAATTCCTTTTTTTTTTTTTTTTTTTTTTTTTTTTTTTCCCCTCGTCTTTTGTTTTGTAATTGCACCTTTTTTCCTTACTTTCTACTATGGTGGTTTTGGGGTGATGGTTGGCATGGCGCAATAGGAGTGCTAACCTTTTTGTTTGATGCACTGGACTTTAAGCATACTGGGGTATATAATAAATGTGAACGCTTTGTATTAACTTGAAAACTTCTTCGGCAGTGAAAGAGGCTCGGGTTGGCTTAACTAATTACATTGCATAATTTAGGTGCTATGGCAGGCAGGCACAATACCTATGTCTATGTTACTTTACTATCCCTCGAGAGAAGCAAAAAAAAAAAAAAAAAAAAAAAAAAAAAAAAAAAAAAAATTGCCATTGTTCCATGAATATCATTTCATTATCATCCTGCGATGATATCTGTCGTGCCGCAACTCTCTTCATCCTAAATATTCTAGGCAAGACCAAGTCTAGGCCTTTGGAACCTCCCACTCAATCTCCTCTCCCTGACCGTCTAACCAAGGCAAGCACGCATCCCATAACCTCTGAAACTCTCCTTCGCCCACGCTCATAATCCTCTCCCAATCATTTTTATCGTTCCTCAAATACCACACCATAAACGCCGCAACCAACAAATCCGCATATCCGGCCTTATCACCCTCGAAGAACGGACCGGTCTTCTGCTTCCCCGGCTCGCCGCGCAGCATGGTCCCGAGAGTGGACAGGATCTCCGTGACAGCCTCCCATACACGTTCGAGCTCGTCATCCCTGGCGGCTAATTCAGGGAGCGGCTTGCCGAAGAGCTGCGCGCGGGTGCGGTTGAAGTATTCTTGGCCGCGAGGGTCGAGGTAGGCGGGGACCTTAGGGAGGCCGATAGGGGACTGTTTGGCCATGATTTCGGTCATGAGCTTGAGGACAGCCATAGCGAGCGGGTAGCTTGCCGGGGTCGGGAAGAGGGAGGGGTACTCGGGTGCTGGGAAGGCGGATTCGAGGTGTAGGGCTATCTGGAGGCTGTCGCTGATGGCAAAGTGGGTTGGGTTTTTGGCGGAGAGGGAAGGCTTGTGGATAATGGCGGGGAGGGCGTAGGGGACGTATTGCTTGGTGACTGGGGGAACGGAGAGGGATTGGAGAGTTGGGGCGATATCAGGGTAGGAGAGGAAGGATTGAGTGTAGGGGATGCGCTTGAAGTTGAGGACGAGGCGGGTGCGGAAGGTGTTGGGAGACCACGCCTTGAGGGGTCCTGCGTCGAATCGGTGAGCGACTGTGTCTTGGGATAAGATGGTGGGGTCGGTGCGTACATACCCTCATTGATGCTGGTGATGTCGAAGAAATGGACCTTGTCTTCTCCCGCCATGGTTTCTATGTCTCTCTGGTCTGCAATGCCTGGATGAGAAGGTAACGTGCAATTGTGCCCACGGGATCTGCCGGGACGAAACCACGTTATTTATACCGAACCCCACCAACTGTGACGGACTCTCGGCTTCTCCTTATTGTCGGCATACCGTGGGGCGGAGCACGAATGCCAGGGACTCCGCCACGGGAAAGCGGGGTTGCGGGGATGTTCATCCTTCCCGTTGCTTCCGACGACGGACATATACACATTAACCACATGATATTCCCGGGGTACGGGAATGCAGCTCCTTAGCAGCAATCACAGGTGGACAGGGAGGTTCTCAAAAACAATCCTGGAAAAGCATGTGTCGTGGTGTCGAAAAATGGCCTTGACCTTAGGTACTGTAACCAAATAGGTCAATGGGGACCGGGTACCCTAGATTTAACGAGTACATATGTAAACTCAAGAGCGGACGGCCCGACCCGGAGCGAACCCACGTTTCCGCCTGCATGGGACGTGCCTATTGGACAGTAAGCCGAAAGGGAACTCGACGAGCCTCTGGCTTTCCGATGAGGTAGATACGGGCAAAGCTCCAATTATAAAGAATTAATAACTACGAAGACTTTTGACATGAGGACCTGATAGTTGAACACCTTAAAATTTTCTTTAACCGCACATCAATGCATGTAATACAGGATGTCAGAAACTAAAACCCCGTTGCCGGCACGAGGCCGCCTTTGTTGTAAAATACAAAAGCACAACAGCAATCCAATCTCTTTCGCCTTCATCCTATCCCATCCACCCATGTGTGCGTTGCTTATCAAGGAGTGGGAGCAGAAGTTTCATGGTACAGCATGCTAGCTGACCAATTGGGCTGCGAATCCCCACGTCCGCATCCCCCAGCACGTTCCGTGTCAAGAGGTGCTTCGCATACGCCGGTATTGAAGCCACAGCATCCAGAAAGACAGTCCGTATCTCTGCTACATGGACCAGTAATGTATTGTTTCCCCGCACCGCCCTGGCCTGCTGTTGGTTGAGGGCTTTCTTGCGGTTGCATTGATGACTCTGGTGGCGGAGCTGATGACTTAGGTGGAGATGTTGATTTTGGCGGAGCTGTTGATTCTGGCGGTGGAGCTGATGACTCGGGTGGAGCTGTTGATTTTGGCGGAGCTGTTGATTCAGGCGGCGGAGCTGATGACTCGGGTGGAGCTGTTGATTTTGGCGGAGCTGTTGATTCAGGCGGCGGGGCTGATGACTCGGGTGGAGCTGTTGATTTTGACGGAGCTGTTGTTGTGGGTGGCGGATCCTCCCTCTTGACATATCTGAGTCGACGGGAGCGAAACCTACACCCTCTAAGTCGTGTTTCAGGAGTGTTGTCGCACATGTTCAATTCTAAATCACAACAATTCGAGGCGCAGTCGCTATGTTCGAAGCATTGAACAGACATAGGTGGAATCCATACAGCAATGGCTGGAAGGAGCACTTTTCTACTTGTCAGCTTCAATATGCAAGGAGACATTACGTGAAAATTGAACTCACAATTGAAGAGAAGAAAAGCAAAGACAAATCCCTTGTGAGTGATCATGGTTGTCTTTTTCCAAAATATACCAGAAGTCAAGATAAGTCTACCAATGGGTTCCAAATATGCTGTGATCGGACCCCGATGATATTTCTGTGGACTAACGCATAGGACAGGAGTTTGGATCAAGGTGGTCTTGTTACTCACATTTATACCTGCTGGCCTGCGACAATTCTCATAAGACTTGCGAACGGAGCCACTACCATTTGAGGCTTTGGGGGAAATGAACTCCGTGCGTGCTTATGACGCTCCATGGATATCAATTGCCAGATATATCTACTCTGGCGGCTCCACCCCGTGTCCGATGCCTGGTAACATATTATACGTAGGGCAAGCGGGAGGGATTACATCACCTCCGTTTCATGAATGGAAATACCGTGGCGGGCGGGAATGGTAACTATCATCTGAAGGTCGACCTTTGGACAAGTTCCTGCAGTGACCGCGGGGCGGACGGACCCATTCCACGAGTGATACAGATCTTGGGGACATATCAATAAACTATTTCCAATTGGATTATATTGGATATTCTGGATATCAGTTGCACGGCATTGTCTTTCCCTGCGAGCATAACATGTCAGGTAGTGTGCGTATTACCACTTAGTCGCCGCCTGGAGAGGGACTTCCTGCATCCGCTGTCGGGAGAGGCAATCATAGCAATGAAAAACTGTTGAGTAGTTCACCTGCGTTCAAGGATCTATATCTGTAACGAGGCGTTTGTTTTGTTCCTTGAACAGGAATAAGATCCGGGAACCCAGGGCTTTGGGGAGATACAAGCCGACGTGGATGCTTGCTGATGTCCTGCACAATCAACCACGCTCCATCTGGATCTGCATCCGTGTCTACGTCCGCATCTGTCCCTGCGTCCGTGTCTCGAGGAGCGGAGCCCTGACTAAGCGGGGTCTTGGCATGGGCGGGCATCATGTGGCGGTGCAACGTTTCGTCTCATCGCGACCGACAGCCCTTTGGAAGCACAAGACTGCGTGTTACCATCAGACTAATACAGGCGACTCCCCTTGCTGCTGTTTGATTTTAGCAAGCGCTCTGTTTCTCTCGTTCACCGCCGTTCCTTACGTTCCCCGAAACCCGTCCATCGCTGAACCGAGGTATCTGCCCAAACCTGGAGCTGCTCATCCCCGAGATCTTCTTGATTCCTGTCCGCGATGACGCTGGTGTAACGCCCTGTGAACACCTTTGTCTTATTCTTTGACTATGGATGCATTTGCTTCTGCTTCCCCGGAACCACCAAGCCCGCCCAACAAGCGCCGGTCGGGTCGCCTATTTCGGAAATGCGAACGTTTCATATGCGGCGCCGCAAAATACTTCCCGCTCGCGTTTGTTTGCGGCCTCTCGACATGGGCCGTATGGATACAGGCAACAGTAGGCTTCGGATACTCCAAGAATAGCTGGATAGGTATATTGCTGTCTTGGCGATCAACGGCCTGAAATTGTTTTGAAGATTCTAATCCCAAACAAATAGGGAGCACTAGCGCTATAATTGGTATATTTTTCTATATCTGTCTAGGTACCTCATATACCATCGCCGTGTTTACGGATCCCGGATCTCCGGTTAACGCTCGATCTTCGAATCGGTTGGGTCGACACGAATACAGTCACCTCCCGACAACTGAGACCCCCGCGTACAGTGCGCTGACCGTTAGCTCCTCGGGCGGGAAAAGATACTGCAAAAAATGCCAGTGCCCCAAACCAGACAGAGCCCACCATTGTTCAACATGCAAGAGATGTGTTTTGAAAATGGATCACCACTGTCCGTGGTTGTCGACCTGTGTCGGTTTCTATAATTATAAGGCTTTCTTGTTGTTCTTAATATACACCTGCGTCTTTTGCTATGTATGTTTAGCAGTCTCGGCAACGTGGGTATGGAAGGAAATGTTGGCGGAGACGCGTTACGTCGAGCATGCTCTGCCGATCAATGTCATCCTTCTGGCAATAATCTCCGGGGTTGTTGGTCTAGTGTTGACCGGCTTTACTGCCTGGCATATCAGCTTGGCAATGCGTGGGTTGACCACCATTGAATGTCTCGAGAAGACGAGATATCTTTCTCCACTGAGGAAGACCCTTGACAATCAGCGACGACAATTAGCATCCCACGATAGAAGTCGTGATGCTGGTATCGGTAACACCCTGCATAATTATGGGCAGCAGCTACTTGACATGCATGCCAATGCAATACCGGGTGTTACTAGGGAGGAGGAAGGAGAGGAGCGACCATCGCCTACTGTTCCGAGTCGGAGACCTCATCCTTCGCAGCTAGGCAACACATACGATCCAAATGAACATGTCAGCGATTACCGTTCCCCGGCCCAACAATCTCTGTATCGATCTTATGAGGAGCTGGAGCGACATAGAGAGCGAGACAGGTATGAAGAGTACCTGGATGAACAGGACTCAGAAAAATTGCCAAATGCCTTCGATCTCGGCTGGCGACGGAATTTGACTGATTTATTTGGCACAAACCCTCTTTTTTGGCTTCTGCCAGTTTTCAGCACCACCGGAGACGGCTGGCACTGGGAACCAAGTTCAAAGTGGTTGGAGGCGCGGCAGAGTATTGAAAATCGTCGCGCAAAACGATGGCAAGAGTTCCAATCACAGCAGCAACAACAGCTACAAGAACAATCACACAGCCCATATTATGGAGAGTGGCATCCAGACGACGAGCGCTCAGGTACTTCTCACTTTTACGACGGTCCAGATGAGACTGGTCACTCTCCAGCCGGGGTCTCGATGAAGACTCTGGCACCGAGATCTCCCCGGGCCACGCCCGGCGATGATGACAGTGATACAGGCGGTGGTTCTGACCGCTATAGCACGAGCTCTGATGAGGATCGAGGGCTTCAAAATACAAATTCTAAATACGGTCTGGCATCTCACGACCTGGCTGGCCGTGTGAGGCGGAACGGAGATGAATGGCGTAATTGGGATTGATAATGCGTCGGCTCATTTCGTATAGGATGGTTGCGTTTCTTGCTGGTTCGGAATGAAGTCATCGGCTATGTTTATTTTTCATCTCTATATTATACGAGGCGCTATTGCACGAACCTTAGCGGGTGGGCGTTTCTCGGTTGGGATAGTCTGTGATTTATATTAGGATTTGTGTGTACCATTAGATTTCGATGGATTCTTCTGTATATATAGGCCAGTTTGAACACTAATACACGTGCATTTAGATAGAAAGCTCTATGGGGGCATTCATCACAAGAAAGTACTACCTAAGAAGAGAGATTAATGATTTGAAACACCTTTTACGGAAGAAGTTTGCTGGAATGCCAAAGTGTCCTTTCTGTGACTACCCTGTCGGCGTCAACATCACCAACCCGAAAAATCCCCACGATCTACTCCATAGCTTCAATTAAAGCCAACACACATCTTCGCATAGTTGTTGGCCTGATATTATCTATCCCTGGAACTAGGCTTCTCCTGATTCTAATTTGATACTAGACTGATTCATTCGCCCACTTGTACCTACATACCGACGTACACACCCGCACTCACCATGGCGGTACCCGGTCCCACGCTCCGCCGCCTCATGAAAGAAGCCCAAGAGCTCTCCGAGTCCTCCTCCTCCCCATCACCATACTTCCACGCGCACCCCATCTCCGACTCCAACCTCCTCGACTGGCACTTCACCCTCGCCGGACCCCCCTCGCCCTCCCCCTACGCCAACGGCATCTACCATGGCCGCATCATCCTCTCCCCGCAGTACCCGCTCCGCCCGCCGTCGTTCCGATTTCTCACCCCCTCCGGCCGCTTCGAAGTTAACCGCGAGATATGTCTGAGTATTAGCGGACACCATGACGAGACGTGGCAGCCCGCGTGGGGGATTCGCACAGCGCTGACGGCGATACGCAGCTTTATGGATGGGGATGCGAAGGGCCAGATTGGTGGGATTGAGGCGAGGGAGGAGGTGAGGAGGGATTGGGCGAGGAGGAGTCGGGAGTGGAGGTGTGAGGTGTGTCCTGGGAGGAAGACGAACGAGGAGGTTTTGAAGGCGTGGTGGGAGGTGTGCAAGAAGAAGGGCGTGGCGGTGGAGGAGCAGGAGGATCAGGCGGTGGGGAGCAATGGGGCGGAGAGGCTGCCGGATGGGTTGAGGGTGGTTTATCGCGATGAGTTGGGGAAGAGTGAGTCTTCGATGAGCTTGCGAGAGCGTGCGCAGGAGCATATGACGCTGGCGGACTCCTCGGGCGATGCTGGGACTGTGCAGGTCGAAATAGCATCTCGTGCTTCGATAATACCTGAAACTCATTCTACTCCTGCTCCGCCTGCGTCTTCTGCGACTACGAGCGTTCGTGAACGCAGGTCAAGGCCTCGAACCCAGGCATCTACAACTTCTACTACGAACATCACCGCCACCACTCAATCCACCGATGGTCCTTGGCTAGACAGAGCTATAGTTGCTGTCATAATCGCCCTGGCGCTGATGGTCCTGAAGAAGATATTCTACTCCGCTTCAAATGAAGAGCGATTCTAGCGCGGATATAATACCCATTGGTTGTACATAATCAGCCTGATTTCAGCGTTCGCAAAACCCTTCTATATCCAGACGAACAAAGACGTGTTTTGTGTTAGGAGTTACCGGCATATCTTGTTGGCTTTGATGCATATTCGTTTGGGAGTCACTACGATGTGGATTAACTTTTCCTGATTGTTTTGTAGGGTGGGATTTATGGAATGCTTTAGGGTCATGCTAAAACATTACACGCCGTTGACGAGACAATCATTGATTTTGGCGTTGATAGGACTAACTTTGAAGCAATTTCACTGAAGCTATGACTGAACATTCAGCCCCTGAGACCCCTTCTTACCTACAAAGTAACGTACTTCTATCTACGTACCTAATCCCAAATATCGTTTCCCGAGCATATGACGAGCCCCGAAATCTACCAGCCAGACCCAGAGGTCTGTGTCATCCAAAATGAAACATTGAAACACCCTAAGATTTGGGATCACAAGGAAATACAGCATCTGTCGAATAATCTATTCAAATTTACACATAAGGGTACAGTGACGGCGATTTTGACAAAGCATATCTCATAGAAGCGACATCCACGCGTATCAACCAGAGAAATTGGGAGGGGGCGTTCGAACTTCGAAATATAGCCTAGAGAGAATAGCACGCACGCAGACCATGGATCTCAAACGGAGACCGCTTAATGGACTTGGATGAGAAGGGCCGGATGATAACTCTCTAGGGGTCTTTTTTGGGAGCTTTCGTCGAACAAATAATGAGTTGGACGACTCCAGAGGATATGAAAGGGGGTGAAAAAAAAAAGGGCGAATAAACCAAATGAACCATTCTTTTCAGTTGACTGGAAGAAATAAAATAGAGGAAAAGAAAAAAAAAAAACTCCTCACTCCAGATTGCTCCCTAGCCGAGAATTTTCAAATTTCTTTTCGAGGTGGGGAACAAGGGGCGTGAAGATAGTCAGGGGGCTAATGGGTTCGGGAACCTAGGTATGTAGATTGAGAAGGCAGAAGTCCACAAGGAAAATTCCATCGCGAAGAAAGTAGATAAACCGTGAAGAAATGAAAGAAAAAGAGTAAGTCGAAACACGTATCCCGTTTTCCTCCTAGCTATGGTAACATTAAAACATTCCGAGATTCGGAGCTTGCATATCACACGTAAGTTGGCACAATCAAAGGGGAATTTTGAAAGATGGAGAATAGGCGCGAAAGAAGATTGACTGTTTGATAGATGGAAGGTGTGCTCCGAAAATCACAGATTTCAAGAAACGGTACATAGACAAGGAACACACAATTCATGTCTTCGGAAGCTGAGTAAAGGATGATTATGAGGAAGGAGAAATAGGATCGTCAGGGATGGCGGTCGCGAGGGGTCGGTAAGCAAGGCCTTTTCGGTCACAGGGCAGACTTTACGGTCATACTAGAGATATCTTGCTCTCGAGACTCTGGTAAATGGTTAAGAGTATTGGCTCTGGAACGATTAACGCCTCTAGGCCGCGTTGCGATATCCTCCGCGACGACCACCTCGAGTCTTAGAGCTGACGGTGCTCCAGCCTTCTTCATCTACAACCGGAGCACTTGGCTGCTGTGGTGCTGCAGGCTTTGGTGGACCACGGTTCCGGGGCCCTTGCTGGCCATGACCCTGACCGCGTCTTGGGCCTCCGGTTCTCCAGTTGTTATGGGCTCTACTGGGAGGCTGTGGGCGACTACCTTCCTTAGGAGTTTGGGGTTCTTCCGTAGGAGCAGCAGGAGTCGCTGAAGCTTCCTGAGGAGGCGCGGCTGCAGGTTCTCCATTTTCCGTCTCTTCCATCCGCTGGAGGATCTCAAAGTTGGACCCGCCTTGGGGAAGTTCGGAGCCACCTTCCTTCGAGCCATTGGCGCTCTCGGCAGCGACTTTAGCGGCGGCGGCTTGCTCCTTCGCTTTCTCCTTGGCTAACTCTTGCTCCTTTGCAATTCTTTCTTGTTCCTCTTTCTCGGCTTTAGCCTTTTCCTCAGCTTCCTTTTTCTTTTGCAGCCGTTTCTCTTCGATTTCCCGTTCCCTTGCAGCAGTGTCGATAGGTCGGGCACCGCCAAAAGGACTAGATTTAGAGTCACCAGCGGATGGAGAAATACTACTTTCAGTGTCGGGAACTGTTCTCTTCTGAAGGTTTAACTTAGGTCTCACAGCTAGAGCGGGAGCAGCCGGAGCAGTCGGAGAAGGCGCCGGAACAGCGGCTGGAGCAGGAGGCTGTGCAGGAGCGTCAGGCCGCATACGTGCTCTCCACTGGTTATCGAGCTCCGGAGCGGTGGGGGCTCTCTCGGGAGGTGGGCGTTCTTGGAACTCGCGTCGGGGAGGTCTCGAGCCATCTTGTGAGCGACCTTCGCCCCAAGCGGGTGAAGAGCGGCGGAGCTGTGGACCATCCTTGCTTCGCGGACGGCCGTCTTCCCTACCGGCTGGTGCAGCTGGAGGGAGAGGACCCTTGCGTTCCCAGGTGGAGAAGTCTCTCATCTTACCGTCTGCAGGCTCATATGGGCGGCGACCGCCGCGCTCGCTTCCGGCATCGGACGTAGCATCGAAACCACGAGGGGCGTATCCTGAACGATCAGGTCCCCTCCGTTGTGGGAGGTCAGGAAGTGGGCCTTTTCGGGACCAATCACTAAGATCTCTAGCATCATGGCGTTCCTTGGCTGTAAAGATGTCAGTAATGTTAAGAAGGGGGCGAGTTGGACGGATGGATCGCCTTTGGGAGCGTACGTACGGGGTTCTGCGACGCTGACTCTGATGTTTCTTCCCTGAAGAGAAGTTCCTTGATATGTGAGAGCTTTCTTAAGGCCGTCGAGGGTTGCGAACTCGACATAGCCGAAGCCCTTTGGAGCCCTTGTCAATTTGTCTTCCACAATACGGACACTGGTCACTTCACAGGCCTCGAAAAGTTCCGAGATATCAGCTTGGGTAGCGTCGAATGACAAATTGCCAATGTGGGCCGTATATGGAGGTTGAGTTGGTAAAGGAAGCTCCTCTCTTGCGTATCCGCGATCTATCAAAGGAGCATTAGCCCGAGGCCCGACACGACTTGTACAAGGTTTCATACCTCCATGATCGAAGCCGCCAAACGAGGTTGGGGGGCCACCGTAAGTGCGACGTTCAGGTCCATAACCAGAACGAGGTTCGGTGGACGCTACGTATGATTAGCCAAAAAAAAAAAGAGCGTTCTGGATTGATATCCAACATAGGTGCGGAAGAGCCTGCACGTACCTAAGCAAGGACGATTTGTTAGCATGGGGCCGGACCACAGCTAGACGAAACGGACAGAATACAACTCACATGGAAGGGGAAGATCATCCATCTCGTCGGCCCACGAGCCATAGTCTACCCATCTGTCAGAGCCATAGAGCAAAGCCCATGTTCGGTTGTGCGGGACTCACTCTCATCTGCCAAGAAGGCCCCTACGGACATCTTCTGGGCTTTGGATTTTGGCGGCGCTGGAATCGGAACGGTTAGCCACGTTTCATAACTCGGAGAGCCGATCGCATTGTCGGGCTAGCGAGGCACAATGCAATGCGAAGTCGGAGACTTTTTTTTTTTTTTTTTTTTCCAACGCACCCATGATTGCAGTGTGTGGCAGCGAAACGCGCAACGGGATCCGCGCGTTTCTGATGAAGCTGGAAAGGGCTGAAAGATGGATAATCTTTCAGTGGGCGCAATGATCGATCGGGGACGAGCGCTCTGTGGGATAGAGCGACGGGGAGGGTGGATGGCTGTTGGTCGTGGTGTGGTGGTGGAGGAGGAGGTGGAAATTGTGTCTTTGGAATTTTGGGAGGACAAATTTTAGTTGATGACGCTAATTTGGGAATCTCGACTAGCTCGCGCTATTATTAAGACTGTGGCGCACCAAAGCCACCGAGATAGCACTTTTTCCTTCGTCGACGACGCCCCAAAAAAAAACACGAAAAATGAAATAAATCGAGGAGAATCAAACCAGCAGCAGAACACAGCATTGTAACGAACTACGGAGGATACAGCACTGCCAGTGATGTTCAATTGGAACTACATATGTGTGTGTGTGTGTGTAGTGTGGACGGAATACTCTGTAGTTTTATCACTCCCTGACGATCCCGCTGGCACCCAGCAAACCTCGATGCAACATCAGATCGGAGGGTCCTCGCTGCTGGGAGTTAGTTAGCCAGCTGCTCTGTGACGTGGCGAAAGATGCATGTGAAATGATACAAGATAAAGGGCTGGAGCCAAGCAGATGAAGGTCATACATAACCAAGAGCCATAGCAAGGAAGGGAATTTCCCTTCCCCCTCCACACGCGCTGTGCCAGACCTGCCAGACCTCCCCAGACCTCCCAGAGCGGCCTGAGCAGCCAGTCCTTCATCTCGATCCTGATTCCTCCGTCGTTGTGCCAGCCAATTGCCGCGGAAATACGGAAACGTCCAAAATGCGCCTTTGTCGGCTGCTGACTAAGAACTCAATTACAACCACGTGATATGAGAGTTTTTTGCAGTTTTTTGGGGGCTGCGGCGTCTCGTCGCTTGTTCCTCTCCCGGTGAGCCTGGTGAGAATCCCGCAGCGAAGACTTCCAAGTACTCCGTACCTGCGTGTGGAATGCAGTCCCGCCGGAAGCTGATAGATAAGCACTGACCATGAGTGGCACGCCGGGCTCCAATGGCTCCCATAGCCCCGGGCTATTCATCCCGGCGGTCAAAATCGGTGCTGTGACCGGTCCGTGATATCTCACGCTTTTCTCTCTGCTGAATGGGGAGTATCTCAACCAGCCGAAATCGACTGCTAAATCTGTGCAGGTACCGCTGGTCTACTTTATGGCGCCACCTCTGGTGTCTTGAAATTACATCGCCATCCAGTCATCCACTCGATATCAACCGGAGTCCACTGGTTTGCCTTTGGAACCTCGTTTTGGTGTATGTTCAAAACCAGCTGGGGGGGTTAAACCTAACCTCTTGGCTGTCCTATGCTCACACCGCGGATTTCCTAGGGTTAAGAAGCAACATACTGAGGATTCAATTCGAAGAGAATCCCACTTCGAAGGAGCGCGCGTACGCGAGTGCTGTTGCCGGAGGTGTCTCGGGCGGTGCCGTAACATGGGCTATTCGTATGTACTAAGTCCCATCTTCAGTGACCAGGAGGACGCTTTGATCTCTGATCTCACATCGTACAGACCGGCGTTTCATCCCCGGCCTGGTGGTTTTTTCCCTTTTAGGCTACCTGGGGCAGCTATCTTATAACGTTGCCGATAGATGGCACACCCAGATAGCAGGGCTCCCCAAAAAATCATTGGCAGATCGTGTTGCCGAGTCAAAATGGATGCCCATTAAAGTATTAACAGATGAAAAGTACAAAGCCATGTTGAACGAAAAATTGCTCGGTGTGGAAGTGGAGATTGCTTTGATCGATGATCGGATCAAGGAGCTCCGTGAGTCCCAATTATCTGACAAGCAATAGTTGAGCATATCCTAGCCGTCTGCCCAAGCAGAATGGAGTATGGATCTTATCGAAATATGACTTTCTGATGCGGGCCTGAAATGAAGCGCATTGTGCCATGACCTCTGCAGTGGAGCTGCCCATACATATCCCTATGGCGGCCCGAAGTGTATAATATTGAAATTTAATCAACAACTGGACTATCTATGCACACACGTATGTATATGTATGTATGTATAAGTCAACTTTTTTCAAGTTTTTTTTCATGTCATTCCTGCGAGAATCCAAATTACGTGATTTTTTTCAAGGAAGCTTGATATTAATTGAGCACACGCTGAAAACTACTGGAAGCATTATTTAAACCTCAGACCGCACCTTTCTTAAGAGAATCATCGACAAATGTTCGAGCAGCACGCCCCAGGCACACACTGGTAAACCCGGTTGCGACGTCCACAAATGCAAAGAAGAACTCTACCAACTTTGCACAACAATATCGGTAAAATCCGCAGAGCTAGAAGAAAGCATTTGAAATACCTCCAGATTCCCCAAGCCTCTCATCCAAAAAAAATATCAGTGTCTCCAAATGCTTTATGTGAAGCAGAACGTTGTCACACACGGGTCGTTGCAGCGACAAACCTTCTGAGTGCCACTACTGAGGCAGTCTTTTTCATTATAGCCACTAGGACAAAGCTTACAACCTGGCCATTTCTCATTGGTAGCAGCGGTAGGGCAAGTAGGCATCGGTGCCGCCGAGTCTGTCGTTGGTGTCGCGGTCATCTCGCTCTCTGGAGTTGACGAGGGCATAGCGGAGGATGTGGAAGAGGTTGATGGTGGTGACACCGAGTTCGTTGCCAATGCGAACCCCAAGACAGTAGGCGGGCACATGGTGTTGGCTCCGGGAGATTGAATGATGAGCGTGTTACCATCTTGGGTGTATGTGCAGGGCTCAGCTCCTCCCGCTGGAGTCGGAGTAGAGGTGGCCATATGTGTGTCGGTGGTCGCAGCCGATCCTGCATCCTGCCTGGCTTCTAGGTCGACATTCACGACTCTGGGAAAAATGCTAGGGCTGAGCGACGTCGGCCGTGCCTGTTGAAACGCATCCGATATTGCCGGAGAGGGTAAACTTTTTCGACGATACTCTTCTTGCGGGTTTAGGGGGTCTCCAGGCGGTTGGATCGCCAATCCGTCCACAAAGGCCCCCAAAAACACAAAAGAAATGAGGTAGCGGGCCATGTTGACCCCCTAAATATATCGTGGAGGAATGGTGGAAGCAATATGTGGAATGACTGGAAAAGAACGATACCACAGCCAGAGAAACTTTTTCTATCACGCGACAGAAGACAGGATCTTTGGGAGCCCTTTTAAAGCCACTAGCACACCCTATTGCGATGCTCTTGCTAGGGATGAGCAAACGACGTGAAAATCGAAAAGGGGAAAATGGTCGTTGCTGCAGCGGCGTCATTTCCACATTTGGATATGTCGGTTCAATATCCTCATTTGTGGTCACCTACTCATTGAGCACCCTGTCCTTGCAACGGAGCACTCCGCTGCTAACCTGACACAATGAGTTCTGTTGCTAGGAACGCGGAGGACCAGTCGTGGTGACCGACGCCGCCTGCGTGGAAAAGTAGAGTTTTCCCTCTCCCAGGTTGGTGTCACATATATCAATACGGTCACAGGTCCTGCTGGCCTTTTTGCATGTTTGGGGCAATGTGGTGTCCGGACTCCAGGGCATTTCTAGGGGAAGCGCGGACGGGCACCGAGCCCGGGATCCTTCGTCTCGACTGCGAAGGTCATTGAGGCCTGGGTTTAGGCATAGATTTGTTTTAATTCAGGGAGCCGTCCGGATACTGACTATCTTAGGAGCTTCTCTTATTGTCTTGAAAATTATTATCAGAAAGGGCTATCACCAATATCTTTGCCGTATTTGCTGTAATAGCTGGCTGTTAGTACCACTTATTAGCTACATGATTGTTGGTACCGTTTTTTGTCGGGCGTCGGGTTTATTATCTCTTTCTACGGAGTAGCGAAGTGTCTTTTCGATTAACCATGTACCCCGTATGCGGGCGGTACGGAGTGGGTGCCTTTCTTTGGATAGCGTTCTGGGCCCCAAATCCTCAAGGGTCCGTGGGTGTTCCGGACGATTGGCTTACTATTGAGCAGGGATTCATCATAAGCTTAACTACCATACCAGTTTAGTATTGGGCCGAAGTCCTATGATCCTGTCCGAATTCTCCGTACGGAGTACACCGTGTTGTATAATATACTTGGTTGCCGCATCTCTCCAGGATCCGATGTGCAGAATTCTCTATATTTCCAGGTGAACAACGAAGCTTGAAATACCAGGCAAAACTGACACTTTTCTGTTATAAGCCTGTGCGCTCCCACTTTGGCATCCAACTTCGATAGCGGATACTTCAAAACTATGCACCAGCTTCTGTAATTTCTCCGTCTTCAACATCGATAGAAATCTCTGAATACAGCTTCAACCAAAGAAAAAAAAAAAAAAAAAAAAAAAAAAGAAGCCGAAAACCAGCGCTCCCTACACCAACTGAAAGATATCAACAAGAAGCTGGATAATGCCCGTAGCCTAATCCCCATTTGCGCACCATCTGCCATAATCCCATCACTGAGGACTGGTTGTCATGTATGAAACTGATGTAAAGATTGTTGAGACTCAGACCCAAGTGATGCTATGCGAAGAATGGCAAGGCCAGCTGCCCATCCAAAAGGCGTTTGGCTGGGCCGAGGATGAAGGCTAGAGGTTCACTTTACTAAGTATCTTAGACTTTGCAGGAGAGATGGAGCGGCATGAATGATAATGAAAGACAAGCTATCAGTACCAAACTCTGGAATCTGTTGGGCTTTTTCTGCATTGGAAACACTGTTTGGTCCAATAACAAGATGAAGGAAACCATACGTACCAAGGGGTGGCAATTGGAGATTAAAGGTGAAGCCAGCGAATGTGCCAAAACAGACATGCTCACATAGCTCAGAGATATACAGAGTACAAATAGGCTCCATAATCATCCAGGGTAGTAATTACTCTGCCATGGATAGGTATCCAGCTATCTGTGCAAGTCTTTGGAAAAGCCAACATTGTCAATATTTTGTATATAGATAGTTTTTGTAGCCAATTCTAAGCGACATAATTTCAGGAGGATTTTATGGTGCCTTTGGTAAATGCACTTGTATGATCCATGGCAGCGGAGGGCCTCGGCGGGTCTCGGTCGTTAGCAGGGCGGAAGACCCACACTGGGGCCGCACGCTAATATTTGCTGGTACACTGGGAGGCATCACAGCTTTCAAAATAGCCCATCCCTGCCATACCTTTGCTTAGAGGGGGAGGCGTTGAGCTTTGCGTTATTCAAACCCCAACATACCTCATGGTTAACAAGTTATCCTTTTTCTTTTTCTTGTTTTCTTCCTTTTTTTTCTTTTCAATAATCGGGTCAAGTATCAAGGCAATGAAAGGACATTATAGACTATACAGGGGAAAAATAATTAGCTCTCATGGCACAGAATACTTTCATACTTCTGTTCTCGCCTGATTTTCTCTCCTCCGGTTTCCTCTATCATTGTGAGCTTTCACCGGAAGTTGCATAATGATCTTGAGTGCACTACTTTGTATTGCCCGAAGTTGATTCTGGTTACACAATTCAGCCCTCACACTTCCAGGCAATGGCACACACTGCGAAAAACCTCTTTATGCTCGGGGCAAATGAATGTTCATACAAAATAATCCATATGACTGCCAATAGAGCCCCCCTGTAGCTTCTAGTTAACCCAACATCATTGTTATGAAACGCTCTGAGAGCATCATAGCCATTGGTCCGGCCGGGCTGGATGGCTGAGGTGCAACCCCGAAGCCAATAATGTTGCGCCATTGCAGTCGATGGTGGAAGACCGCGCTGGACCGGATCATTTTTTTATTGCTTGAGTTCAGACGTTTCTTGCCACTTTGACAACAAAAAGCCAGCAATGAGAAACTGTCTCGAGTCGAGATGGTAAGGCTTTTTAAAGTCGGTTTCCTGCTCCTTATGCGTCGTCCAAGATAGTTGGCGAAGAAAGTACCTGGACGCCCTAGGTCGTTTGTGAGAAACAGGAGGCTGCTTTCTTAGTTCACTGACAATTTTCCGAGTTGATGATCTTGTCTGGTAGCGGCAATTGTGCCGCTCAAGTTAATATTCCAGCGCTGCAACGGCCTGCTGATAAATTCGCCTGGCAAACATTGGGGACGCGGGGCTCTGAGAGAACTCAAGAGTTACCTCGGATCTGTCAATAACTCCATACTTGACGCCCATAAATAGACATTTTGGAGAACAATGCGGTTCCTGTTTTACAGGTGCAGAGTGCATATGCAGCCCATGGCTTGATCTGCGGTAGGACAAAGCGTGGCTCTTGACGTGTGCATGCTCCGTACTCCGTAAGTGCCCTCCAAAGCAGTTCGCTGATGGCAGCAGGTTTTGATGGCGCCACACCCCCTTACTAACCTATCGGATGGTTAGTGGCTCAGCACCGGAACGGATGAACCAGTTAATCCCGGTGTGCCAAGCGTCCCGACCGGAAGCTGGCGAACTATCTGGCCCCTTGGCAAGGATGGCCTTCCCAGAAGCACGATCCAAATCCTTCCTGCGGGTAGGACGCTTCCTGGAAACCCGCTTTCCCTCCAGCTCTCCCGATCCGGGTCGCTCTCACGTTTGATACTGGACGACGGCTTTCAAGAATGAAACCCCACCGTCTATTACTTCGTCCCGTGATCTATCGAGCTGCTGGTATGTTCCCGTTCCCTCCGTCGATCTCCGAGTGCTCTCCTGGTAAAAGCTTCGATGCTAGTATCGGTGATTCAGGGCACTCAATGTCATTGCGGAGTCACAGGCTGACTTGAAGCTTCTCAGGCTCGGGGCCTCTTTGCTAACCTCGATGCCATGTTCTTCTCGACTCGTCGAATGCGCTGACCCCTTTCGCAGCCCCTTGGGCGCTCGCGAGTCGAAATGGCTATCTCTCTAAGTCCGACTTCGGTATTTGTGACGATCTTTCTCCTCTACATATCCACCTTTGTGCTCTTCGCGATAATCCGATTTGGCACCGGCATCTCGATCCAGCGCATAGGCTACTTCTCCCTACGTCGTATCGCCTACTCCCCCCGGGAAGGAATCCACATCAGCATCCGCGGTCTTGGATTGTCTCTGCATTGGCCTACGTTTGCACAGCCAACTTATGTCAGCATCCGTGTCAAAGAACTATCAGTGACTGTCGATCCGAATGTTTTGCGTGGCGGAAAAAGTGCTGCGGTCGGCTCAAAGGACAAAACGTCGGATTCGGTCACTGTGAGTGACGAAGATGATTCCGCGAACGAGGCAACTAAGCAATCGGTGTTCCGCCGTGGCACCCCGACCGAAAAGGCCTACTCTAGAACGTGGAAAGCTTTGACTACGGCGAAAGAAGCAATAAAGTGGCTGCATAGAAGAATACATCTGTGGTCCCTGGTCGATGTGACCGCGACGGACACCACCCTGCGGATTGTGAAAGCTGGAGAGATTCAAGTTGGAGGTATTACAGTGGCTGTTGATACAAGACGGAATGTGATGGAGCGTGGGAGATTATTCCGCCACAAGAAAGATCCATCTGGCGATCAGCAACCCGCAGAGTGGATGTTCAACATAAAGAATGTGCTTCTTGCACTGGAAGGTCAGGAGCCAGAGGAAATTGTGGACAATTTTGGGCTTAACATCCATGGCCTGCTCCACAAGGGCATAGAAGGTTTGAGGGACGTTTCAGTTTCGGTCAAGGTCGGAAGGCTACACGTTCCATACGATGATCTGGTCTCCTTCACAAGCCGAATACCAAGGCCGGAAACGCCTTTGCGGATGCATAAATTGAACTATGCGGACGATGAAATATCCTTTGCTGATATCGTTGAGGAACTGGATCATCCTGGAACTCGGGAAGCGGCAATCGTTCAAACAGTGGCGGAATCCCGCCAGTTTTTAGCTTCCATGCTTCGTGGTATCCAGGAAATCCAACTTGCTTTGAGCTTCTTCCGGTTTTCTCATGTCGTACAGCGGCTTCCGAAGGGAAAGAAACCGCAGTATTTAAACATCGTCACGCATGAGGTCGGCGTTGATTTCCACCGGATGGACCCCAATGACCCAGCGCACAGGATGTACTTCCAGAGGAACGATATCGCCCACCAGGCTCTGGTAGCTGCGATTTCATCGTCCGTTTCCCTC